ATGGTTTCTAAATGCCGATTTGAAAAAAAGTAAATAAATGAAATAATCCATACCGCTCCATAAGCACCTTGATCGTGTGCTGCATTCTTCGAACCAATTAAATCGTGAATATCTTCATTGGTTCGATTTCTTGTATCATTACTTCCAGGAGCGATTCGACATCACCTCCTTCTGAAGATTCATATGGACGTGTGTAACATCTCAGGCCAACACGCAAAAATATCACATCGACTAAAATCGATTAAAACTTTGAGAAATATTTGAACTTTTCTGCAAAAAGGAATTGGAAAATTTTGAAAAAGTAATCGATACCATCAAATAGGTGTCATAATCAGGCATTCCGAAATCAAAAATTCGGATGAATAACATCAACTCCCAAGTTTCTCTTCAGAAAACAATTGAATAAATATCCTCCAGTGGGAATTGTCTTCCATCCATCAAAAATCATCAGGATTATAATGAATCAATCAGGTGAATTTCTTCAACCAGTACTCAAGCTTCACTGATATTCCAACATGTTCATTTGGAATTGAGATCTCTTCAGATCTTCTAAAACTGAAATGAAAATCTATTCTTGGACAGGATGATCTACTCTTACAACAAATTGATCGCGATCGATCCAATCGAGCCATTCTCAAGGATCATATTTGGCTAAGCTTCGGCCGAAAAATCGATTCTAGGTTGAAGACGTCCATCATTCGAGCAGAAGAATCCAATCACAGATTCAGATGAAGTCGCAATATTCGCTTTTTGCGATTAAATAAATAGTGTCCTAATATAGGAACGATTTCATTTTTTTTATTTTTTTTTTTTTTGTTTTTTTTTTTTTTTTTTTTTTGTTGTTTTTTTTTTTTTTTTTTTTTAATTTTTTTGGTTTTTCTTTTTTTTATTTTTTTGGATTTTATTTTTTTTAATTTTTTTGATTTTTCTTTTTTTTAAATTATATAATATTATTCTTTTAATTAAATATGTTATCTCGCATCCGGCCTTCACACCAATCTCTCGTAGAACAGTCGTGTGATCTTGGTTTTTGCGCGAATCGCCGAGCTCCTTTTCGATCTTATTGGAACACTCGGTTCATTTTCCGGAAGTGGCGGATTCGCTAAAGCTTCGTCCGCAATCACTTGGATTTGCGAACTCAGCCCTTTCACGACGACTCGCAAAAGGTTTAGCTCCCTCGCCAAATCCATACGCTCAGCCTTTGCCAGGTTGCTAGATGTGGACGAAAGGAATTTCCTGGCATTGGCGACCACGAACAGACCGCAACTGAACCCGTCCGTCTGGGCCTCTTGGTGTTTCTGAGGGACCCATCGGACAGTCGAGAGTGTCGACGGGTACAGTGTACCCGTTTTCTCCGCCTCAACTGCCTCCTCCGCCGTCGTCTCCGCCTCCTCCGGCACGACCATCAACGGGGCCCGGTCTTCCGCCGCTTCGAACGCCGCCCATTCCGCGTTGGCCGTCACCAGCCTCTCCTTGCGATCCCGGCGCGCTCGATATTCGGCCAGCAACCGCATGGTGTTATGATTGGTGCAGTTGCTGGGAAGGCACGGGCAAGTGCCGTCGCATTGCACCTCGTCCAGGAGACAGGGGCAGGTCTCAGAGCACCCTGTTGCTTCCGAGCAATGCGACGAGCACAAGGCGACGATCGGCTCCGGCTCATACAGAGACTCGTCCTCTGGGCCAAACGTTTGTCCGATTTCTTCTTGGCTGAAGACGATCGGGGCCTTCGGACTTTCTGGGGCGTCTTTGAGCTTCTTGATCTGCACTTCAACGAAGTCGCCAGTCGTTCTCGTGCGTTTGCGTCCAATCTTTGGACCTTAAAACCAAAATTTGTAATCCGAACGCATTTTTGATGCCTTTAAACGACTTTAAAGGCGATATCGCAGGACAAAATAAACGGAAACAACACGGAAGACTGACGAAATTCGAGAATCGGCGAAGAATCCAAAATCGAGACGAAGAAACTCGGAATCCATGTCGCCTTTAAAGTCGTTTAAGACCAATGCTGAACTGCCAAATCAATCGAGTCAATCAGAATATTTGAATCAACAAATTTTCAATATCACCAAGTTCTTTTCTTAATAATCGTCTGGTCCTATTAATACATAATCTCCCCTTCCCGACCCCCATAATGACCCGTTCCCAATTGGACAAATCGTTATAAACAGCCCGGAAAAACTCGCTCCAAAAAAGCGACGCACGAAAAATGCGAAATTCTGTATTTACGAATATGATTAGAAACCCCGTAAAAAAACTAGTAAAAAAAACTTCCTAAACCCCGCCCCTTTCCAATTTCATTCAATTATATTCTGATTATTGTTCTCTTCTCGATGACAAGTTGTCAATAAAATTTCGAAATATTCTCAAATTCTGATAATTCTCAAAAATGCCGAATTGAAATGCTTTGAATTTTTGACTTATTTGTTTAAAGACGGGGAGACTCGAGAAAACAACGATAAAATTATGAAAAATAAGGCGCACCTTCAATAACTTCGAGGTGCACCTCTGTGACTGCTTCACGGAAGCAGACTCGCTTCTTTGGAACCACATTTTCTTCATGAGCACTCGGGCTCTTTCGCTTGTTGTCGCTTGAGTTGGACATAGTTTCTTTCGATAATTATAAGCGTAATGAATTGAAATGGGAAATCCTGATATTTAATTCGGAACACGTTTATTTCTCCAAGATTCGGAAATCAATTATTTTTCATTTCAAACATTTTCAGCATTTTAATTGTGTGCTGATGAATGTCATTGCTTCGATTGCCGGCATCAAGAGCTGCGAAACTGTCTAACACACATTTATCAGCGGGTTCAAAAATTAGAAGCGACAACGAAAAAAAGATGAGCTAAGTTTTCAACTGCACTTCAAAATTATTATTTTTTTAATGAATATATTTTTTTTCCTTTTTTTCGTCAAAATTATGGTTTAATACAAACAAATGACGTTTAGCGGAAGTAAATCAAAAAGAAAACTGAAGACCATGTGACAGATATCGAAATCTGCAAGTCATCGGTATCTTTCACCAAAAAAGTCAGCTAAAACATTTGAAATTCGCAGTTTTTGCCACTATGCTACTTTTTGTCTAAATAATTAATTAATATTTTTTCATTAAAGAAGATATTTTTGATGTTGCCAACAGTAACATTTCAAAAAGCGGCCTTTTTGACAATAGGCGACCAAAAACAATATTCTGTTTGTTTACAAATATTGACTTTTATTGTTTTTGTGGTCCATTGCTTACGCATAAACCTGTACCACAACTATTTGCTTTGCATACTTCGTAGGTATTCAATCTCAAATTAAAAATCAGTTTTCTCTTCCACGCATTGTGTGCAATAGACGAAAGAGATCACAAATATGCGGATAAACTGAAATTGATACTTTGCTTCCTAATCCCTCTTCATTCCCAGTGAAGAGCTGGCCCTTATACGACGGACCATCAAGAATTATATTTGCCATTACCATATAAAGGGTCATCGAATTTTTTTTTGATTAGCAAAAAGCAAATGTTGCGTCAAATTTCTCATGGGAACCAGTTAGGGCATGAATTGCATAAAAACATTGATCAGGTAATCGATTGATGGGTGAATCAGCAGCCTCAAACACACACACACACACACATGGCATATAACTCATCCTCATCGGGGCGGTGAGGACCCAGCCGAGGCGATCTCCTGTTGCCTCGTCCCGTCGTGTTCTCCCCAACCCAAAACTCATAGCTACATTGCGTTACCCGTAAGAATGTCGGCGTCTCATCGCAATCAGCGCTCTATCGTGCGGAAGGTCATCGGACGGCGTGCCCGCCGCCTGCTCCTCTTCAATTTTCTTGCGCTAGCTATGTGTATGTGCGTGTCGATTTGGTGTTCAATCACACGGCGGTTGTTGTTTTTTTTTTTGAATTCTTTGCGTTGTTGTGATTTTCTTGAAATCCGATACGGTCCTCGGCTGCTTCCCGAGTTTTTGACAACGCGCGCGCCACTCTCTAGCGTTCGCCTCGCGCTTATTTTTTTTTTCCCCTCCCCAAATTCTATCCCATCTGTTCGCTCTCAATGTTTCTCCAATTTCAAGGTTTATGGTTAATTCTATTGACATGTCGCACTTGATTTTATGCGGTTTTCCATGGTTTTCTATTGTTCCATTCGAATAATTGCTATAAAATTTCCGTTTCAAGCTGTTTCCATTATTGGTACTGTAGGCAGAGACTGTGTAATTGTTCGTAATGGCCATTGCGTCTCAAATTTTTGCATTTATTTTCATTCATTCTTCGGGCGAATTTGATTGATTCTCTTGAAATATTAAACTTGACATGTTGAAATTAATGTTATCATATTGACAGATATATCCCGCATTTCGTTTAATTCGGCATTCCAATTAAAAATTGTTAAAATTTCCGCAAAACCTGGTTTTCAATTTCTTGTTCATCGTGTGCAAATATTTAACCCGTAACCTTTGGTTTTAAATTCACCCGTGAAAATGAGAGATGAATTTATTTCGTACAAGATAATAAATGTTTTTTATATAATATTTGATTCCTCTCGATATTTCCCACGATCGCTATAAATATCCTCGTTATAACCATTATAGTTTTCGGTTTTTTTCTTTGATCATGGTGGCAAATGCAAACATATTATAACAGACCGGTGTTTGCATCATCGAACACATGAACACGAAATGAATGTACATCTTCCCACGTTGTTTAGTGTTTGTCCAGCGCACAAATGAGCTCAAAAATTGAATTTTCGTGCTCAAGTGAATCAACGTTGATTTGGTGTTCGTCGTCGTCGCCGAATCCCATTTCTTCTCTCAATCTTCAATTCAATCTCATCCAATTCAAAAGTGTGGACTTGAGAGCATCCGCCGCCATCTGTCGCTTTATTATTATTATTATTATGGAAACTTATTTAGGAAATCGAAAACGCCTTTTTTTCTCTCTCTTTTTGTTGTCAACTTCTTATTTCTCATCTCTGTTATTTGAGTTTACGCTTAACGTAGATTTTCGATGCTCAGGTGCGATCATCCATCGAAAGTATGCGATAATATGCTATCGGAACGTGAGCAACTTTCGTGTCTGGTTCAACAATGGAACGAGAATCGCCTCGATCTGTTCCATCTTTCCTATCCGACGGAGGATTTGGAAATCGAAGGAGTTATGCGATTTTATTTTCAGGTAGTCAATCAAATGGAATGTATTTTATAGATTTATTTTAAAACATTTTTGTCAGCTATGACGATCAAATTGTGTGAAAAAATATAATTTGGTTTCTTTCCACATTTTTTTCCAATATATTTGCTCTTCGTATTTTAAAAGGCAACTGATCGTAAATTTCACTGCGCCCCTAAAACCTGTCATTAAATTGAAACCGCCGAAACGAACGGTTTCGATTGACTTTGAACATTCGAAGAATTTTACATTATTAGGATGGCGGTGAAAAGGTTTTAACGAAATGCGTTCGAGTCTCGTCAACTGCTACGACGCGTGCCGTCGTCGATGCACTTCAAGAGAAATTCCTACCCGATCTCAAAATGCTCTCAAACGACACTTATTCGCTGTGGGAGGTGCATGAGAACGGCGATGAGCGACGGCTGGATGAAGAGGAAAAGCCACTACTCGTGCAATTAATGTGGCACAAAGATGATCGAGAAGGTCGATTTTTGTTGCGACGAAACATCCATCCGTCGACGCCTCTCTCATCGATTCAATTTCAAGAATCTGACGTGAAAAATGGGAGGTTCAACAAGAAAAAAGAGAAGGAGTTGAGGAAGAAGCATCAGCAGAACAAGGAAATCGGTAATAGCGGTTATTAGTTTCGCGAAATTCTCGAAATTTGGTCTTCCAGTTCACGTGAATAGTGGACGAGAAGAAGCCCAAAACGCTGATGATATTTACAAGCAAGTTCCATTCAACACATTTACTCGTACAATTTCAAATCCGGAAGCTGTTATGAGGAAACGGAGGGAGAAGAAGCTTGAGACAAAGCTCAAAGAAATGACATATGGTATGAAAATTTGATCGCTGTTTTCGAGGAATTAATGAACAATTTAGGTGGCTCATTGAAAGTTTACGGCGCGGAAATCATTCCATCTCGACCATATGTAACGATTTTGGCTGGAATGCACGACACGGCTGAAAGAATTCTCGCCGAATCATTGGAAAAATATGGTTTGGATAATCATGCCGACGAGTTCATGCTAGTAGAGGTGAGATTTTGGCAATTGCGATTTCTCAAAAAAATTCAATCGAGATTGGAAGCTGTTTAGCGTGATTTCTTTTCCGAACAAAAAAATCTACCCTAGTACATTTAAAATGAGAAATTAATGTTTGCATTGAAACTTAACCTTAACGGGACTCTGCGGTTGTTCACAGTTCGCTTGCGCAATTTCCTATTGTCAATTTTCATTGGAAATCGAACTTGATTCCTCACTTTCAATTTCCGTATTCATTTCCGCCATCGTTGATATGCGTTGAGACGTCGACCGACTTCCAGCAGCGTGACGGGCAACATCACTCAAATTTTTGGGGCGGAGTTAGGGGAAACGCTTCATTTCGATGCGATCTCTAATCTTTGGATTCTGAAAACACATTCACAGAATCCGTCAAAGTATGCCTGCTCGGCAATCTCTTCCGAATTCATCGAATTTCGCTGCCGCCGTTACCGGAAAGAGAAAAAAAGGAAGAAGACTCGTAAATCGGTTACTCGTAAACACAATGTTGTGTGTTGTGTTTCTTATCGGCCGTCATTCCCAAAACGAGCGTCTTCCACAAATTTCGGGGTTGATCGACGGCGGCGGCGAATTGCGCGGCGCGTTGCTGCCCAAAAAATGCTTATCATTCAATTTTTCAACTCCTTCACTTTCAATTTCGTCAGTAGTATCATCAACATCTTTTGATTCTGCCTTGTCATCTGACTCGTCGTTTTCCTCCCGAAGCAGTAGCAGCAGCGGCGGTGGTGCCCGAAAAAAACGGCGCACACACGACCGGCGATGCCTGTCGCGTCCAAATTCGGTACAATATCCTCATCGACCTCGTCCACTCTATCATATTCGTCGTCGATCGACACGATTGACGAGTTGTGCGAACTTCAGTACAAGTATGAGCAGCAAAAGAACGCGGCGAAGATGATGGAAGAAGCGAAGCGCGAGAAGTCGATTCGCAAGAGGATTGCTCGCCTTCTATCGTCGGCGTCGATTGATCGCGAGCAGCGTCGTGAGAGCAACAAAGTGAAGCAGAAGGCGTTCAGAAGTGCGAGTGTCGATGAGCAGGCCATCAATGGAAGGTTGCCGTTGAAAATTTTCAAGTCATTTCGCAGATTTACGTCGAAAACCGAGGTGAACTTGGAAACGTTTTCCTTTTTTTTGTGTGTGTGTGTGTCGCATTCCTCAATTCAAGGCGCATGACGCTTCTTTTTCAATTGTGTCTCGTTTTACGCACTCGTTCTGAAAATGATATCACGCATTTCAATCTTAATATTGTCGAACGCAGCAGACTGATCAAGTTTTATATAAATATGCGGGTGTGTGTGTGTCTGTGAGAAGAAAACACCAAATTCTAGTGATTTTAATGCAATAAAATTGTTTTTTTAATCGGATAATGATTGAAGATCTTGTTCTTTCTGTCAAGTAAATTCGTTGAATATTAACTTATATTATAGATGAGATGCTGCGGACAAATTTTGAGAAAATTTCGGACGGAAAAAATTTTCCAGAATTCGCATCTCGATGCCTTTTTAAGAGCTTCATCGAAATCCACTCATTGTTACGATTTGCAGATAACCAATGGAAGCGACGAGCCGCGCAAGAGTATGTCGGACCTTCGCGAGATGGACGGCCGGCCGATCAATCCGCACGAGTGTCCGCTGGTGCGAATGGCGGCGCAGAGCGGCGAAAATGGATTTGAGTCATTTCTGGCGATCAAAAGAAAGCCGCATGATTACCAGTATGACTCATTTCAATTGAAAATAAAACGCTAGTTGTCATTTTCAGAATACCATCGACTTCTGTCATCCCGCAAACGGTAACAATACCGCAGCAACGATCACCGGTTCCCAGGAATCTGCCGACACTCACCATATTGAATCCAGGTTTTTTGAGACTTCAATTTGACTATAAAACGCATTATTCGTCTAGATCGCACACTTTCGACACATCAAATTGTTCTACATCCGGGATTGACGGAAGTTGGAAGTGATCGCGAGATGTCAAACTTCTCGCCTCACAATATTTATGTAAGTCGAATTGAAGAAGTTCAGTCAGCGTTTAATTGAAAATCGCTGGTCAATTTGCGATGCCGAACCCGAATACGGTGCGCCAAGTTTTATGGAGTGTCGTTTAATTGCGCGAGTGTTTAGTTTTTCTCGGACAACAACGTTTGGGGGGGGGGGCAATACAAAACGCCCCGCGAACATTGAGAGAGACAAAAAAAATTGGGTTGACCGTCCGGAAACGTTGACGGATTAGCGCTTTAATGCGCAATTAGGTGACAATTTGGAGATTAAATGAAAGTTTGATTTTTGAGGAAATTGAAAACTCGCTAAACAACACTTGATAGATTCTATTTCTAAGCGGAACGCTTCTACCGAAATCGGTCATCATAGAAACTAAAGAGAAAAAGAAGGCTTGTTTTTGTTTCATTTAATTTTTTTTTAAATTACCCATGTACCTTTTTAACTGGCTGATTTCAGGCCCTATTAAAACGACTTTTTGCATTTATGAACCAAGAAATTGGAGATTTACGATGATTTTGATTCGCAGCTTATCAATACGGTGCCGAAATTCGCGCTGATAAAAATTTAAAAAAATTCTATGGACCACAATTGTACTTACGTATTTTTTTTGCAATCACGACAGCTTATTAATGCCACCAAATTCCAAATCTATGACTCATCCCATAAAAATTTTGATTCATCTCTCACTCGCAATTTGATCGTAATAACGGATAGGCAACATTTCCAAAGTGATCTCTGAATCTTGCAGCTGGACGGTTTCGACATTCGCGGCCGGCACGCAGCCATCGCCATTATGGAAGGCGTCGTCACGTTGACGCCATCGACACCCGACGCGTATTTGGAGGTGAGTAGCCGTTAATTATGTAGTATGAAACAAATGGGGAAATCGAGTTTGAAAAAAAAAATACGGTAGAGAGAGAGAGTGAGAGGCAAATATGAGCCGCTGAGTGGACGCACGGATCCAGTTATTTTCACACGCTTGTCGTCCGTCGGTTGTCGGCCACTTGTCGAGTATTCGGTTGGTCGGTTGTCGTCCACTTATCGTGACACAACCGCCGCCTGATTCAACGAACCGTTTCTCAATGTGTGTATGTTTTTTTGTCTTCTTTTGCGGCTCTCGACCTTGTCAACTTTCTACGATTACTACTACTGGTAATCGCGCATCGTAGATTATTTGTCAATACGGTTGATCTGCGCAGTATGTGTGCGCGCGAGTGTCTCGTCTCCCACTCCTCATCGTTTGATGTCTTCATACGCGCTCTCCTCGTTATGTGTCGCCATCTAAGATTACCTCTAATCCGCGGGTTCATCCCGTAACCTTTTCGTCGTCGACTGACTACAGTTTGCGTTCGGCGGCGAATTGTTTCGGTCAAGCGAAATTGAGCTGTCAAAATATGTTTGTTTTTGGCGCAATTGGTGTTGGTTCGTTTCGATGAGAAGTTGGCCCGCCCAATTTTTGATTTCGATTATCGAGTGGATCGCGCCGAAATTTGAGATTTCGATATCTTGCTCCTCGACTATTTTTATTCTGGGGTTTTTTTTTGAATCTTAAATGTGAAAAAATTTTCAGTTCTTCAAAATATTTTTATATATTTTAGCTGTTAATTATTATGCCCAAAATTAAATTGTCGGCGTCGCGCCTTTGCCAGAAATTGGCGAAATGCCAAAATATTTTTTAAAAAAAGAGGTCTCGGTGCGCGGTGTGCGCCTTTAACCTATCCTTATAAATAGGTCCGTAAATCTACACTTTTAGTTATCTCGCTAGACTATTTTTCGTTTAAATGAACTAGTGATCATCTCTTTTTGGTCCTTTAGCGATTGTTCCATATTATTCTTGCATCTATGCTGATTTTTCAAAAGAAAAAAAACATATATAATATTGCGCGAAAGAAACTAGTTTTTCTCTCTCAAGATCTGCATTATAATTTTTTTTGCTGCGGACAATTAACTGATTGTTTTCAAAATTGCATCACGTTGTGGATATCATCTGAAATGAACGGTTGATCGTGAACTGGCGAGTGAAAAAAATAGGATTATCACTTTAAATAGCTGCGGACAATTCGTGAGACGTTTTTTTGTTGTTGTTGAATGTTTGCTTCGTATTCTCTTGGAGGTAATCCTCTTCTACCGTAATCTTCTTCTTCTTCTTCCTCATCATCCTTTTTCTTCTTATGCATGAGTACTTTCCATTTTCGTCAACTAAACTTTGGTTTCGCCGTCCGCCCACTCCTCCATTCTTCTTCATTCTGTTTCGCTCGACCCCCCAGCCTTGCACCGCACAATTGTTCTAATCCTTCGCATTTTCTGACGCTTCCGTCACGCCCATTCCGATTTGGCCATCTCGAAACATTTACTCCGTGCCGCCGCCAATACCGAAAAAATAAACGAGTTTCGCTTTTTTTCCCACGAATGATTTGTCATTAAACTCTTTCCGCGCTGTCGGTGTCTTTTTTTTTTATTGGTGATAGCGTTTACTTCTTCGCGAGTATTCGATTTTTTTTGCGCCAAATATGTGTATAGATTTCGTGTATTCAAAAATGCTGTATGGAATTTCGTGTCGCTCTTCATATCAATTGAAAGTGCCCTTTTCCAATCCCATATCATTTTGATATCAATTCTCGATCCAGCTGCTGCTGCCGCCCAGCCATTGTCCATTCAATTCCTTCCTTCCTTCCTTCTCATTCTTTTATTGTCATGATGCCCTGTTGTTGTTATTGTTGTTTGTTTGAGTGTATGTGTGTGCACACAACAACTCTCCACCGACCTATTCAAAAAAAAAAAGAAACCATCGAACTATTCTATATACGTCGCGGGCGCGCGTCCGATCGCCAGCATACAGGAAGAGCGTCGTGCTGTCGATTGAATAATTGGCAGCTTGTGCACCATTCAATTCTGCCTACGCATTGTTCTGTATTCATTCCGATCCTCGCACGTTTTTTTTTTGCGCTCTTTTTGGTGTGATGAATCAATCGCGAAAATTGTTAGTTCGATTGATCTCTCATTCATTTTTTTTCCGGACGAATTTCGTTCTATTGCGTCTTGTAATGAAATTTGAACTTTTTATACAATATTTCGTCGGCAATTCGACTGACGACAACATAATTCTTTTAATATTAATGGACGGTTTAAAATTCAATTCTTGAATTTTGATTATCAATTTTCCAAACTGCATACATATTTCTGGTGTCTACGATCATTGTCCGCAGATGCGAATCCATATTTTGAATATACGGGTGGGTCGAATTGGTTTTTTTTTTGAAATTGTCTGCAGAAGAGAAAAAAAAATTTGAGATTATTTTTTCTTAAATGTTCCTTTTATGAACCCATTTTTCCAAATTTGAGGTCTTTTTTTAAATATTCGATTTTCAAATGAAATTCTTCATCCAATTCATTTATTGTTTTTTAGTGTTTAAATCAAAGAAATATGGTTTTCTAATTAATTCCCGCATTGTAACCGATGGATTTGGCATAAAAGTGAAAATACGAAGGGGAGATCGGCTGAAGGAACATGTTATGTATGGTGTGTATGAAACCAACCACTTTGCCTCCTCAGTCGTTCGCTTTCATACATTTGTATATACATTTGGCGTTTTGTTTCTATTTTCGCCAATCCGACATATTCCAGCAGCGTTGTCTCTTCACAGTTCGGTTTTTTTTGTTTCGTTTCTGTTGCGCGCGCACCGATCAGTCGCCGCCATCCGCCCTCTATGCTTGTATTTCGACCTTATTTAGGCGACATTCTCGATTTCCTTTTTTTTCTCGTTACTCCTTCAAAAGTGAAAAAATTAATGCAATTTTTGCAGATCAACGGTGCTCAAATAATGCAGACGGAGATTCTACGCGACGGCGACACGATTCGAATTGGAGCCGACAATTTGTTTCGATTTGGAATGCCGCGCGATTCTTCGTATGGTGATATGGTAATTTTGACAAATTGATATTTTACTCAAATCAGTAAAAAACTACTTATTGTCATTTTGTGATATATGGATATTTCGGCATTTTGACTTGTTTTATAATCGGCGTCCGGCGACTGCTGTACACGGGTAGATTTACGCGCATGCGCCTTGAAAAGGTCTCGCCACGCGTGAATCCTTATTTTGCTGTTTTCACGTGAACTGCTTCATTTTTCTTGATGAGTTTCGCATTTCCTTGAATTTCTAACGTCATTGGATTAAAAAAATTATCGAACATGTCCTTAAAATTTGAAATAACCTGTTAGTCCTTTGCGAGACCATTACGAAAGACGCATTTCTCGTAAATCTACCCGCGTACAACAGTTGCCGGACGCCGATTATATGCGAAATTGATTTTTTTTAATTCGACATATTTTTGGCATTTATGCCTTTTCATTTCAAGACCCATTTTAATGGTCCAAAATCCAAATCTTCCAAAATAAGTATTTATTCCAATTTTTGCGACATTTTTGCAAGCTTTTGTCGACTTTCCTCACCATGAATTTGTCCGCAGATGGAAATGGTTTTAGCCAATTTCTTCCAATTGTACTTTTAATTATTCTTTTACTGTTTTTAGCCCGATTCACGAGCTTCGACCACACGATGCGGAGTTCAATCGGACTATGGAAGCTTGCCGTTGAATGGCAACGACTACTATCCGCCCAGGTGCGTTCGATTCTATTTTTTTTTTTGATTATCGGTGTGGCTACTGCTGCGATTTTTATTGTTTTTTTTTCGCGTGTTTCGCGATTCGCAACACTTGACTCACATCGTACACGAATGAATAAAACATTTTGTACGAATTTCGGGCCCAACGATATTTTTGGAATACGTCGGTGAATTGCAAGCAGACGCGTGTGGTTTCAGATGATTCTCAAACAGTGTCTAGTTGTTGTACATCGTTTTTGTGACCATAAATCCATCAAATGGTACCCAGTTCAATCTTTCTTGATTTTTTTTTTCGTTGCTTAATTTCATGTCGTCTTTGTGTTTGAAAATTTCGGGCGAAAATTATTGATATATAAAGGAAGCGTAATTGTAGGGTTTGTGCCGTCCGACGCATATTTTACTTTGATTTAATAGGCGATGATTTTTCTCTCTCTCTCTCTCTCTCTGCCTTTTACCAACAAAAAAAAACGCCCATTTTTTTGTTCTGTTGAAAAATTCCGCATGCATCTTGGCAAATATGAGAGATGTGTTGGGGAGGGGCAAGAAAACCCCGCAATGTGCCCGGGAAGAGAGGCGGCAAAACGCGGAGAATTGGCATGTTGTCGAGACTTTTTTGTTTGCAAATCGAATCATTTTCGATTCGTCCTCAAATAGTTTCCATTGATGGCCATAATGATCATCCCGTCATCATATTCATGATTTTCTTTTTATTCTTTCCCCGAATTTAGAATATTATTTTTTTTGGTCTCCTTTTTGTTTAGACAATATCGGATTTCAGAATTGGCCAAATTTTGAGCAATATTAGTTTCCTTATAAGGAATGGTCCTGCATTTAAAACTATGCCCATTTCATCATTTGATTGCGATCTCTAACTCTCTAAAATAATATTTAGCATAGTTTATTGTCATTCGAACAACAATAGATGACAACAAACAATGACCTATTCAAACATGGCTATCATATTGTGAGAATTATGCTGCTCAATTTTTTTCTTCTTTTTTTCCAAAAAATAATCGATATATGTATAGTTTTAAACAAAAACTATTCGAAATTATGCATGATGATCGATTGGAGGGGAAAAAATCAACTTTTACGATAACGCCGATGTGTTTGACGCGAAACACCTGCAAACATGCGATGAATCATTCTCGATTGCCAAATTTTTTTCTATCGGCTCTCGCTTCTCGGCTTTTTATGGTATACTCGCTGTATATGTCTCTCGGTTGTTGTTTTTTTTTTTCTTGGTAATTAGAATAGTCGCCTATGCGGCAAAGCCGGAGCAATTTGATTTCCTCAAGTGGCCTTTGCAAGTCGACGATTTTTGTTTTACCAACTATTTTGGAATTTGTATGTTTCACATCTGGCTTCTGTGACTCGTCTTTTGCAAACAAATGCATTTCTTCCTTCATTCCTTCCTTTCATGGTATTCCTAGATTGGTTTTGGTTTCCTTCCATCATGAGTCATCGTGAATACGATAAGAGTTGAAGGCATTTTTTTCTCATCGGTTTTTTTTATCAGTAACTTATGCTCAGATTTATGAAGTGAATTTATGGAATTCTTATCATTCCAGGAGTTTTTATTTTCTGATCAATTTCACAACAATAATATTTCGAGTTTGCTCTTCGTCGTTTCTTTTTTTTTATTGGTCGTTTTGTCGCCTCGTGACATCATCTCCTCCAGATGCGTCGATTCAATTCGGAATCACATCTGCAAACCGAGACCACATTTGGTGTGTACGTGCCGTCGCCGATTCTGCGACCCGCCGCCACCACCACCACCGCCACCGAGTGTTCATCATCATCATCGCGTTCGCGCCTCTTCTACGGACACCGACGGGCGGTGTCGACCGACACGAAAGAGGCGGAGCTGCCGGTGCCGAGGCCGCGACGCGTCACGTTCTCGCAGCACGTCGACGAAGAGAAGCCGCGGAGTCGAACGCCCGATTTTACGGCTGAGCAACTACGAAAATTGTGAGAATTTCGACGGCGGTGCAAAACTCGCGAAAAAAAAACAATCATTTTATTGCGTTGATGATTTTTTTTTTGATTTGAGAAAATCTTCGTGTTTCATTTCAGCGTATCTGGCAGCTCGGACACCTCGAATCATCAAAAGAGCCACCATCACGACGATCAAACGCATAGCAATAGTGAGTTGCACAATTTTTGTTGAGAAACGATTTTATAACAATTTTTTTTTGCGCGTTTTAGACATGCTGCCCTCATATTCCAAAAATGGTCTTGAAACGGTGCCGATTTCGATTCAAATCGGCGATTACAATGTTTGGGACTTTTTGGGAGAAGTGATGTCCCTTCGAGCCGCCACTTCACCCGACACGGCTTCGTTCCGACTATCGCCTGCTTACGCTCTTTATCTTGCCCTACGATTTTTCCACAACCACTCGAAGCCATATGTTGTTCAATTCTTTGGAAGGATTGAGACCAACTTTCGACAAATCGCATCGGTTTGCTATTTCATTCCTATTGCTTGTTTTTTTTTCAATAAATGTCAATTTTTAGGATTACTCGTCGCGTGATGACTTGATTTTTTGGCTCGCGAATGCCTCGGAATTGAACAATTTGATTGAAATGGACGGCAAGTTGAAAGCTGCGAGATTCGGCAAACTTGGAATGGAAATTGAGAGAATCTTTCGCAAATTGGTCGGAGTCCTTCAAGGCGCATTGCGACCTGTGACTCGCCCATTGTTGAATACGAGTATCGCTGATCGAGAAGCAACTAGTAGGAATACATTTTTCACAACTTGAGCATCGCCATAAAAATATTGTTTCAAGGTGATTTGATCAATTTCTTGGATGCGTCTCTTCGCGTTATGCGATCTTGCTATCTGAATCCAGCGCTAACTATACAGTTATGCGCTCATATGCTTCACATAATTAATGCCTTCTTGTTTAATAATTTGGTCGCCGTCGGATTTCCGGTAAAGAACGAAAGTCCTATAGGTGTGAATTTGTCGTTTCAGCCGATCCCACTAACCAGCCGGCTTGGCAAATGCCTTCAGAATCGGCTAGACTTGATCTATCGCTATTGCGAAAGAATGGGCGTCGAGCTGCCAGCCGAATGCCATTTGGATCGAACTCGTCAAGCGGCGAATCTGCTCGCGGCGCCGAAAAACGATGTTGCCGCTTTGGGATCGACGTGCTACAAGTTGAATAGCCTACAGGTGAGTGAGGGGGTTTTTTGATGTTGTTGTTGAAAAAGCTGGATAAATAGAAAAAAAAAATTATCGGCGATGTAGGGGGAAGTCGTAAGCAAACATTGACGAGTTTTTGAGCATGAAGCGGTCAACGAGCTCGCGAAAAAAAAACTGGGAATCGAACAAAATTATTATAGGTTGTTCATTTGTTGTCGTCGTTTGAGCACACGAATGGCGAGATTCCTTGCGATGATGATGTGATTGATCGAATTGTGCGTCTTGCCGAGAAGCAGGCTGATCAGCTCACATCAGAAGATGGGCAACGCGTGACTCTCGAGGAGGCCGATGATCTCAATATGCCATTTTTGATACCACAAGATGGCTATTTTATTGGTACAAATCGAATTTTGACGTCTTCTTGATCACGATTCCATTTTTCAGAAGGCCTAAAAAGCGTTCCCGATGGTTTGTGGCAGTATTTGCAACAATTGCAAAATCGCCGACTGTGCCATAGTGTGTCGAAGCATGGAAATGAGGTACCGCCGAATCGTGTTTTTTTTTTGTTGTTCTTTTCCATATTCTCACGGGCGGTCTGAGAACAAACAATTGGCGGGTTTGATTTCAGACAGTGCCGCATATTATGAGCGCCTCGATGACGGAGCCGAAGCAGCGAATCGAGCCGATTGTGCGGAGTGTCTCGCAAACGACACTAACTAGCATTCCAACGACACAATTTGTAAGAATTTCGATAAAATCATTTAATTTGTTCCTGTTTGGTTGGCGAATATTGCGAAAATTTTTAGGGTGACAGTTTTGGCAGCATGTCGGCAGCATCGGAACCAATTGTTCGAGTGACACTTCACAAAAATGGCGGTGGCATTGGATTGAGTATTGTCGCGGCGCAGGTATGCATGAAATTAGCTCAAATCGGGCAAATCTTGATTAGTCGCCAATTTTATTATAATAACGCGCTGGCTTTTGTTTTTGTCCGTTTCATTCCGCTTGAGATTTTCATCTTTTTTTATTGCGTCGAACAAGTTTGTCGTCGCCTCATTATTTTAAGTGTTTAGTTTTTAAATCGCATCCACTTTCCGAATTGATGGTCATTGTCGCGGTTATTTTTAGAGATGAGGTATTCGGCAGCGATGACATTATTTTAGACTTTTCCGTTTTGTGCTTTTTGTTTTGCTAATCATGATTTTCTCATTGAAGGGAGTTGGCGACAGACGTATGGGAATCTATGTGAAGAAGGTTGTCGAAGGAACGCCGGCTGCTCTTGACGGAAGGCTCGAAACCGGAGACCAACTACTTTCTGTCAACGGTCACTCCCTATTGGGAATTTCTCAAGAAGAGTAGGATTGTTGAAGTTGCTCGTCTTTTTTTTAAGAACACAATTTTGTTATAGAGCTGCAAAGCTGATGACGAGCAGCGGGAATGATGTTCATTTCGAGGTTCGCAAACGCGCGGCTCATCGCAATGGGCTGAGTGCTTGGCTGGTTGCCAACACACCGACGGTAAGAAGCCATTGAACCCTGCGATTATCGGAATCCGCTCAATTTCCAGACTTCAACGGCTTCCCATCATTTCGTGCCTCCGTCTCCGTCGATGTCGTCTGCTTCTCATCCGCCACCGCCACCGCCACCTTCGTATTCGCACGCGAGCCGCAATTCGGTTGATGCGCCGCCGCCAATGTACAATGGTCATCATGGAAGGAATGGTTATCAGACCAATTCGGGTATTCAGCTTCTTTCTCTAGATAGCTAATAATTTTATATAATTTATTTAGTGCAACCAAGTCGAAATAGCGCATTTGTCACTCCAATGGCAGTTGGCAGCGCGAACTCTCATTTGCAGCAGCACATGCAAATGCACAACATGGCTCACCAGAACGCCACGGACTCGACGAGACATTATCGATCGAGCTCTGCATCGGATTTGATTCAGAATGATGTAATGTTGAGCGCTTTTTTTCCCGATTTTAAAATTGGAATAATTCTAGGCGAACGCTTCCTTCTCGCAATCGTCGCTGAACAGCGCTCGCAGCAGTGTGTTCGATAAGCTTCCGGCTCATTATCGGCATTCGGCACGACCAACCGTCATCCAGCCAGCGAGGCCTGGAGCACAATCGCCGTCAGCACTCCGACGAGGCGCTCAATCACCATCGAATTTGTATCGACCTACATCGGCTTCGAACTTGTTCGCGCCTCCGCGACAAGCCACTGCTCTTGCCGGATATTCAAGCACAGCCGCTCGAGAGAGCACACAGGATCTTCATAGAGCGGTGAGTAGAGTGCGTCGATTTTGGGATCCGACTAATCACGTTTTTTCTCTTTTTTCCTAACACGCAAGCGTTTTCTTCGGGTTTCAGCTGAATGATCTTGACTTGAACTCGCCGTTGGCTCGATCCACTCCAAATGAGGAAGACTATCATCGGCACCGCATTTCGAGCAACTATCATCAACTTCCAGTGGTCCATTCAAGACCATCGAGCGTGTATGGCTATCAGAGCCAAATATCGCCGTCGACATCGTCGATAACTGCGAATGGCGTGTTCAAACCTACTACTAACCTGAGTGGAGTGTCAACCTCACCCCGAGTGAACGTCAACTCATCGAGAGTCTATTCATCGCCTCCTCAGGAGCCGGCGGTTGTTCGACCGGTCGAATTGAATATGCCGACGACGAAATCAACTTCAGTTCCGCATATCAAAGGCGCTGTACCGACGGCGATCACTCAGGTGCGAAATTGTTCATTGCCTACTTTGGTTACCTTGAATCGTTCAGGCTCTTCAACTACAGCAATCGAACGGAGCTCCATTGCGACAGATTCGGCCGCCGTCTGGTTTGCGAGACAAACTTTTGGACGCCGATGTGCGTCAATTGGAGAAAACGAACATTGCGCTGATGAGCTATGAAGCTGTGAATGAGGAGCTCGACAGGCTCGACATGAAGGGACATAATATGACGGAAGAGGAGACTCGCAGGTATCGAGAATTGCTCAACGTTGCTGCTGAGCAGAGTCGCGCGCGAAGGCTTCTCGCCGATGTCCGACCGCCGGCTCATATTGAGCGAAACATTCCGGTGGTGGTGCAGAAGACGCCCGAGCCGGCGAAGACGCCTCGCACAGAGACAGTGATTGATGATGTGCCGAACTCGAGTTCGAGCATCGAGAATGTGTCGCCGGTGTCGCAGCAGGAATCGAAGCGTGTCCAATTCATTGATGACTTGTCAGCTGCGGACGTTCCGGTGTTGGACTCGCCTGGGGTAATAATTGTTTTTTTTTTAAATCAATCAGAAATGCAACAAAAAAAACAATGAATATCGGCGTTTAGATTGTTGGCACAAATGAGATCTACCGTGATCCGAGACAACGGCGTCTGAATGAGATACAGCAACGTGCGAATAACACCGGCTCGGATGGTGCGAACTTGGGATTCCGCGACAAGCAACGCCTCTTCGCACGTCAACTTGGTGAAGAGGGCACGCCACGGCAGCGCATCGACGTTAGCAGTGCGCAGCGTCAGATTGAGTCCGAGACGAGCCAAAATTAGCCATAATAATATTAATAATATTCTTTTATTACTTTTATTAAAACATCTCGCTCACTAATCGGTTATTACAATTATTGCTATTTTTTTCTTATTTCATCATCATTATTTCTATCATTGCCAATTTTCATTTGCACAAAAATGTTTTGCTTCGTGTATGATTGTTTTTTGCGCATCATGTACTATTCTTTCTGAAGATTTTCACTATAAAATTTATATTTTAGCCTATGAAGGAACACATTGCAAATATTTTGCAATTTTAAAAGTAGCGGTTGTTCGTTGGAGCGCGTTTAAAACGTTTCGACGAGGGATTTTGAATTTTATTTCCGTTTTTAGACTAACGCAAAATTGAACAAAAACGAACTTTTTAAATGCATTATTGAGAGTTTTCCAAAATGCTGCGATTTTCCTGATTTTTGTTTGATTTTCACCTTGTTAGAATCTGAAGCTTTTCGATAAACCAATATATCAATTATTTATTAATTTCAAATAATAATAAAAAATATAAAGCTATAAATACCGCTATAATTAAAAAAAAAAGAAGTACGAAAGGAATATTTAAAAAAACTAGTCGATTAAATTTTTAAGTAGATCTTATTTTGTGTTGTAAAAAGTTGCGAAAATTTCGTTAGCCCTGAATGTCATATTTTGTCGATATTGCATAACCATGTATTTATTCTTATTAGATAATGTCGAATATTGCAACGACTGAGCAGAGTGCGCAATTCGGTGCAACAGGAAAACGACTCGATTATATAACATGGAGGCAGTTTCATATGTTCATGGCAAAGGTTCGAATCGGCAGATTTCGAGATTTTCAAAAAATTTTGAAAAAATTTAGGCTGCTACACAAAGGTGTCCTGATCAATCAAATAAATCGGCGTGTTTTTTAGTAGACAATGAGCACTTTATGGTCGGCTCGGGTTATCAAGGAGGTTTGCTTTTTTTTACAATAAATTTAAGCTTCAAACAGTAGAATAAGATTGACAAATTCTTTCTCTGAAAAATATGGGATTCAGAATCGGTGGCCGCGAGACTCGGCTCTAAAAAATTAACGCGCCTTTTCTATGAAAAATACTCAGGAAATCGTGTCGAAGAAACAGCACTGAAAATAAAAGTCTTCGTCTCTCAATATCACACGCTCTCTCTCTCTCTCTCTCTCTCTCTCTCTAAACTGCCAAAATAGGCGATTCACCTCTATTCCCCCCGAACGATTTTGCTTTTTGAAATTTGAAAATTCGTCGAATCATAGCTAAAAAATGCGGAGGTTTTTGTGCCTTATTCGGAATAGAACTCTCAATAGAGCGCACTTGCATCTTTTTCCTTTTTGTTTTCAATGTGTCATATTCATCGCGTAGAAAATTGAACTTTTTTAGTTTAAACTATTCTTTATAATTTTTTGTTGCGTCCGAAATTATTTTCGGCGAAGATTCTTGAGAAAAAAACTTGAAAAATTCTCGAATATCATCTCAGCAAATCGTGCCGTAGAAACGGCGGTGAATAGCGAGTAAAACGGCGGCAGATGATCGGTGAAGAAAACAGACACTTTCGTTCCTCCAACTTTCCACCGCCGTTTCTTCGAAATTGCACGCGTACGCGCGGAGTGTCGTACTGCCTTCGTTTTAGTACTTTCAAACTATTGTCATATTTCACCACGTTTATTGTTTTTTTGAAAGTACTCGCGAAAAACTGGAATAATTTATTACAAAAAAAATTATTTAGTCATTTGGCTGCAAAAAATTAAATTTGTCCTCCGTGTGATGCCACTTTCTGTGATAACGTTGAAATTGTAGACGAATTCGTAATTCTATAATTCCTCGAAAATTCAATATCACTACTTAACTGTAAAGTCGAATCCGAACTGAAGAAATTCAAGTTTAAGAGATTTACATTAAGAATTTACCTCTTTTCGGTTGTGAAATAACTGTCCGCTATAAACTTTTTCGCCATATCCGCAATCGATAGTTGATTAGTCATTAACGATAAGTAGCAGTGCGTTTTTTCAAAACTTGCAGTTGAAGTTGTTGAACAATTGCCGTATCTACGAATCAACTCCACACAGTGATCAAAAATCAGCTGGAATTGCTACCATTCTTCTGTTTTAAACAAGTCAATTTTCTTACATGCATTTTAAGCGTATAGAATTCGCTATTTTCATGTCCAATATATCCTTTTATGAAATTCGAAAGTTGTTGGATTGCGTAGAGATGAGCTTCGGTCCTTGCCATATATAGCAAGATGTTAAATATGAACAAGCAAGCCAAAAACGTGGTTTCCATGATGCGAGGAAACTTAAATGTCATTGATAACGCAGCAAGAGTAAACTGAACTGACTGAAAAATATAATCAAATGTCCCAACTTTAAAATTGCTCACTTTTCTTATCTCTGAACCGGTCGCACGCGAGAATCTTTCTGGGCTAGCAAACCTGCAGGGCGTTTCCGGTGGATCTATGGTATTAATCAGAGAACATGAAAGTGCCTGAACCGCCCTAGTCGAAATTTTCAACCGAGGCAAATTTGAACCGCGCCCAAAAATTTGTTCCAATAAATTTTTCAAAAACCCTTCGGAAAGGTAATGAAGTTCATCGAACGGTTGATTTGATGGGCTGGCAAGAATTGACAGAATGTCTAACAATTCATATTTTAGATGTAGGTTTGAAGGGAATTGCTTACTTAATTTTCCGCTAGCTCTCATCATATTCATTACATCATTCGCAGTTCTTGAAGGGTCGGAAAAAATGTCGGAAAAAAAGAAACCGCTTGCCGACCCGATTTCGAACCAATGATCGTGCAAAGTGTGCATCCCTGTGTACTTGCCCAACTCGGAAGACCACAGATCTGACACATGCCCTATATCGTAATGTTTCATTATGTACCAAGACAAGCTTGCCTTGAGATCCAAAAATGATACAGCTGGCTCGACCATGACGGAATATTTGACCCCTTCGTATTGTATAAGCAGTGGTGAAGTTCTAAGAAATTCTACTTCGTGCATTAATCTAAAATAAGCATACAATTATATATATAGCCGCGAATTTTTCATTACCTGAATGTGATGGTGATATTCATGCGTTTTGACGATTATTACAAGTTTTTTATTATCTACAGTTTCTTCTTCAATAACATCATTGACGTTTTCAACAGGTAAAAGACGAACTCCATAGCCCCGAATTCGCGCGTCTACAAAATTTTTTTTCCTTTATGCTGATCACAGATATACCATTCTCTTCTTTCGTCAATCTACTCCTTTTCATGTTGAAACGAACGTTCTGGAAAAACCATTCTCATCAAATCAAACTTTCAAATTTAAAAAGAATGTAGTATTAATTATATTAAATCTTAAAACCAATAGAAGGTTTTAAAACAATCAATACATTATAATTAATTAATTACAAATTAAAAAATTCATAAAATTAATTTAAATAAATCTTCATTTTGAAATTTAATTAAAACTTTAAATGAAATTTAAATAAAATCGAAAATTAATTTAAATTAATTTTCGTTTTTTTTAGAAGGTTGTACGACACTACTAATATTACACATAGCCCACGGTTTAGCGCGTTTAGTAAACCATCGTTCCACCGCCGTTTCACCGAAACTCGCTATTCACCGCCGTTTCTACGGCGCGATTTGCTGAGATCTTCGAGAAAACTGTGAACACACAATGACGGAAATTTGCAGACGACACCAAACTTGACGCGATTTTCCGTTTTTTTTTTTATTAAGAAAATGTAAAACTACTCCGGAATAGAGCCGTTTTTTAATACCATCGCGTCGTAAAAACGGCGAGAAATAGTTTTTCGGGGACAGTTTGTTTTTAACGAAACTATCTCGCCGTTTTTAGGGCACGAATTGTTGATGAGATGATTTCCAAGTATTTCTATTTCTATCCATTTGAAAAATTTCAGAGAAATCTTCAAACGGCATCGAAATCTGCCATCCCGAGCTGCTCGCAATTATGTCGAAAGAGGTCGATTCGCTGCAACACTGCACACTTTACACGACGAAACTGCGGAATTGCAAAAGATGCTTGAATGCGATAATCGAGTCGAAGCTTGCAAAAATCGTTTATTTAAATTGTGAAGATGGCGCTGTTCTACAATTATTGCGGGAATCGAGCGTTGAATGTGAATTGTATGTGGAAACTCGCGAGATTCGAATTGAAGTTTGAAAAATAAATATGAAAAAAAGAAGCGAAATATAATTGGCGTTCTATCGAGTGGCTTGTTCGCTCGACATCGATCTAGTGTGCGAATGAGAATCCGACTGGCTTATTCCCGGGTAGGGCGGTGGGCACGGAGTGACAAACGTTGATAATGCTGAAATTTTTGTTTTCAAGAAGATAACCTGGGTGAGGAAACTTACCAGGCGGATGTTCAGGAAAATGAGCAACCGGCGCCTGAAATCCTTGATAGTATCCTTGAGTAAAACAAGTTTCGGGCGCACTAGAAATCTGGTGAATTATGATGCTAGTCGGACTGTATTCCCAATTTTTCGTCCTCGCCGCTGAATGAGGGCAATATTTAAGCGAGCACTTTGCAATGCTTCTTTTTTTTCAATTATACCCATTTCGACAGCGACGGCCAACGCGCGCCCAAATTCAATGCATCCGCCATTCGGGAACGATAATTTGAAGTATACGGCGGTGTCGAAATTGCCATCGGGCAATGGTTCAATGATTCCCTAAAATTGGTCGTCAATGCAGAGAAAAAAAAAGTTTGAGAAAATTTCAATGCAGAAGTAAAGAAAAATAGTCTTAATCATGGCACGGCTCGCCGCAACTCAAGGGCGGCCTAGAAAAATTGTCCAAAAAATTAGGTTCGGTCATGGATTAGTTAATTTAATTAAGTAGAACTAAATGAATACGTATATATTGGGTGTTTTAAGGATTTCAAAAACCAGATATAAAAATAAAAGCCACAAGAAATAAAAGAAAATCGAGACAAAGCATTACATATTATTCTAAAAATTTGCCTATGTGCCGCAATTGCAGATTTTGACAGAATTTGTATGCCGCACTTGCATTTTTTTTAATTTTTTGAAAGTGTCGACCAATTTTTCTAGACCGCACATAATTTGCGGCGAGCCGTGATGGTACCACTCTGGTAACTCAAAACCAAGCGGATCCGACAAAATTCGACCTCCGGATCAACACGATCCGACTGTTAATTTTGCCGATTAAATTGTAGCATTGTTAGATCCGATTGGTTTTTGGATATTTTCGAATTCGATTTGATCCGATTCGAAATTTCTTGCATCCGATTGGTAACATTTCTTTTTTGTTTTTTAAGATTGGTCCAATTCTGTTCAGATTGGTTTTGAGTTACCAAAAATCGCTATGCAGATTGCAGAAAAAATACCCCCAAGAACCCACGTCCAGATTTTTCGAATCCTACCGTACCACTGTTTTTTTAAATTAAATCACTGCAATAATCATAAAATTCCAATCCTCTATTCACTATAGAACAAAACACAGCCGTAACCGAAAAACAAAATAATTTTTGTCGGTCTCGCGTGACTGCGGAAAATTGGCAAAATTCCAAAAAAAGTGTAAATAAGGGCTTTTTTTAGAAATCTATATAGAATTTCTTGGGGTTCCTGAGTTTTTTTTTTGCGAAATCTGCTTAGTACCATCAGATTTAGATTTGAGATTTTCAACCAATGATATACTTGAACATTAATTGGGAAGAGCAATGGCTGTTCGAGTGTCACATTCTTCATGGAAACGAACGGCATCGAGAAGGATATCAACAAATCCAGCATATTCTTATTTTTGAAAATTATCTGGAAATTGCGATAGCTTGACACAAAAAAATTTTTTATTTCAAATACCCTATGCGTTGTTAAATACAAAACCCCTTTTTTGGTTTTCTTAAAGCATGGATCTTTCGTCTTTTTAAACTTTAAGTGCACATTTGAGCAATACATCAAAATTCTGAAACATTTAATCAATAGTTCGATGAAAAAAAATGAAATGAATTCACCGTTCGCCGCTGAACAGAATGACGCCGTTGCAATTCGGGGTGTGCGATGAGTTTAGAGACATTTTCGAATCAAATATTTAGCGAATAAACATTACAAAAAATTGACTCAACGAATTTTTTTTTTCGAAAATTGCTATTCTAAGGCAAGAATTCAAAATAAATTTGATTCAATTAATATAAGTCACGCGAAAAAAAAATGGCCGAATTTATTTCCAAATTATAATACATAATTATTTTTGAATTTCTTCGTGTTTCATCGCAGATTTCTCATTTAGAAGCGGTGCGGCACTTCTGAAAATTTCAGATGTTCAATGTTGATTGCAGACGTTTACTGAAGCGACTTCCGCAAATCGATTTTCAACATTTCCGACTCGTTGAATTCAAGTCGCGCGCTTCGAGACTTTTTCTTCGTCGCCAATGGTAGTTTCACGTTGAATCCGAGTTTGACGAGCACCCAATTAGCAGCGCTAACACACCAATTATAGCAAGTGCGCATCATCTATTGGAATGATTTTCGAATGAATTGGTCCGACATTTTAATCAACCCCCGATTTCTTTTTCGCATATTTCCTCGCCAAATAGGTTTTTCGGCGGATTTCGTCGAATTCTCGATTGGTCTCCAATTGTTGCGAGTCCAAATGGTCCAAATTTTCTCGGACCCTCATGAGAAACTAATAATTACATTTTTTTTCAAGATATATTTCCATAATTACCTTTTGAAAATGAGTATTCACCATATCAAGCCGACTATTTGCACTAACCATGCGAGGGGTGATCTTCTGAATTCGGAATTTGATCGCATCATTCGTTTCCTAATCCAAATCGCTTCAATAAACCCTCAATTTTGTCGAGTTTACCGTAATACATGTTGCCAATCGATTCAACGCCACTTCCAGCTTCTCCTTGCACTCATTCCTCTGGCGAAGAAGATTCTCAAACGCTTTCCGATCGGTTAATTCCTTTTTTGCTGAAATTGATTGAACAAAACCAGCGAGTTTTTCGGCATTATTACCCATTTATTTTTATTATCAGACTAACGTGTTTCTAAAACTCTTTTTGATAGAAATTAGTAGGAATCAACAATTTTTTTTGACGCGCAATTAAACAATGGTTTTTGTTGTTAGTTAACAGTGGCGGATTCTTCGATTTTCTGCTGGATCGGCGATGGAAGCATGTCGGCTTTTTTGAGAAGTGAGACGATGTCAATCGGTCGATTATCAGTGAAATATGTCAGCTGGATGAGTTCTTCATTTGTTTTTGGAATCTAGAAAAATGGAAATACTCGATTGAATACTCGAATTTCTTATTACATTTTTGCTCAAATAGGTCCACAGAGCCAGTGTTTGAAGGTAGTATGGATGCTCCAATCCGAAGCAAACTTCGAAAATGTTCATTGCATCGAATGCATATACAGTAGCCTAGAATAATCAAGAATAATTCAAACGAAAAGAAATTGGAGGATACCTTTTCTCTTTCGTCATTCTCTATTAAAGTCTTGATCATATGCAACAACTGGAATCCAGAATGTCGATCGGCTTTTGGAAGGCACATTCGATAATTGTTGTAGATTTGCTCGTGCATCGTCGACATCGCTTCCATCGTCAGGGAGCCCGTCACACTGAAATGGGCGGTTCGAAGGCGGGTGACGTAGATATTGCGACGATGGAGTATCTTCTGAGCTTCATTCAAATATTTGGAAATCTGAAAAATTGAGAATAAAAAATTAAGGATTGAGTTTTTCTTGGTTGGATAATGTGTGGAAAAGTGGCGGGACTGTTTTGGGATTTGAGGTATCAAAAAAAAAACAAAATTCGATGTGGGAGATGCCTGAAATAAAATGTATTCATTTTTCTCGGGTAATCGAGCGGTGTGCAAAGGACAATTTGTGATTTGCGGGTAATTTTCAATGAAACGAAACAAACCTTGGAAGATCTACCGTTCTGAATATTTATGAATGATTCAATTTGGTCAAATGATTTCGACTCGAAGCTTAAATTAGAGAACTCACGATTTCCGATGGGCATTCTGGATCAAATCGGTCCGGAACGGTCTTCATGAAATCTTGAGCCTCTTTCACATAAGACTCCGGACACAGCGTTCCGCATTTGCGGCATTCAATGTTCATCGGCTCCTCGTCTTCGCGGGTAATCTGCAACTCAAATGCCGATTGGGCACCATGAGATGAACGCTTACAATTGGCTCATCACAAGATGAGTTCATGCATCGAATCGATGTCAGAATATCATCTTCGGGATCCATACACCTCACACATTCGCAATCAAAGTACCATCGTGATTTCAAATCCCTCCTTCTAGCATATTTGCTGCGGCCAATGTCGATATAAGAAATGAATGCTTGCTCAAGATTGTCAGTGTCAATTCCTGGGAGGAGTGGTCTCAAACAGATGCTGAAATTCGACTAGAATAAATCCTAATTGGATGATTTCGATACCGATAGCCATCGAAGACCATTGAGCATGTCGGCCGGCAGGAATGATTGTGCCAGGAGAGCGCTGAAACGATTCATTCAAATTTCTTCCACTGATCGATATTGCCCATACCAAGATCCAAAGTCATTCCGATATCGGTTCCAGCGTTGGTATGAATACTCGCCGAGTTGATTGAAGTTCGACAGAAGACGTCGAACATCTCTTCTTTGCTGATCATCTCGTCTTTTCGGAACGCCTTCATTTTCTCATAAATCTTTTCGAAATGCTTCATTTTCCCTTCGGTTTGCCTTCAATATCATCTATTCTATTTCTGAATACACTCATATCTCCTACTTAATTTCATCTTGATGTCCTAAAAGACTGTCAAATGTTCGCGCTTGTTCCCAATTCCCGCGATCGCCATTCTTTTTAATATATTGAATGCGATCGATAATTTTGGAAAGGAATAAAACCTCGCTGAGGGGCAGATTGGGGAAAATCTGAAACAAGCAAAAGTTGAAAAAAAAACAAAATAATGGATGAAGCTAACAGCTTTCAATCGCCGACATTCTGGTTTGTGCACCAGCCAGGCGGCTGATTGGCATTCCTTGCTGCAGTATTTCGTGAAGTTACATCTGCAAAAATTCAAACTCAATAAGCTGTAGATATATGAAAATCCGACCGTCGAAATGAAAAGTTTCACAAAGAAAATTGAATTTCTCAATAAATGTTTATGAGAAAAAAAAAAAGAAAAATTGAGACAATTTCAATGCAGAAAAATAAGAAAAATAATTATTGCTAACTTTTAACCCTAGTTCTGAAAATTTGCGTCTAATTCGGTGTTTGACGCACATCGAATTAAACGCACATTTGCACATTTCGAAATTTTCGTTCTATCAGGTAGAGTTGGGCGGAATTCCACAAATTTTTCCTACTCCGCATTGAGGGGCGAAAAGGAATTTCATTTTAAACATATGCGGACATTTTCCGGGATATCACACAATTTCCTGCTTGGTGCTGCGCGAAATCAGCTGTGGCGGCAATTCAAACAACGCTCAATAGGTGTCTCTGTTTTTTTTTCTTTTGAAAAAAAAATGCATTCCACCGTAAATAAAATAAAGTTTAAAAAAAAATTAAGCAAAAAAAGAAAATGCAGTATTACCCCGAGCATTTCAAAAGCTTTCCTCCCGGCATCGGCGGCCTCATGCATTGTGCGCAGAACTGATCAACCTTTGTGTTGTAAACTTGAGTGGCAAACGGGTTCTCATAAATCTACAAGCTTTCGTCAGAGATTCTGCGATTCGTTCAACGATTACCTTGACTTTTGCGTGAATCGATGCAATCTCATCTTCAACGACTGCCGGCGGAGCATCGTCCGGCTCGACGGCGGCATTCCCATTTTGCGTCGTCTCGTTTCGCGCTCCATTCGCCGGTGTCCCATTGGTTTGTTGTTTCGCCGCACCCGATTTCGACTTTTTGCCCATTTTTCGCGTTTTCTTTTTCTGTTTGGTTCTGACTGCAAAATCGTACTCGAATCAATTTGAATAGAAAATAATAAAAATGCCGATTTCGAGGTGCAGGAGGAGAAGGGCGGAAAAAGAGAAGAGACGTCGAGTGTGATCATCGCAAATATTACACTGAAATCCGTGTCCCGCGAACTCCGCGACGGCGAGATAGCGCGCGAAACGAGGATGGTCGGATATTTGAACACTCATTTTGTTAGCTCAATGCGCCTTTAAGAGGCCGAATATTTTAAGCATCTGAGACATTACTAATATTTTCAAACAATTGAAACATTCAAAAATTTGGCATCCATTTGCCACCAAATCAAGAAACTGTTGCAATTTTCTTTGTTTGGTATCATCAGTTAGGCCACGCCCACAATCAAACAAATAGCGAAAACTGATTCGATTGGGTATCAGAATCAAGAAAACAAACGACCGTGTGTTTCCTGATACGTTTCGTATCAAACAAGGAAGTCAATTGCAAAACGTTCATGAACTTGGTGTTGTTGAATTCTGAAGGAAGTTTTTCGCTTCTGATGAGACTAAAATAATAAATAATAAAGGAGGCAATAAAAAAAATCAGTTTGGAAAACGTTACATCATGCTTGATATCGAAATTTGGGAATTGTGCAGGTTCCAATAAAAATTAGTTTTAAAACATATATTGTTAAAGTCGCTTGACAGCGGAAAATTGGCTGAATTCCTTAAAAATTAATCGAGAGGTCTCCGTGTGCGCCTTTAACCCATCTTTTTACTTCGACCCGTAAATCTACACTTTTAGTTTTGCGGCAAGACCAAACCGGAACATGGAAGATTGTGCACAATTTTTTCTTTTCTGTACAATTTCAAATTGTCGTTCGCATAAATTATAAATATGAAAAATAAGTTTGCTATAGTTTTTTTTTTTCAATAAACCAAATTTAAACGCATTTCTCTAATTTTCAATAATTTCCACAAAATTGCACGATTTTATGAAATTTCCAATATATTTTTCATTATTTCAGGAGATATCATTTTTTAATTTTTGATCCTGTTTTATTGTTGGCGTCAAACAACCAAAAGATGGCTTTAAATTTACAACTTTAAATTGAGGCGCTGACTAAATATTAATTGCGCGTACGCTAAAATGCAAAGTACGCAAACACGTTTTTTTCTTTGCCTCGAGACAGCTGACAATATTTTTTTTATTTTCATAAAGTCGTTCGACGCCGCCAAAATCACCTCTTCGAATTTCAATATTCATTAGCAATTTCAACCCTTTAAAACAATTTTTTCATTCCGGAATTTACGCTAAAAAAAATTCGATTAACACGGAACTAGAGTGAACAAAACGGATTGTTTGTGATGGCAACTGGTCAAGTTTCGATCATCGAAATGATATGAATCGAAACAATTGCAAAGTGTAAACTGTATTCGAAGAAGCTGAAACTGTTCTAGCTTCCTCGATATATCTGAGTGCAATCTTTTCATCAAAAATTTTTAAAACAATCGAATTGAGCAAATAGGTTTAATAATTCTGATTTTTTTGGAAAATTTTCGGGAAATTCCCCGCCACAAAAAAAATCTGGGAAACTTGGGTTGTTGTTTGATTTTTTAGCAGCTTCAGTTAATTTTTTTTTCGAAAAATTTGCCATTAAACACCAATATTATTGGAATCGAATGCCAAAAAAATGATCGATACCCAATCCTAAATTTTGAAATTGATTTTCAGTTGAAATCGCAAAGCAAAATACGCGTCATTCCGGATTTCATTCCCATCACCCACAATTAAAATACAACAATTTATACAAATACGAACACCAATAATCGAGTTGAATTGATTTATTCTTGGCGAGTATACAATTGAAACAAAGAAATCGCAGTAATATGTGTACCAAGTACAGAAAGATTCAACAAATCAAGATTAACATGAAGATGAAAATGTAAGAAGAGAACAATCAATTAAAATTTTTTGCTTTGCTCAATTTTAATTATTATCAATTTAGTAGAATTTTTTAAATTTTCTATTTATTCAAAAGAGAGATACAAAGAGAAAGAGAAATGAAAAGAAAAACGACAAATCAAAGTTGAGAGAAACAAAAAATAAGAGAAACACAAAAAACCGTAATTGTTACCAGTTTGCCACTAAATTCACAGTAAGACAATCCGATTAAAACTGCGGTTGTTGTGGACGAGCCATTTGCGAGAGCATCGCATCGCCGGCTCGCTCGACCTGAACGAACCAGAGACGCGGACAAACTACACGGCCATCGGAATCGAACAAGCAATGCCAATTCCACGGACCATCAACTGGGTACATGGGCTCAGCGACTGACACACGCTGGCACATTTCTACGTAAGATCCCCAGCAATAGTCGCAACTTTTTTTCGGCGCCTGAAAATCACTCATTGAAACCAATTGATGGCCAACACTCGAATCCCTACCTGTCTCGGTTGCTGGTTCTGTTGCTGCTGTTGCTGTTGGGCACGAGCCTGGTTCGCGTAAGCAGCTACATGGTTCAGACGACTCGTAGAAGGCACCTCTCTTGAATCGAACACCATAGACTGAAGCGACAAGAAAATAAACAAAGAATAATAAGAAGCCAACTACATCTCCGAATGGAGCTTTCGGATACATCGATCCGTAAAGTGTTTTCCCTTGAATCTGAATGGTATTCTGCTGTTGAAGCAGTTGTTGTGGTTTCAGCCTAATTTGCTGTTGTTGTTGCTGATATTGTTGTTGTTGAAGATGCTGCTGCTGTTGGGCCATGTAGTAGGAACTCTTGGCGTCGTTTCTCAAGAAAATGTCGAGGTCAACTTCGACGGCTGGATCCTCGAGATCCTCGAAGCGCTTCTTGTCTAACGATCCCATGGAGATTCCCGACATGAGCGTCTCCGATGAGGAGCTTGACACTCCCGACGAGGCGCGATTCGACGTTGGCGTCGCTTTCGGCGTGTAGAGTCCGCTGTAGCCCGACATTCGGAACGCATTCGATTCCTGAGTTGAATGGTATTGCTGCGCCGGCTTCATTTCTCGTGATCGCGGAACTCGCACTGACAATTGACGATTTTCCTTCTCAATGAAGGCAAGATTCTGAACGGATGATTGAAAGGATTTCGAGAAAACGAAAAGCGTCTTACGTGTTTGGCAAAGTCCTTGGTGGGTTTCGGTGAAGTCGGACAGTTGGTGATCGGCACAGAAAACAACGATGGTATCTGTGAACGCAATGGGAGCATCTGCTTCGGGACTTCCCGCTGCGCTTGAATATGAGAGTGGTGCAACTTTTTGGTTTTCGTCGAACGTGGACCGGTGTACTGAAATCGCGAATTAATTATTTTTTCGGTTGAGAAAAACGTGAGAAGAAACCAAAAAAAATGTGGCAAAAGTTTTTTATCCAAATATTGATAGAAATGGCGGGAGACAGCGGGGTCAAATGTCAAAGACATAGATCAAAACGACATACCATAACCATATTGAGCTCAGAATCATTGTCGCTGTCGACGGAATCGCAGCGAAAATATGAATTGCCTCTAACCATTTGGTTTGGGATTTCGAGTTTGAGAGAATGAAACATGTTGATGCGACATTTCGCTCTTTTATACAATAATGAGCGTGGGAAAATCGACTTTCCCACGGTCTGCTGCCTGTGGGAAAATCGAAATTATTCGCAACAATTCGCAATGGAGCGCGTTTGCATTTTTGCTCCTTTATTTTTCAATTTCTTGCTAATATTTAATAAAAATCACTAATTATTAGCTAAAATGATGGCTCTAACTCACATTTATCTTAAAAATTGTGTACATCAGAAAATAAGAAACTCAATTTATTTTTATTATTTCCCCAACATCGATTGTTTATAAAGTTGTCCACTTCTGTCTGATAGTGCAGTGGCAATATTAAAAAAAACGTGTCATAAAACAAACACAACGTTTCTCTTTTTTTATAATCAAAATCTTTTTAATATCATTTTCGCGCTTGAGAAAATGTTTTTCAATATTTTTTTGAGGAATATTTTAATATTGCAGGGAAATCGCGCACGCGAAGACGCATCGTCTATTTGCTCAGGTGTGAATCTTTTTTTTTCGCAGATTTTAATAAAAATGGAGACTTCGCAAATGAAGAAACGCGCAACAGATATTCGGAATGTATCAGTTTTCTTATCTTCTACCTGCTTTCTTGGCTATATATCACAAGGTCATCTAACTGCGAGCGAATCGGATAATGCGCGAAATCGGTGATTCATGGGAGAGAAACGGACACAATTTTGGAAAACACACACCAAATTCGGCGACTAATGAGAAGATTGCAATATTTCGATAGAACGATTGTCACGAAAAAAAAAATTTGTGGGCATTCGCAAATAAATTTTGCGACTATCCATCAAACGGTCATTAAAACATTTCGTTTATGGGTAGTAGGAAAAACCGGAAACTTTTATTTGAAAACGGCATCTCATTGAAAAAAATTGTTAAAAGGGCAATTTTTCAGCAAAAAAAAAACGACAAAACCACCTAAATATGAACTGGTTCAATTGTTGAATAAAATTTACGTAGATGAAAAATATGAAATGTGAATGCGTATAGTAAGTAGGAATATGACTAAATAGTCACAGAATTGGCACCTATGCACTAATTCTCTATTTCACCTGCTATGTGTGAAACCCTGCATATTAGCAATTATCGAAATTATGCATAGAGATAAAATTATTATGATTAATTGGATAAAAAGTAAAAATAGGAATATTGAGCTCGTAGACGTTCTTTTCGGAAAGAAACATTTCATCTGTGTGGAATTGTCTCCTCATATGCAAATTTTTTGTGAATTGATTTTTAAGGGAAAAAAAAGACGTGAGAAAATTGTTTTTGTCTGACAAAATATTTCAGGGGGGTTGTGAATATTATAATTGCTTCTCAAAATTGGTCCCCAAATATGGTTACGACACGAATTATTATTGATAAGGCTTGGAAATGAATGGTAATTAAGAACGTGTGAGAAGAATGGAGGTAGGAATCGAAGGCAAATGGGTCATCAGCAAATAAGGCGAGCGAGAAAGCGCGACGAAGAGAACGACAAACGCGAATGAGTCACTCGGGCAGCCAGGAACGGTCAGCGTAGTTCTTTTTTGTGGTGCCTTCGGCCTGGCGAGCCACACCATCACCACCATTCCACCATCATCACATTGCGAGGGTGTGTGGCGCGCGGAGAGACGCAGCGAATTCGGAACGGTCAAGATAGAGATAGAGAGAGACGCGTCGGCTGAAGAGAAACGCGCTCGCGTGCGCGAAATCTCTCCGCGTCTCCATGTGCCCCGCCTTCGTCGCCGCGTGAACCTCGGCACAGTAATAATAGAGGCCGGACAATGTTGCTTGATAAAGTGTCGAATGTGTGAGATTCATTGTCGAGATTAGAGGATTATTTGGACGATGTCGGCGTTTTTTCCCAGCAAATTGTTTCGGCGCGCACTTCAAATGTGCGGAGGATTGTATTTCGGGAGGTGCCCCCCAACGAATACATTAATCTCAATTGAAATTTCGACAAGATTTCGCAAAAATTTATAGTCAACGACTGCTATTTGCGGGTAGATTTACGCGAATGCGTTTTTCTCTTGGTCTCGAACAGACTAACTGATTATTTTGCTTTTTTTTGGGTTGGTTAGATAATTATTAAATTGAATGATGTTGGAATTTCAAGGAAATGCCAGACTCATCAAGAAAAAATTAACCGATCAAGTGAAATTTAAGTGTTCAAGCGAGGCGTACTCGTAAAACGACCCGCATCAGACGTCGGACGCTGACTATATGGATGCTAAATGGAAATTTTTCGGCGAAATTCTCACCTCACCCCCAAATTTAGAATGTTTACATTATGCAGCTTTTTTTTAAAGCACGGTTGGTTAAATTTTCAACAATACGAATTTTTTTACGATTTGAGTTTTTATTGATTCTTCGAACGCGTTTTACCAAAATGTATCCCGATTTTTATGATAATTTTCTTTACATATTGCCTGTTTTGGCTTTATTGGAGCATTTTCTGAAAATTTAGAACGTCTAGAAGGATTTTCGGCGTCAAATGACTGAAAAGAGGCGGGGCCTTCAATTTCGCGAAATTAGTTTGAGATTTCAATTAATCATTGACCGAATATTTAATGCGCGTAGACTATAATGCAATGTACGCAATTTCGCGTACTTCTCGCTGCCTTGAGACGCATTGGCACATAGCCAATATTTTTTCAGTCATTTGACGCAGAAAATACATAGTTATTCGTGAAAAATAACCCTTTTCCAAAAATTTCCAAACGGCCCTAAATCTTCAAATATTTAGTTGTCACAAATTTTCAATGAGTCAAAATTGATAAAATTATAATGTGAATGAAAACCAAAATGAAAAGATGGATGAAATGAAACTAAACCGCATTTTAACCATATTTGGGAGCGAACTTCTCATTGAAAAATGATGCTGCTAATTTGAAATTCCATTGGAAACGAAAAATGATGAAAAGTTGCAAAGAGCATTCTGAAAATAATCTTTGACGTTTCGTTTAGTTAAAAATTCATGAATTTTTTCTCATTTGCACATTTGAACCCCTCAAGTGGTTGCCATATGTATATAGAATGCGATGGAGATGAAGCCCGATCTCAACCGATTTTTGATGCTCCTGGAGGTGTTATTATGAGTTGATGAATCCCGTGGGGACACGAGAGAAATCTAATTTCTCTTTTTAGCTCATTACGTGACAATCAAAAAGCGAAACTTCGAGAAGATGTCAACAAGGTGCTCGAAAGCACGAATCATGAAAGAAACGGTTGTGAAAGTTGGATGACGGTAGGCTACAGTAATCTCTAGGGACCACTGAGGTAAAAAAAAATTGCGTGCTTTAAAATTTCGCATTCAGACATTCACACCAACTAAATATTCACATATTATGTTGGCCACGCGAATTCGGAGCGAGCAAAGTGGTCCGAATCATTCGAATAGTACTATATGATATAAGGGTAATTAAGTGCTCTCTTTCTTGTATTTTATTATACTAATTGTGCAAAGTGCCGATCTTTTATGGGTCTAAACTGCAACCGAATGATTTCGAGGATTTGAATCAAAACGAATTGCGCAATTAGGCAAATTCTCCCATAAATGGTAATTGGAGAGGATTTATTTTCAATTTTCGCCGCACGCTTATTTTCTCGACGATTTTTCGCATTTTCAGATTTTTGGTGTTGTTGATCGACGTGATCCAAATGTGTGCTGTGGTCAGCTCGCCTCCAGTTTTGCATCGTCGTGCAAGAATTACACCCGACCCGGTCCGGTTCACATTACACACTGAGCCATGTGTTCAACGGCGATCACATCTCGAGCCTGAGTAAATTCATTCGCTTAACGACGATGACTTCGATTCCAGTGACTTCTGATGCCGCTGCCAACTGGGATTGGCCGTTGCAGCACAACGATGGTGTTGTTAAGGTAATACTTTCGTAAAATTGAAATTGATTCGAGGATTCGTGTTTAGGTTACCAACACCAAGGAGAAGTTCGAGGTTGGACTTGACGCTGGATTCTTCGGACCCAACGACATTGATGTCAAAGTCAATGGAAATGAATTGATCATTCACCTCCGTCACGAGGTAATTAATATAATTTGTAATTAATAAATGAGTTCAAATCAATATCAGAACCGCTCATCGGACTTTGGGATCGTCAACCGCGAGATCCACCGCACCTACAAGCTTCCAGATGACATTGACACCACCACTGTTCGCTCGCACCTCAACAACCGCGGAGTTCTTACTATTAGCGCTGACAAGAAGCAATAGCTGTATAATTGACATGTTCAAATTTTTACTATTTGCAAAGAATAAAGATTTAATTCGTTATTCATTGAGAAGAGAAATATTCCAAGCGAACCCATGTAGCCATAGTTTGAGAAATATATAAATATTTATAGGAGATACGAATTTCACGTGTCAAAATGCGTTTTGCAAAGCAATATGAACATTTTTTGGTGGATCGACACAAAATTGAAGGCATTGTGGCGATAAATAGGCTAGCTGTTGTGAGAGAATTGAATTAGAACGACGCTTTTGGATTTTAAAGGATAAAAATAAATATTTTTAATATTATTTCCCGAGGTAGTTTTATAGAGGTAATAAAAACTCGTTTTTTAGCCTTATAAGATTCCGCCAAAGCCCGAACAAATCGTAAACGTGGAATGGGAACGGCGCGGGGCTCTTCATTGAAGAATCAGGGGGAAAATATGATTTGCCTCCTTTTCCTTTATTTGGGAATGTCATCTTTGGTGAATCAATATTAATCGAAAACGAAAATGTCTAAGAATAACAATCTAATAGTTTTCTAAATGCGAATTATTCCAATTTCTTAAACATCGACACATTCTTACACTCGCCTCTCGCATTTTAAACTCGGCGCTAACTATTCTCTCCATTCACGCGAAACGCGTCAGTGGATGACAAACGTTGGCGTCATTTTTCGAACAACGATGTACATTTAGGCAGTGTACACAATTTTACCACTAAATTTTCAATTTTATAATGAATGTGTGTTTCAGGATCATCCTCTCCTCACAAAAATGCCGGTCAACCCCGGCGGCGAGATTTCCGAGGGGGAAAAGGAGCGGTTGTTGAAAGAAAGAGAAGAGATTATGAGGAAGTTGCAGGAATTGAATGACGGTACTCTCATGGGTTTCTAGAAGAAATATTTTCGTTTTTTTTTAAATTCAGACGATGACGACGATAGCGATTGTAGTTTTGATAATGTAGAAGAAGAATTAGACGAATTAACTACTCCAAAAAATGAAGTTAATGGTAGGAAAAATGTCGAGAAAAAGGAAGAGGAGAAGCCGACAATAAATGAAGTTGAGAAAAGAGGTAATTATAAGAAAACGCTTTTTAAATTTAAAAAAAAAACCGACATTTAGAACTGCGATTTGAAGAGTTTGATGACCAACAATCGTCCATTGATTCTACCGACTTGCCAGCGACAAAGTGAGTTTATTTTTGAATTTTTTGCAATAAAAAAGAGAAAACTTCAACGAAATGTATTATTCTTCTTTTTTTTCTGTCTCAAAATTTTCTCTATTTTTCTCTTTTTGGACATTTATTTTTAAAATATTAAAAACGCGCGAGTTTAAATGGTTAAATTTGCTTTTCAATCGCTATCGTGAAGGAAGTTTTTTTTTTTTCATATTTCGAAATACCAAAATATTGCAAAATTGGCTAGAAAAAAAAATAGATGCTCAAAAATATTTTTGGAGTGATGTTATTCAAAACTCTTACGTTTTTAGTCAAATATTTGAGTAAACGGTATTGGCCACATGAAAATTGAAAATATTTCTGATTTATTTGTTGACCAACGTGAAATGTATAATTTTTTTCAATTCAACTTCCTACTATTTTGAAAGCAAACACAACATGACTATAACGGTTTTTTTTTTCATAGAAATACGGAACGAGACGAGTTTGATGACGAGTTGTTGCAAGAATACGATGAATTGAAATGCCCATATTCGGGCGGAGCGGAGGAAGGCGACGAGGAAGAAGAAGGACAACAAGTGTAGGGGGTTGTTGGCATTCGTTAAAGTATACATTATGCGGTTTTGAGGCAGAAAATCGTGTTGGAGAAGTATGATGATGATAGGTACAAGCCGCTACCCGAAGGCTGGACGATGTTCACGCATAACAGCGGAATGCCGTTGTATTTGCATCGCAACTCGCGGGTTGTCACACTTGCAAGACCGTATAAGGTGACGACGGATATGACGATTCGGAATCATCGGATACCGCTGTCGGCGATTCCTTGCATGAATCGCAAAGAGAGCATCAAGAAGGTTTGAGCAACAATTTCGAAAAAAAAGATAGGAAAGGGTAGTAATAGTTGCGAACATGCAATGTTTGAATTGCGGAACGCCGCTTTTGTTTGGAATTTGCGGGTTTAGCAGAAATCTGGGCAGCGAAATTGTTTGGGAGTGCACGTTCGAACTCTAAACTTTAATCAAGCGTTTTTAGGAAGAAGAGAAGAATCGCAAAATCAAGGAGCGTTTGGAGACGGCCGCGGCGCCACAATCGTCAGCGTCGGCAGCGAAACTCGCGGCGGAGATTCTGCTCAACGTGAACACGAAAATTGTCGAGGTAGCTAGGCTCATCGTGCGTTTCTTGCCCTTCCCCCCGAAATTGTTGTTGTTTTTTTTTGGCGTATTCCTGTTGCTATTCCGCCGCCTTATTGAAATCTCATTTTTTCGCGAAATTCGATTACTTAAATCCTTTTGGCACTCGGTGGTTGACCGGGATTTGTAATCGACATCTCGCCTCAAAATGTTTCATTTCTTGTCTATCGGCGACAAATGATTCGGTTTGTTTTGAGTACAGTGTGAATAGATTAGTTTGCCATTGATGCTCGCTCGAGTCCAATTTTATTTTTCTCGCATTTCCACCGCAATTTCTGTTCAGGTTGACGAGGAGCCGACTATAAGTCCAGAAGAGTTCAATCAATACTGTTCATCGATATTCAAATTCAAGGAGATTATGGTATATTCAATTGAGAATTTGACGGATCTTTTGAGAAATGGAACGTTTTCATTCAACATTTTAGGTGGCCAAATTTAAAAAGGAAATGGACAAAGGGGCAATGAGACGAGAGAAAATGTTGGATAATGTGCTTCAACGCGCAGGTTTGAATTTGAACTGTTTTTTTTTTCCAACAATTCGTTGTTTGGATTCTAGGCTTCACTGAAAAATACGAAGAAGTCAAATCGCGAATGAAAGCTGGCGATATGCTGATGACGGCGCCTTCTGGAGTATGTTTCAAACTCAATCTCAATGGCGCTTATTTTTCTTGAATTTTAGGCAACTTTGATTGATGTAACTCCTTTGGATAATCGAAGACAACGAGGGAAAAAACCATTTTTGCTGAATCCAATGGTAGATTCATCAATTTCGTGTTCTGTGTTTTTTTTTTCAAACGGAGTATATTATTTAGGGTCGAACCACAGTAATGATTCTGAACGAATTTATGCAACGATTGGTTAAGGGAAAGATTGAATATATTTGTGAGGATAATCGGTATACTGTAATAATTTTCGCCGTTAGCAATTAAAACGATTGTTTTAGAAATGTGACTTGTCCTTATAAAGCCACTGCATATCTTTCGCTTAAAGCCGCAGATCTAATCGCGATTGGCGGAAGTGCGAGAGAAAAACTGGCGCTTCTCAATCAGCAAGCCGAAATATCGGGAACATCTCTAATGAATAATGATATGAGTATGTGTGTCCCATAAGCGAACTCGACATGTTCATTTCAAATTTTCAGAAAAATTTCCAATTGGTCGCGGTATTGGTCATAGTAAAAAAGTGGCTCGACTATCGGCAGCAAAAGATGCCCTATCTGTTCTCGTTCCGCCGCTCTACGTAAACGACGAATTCGTCTGTGAAGGTGTTCGCGAGAAGGTCGATCCGAGTCTCGGATGCGGCGAAGTCATTCGCGGTTTCAACGAAGAGGCGATGAAGGTTCTCGATGTTCTCAAAATCGACTCGCCTAAAATCTTTTCGATTTGCCAACAATTTGGAGTGATTAAGCCGTATGCGTTGCTTCGGGTACTGAGTTTTTATTGTCTAAAACACCTCAAGTTTGATTTGTCTTAAAGGAAGCTGTAACGAGATCTATTCGCTGGAACGGCACCGAATTGATCGTGAAAAAAGAGCTCGTCGGCGCTGGAACTCAAAAATCGCGAGTGTCGTTAATTCTAGGCGATCTCGAGCAAACCGCCGAAGAGCATGGTGTGAAGGTGGCGATGCAGATCGCCGCTCAACTTTTGCTCCGAAAAATGCATCCCGAGCTCGAATGCTACGGTAGCTATTTGCGATTGTATGCGGCGTTTGAAGAGAAAACGCAAAAGGACAATGCGAAACGGCATCATGATCAAGTGGTTCGACTTCAGAACAAAGGAAGTCTGCTGCAACCGAATCACGCAGTTCTCAATAAGTTGAAAGAAGAAATGAAAAACGTAAGTCAGCAGCTTTTATTTTTATTATTTGAGTTTGAAAAGACTCTGCAATTTTCAAATGTATTGTAATGTTTTAGACAGCATTGATTTATCCGCCCCGCAAATTTCTCTACGGACTCGCTGGCTCGCAAACGCCGGCGTCCGTTGTGCCGCTGAGCCCGAACTACTCTGTTCAATACTTGAACATTGGAACCCAAACCGATTTGCCGTCACTTTCGCCGATTCCACCATTCCTTCCACCGACGTATGGCTATTCACCTCTACCATCTGGACAACCGCGACCGCCGATGCCGCCGATGCCACCGTCTTCCTGGTTTCCGTCATCAAATAAATGGCAAGGTCCTCCACGAAGGAAGCGACCGTTTGAAGAAGAAGGTAAAACGCTTTTTGTTTGATTCGATGCATCTCAATTTCCAGAAGAACATGCACCGCCATTACCGCCGCCGGGATTTCCTCCGGTTCCTCCCATTGATCCTCTTCGAGCAATTCCACGCCCTCCCATACTTCCTCTACCACCTTCTGACCCAAAATGTGATAAGGCGTCAATTGATAGCCGAAATCAGTCATAGGTTATTAAGTAATGATTATTCATCTCATAGTTAACGATGATTCCCGAAAATATCTTTCACTAAACGTATCTGTCCCTCTTTCTCACTCTCATCTTCTCGCCCATCCCACCGTTTTTGTCCAAGTGTTTTTCATTCAGGACCATTCTTTTGTTTACGGTTTCCTTAACATTATTTTTCCCGTCGTTACTTTTTTGGTGTTGTTGATTTTGTAATGTTGAATAGGAAATGAACTGTGTTTCTCTTTTCTCGCTGGTCCTTTGACTTGTCTCGTCCACCGTTCGGGGTTAAGCAAATACAAACCGAATAAGTCAAACACAATCCTTCAGTTATTTGCTAGTTACTATATTTTTTGTTAAATACCATCATTTGTAAGTGATTGGATCGCTCGTTCAAGGAGCGCTAGACGGTCGACCTTGGCGATATGAAAAAATAATAAATTTGAAACCGCGATTTGTTGGCTCGTCAGACCCCCTCCCCGCTCATTTTTTAGCGCATCTGAAAGTTAATTCGATTATGTTCATCGTAATTGCGCAATACTGAAAAATGAAGAACACCAGTCGCCAAAAAAGGGTCCGCTTGCCTGGATTGCGCAATTCAGTCGTGTCTCGACGAACGATGGCGGGTCACATTCACTCTCACCTCGACCATAATGATAAGTCCAACCTCGTCCTCCGATATTCGTATACATTTGTTCTCATCTTTTCCTTCCCAGTTATCATGCATCATGGATAATTGTTGGGGTTTTAATAATTTTTAAAAATTCAAAAGAAAACTATCTGAAAATTTAGAAATTTCCAGAAATTTGAAGGTTTCTCTATTACATTTTTTCAAACTTTCCATTTATTGAAAGTTAGTGAAAATTGATCGTCGAAATACATTTTACTGTTTCTGATTCAATTTAAAATACAAACCAAATGGTATCCTATTATCGTTTTAGTACGACAAATTTGGGCTCTAGATGGGATAAATATCATTTTTATGAGACGATTTTGATTGCCTTGATCAATTGATTCATTGATGTTCACGGGACCATTCGTTTTTTTCCCGGTACCTCATCCAATTTTACTAAAAGGATATTTTAAATATCCTCCAAAAAACTGTTACCGGAACACGATTTTATCGTTTTCTTTAAACATTGTTCATATTGTAATGCTAAATAGGAAGCAAAATGTGCATTTGTCGTTTCTCGCTGGTCCTTTCATTACTCGGTAGACCGTTCGAGGTTAAACAAATACAACAGAAGAGGGCAAATACATATCTGCGTTCGTCTAGCAACTTCATCTATTTTTTCGCTTCAAAATTGTTTTTTTTTTTAATGATTTCAAAAGTGAACAAAATCATTGTAAAATTAAAAATAAATTTTTTGCTAGCAATATGATTAGGTTTTTTCTAGGCAGAACTCCGAATTTTGATTTTCCGATTCCATTCATTTCCATCAGCTTCCGCAATTCCCAAATAGGTATCGATTCATCACGCTGAGTTTTGATTGATCACTTTTTGATAGAGATAAAACTGTCAATGGTTCTCTCGTCCGAAATAACATCCTTCGATGGCTAGCATAGATGGACAATCAAAATCTTGGTGATATGAAAAAAGAAAAAAATTGCCAATCTAATCCAATATCGATTTGTTGGCTCGTCAGACCCCCCCCTCGCTCATTTTTTAGCGCATCTGAAAGTTAATTCGATAATGCTCATCGTAATTGCGCAATACTGAAAAAAGGAAGAACACCAGTCGCCAAAAAAGGGTCCGCTTGCCTGGATTGCGCAATTCAGTCGTGTCTCGACGAACGATGGCGGGTCACATTCACTCTCACCTCGACCATAATGATAAGTCCAACCTCGTCCTCCGATATTCGTATACATTTGTTCTCATCTTTTCCGTCCTAGTTATCATTAATTATAATATATTTATAAATTGAATAATATTCCTCATTTGTCAAAAATTTTCTTTGAATCATCGCCGGCCGAATTCACACTTTCATCGGCTTAACTATGCAAATTCGTAAACCATTCTCTCTAGTATTCGCAAGTAATTCGGCGTTTCGCTGAGCACACAAATCAATTGATAATCGTTGGGTTTCGGAACACTTGGTTGTAAATACGTGCGAGTTGTTGCGCGCAAATAGTACACCAATCATATCTATACGAACTTTTTCGATTTTGCAGATCGCCGACCTCAAAAAAAAAAGAAATGCGGCGGCTAATATCCCTTATCGGGATATTAGTTCTGCGTTCCGGTGTCGCATCGAATACGATTGTTGACGATGACGATAGTAGCGTTTGGGATGGCTACACGATCCACTCGAATTATAAGGAATTTATAACAACTGAAAGCGGCAAGACACTCTCAATTCCAATGGGTTTTGATGAAGCTGGTTTCAGAACGAGGATTATTTCCGAGCATTTTCAATTTGGCCACTAATTCGTTGATTACTGCGACGGCCACCTGCGGACAATATAGAAGCGAGGAGTATTGCAAACTGGTCGAGCATGTGCTTTTGCGAAAAACCACCAATTCGCAGTAAGCCTTGCCGAATATTGTTTATAGTTAATCGATAATTACTATTATTAATTCAGATCACCTCAATGCGATATTTGCGATGCGAACAATGTCCATAAGCGGCATCCAATCGAGTATGCGATCGACGGTACAAGAAGGTAGGCGAAAATTGGCAATTCGCTCGAAAAATTGCTCGTTTCAAGATGGTGGCAATCGCCGTCATTGGCGAACGGTCTCGAATTTGAGAAGGTCAACATCACGATCGATCTTCGACAAGAATACCAAGTGGCGTATGTGATTGTGAAAATGGGAAACGCGCCGAGACCCGGCACGTGGGTTCTCGAGAAATCGTTGGACGGCGAAAATTATGAGCCGTGGCAATATTTTGCGATGCAAGACGCCGAATGTATGCGGCAGTTCGGAATTCCGGCGACGGCGGGAGTGCCGAGATTCAAAAATGACAATGAGGTAACGAGCGATGTGCTCAAATCACCCTATTCAAAGAATCATGTGCTCAGGTGCATTGTACTAGTGAATACTCGAAAATCACGCCATTGGAAAATGGAGAAATCCATACATCATTGGTTAATGGAAGACCGGGAGCTGAAAACTCGAGTGTCGAACTTCAGGTTGCTTTAATATTCTCAAATTTAAATCTAGATGCAGACTTTGCCCGATGACGCAAAATACTTTTACAGATTTCCAAAAAAAACGTTTAAAAGCGCTCAAAAATTAAAAAAAAATTCTAAAAAAATCCATTAAAAAATTACAGTACCGACTTCGCGACGTGACCCGCGCAACTTTTCGCGTGCGCCTTTGAAAATAAATAGCGGCGAATTACGATATATCGCGTCAATTTTTTGTACGTGCGTGCATAGAAAATTCAAGAGAAAAAATTGATTTTTAAAATTTCATGAATAAATTCATTAAATGAAAAATAAATAAATATATATAAATAAAATAAATAAATATATAAATCAATCAAATAATAAATCAAATATATTTTTTTCTTCTTCTTCAGAAATTCACAAGGGCTCGATTTGTTCGACTTCGCTTAATCTCACCGCGAACGCTGAATGCCGATTTGATGGTGATAAATCGAAAATCGCATATGCTCGACAAATCGGTGACAATGCGCTATTTCTATTCGATATCCGACATTTCGATTGGCGGCCAATGCATTTGCTACGGTCACGCCGAGAGTTGTCCAAGTGATCCTGTCACAGGAGTGAGAGCCATCCTCGAACTCGATCCCTCTAATAATTGATTGATGATTCAGCAATTCAAATGCGAATGTCGACACAATACCTGCGGCGAGTCATGCAATAAATGTTGTCCGTTGTTCAATCAGCTTCCATGGAAGCCGGGAACGAATTCGCATCCGAATGTCTGCCAACGTTAGTTGACATTCTCGGCCAGTTTCCAAAGAAAAATTGCAGAATGCCAATGTTTCGATCATGCGAATAGCTGCGTTTATGATGAAGAGCTCGATATTAATAAATGGTCGATTACGCCGGAAGGAGTTTACGAAGGAGGTGGAAGATGCGTTGATTGCGAGGCACGCGAATCATCATTCCCATCGACATTCCTAATTTTGCCTGTTTCAGCATAACACTGAGGGATTCAATTGCGAACGCTGCAAGGAGGGGTACTATCGACCATCTGGAATGTCACATTATCGGCACGACGCGTGTCGGACTTGCGATTGCGATCCGATCGGCAGCGTTTCCGATGCTTGCGTTCGCGATGATCAAACGGCAATGAACGGACAGCAGCCGGGTGATTGCGTGTGCAAGCCGGGATTCGGCGGAAGGCGTTGCGATCGATGCGCGCGCGGCTTCAGAAACCATCCAACGTGCGAGCCGTGCCCGTGCAATCAAGCCGGCAGTGTCAATTTCGACACGTGCGACGGCGCGAGTTGTCAGTGCAAAGCCAATGTCGAGGGCCTCTATTGCGATCGATGCAAGCCGGGCACCATTCATCTGTCGGCTCTCAATCCATTGGGATGCCAGTCGTGCTTCTGCTTCGGCCTCTCCAACAATTGCACACAAGTCGAATGGAACACCGCGCAGATATCGAACAACGTCGGCTGGAATTTGACGGATCTCACCGGCGGCAAAGACGTTCGTCCCGACGTCGAGAACGGCGAGGTGTTGATGTTCAACGCGAATCAGAACCAGGACCGCAGTTTGTACTACTGGAAAGCTCCGGAAGCGTTCCAAGGCAACATGTTGAACAGCTACGGCGGCTTCTTGCACTATTATGTCTACTATGTGCCGACGGAACAAACCGCCGCCGCGGTTCCGGTGGCCGACGTGGTGATCGAGGGCAACGGCGTCAAAGTCGAATACTATTCTCGTCTCGAATTCCTGCCCCGCGAGAATATGACGGTGTCGATTGCGATTCGCGAAGGCAACGGCTGGTACAATTCTGCAACTCGGCAGCCGGTCGACAAGGCTGATCTGATGAGAGCGCTGGCGCACGTCGAAAAATTCCTTATTCGGGCAATGTATCAACAAATGCAGCTTCAATCGAGGTATCCCCATAGTATATTTTGTTCGACAATTTTCAATATATATTTTTTCTAGCATATTTGGACTCTCGCTGGACACTGCTGTTCCGACGCCCGAAGGAGAAGTGCATTCGGATGAGAATGGATTAAGTCCTTATCATTCGATGATGAAGGGCGTCGAAGTGTGCGAGTGCCCTGAGAATTTCGCCGGCAACAGCTGTGAATCGTGTGCGACCGGCTACCGACGCGTCAACGATCAATTGTACGGCGGTCGATGCGAGAAATGCAACTGCGAAGGTCATTCCGACGAGTGCGATCCGTTCACCGGCGAATGCCTCAACTGTCAGCACAACACCACCGGAACGAGATGCGAGAAGTGCAAGAAAGGCTACTACGGCAATCCGTCGCTTGGCGGCGAACTGGGCGCGTGTTGGCCGTGCGAGTGTCCGACATCGGCGAACAACCGCTCGCCGGAATGCATGATGACCGAGCTGATTGTCGCCGGCGCCGCGGCGGCCAATGAGGACGACTACGTTTGTACGGCGTGCGAGAAGGGCTACGAGGGCAATAAGTGCGAGGTGTGCTCGGATGGCTACTTCGGCGATCCGATGGCTGAAAATGGGACGTGCGTCGAGTGCGATTGCAACGGAAACATCGACTTGATGGCGATTGGGAATTGCGATACCGAAACGGGCAAATGCCTCAAATGCATTGGACACACGACAGGAGACCATTGCGAAGTGTGCAAAGAGAACCATTATGGCAATGCGCTTCAGCATACGTGCAAACCTTGCGGATGCCATACTCAAGGCGCTGTCAATCCACAATGCGACGCCATCGAAGGCAACTGCGAATGCAAAGAGAACTACATCGGGAAGCAGTGCGACCGATGCAAAGAGAACCATGGGGATGTTGATAACGGATGTCCGGCTTGTGATTGCGACACTACTGGTAACGAGTGCTCTGATAGGTGTCTTGAAATTCAACATATGATTCAGGAAGCATTGGAAGTGACTGCGATCAGGTGAGCGGTCAGTGTAACTGCAAGCAGGGAGTATTCGGAAAGCATTGTGATCAGTGCCGACCGTCATACTTCAATTTCACCGACGCCGGATGCCAATTCTGTCATTGCAATATCTATGGTTCGATTGAGGACGGCAAGGTTCGTGTCGACATATGTGTTGCTTCAATTAATTGAGATCGTTGTCTGATTCAGTGCGACAATGTCACCGGCGAATGCGAATGCCGCGAGAACGTCGAAGGAACAATGTGCGAGAAATGCGCCGAGGGCTTCTTCAACATTTCCAGCGGCAATGGATGCGAGGATTGCCGATGCGATCCGCTCGGCGCCGAAGGCGTCGCGTGCAATCTGATGACCGGACAATGCGTCTGCAAGCCGGGCGTCACCGGCCTCAAATGCGACAAGTGTGCGCCGAACTTCTTCGGGCTCGCCGATGAGGGATGCACCGAGTGCGAGCCGTGCCCGGCGCCCGGCCAAGTGTGCGATCCGATCGACGGCAGTTGCGTGTGTCCGCCGAACACTGTCGGCGAGATGTGCGAGAATTGCACAACCGACGCGTGGGACTACCATCCGCTGAACGGTTGCCGCTTATGCGAGTGCTCCGATGTTGGAAGCGACGGCGGAAAATGCGACACGGTGTCGGGTCAGTGCAAATGCAAAGAAGGATACGTGGGTCTGAAGTGCGATCGGTGTACGCACGGGTTCTTCAATTTCCCGACGTGCGAGCCGTGCGCGTGCAATGCTGCCGGCACCGATCCGCTGCAGTGCAAAGATGGCCTCTGTCTGTGCAACGAGAACGGCGAATGTCCGTGCAAGGTGCGAATCGCCAACACTCGACGCCGCATTCATTTCGAGAGTTTCAGAAAAACGTCAACGGCGTGAAATGCGACGCGTGCGCGCCAGGCACGTTCAGTCTCGAGTCGGCCAACCTGAAGGGATGCACCGAATGCTTCTGCTTCAATCGAACAACCACTTGCAAACAGGCGCCGCTGTTCTGGCAGCAGATGTACGCCGAGGATCGTCGCGCTGTTTTCCAGGAGCCTTGGGAATTCTATACGAAGAGGCATAACATCAACATGCTCAAAGTGGCTTTGAATTTGCTGGCATCGAATCGAGAGTTTCTTTCAGGAGTCGCCGTCACACTTCAACAGTTATCCGACAGATGCAACACCTCTGTACTGGCCCCTTCCGCCATCAATGCTCGGTGATCGCACATCGAGCTACAATGGATTCTTGCGATTTAAGGTAACGTCAATTATACCGATCCATCGGATCGCATATTCAAATATTCTAGATTTGGAACGAAGACAATCGTCGCGGAATCCGTGGAATCCGTCCCGATCAGCAATACTTCCGCTATTTTCCGCAAGTCGTCATCGTTGGCAACAATCGCATCGAGCTTGAGCACATTCCGATGGAAATCAATGATGATGGAATCTACAAGATTCGAATTCATGAGAGCGAATGGCGAGCGAGACATTCGCCGGAACTCAAGATGAGCCGGAAGCAGATGATGGTGGCGCTTCAGCACGTGCAAGGGATTTACATTCGCGGAAGCTACAACTATCCAGCGAGAGGTGACGCGATCAATCTGCAAGAAGTTTCGCTTGATGTTGCCGTTCCGGAAACTGCACTTGTCACTGGTATCACCGCATCAAAGGCGATCGGAATTGAGCAGTGCTCGAATTGCCCACAAGGATATATTGGAATGTCGTGCCAGAATCCGGCTGAAGGATACTATCGAAAGAAGAACAGGCAAATTCGTGGAAACATTGAGAATCGTAATTAATTCATTGGATTTATAGAAACTATTTGAATGAAGCTGACGATCTGGCGCTGATTGGATGGTCCGAGCCGTGCTCGTGTCATGGTCACTCGGAGACGTGCCATCCGGATACCGGCGTGTGTTTGGACTGCGAGCACAACACCTTCGGCGATTTCTGCGAGCACTGCCTTCCCGGTTACATTGGAGACGCTCGCGAGGGCGGCGCCAACGCGTGCACAAAATGCGCTTGTCCGCTGATCGACAACTCGTTCAGCGACTCATGCGTGGCTGTCGATTATGGCCGAGGGTACGTGTGCAACGCGTGCCGACCCGGCTACACCGGCCAATACTGCGAGACGTGTGTGGCGGGTTACTTCGGCGACGCGCAACACGTCGGCGGATTCTGCGCGCCATGCGATTGCCATCCCGACGGATCGCTTCACGGAGCCTGCAATCCGCTGACAGGACAGTGCGAATGCAAGCCAGGCGTTACTGGAAGGGATTGCTCCGTTTGTCAGGAGCGACACGCATTTATAAACAGAGTGTGCACTTGTAAGTGATTTTGATGGCTCGGATGAAGCTCAATGTGCATTTCAGCTTGCGATCAGGGATGCTATCTTCCATTGATGACAACAATGGACGAGATGGAGGAGCATTTGGCGGCGCAGAACTTCACCAATTTGAAGCCGATCCCATGGAAGCGCGTGTGGCGAATCGGCAACGAAACCGACGAGCTGTCGGCGTTTGTGTCGTCGATTGACAAGAATGGAGAGATTGTTCCCGACAGCAAATGGGCGAAAGAAGCGCTGGGTGTCGTCGACGAGATCAACTTCCAGGCGGGCAGAGCGAACAAATCGGCGGTGTCGATCAAACAGTTCACCGAAATCGCCGAGCAGTTGATACTCGATGCGCAAATTCACTACGCCAACGCATTCAACACCACCAACTTTTTGAGAATGTTCGCCGAGCATGGAGCGACGACCGTCGGTGGTGCAGCACTCGATGGAATGCTGATGGAAGCTGAAGCTCATTGGAATGCGACGATTGAACGCGGCGAGTACATCGAGAAGCGATTCATCAGAGCCGATGAGGAGCATAAGTAAGTGTTGGGCAATTAAATTTTCAACAAATTAATTGTTTTTTGTCTAAATCAGGAAATCACAAGAATTGCTGAAGAATGTGTTCGCCAAGAAGCTCAATGAAACGATTTTCGAAGATCTGAAGAATCGCATCGACGCATTCGAGAAGTGGCTCAATGATTATCGAGAGACGATTTATGATCAGGCGAAGAAGGACACAGCTGATGCTGAAAGGATTAGCAGTGTTGTGAGCAAACGGATTGATCGCTATAAGGAAGTATCGAATGAGATCGAGAAGCTCAGAGTTGAAGCTGAAGATCAATTGGCGTATGCGAAGAACGCTGTCGAAAAAGCCAAAGCTGAGGTAGAGAAATTATTTATTTCTAATTAAAATCTGGAAAATGCATTACAGGAGCTGATGAACATGATCGAGGATCGCGAGAAGATCAACACGACGCTTTCTGAGATTCCCGAGATGATCGAACAATGCCAGAACATTACACTTCTTTACGCGCAACTCATTGACGAGTACGACGAGGAGTATGTGCAGAAGGCGAACAAGCATGTCGAGCAGCTTGAGAAGGAGGCGAATGCGATTGGAGACAGTTTCGCCCATACTCGATTGGTTGCCGAGAACCCGTTGAAGGCCTCGCACGCTTATGAGGAAATCATTGAAGCGCTTCGGAATGCCTCGAAGGCCGCCAATGATGCTGTGGTAAGTGAACGATGTTGTGTGAATCAATATTAATATGGAATTGTGATCAAGGAAGCTTCAAATGCTGCTTACGACCTGCTCGGAAGCGTCGACGACGAGGAGAGCGACGACAATCTGATGAAGAAGCTTTCAACGATTTCGAATCAATCTGAGGCCATTTCCGGCGATGTTTCAGCCACTTTGAAGATCTGGAACGACGAAAATCTTGAAGCGAAGAACAAGGAACTGATTGATCGACTCTCCTATGTGAACGAGCAGAAAATCGATATGATCAAGAGGCTTGCTGTGATCAAAAGTCGCGTGTTATTGATTTATTTTTGATTTCACACCTTCTGATTTTAGATGAAGCTTCCTCTTGGGACGACAAACACGACAGAATGCATTCGGTGCTCACGAATGGTGCGAGGACGGCACACGAGCGCGCCGCCGCCGTGAAGAAAGAGGCCGAGGCGATCAAAGAGGAGATCGCGGCGATTTCTGAAGAATCCGACAAACTTCGGAATAGCACGTCGGGATTGATTCGGCGACAAATCGATGAGGTTCGCTCGAATTTCGCTCATTTTTCCGCAGACTCATTCCGATCATTTGTAGATCAAAAAGGCTCGCCAAGATTTAGAGTACGGTAAAACTCGCCTTGGAAAAGTTGAAGCGACGACGATCACGAATCAAGTGCGATCCGACGACATGGCTCAACGGATCGCATTCATTCGAGACAAGATTGAACAAGCCCGCGAGAAGGCCAACCAAATTCGGCTGTCGATCAATTCGGGTGAACGCGGACTCTGCAAGCGATCGTTCGTCTCGCCGGCTCGTCGCTCGCCGGTCAACACATTCCACATCGTCTATCGTCCACTCCAGAGAGTCGCCGATTCGGCGATTCTTGTCACAAAAACCAAATCGAGAAGGACGCAATCGTCGGAATATGTGGCCGTTGAAGTGCGCGATAAGCGAGTCGTCGTGCATTGGAACATTGGAAATGGGAAGAAGATGGCGACGAATAGCCATCCGATAAACTACATTCCTTCGAATGATCGCGTGACATGGTAAGCGAATTTGTTGTTCGCAATTCCTCTTGAGAATCGATTCCAGGTATCATATTGATGTTGTTCGCGTTGGTAATTCGATCAACGTCACAGTTGGACTCAAAGAGAACGCCGACGGAGGTACTCGAACAATTCCACTGAGTTTCAGCATCTAGGAGTTCGTAATTTTTTAGGATTCCGATCTCGCGGAACTCCGATCAGCGTATTCGTTGATGGCGGAGATTCGGACAGTGTGATATTCAATACAATTCGCGGTGAGACCACTCTTGATGTGGGAACTGAGAACGAGACTGCCGCTGAAATTGGACTGGCTACTGAGAAGTTCTCCGGAACTATTGGTGGATTGAAGGTCGATGATGTTCCATTATCGCTTTGGGCGTTTGAGAAGACGACACCAGAATGTGAAGGCGCAATTGCGCCACCGAAAGTCACCCAACGAGGCCACTCGTTCAAGTATGTCATATTCCGAAATTGAATTCATATTTGCTCTGTTACAGGGATGGGTTTGCCAACATCACCATGTCGGTCTCGGAACGAACCATGTCGGCGATCACCATCGTCTTCAATGCCTACTCGGCCAACGGGCTTTTGTACTTTAGAGGAAGCGAGCAGAGTGGCGACTTCGTCGCGGTATTCCTCAAAGATGGACGAGTCGTTTTCAAGGTTTCGAGCTTCAAACAAGTTTCCGCTATATTTTCGCGTGTTCAGATCAATCTTGGCGGATCCTCATCGGCCGAGCTCACTTCTCAGAACGTTTACAACGACGGCAAATCGCATACGATCAAGGCAATCCGAACGGGCAGCGAGATGTACCTTCAAGTGGATTCCGATGCCGATCGCTTCAACACGGTCATCAGTGGGCAGAACACGGCGCTCAATGTTGACAATGAGCAGCATTATGTCGCCGGCGTTCCAAACACTCTCAATCGCGAGCCATTCGCTGCTCATCACATCCAGTGGAGCGGATTCGTTGGATGCATCACCACTGTCAAACCGTCGCAGATCGGCGAACTTGATTTGGACCATCCCGAAAGCTCGCAGCGGCAGGAGCCTGGATGCATCTACCACGGCGATCAAGTAGTTCCCAACGAGCGAGTCATCGGATTCTCGAAGGCCGGATACCTCAAGATGCGGGGAATTCGAATGGAGAAAGATTCGACGTAAGAATTGAACGATTTTATTTTATTGAGCTCGTTTGACCCAATATAATTTAGATTCGGATTCTCATTCCGCACTCGCGAAGAGAATGGAACCCTCATCTACCAGTCGTCGGAACTTTCTGGGGTTTCGAAAAGGGATTCCGAGAACACGAAAGGATATATGGCGTTCTACTTGTTCCGCGGCTACCTTGTCCTTCATTTCGGAAAAGACGCTTCGTCTCGAAACCTCGTCGTCACGTTCCGATCGACTCAAGCTTACAACGACGGACAAGTTCACGCAGTATTCATGGTTCGAAGCGGCAGCTCGATTCGTCTCAAAGTCGATGATAAGGATGTTGGAGAAGCGCAAACTCTGTCGGACGAATCTCCCGTCAGCGCATCGGTTCTTCTCATCGGAGGATTCAGCGATGACTTGACTCCGCCGAACAATGAGATTCCGATAACGGCGCCGTTCATCGGATGCGTTTCCGATGTATTCCACAATATGAAGCACATTGAATTGATACCCATTTCTCACAACAATGCTCAAATCGGAGTGTGCTCGATCAGCGAAAGATTGAACAGTGCTCCGATGGTCGACGACATGTTGGATGGTGAAGGTCAGAAGGTTCATCGGAAGGCCTCGAAGATCAGCTTCTCGCCAAACCGAAATTATTATGGTGAGAATTCTGGCCAACAATTGCCGATTCATAAATGTCGTTTCAGACGTTGTTCCTCCGACAGCTTCGCATCTTGTTTCAGCTTCAACGAAACCAGCTGAAGACAGGAATACTGTAAGAGAGCAAAGAAAAATGAAAACGAGGGTATTCAATGTATTCTTTGTAGTGCCGCAGCCCTGCAATGCAGCCCGACGGCGTTGGCGCCGTCCGATTCGGAATATCCCGTTCATCGCATAGTCGTGTCAACTTCGAGACGCCATATCCGAATGTGACCCATCTTGGAATCAGCCTTTCACTTAAAACTGATGAATCGAATGGAATGGTGTGGGCGTGGGCGAATTATAAGAACTACACACGCTACATCTTCTTCAACATCATTGATGGGTTTGCGACTCTTGAAGTCAAGGGCCACAAACAGCCGAAGATTCTGAAGCATCTCGGAAGGCGAATCAATGACGGACAATGGCATGATGTCGTGATTCGAAAGAATGGAAAATCGCTCACATTGAAGGTACGAGAGGCCATACAACATTGATCACATTGAATTATAGATCGACGAACTGGAATCCGTCGAAATGCTTGATTGTCCGACGCCGAAAGTGATGAAGCGGCGAATGTACGTCGGCGGTGTGATTTCGAAGCACAAATCGCAGTTCGGCTTGAAAACTCCTGGATTCGACGGATGCGTTCGCGATTTGACGGTCAACGACATTCGCTATGAGCTTGGCGGCGCGGCTTCACGTGATGTCATCACGTGCGCGAAACCGACGAAGGGGGCGTATGTGCACGAAGGAGGATATGCAGTGTTCGGTAAGAGCTGAAATCGATCCAACAATTTCCAATTCTCTTCCTCAGACGGAATTCAAAAATTGACAAGAGACACCAAAATCGACATCCAACTCGACTTCCGTCCGATTTCCAGTGACGGACTTCTTCTGGCTCTCATCTCCAATTCAAACATGGATTCTGGAAGGTTGACATTGGTCGTACAACCAGACAAGATCCTGGTCACATTGGTTCACGACGAATCTCAATTCGAGCTTCGCGACGCCATTCCTAGCTTGAAGCCGTTCTGCGATTCCGACTGGCATACATTACAAATGATACTTGAAGACGACTCATTAGTATTTGTGATTGATGGCGTAAGTTGATGCTTGAACTATTTGACATACTAGTTTCGGTATTCAGGAACGAAGCGAATTATCTCTGAATGGAGGCCTCAACTCGAACGCCCGCGAACTGTTGGCGAACATTCCGCTTCATCTCGGCGGCGTTTCGGGACCCGTCGCCGAAAAGTTGTCCACACGAAGTCTGTCGGGTTGTCTGCGAAATTTGCACGTCTCCGGCAAACCCAAATACTTCGAGAATTCGTTGAAACTCAACAAAGTTGTCATCGACGGTTGCCCGATGCACTAAACACACATTCGATGTTTCGTGTACATTCTGTGATCTGTTAATTTGTCTATTTTTCGATTCATTCTTTTTAGAATCGCTCGAAAATCGACAAATCCCCCCCATATTTTTGTTATTTTCTTGTTTCATTTTGAAATCGCCTTTTCCCAACCTTGATTTTAATAAACCCGTGTTATTCATACTTAATATTCCATCGAGATCTCCTCGAAAATTTCAAATTGACCAAAAAAATGAGAAGCAACAAAATGCCGAAAAACCCGAAAACGCAATAGACAAGAAGTTGTGTGGCTTCTGATGGAAGCGTGCATGATTCGACAAGCAGTTGTCCGCTGTCGGCCGGAATTGTGACCATCAGAAATGCCGGCAAATCGCCATTTCGCCACGAAAACGAATTGATCGTGTACTCGTAGAAGCTCAATGAACGATTCTTGATTTTCCACCTAATCAATCATATTTCATTTTCGGACAAAGTAATGTGCTTGGCTTCTTACCATTTCTTACACGTTTTATGAGTGTGCCCATTAAAAACCGCCAGCGGTTTGAGCGAATCAATCAGACGATTTGTCGACTCCATTGACAGCGTTTCCCATGTTTCGCGATATTTCTCGATTTTGTCAATTGAATGATACTGATCGAGTTGTTCGCATTCAGCGTCGCTCGTTCTATAAATCTAGAAATTTAAACTTTTTAAAAATTCCAACTAACCTGTATAAAGGGAAATGCTGGAGTAGAATGGGCCGTTTGTCATTTCTCCTCTCAATCGTCCTCAATTCTTCTTCGGCTTCATGACAAAGCCGACATCCATCGCCATGTAAGGCCATTGACGTAATGAGTACAAATCGATGTCCCTTTATTTCAGTATCTTCAATCAAACTTCGATTGAATTCTCGTTTATAGGTTTCTACAGAAAACGGGGACATTCTAAAAAAATTGTGAATTTGAAAAATCATTACAGCGAGTGCTGTAAGCGGGTAGATTTACGAGTACGCCATTCGCTATGGTCTCGCATGGACTAACCGGTTGTTTTGCGTTTTAGATGAAATTTCGTTAATTTCCAATTTCATTAAATAAGTATTTAATCAAGAAAAATTGAACTATTCACATGAATATTTAAAATAAGCCATCACGTGTGGCGAGACCATTTCGAAAGACGCACCCCGTAAATCTACCTCGCGTACGGAGTCGACAATATATCGAACATACGCATAGTGAAACCCTAGGTCGTGATTTCCAGCCAGAGCGAACACCTGCGGTCTTTCCGTCCGCATGAACATTCGTCGAAAGTTCTGCACATATTCGCTGAATAAATGCGAATCCGCCCACTGTCCTTCGTCAAGTAAATCGCCTTCAATAGTTCCAATCATTCAAGAAACATTAAAAATTGATGGATACCAAGGAAAAATGAAACGTCTGGATCATGCACATTCACCGCACTTTGATACGATCGATACATTTGCCATTCTCTAGAATAATCAACAGCAATTGAGAATTGCGCATCGATTGTCAACCTTTTAAGCTTATCCAACCAATGCCCTTTGCGTTTTCCAAGAAGATGAGTATCAGCAATCATAAAAGCTCGTAAGTCACCCGCAGTACATCTAAAAATAAGGACACCATGCAAATAAAGAATTTAAAAAAAAAACCGGGTAACTCTTTTAAAAAATATAAAAAAACTTTAGTCACAACCAGTCTTAAGGGCCAATGAAGAGAAAATAAAAAAAAAGTAAAATACCAAAAAAAATTTCCATTTTTTCTGCATTGGTACTTTAGATTATTTTTAAAATATGGTCTTGTCAAAGTCGCGCAACTGCTGAAAATTGGCTAAATGTGAAAAGTAAAAAAATTAGAAGGACTCTGTTAGTGTGCGCCTTTAACCTAACTGTATAGACCCGTAAATCTACCCTTTTAGTTTAGTGCCATTGTTTTTTAGCATTTACAAACAAATTTTCCATAATTGCGCGACGCCGATAACATTTGAAATTCGTATATGATTAATCCATTTTCAACTCAATAATATTTCAATTACCCCTGCTGCGGACAAATCCACTGACACTGGGAAACAGCGATGAAGAATATCAAATACTCGTTAAAAAAGAAGGCGGCCATCGTGAGAAACGCTAATGATAACAATAGGAACTTACATTGCATTTCTAAAGAAAATTCAAATTGTTGAGCACGCAAATCGCGAGGGGGGAAGATAGAAAAGGAAAAATCACCCATTTATAAAAATAAACTTAAAATCAGAAACAACTTCATGACCAACGAGGAAAAACAAACAATAAACAATAATAAATAACAATTCTACCATCTACTCTATAAAATATAGAAGAAAAGAAAAAAAAATAGAAACCCTATATTCGCTGAATTCCTTCAAGATCAATTATTGTTTTTGCAATCTCGTTATTGCTTCATAAGCATCTGAGTGATTCGTTCTAGCACTTTATGATTGAGCGAATTGCTCACTTTGACCTAAATTCTGAGTTTGATGGCATTATTTAAATTATAAGCTCACTTCTTTCGTCTCCTCGGACACCTCAGCAGTCTTGTATCCTTCCTCAGTATCGTACAAATTGAAAAGACGGAACGGTCCTTCAATTCGGACAAAATTGCTCTTCGGATTAACGAATCCTTCGCATTCAATGTTAATAGCCAATGTGTTTAATTGGCCAACGGCGAAATAGAAATTGATTCCATCAGAAAGGATTAATTGTGAAGTGAACGGCCTTGTAACGTCAGTATATTGGGTGAATCCTGAAAAATGAGCACATGATCAAATGCTAAATGATACAAACGTACCGTGACAATGCGCCTGGGCACACAATGTGGTGAAGAGCGACACAACGGCTTGAGATCTTGCAGCTTCATCAAACATTTGCTCTATAAGTCAAAATTGATTTAGTGATTCACAAAAAAAAAAACAATCATACTGGCTTCTTCGACATCATCAATATCTTTGTCATTCTCCCATCCCATCCAATAGGCAACTCGCTGCCTCAACGGCCTCAATGATTTGACGGCAAGAACTCCATAGGAGTGCGACTCATCAGAATCCGCATGATATCCAGGACACTGCCATAGTGGCTGTGAATCCGGCCAGAAGTTGTACACCTTGGGCGAGTACTGCAACCATTCCGACAGCATATTCTCATCGAACACTGGCAATTTCGCGTCCTCAGAATCCAATGGGAAGTACGGAGTGAGCGGATCACGACTGCGCACCTGCGCTGCCAATTTGTCGCGATGCACAAACGCAAGCTCGCCAAGTTTTCTACGATCGTCGCCAATGTATTTCGGAAAATTGAAGATCCTCTTCTTCTCCTCTCCGGTTCCCTTCTCAGGCTCGTTGTAGAGGAATGCGAATCCGCTGCGAATCCAGAATGCTTCACTGGCGACGTCATAAGCAACACGTTGATCAGCAAGACGTGAAACATTGTGCGCGATTCCGCCCATTGCATCGTCAATCATGGCCCCGAGAAGTTTCTGTGTTTTCCTGAATATCCATTCGTTTGATTTGAAAAAAAAACAATAACTCACTCGTCATCAAACTCCATGCCATCTCCAAATCCCATAGAGTCTAATGTACTAATAAAGCTATTCTGAAAAAGGTTTTAATTATTTTTGAAAATTACGCTAAATTACATTAAATTCTTGTGTTGGCGGCCTTAACCCATGATAATACTCATCAAGCGATCCATGTTCAACTCTTGTCTTCGTCAAATTTTGATAATAATGAAAAGTATCGAAGTACATCGGAGTGACTGGAATTCCCCAAGCTTTTCTCGTCGCCATTAATGATGGATGCCAATCTCTGAGAATCGCCAATTATAGCAGTATTATTTCTCGATAAAAAAAACACAACCTTCTCCACGTTTTTTCCGCTCGTGTCCACGGTCGCTCATAAGGTGAGACAAAATCGATTTTCTCTTTGATCGTCGGCAATGAATGCACAATTTCGGCGGTTTTATAATAATCATAAAGACGTACACCAGCTCCAGAAGCGTCTCCAGCATTCTATAAAAATCTTCAACGCATTAAAACGATACTGTTTGAAACTATACCGGAAATTCTTCTTGTAAAATGTGTTTCGCCTCTTTTAAATTTTCATGTGCGATACGATAATACGGCGGACGAAACACTGTCGATTCATTGGCGACTTTCTGAACTTCCGTCTCTTCTCTAAATCATAAAATAAGGATAATATAGCGAATCTCAAAGCACTTTTCGGGTTTTGTCATTAATCTCAGTGCTTCCTTTGTGACAACATTATGATCTTCGGCCGAAATTCCTTTTGATCTTATCGAAATCAACGTTCGCGCAACATTCCTTTTAAGCATCTAAATTCATATTTTTGAAATATAAATATAGTTGTGGACGTACGAATTTGAAAATTTTGAATTGCGCGCGATGTTATTGAATTGACCCCGTAAACTAAAATGGACCCCTACTACTTCATTCAACACTTTTACAAATAACCAAAGTATTCAAAATTAATTTAAAAATTATGCTATTTCACATTATGATGGTTAAATTTGGCAATACTCGCTTTTAAATGCTTTTCCACACGAGACCCAGGGCGGAAATTCAAATAATCCCATTCCCAAATTCGTCCGGCTATATTTCGTTTTCAAAATAAATCACAAAATAAAAATGCCGAAAAGAAATCGGTAAAATCAATTTTAAAAAAACACTAGATAGTAATAAATTATTTTATACAGGAATAAATTCGGAATTTCACAGGCTGAGAACATTTGAAAATCACCCATAATTGCAAAAAACTAATTATTTCGACGCTCCGCGCTTTCCGGTGGTGCTCCGATTGGCCGCTGTTGTGGGGTTTCTAAAAATATTTGCAATTTCGTGCAACTATTCGCAATTATACCGTAAGGATTTCTCGTGTTCACCACAATCGGATCACTTTCCGAATTCGGAATTGGTGCAAACGAAACAGAAGACGTCGCTCCCGGTGTGAGCTCCAGCCGCCGCATGCCAATATCCGACGGCGACGACGAATCCATCATCGTTCCGAAATCCGGCTGCTCAATCTCCACCGTCCCATAACGGACTTGTCGGGCAGCGGCGCGAGTCACTCGAATATTCGGCGCCGCTGAATGATACGGCGATTCATTGCCATCCGGCGTCGCCAGGATGTCCTGAATTTGAAACGGCGGATTCGGAACGTTCGGATCAGGCTCGTCGGTGTTCATCGGCTCAACATTAGCAAACTCATCAACTTCTTCCTCGTCGTCATCATCATCATTACTGCCTTCAAATATTTTATCAATGATTATATTTAACCAATTCGCTCTACTACTTGTGTTGCTCTCAACCATGGCGTTTTCAGTCTCCATTTTCTCCATCTGAATAACGACGGTCTCGATAGGCTTCTTCTTGGTTGAAGTCGACGGACTTGCTTCAAGAATAGCGGCACCTTTCGCGGTTTTCGCCTATAATTGAAATTCAAAAAATAGCTGCCGACATTTCGCCGGTTTTCAAATACCATTTTCTTTTCCAATTCTTCGCACATCCATTTTAAGTCATCCTCGCACAATTCCAATTGGGTTAATGGTCGCCGTAGCATAGACATCTAAACTTCCTCGTTTTTCTTATAAAACTCAATTGGAGAAGAAATAATTGATTTTGATAATAACAATGCGAACAATTGAACAATTTCGAAACAAATGTTATAATTTATTTCATCCGGAACCAAACAATTCAAATATTAATTAGAAAACAAAAGTTTAGAAAAAAGTCGAAGAAAACAGGAAAGGAAACAAAACAAAAAATTCAGATAACAAGTTGAAAACACCATCCCGAAAAATTCCTATGATGCCGATTTAATTGGCCTTGTTCTTCTCTTGCCTTCCTTTTTCGAGCTGAAGGGCGATTTGTTGTGCTCGGAGTGTCAGCCGTTTCGTGTTTTCCATGACTTGCTCGTGAACACTCGTTGCCTTCACGCCCATCACAACTTGTCCGAGTTTGCTGTCGATTTTCGCGCCTTCGATGCGATAGGTTCGGATCAAATCAACAATCCAGCGTTCAGCGTCTTCCTAAAAAAATTTAACTCAATTGAATTTATATTTTCAAAGTCGCAAGACTGCGGAAAATTGGCTAAATGCTTACGCATAGGCCCTCGGTAAAAAGGGAAACGGCCAACGTGAAAAACCCTATGCTTACTGATAAGCCCGTAAATCTACACTTTTATTTTTTTGGGCCAATTTTTCGCAGTCGTGCGACTTTGACAATTCCAATATAATTTAAAAAAAAACTAACCTGAGTCATATTCAATCTTCTCGCGAGCATTTCTATCGTAATGCATTGATGAATTCTGCAGAACATTTCGAAAATCAAAAGTCGCGCCGATTCGCGGAAGTCCGACAAGCAAGCAGTGAGGAAAAAGTCGTTCGAGAGCACCTTCTCACATTGCTGCAACTTCTCTTGAGCTTCATCGAAGTCATGCTTGATGTACAAGCAAGTCAAGAAATCGGTCACTGGGTCTTCATAGTTATGACGTTCCTATAAATATGCAATCTCAAGGAGATGAGAGAAAAAAAAGAACTTCACATACAATGTCGATAACTTTGATCAAATCCTTAAGACTATTCTTTTGACGGCTCTTGCTTGTCACAACGGCGACGGCGAGATAGCGAAGCAAATGAGGAGCCAACACTTGAATGGCGTTCAAATACGATTGCTGGTTCAGGAACATCTCGATGATCTCGTCTCGACCCTTCGGGTAGTTGAAGAAAACGAATAGAGCCCAATGCATGAGCCAAGCGCGTTGGTTAACAAGCTCCCAATCGGTATCGAATGGATTAGCGTCGATGTAAGCCCGAAGTTTGAGCAAGTCATCACGCGCGTGCTCCCATTCTTGCAAAAGAATCTCGCTGGCCAATTTTCCGTACAACGCGTTCAAATAGTTTGGATCAGCTTGATTGGCCAAATTACGATAATAGTAAAGGCACACCGAGGCGACAGTGTAGTTTCCGCACTCATACATAAATTTACTGAATTTGTAAAGAGTGTTGACCATTTCGGAAGTGAACTAAAATCAATTAATATGATATAAAACATATTAAAACACGTACGTTATGGTTCTGCGAAAGATATTCCATGATACGGACGTTTCCATCACGCTCGCGATTGTTCTCAAGCATTTCCTTCACCTCGGGAGCTTCAAGAATAGCGATCACCGGGTCAACGCTAGCCTTCAATTCGGTGCGTTCCTTCATTATATCAGCCTTGCGAGCTTCCAATGACGATGGAACATTCTTTCCATTGTAAGTCTCAATCAAACTATCAATCATGCATGTCTTTGAAAGTAATTGTCTGTGCGTCTCCGTGATCGATTTTTCGTCATAAATCTAAAGAAAACGTTATATTTTATATTTAAAAAAAAATTCAAAATACCCCTCTCGGCTCGATGAATTCCAGAAGTGGAATGATTAAATGGCGATCAAGAAAGGGCGACATGCGCTGTGTCAAGTCAAACTTAGACATGTTTTACCTGAAATATGTAAAAATAAAAGATAGATATCAACTATAAAAGTGGACCAAAATCGCCAATAATAGTCTTCTAATTAATTTAAATAATAGTATAAAATAGTTCAATTTTATGTGGCGCAAAATAAACATTTTTTGCAAATCCTAAAAGCTAATGAATAATTCTTGTATTAACTTTGATCACGTTGCAAATTAAAGATAAAAATTATTTGTTTTATAACCGTTTTAAAATTGTGCTTTTTTAAAGTTTTGTCTCAAGACGAAAGAAAACGCGGAAAAAGCAAAAAATACGGATAAAATGTTGAGGAGCTAAAACGAGGGCTGTTGTGTAAACGCGTAATGTCGTTTGTACACGGTCAGCGAACTTCTTTTTCCCACAGTGATTTCTTTTGAAGCTATTCGAAAGTAAAAAAATGTCAAAGTACATTTAATGAGCATTTTTTACATGTCTGCATTGGAAAAATGTGTAAATTTTCAGATTTGCGGTTGTTTGGGAGCGGCCACGAATTTAACAACATTACATTACATTTTTCATTGCATTAACCATTTAAAAACTCTATTTGATAATAAGACGTCAAATGTTTTATTAACAAAAATGCGGGAAAGACAGAATGAAGTATATAAGATAGAACCTGATGTAAGCATTTAGGATAGGAAAGAAAAGAAAGTCAATAGCGGAGCATCTGAATGGCAAAGAAGGATTGGGTTTTGAGAAAGCGCATAATTTACAAACATCAAATTCGAAGTGGCTAAAAGTTGTCGATTCGTCGTTTATGCACATAATCGCGATTTCTTTGTCTCGTCACGAAAAATGTGACCGTTGAGCAGCAGAATAAGGCCAGTATGATAGCAGCAATCATAATTCCGGAAGCAGTTCTCGATACACAAACTTCTGGAGACACTGAGAATGAAAGGGATTGTGGTGGAACCGCGCCGTCTGAATTATTCCCTATTATTCTCTAAATCAATTATTATCGGCATCCGATAACTGCTGTGCGCGGGTAGATTTATGTGCATGCGCCTTCTCTATGGTCTCGCACGGACTAACAGGCTATATTGTATTTTAGAAGACATTCCGTTAATTTTTATCTTCAGTGATATAAATTATTCAAAGAAATGATATTCTCATTAAGAAAAATTCAACAATTCGCGTGAAAAACTAAAATAAGCTATCACGTGTGGCGAGACCATTTCGGAAGGCGCATCCCGTAAATCTACCCAGCGAAGTCACCGGACGCCGACTATACCTGTTTCCTACCTTTTCGATCATTGTCCTCAACAGGAAGTACGATGACATCCACTGAAACGTCTGTTTCCATATCTCCAGAAGTTCGTCGCTTCTTCGATGCCGTTGTCGTCAAAGGTTCCTGAACACTGGTAGTAGTTGGAGTTGCGGTCGAGGTTCCTAAAATGAGATTTCGAATCTATGCCGTTGCTTTTTTTCTCATTTACCTTCAGTCTTTCCATTCGACGACAATGGTTTGAACGTGACAAGTTCCGGTGTTCTCTGAGGCGTCGATATCGTGGTTCTCGCCGTCACCACCTGCATCACAATTTCCTCCTCATCGCTCACGTCGGTCTCGTTCAACGGACTGTCTCGACGATACGCGCTGCGAGAATTATCTCAGCGATTGATTTTAACTGAACTCACTTTTCGCTCGAGCCGCCTTCATGCGCTCCACCTTCGTTGCTCATTGGCTTCGGTCCTCTGAATGGCGGTATCGGATGATGGCCACCTTCGTTGAATGGATTTGGTTGTCCAAGAATTATTGGTTGGAATGCCGGACGATTAAGTCCGCCGGTTGGTGGGCCGAAGATTTCTGGTTCTGGAATGTGTGGCGCAAACTTCGGAGGCTCGTTCGGATGCTCTTCTGATGAGCGTTCTTGTGATGCCGAAGAAGCATGATGAGAATGATGATCAATGCCGCAACTCGGTGGCGTTATTCCCTCGCATCCCCCGTCATGCTTATAGCATAATTGAACAGTGCAAGTAAAATATAATTGAACCTAGACTGGGTATATTTGATAGTGTTTCAGCTTTTCGTCTCACTTTGTCAGCATATTTGAAGACGTGGGCGTTGGTGAATGCCGAAATCGCATTAGGCTCATACTCAATTTGAGGAAGAAGGAATGGATCTGTTGAGCAACCTCGATCATCAACAAGCTCGAATTTGTTGCCGTGACCATCATCAGCAAAACAGCTGTGAATGAGGATACCATAGACATGACTGGCGTCTGATTTTGAGATGTTAGATTCAAACGGCATTTCAATTCTTACCCTGATCACACCTCCACACGTGTGTCACTTTTTGTCCAACTTGAGCGAATCTCAGCACATGCCCTTCAACTCCTTCTTTTAAATGATAAGCACAGACTGGAAGCGAGTATTCTTGATCGACACTCTGCGGCGCAAGAGTTCTAAATCATTAGCTATTCAACGATGCCTCTGATTCCCGAAACTAACCCGACGTCTATTTCAGCATTGAGTCCTTTGATGGATTCAAGAAAGAAGCATCGAATACTAAACGCTCTATCCATTCCGGTGACGAAGAATGGATGGAATGAGACGATCATTGTGAATGAGAAGGCGATTCCGCGTGGATGTAGTGTGCGCTGCCTTCGCATGTTGCAAGCGCCGATGGGAATGCCGAATTGTTGGCCCTCGTGAGAATCTTCGGATCGGTGAACACAGTGCTGCTTGTCAGATTCGCCATCGACGTAGATTCGCCCTAAAATGGAATATATAAATATGAAATAAGTTGTTGATTTCTAGAAAAATGTGTGTTACCCAAAATGGAATTGAAGAATATAAATAGGAACCTGTGAACGGATGCTCGGTATTGACGTTAACTCGAATATTGTCGATGCCACAATGAACTTCCGGCTTGCCAACCACACCATTTTCAATTGCAAATTGTTGGGCTCCCTATTTCGGAAAATGATATAATAATAATAGTAATAAGAATTTTACCTGTGCAAAAATGAGAAGCGCGAAACACAGCCGTGGCAACATCGAACAATGTGAATCCGAAAGCGAGAAAGAAACAATAAAAGATTGCCGGAGTCGCCTCGTATTCCTCGTTGTCATTATGTATATATACCAGTAGTCATTACCATGCACCTCCCACCGCATTGCGCCTCGCCAATTCAAAATCGGTGCCTTTTTTTCTCGCGATCGCTGTCTGGTATAATTGCGTTGTCTAACTTGTGATACAACTAATGGATTAGCCCGATATTACGTATCAGTATTGACACGAACACACAAAAAAAAGCAAACGTCTAGCTAATTGCGGCTTGCTTGTTGTCCTACTGGTTATTGATGAATTTATGTGATATGTGAAGGGATGGCTTCTATTCTTCAGGTTTACCGGATTCCGATCGCCTTTATTTCGGGAAGAAGATGCATCTGAAAAAGAAGTATTTTTTTCAAATATATAAATTCTATCTAGCTGGAGATTTATTAGCGGAATCGGCCAAATTCGGCCATAATCAAAACATTAACCTGTACATCTTTCAATTCTTCCTTCATTTTTCTGATGCAGAAGTAATAACTCGTTTTATTTGCCTTCAAGTTTATATTTTTTCGAAATCGATTCTAAAATCTTCGAAGCACATTGATTTTCATTTACCTGAGATGTCAGGGATGTGAAAGCTTGGAAATTTCTCAGGTAACTGAAAATCAATCGAATTCGAAGAAAAATGAAATATAAATTAACCTGATTCGATTAAAAAAATAATTAAAATTCGATTGAGAAAGTGTTTAAATTCGATAAATTTTTCGGCAAAAAAAATGTCAGAAAAAATATAATTGGCATTGTATTTTCTAAGAATTAAATTGAAAAAATTCTCACATCCTGCTATATATATATTTTTTTTATTTCAGTCGTGCTGTTGTTTTTTATGCGCTTTATTTTAATAAATAATTGTGTTCATCTAATCGGTTATCTTCTTTCATAACTAGAAAAAAACGAACACATTACAATAACGTTTGAAAAAAGTTTATAAGTTCGAGGCGAAAATTGTCGAAATGATAATACTTAAAATGTTTTTTTTTTCGAAATATTGATAGCTTCTTTCATATAAAACACTTAATTTTGAATAATATACAATAATGATTACTATTAAAAAATATATATACATAAAATTATAAATTCAATAAGAAAACACAGAAAAAAAAAACGAAAAATAATAATAATTAATTATTGTGGAAAGATGGCGAATGTGAAAAGCTGCAGCGATATCCTATGTATTGTGTGCGTACACCGAGTTGCACAGTTCAATCTAAGCTACAGTAATCACGACTAAAACTTATTTGTTAGGTAGAAGAGATCTTCTTGATAGGACTCTTTTTAATTTGTGAGTCTTACACACTATTTAAAAAGGGTCCTATCAAGAAGATCTCTTCTACTTAACAATAATCCACACGATGCACTCAAAACAAGTCGCTCCACAACTAACAAAACTAAAATTTATTTATTTAATTTTTTTCATTTTTTTTTTGTTTTCTTGGCGAATTTATGGTTTTGTGTATTTTTTTGTTGAAACAGTGTAATAGTAATAATTTTACTATATTATTCAAAAATATTCGAGATTGAGCCTTTTTATTTGGTGTTCGCACACAATGCATATGATACCGCTGCAGTTTTCCACATTTGTCATTTTTCCTCAATAATTCGTTGTTTTCAGATTCCTTTTTTCTTTCAAAATGGTACAAGGAATCCGAATCAAAATGATGGAGAAGGATATTGAATTGGATTCGCCGGACAATATGCTTGCCAAAAACTCCGTCAAATCCGCCTTGTTGCTTCCCGATGATGCGGTCGTTTCGTTGTCGTACAAAGTAGATGACCGCCAAAAATTTTGTCGGTATGTTACATTCTGAATTATTTCTGATTGTTTTTTTCAATTTATTTAGAATGAATGAAACTGGCACAACGTTTTTTCTTCCTGACGGTTGGCGAGATTTGCAATTCTTCGTCGATTCGGTCAGAGCACCGTCTTGATCTTCTTTTTTTTTTCACCAACTCTAATGGAATGATAGGAATGAACTGCTTCGCCCCCTGGGGGTAGAAGAGAGGACTTTTCTGAATACCTAGCAAAAAAGTCGAACAATAGAATGGTTAAATTCTAAAATAGAACATGAAAAACAAAAATTCTTAAAATACTTAAATAATTCGAGAAAATGGGTTCGAGTGACGGATATTATGTACAACGAAAGATTTAAAGTCAATTGTGCCATCAATCAATAACACAATTAAAAGTTATAATTCTCATAAAATTGACAAACAATTGAAAAACGACATTCATAAAATACATCAAAAAATTCAACTAATCAAATATTTTATGGATACGCATTGGTCGGCATTTGCCTGTTTTTCCTTTTAATCTTTTTTTCTTTTCAATCTACAACATGAAAAACAAAAAATTCGAATTCGACAAAAAACCAATACATCAATAACACAATTAAAATTATTCTCACTTAAATTCAACAAAAATACAAATAGAAACAATTAACCTTAAAAAAAAACAACAATAAAAAACAGACAAATAAATTTAAAATAATTCAACTAATCAAACATCTTATGGATACGCATTGGTCGGCTTTTGCCTGCTTTTCCATTTGTCTTATTATCTTTTTGTTCTTTTCATTTTTTTAAATAAGAAATAATAAACAAATAAACATTGGGTGGAATATAGTAAAACAATAAAATACATATGAAAAACACAATTTAAAAAAATCCAAAATTGTACACCAATATTCTTATACACCAAAATTAAATATTGAAATACCATTGAATAGATACACTTTGGTCGGCTTTTGCTGGGATGTTGAATGGTGCAGGAATCGGTGAACTTCCATTTGAAAAGCGAAATTGATTTTGCATTTGGATCATTTGGTTCTTCTTGATTAACGCGGATCCTCGTGCTCAATGAGCTGATGAGCAACTTGATTGCGAAAATGTTCAGCGAATATTCAAAACATGCGAGCGAGTCGATTTATTCCGAAAGACTTTTGATCGAGAATATCCCTTTAGGGGATTATTGAGAATAAAGCGAGAATTTCCTAATCTATCCTACTCTTCGAGACAACCTGCAAATTCTCAAACAGGTTGGCTCAAAAATGGAAAGGTCGGACAATAAAATGGGGGAATTCTAAACTAGAACATGGAAAACAAAATTTCTTAAAATACTTAAATAATTCGAGAAAATTGGGGCGAGTGACGGGTATTATGTACTACGAAAGACTTAAAGTCAATGGCGCGATAATTATGCAATTAAGAGTAAGTTATAGCTCACATAAAATTGACAAAAAAAAATAATAAAATCGTAGATAAAATTGAACATTGATAAAATAAATTTTAAAAAAATTCAAGTAATCAGCTATTTTATGGATACGCATTGGTCGGCTTTTGCCTGTTTTTCCTTTTAATCTTTTTTCTTTTTAATATTTCACTGATTTTCTTTTATTTTTTCTAACAGTGGCAAAAAATATAAGGGGAAGAGAGAATCGAAGGATACGCATTGGTCGGCTTTTGCCTGTTTTTCCTTCCTTTTATCATTTTCTTTTTAATTATTTTTTTTTACATTTTCTGTTTTTTTTTTTGCTTTTTTTCTTTTCTCTGATAATTTTGATTTAACGAGATGATGGAAATTGAACGGACTGTTGAAAATATCGCCTCGTCGAAATCTCTAGTCCTTGCATTTTCAGTTTTCTGAGCTCGCTTATGTCCAGATTCGAACTTGCACGAAGTTTTGTTTCCATGTATAAACACGCTATGTTTTTTCGAACTCAATTCTCACGATTCATAATCATATCACTGAAATAATGCTTTAACATTTAAAAAAAATGAAAATTTCTTGCGATTTGTACCTTCATTGTCCCGTAATTCAGAATATGCAGAAGACGAAATGAACTGTCTGCATCGCGAGTGCATCCTTTGCTCTCTTTTTTCCAGTTTGAGGACGGATTGTCTGGACAGAGGTGATACAAAAAATTGCATTGCGCAGTCAACTGGCAGCCGAATTGGTTTAGTTCGCTGAAAAATTCAATTATTAAGAAAATATTAGAAGAAAATCTTTACCTTGTCCGACTGCCATCGAAATGGGACCCATATGAATGAGCCTGGTCGATTGAGAGGGACCATCTTGCCATCCGACCGATCGGTGGATGAGAAACCGGCAAGAATAAACGATTTCGGAACGAATGACATTACAAGACGTGGCACTTCATACGCCACGTCACACGTTATTCGAAATTCATTGAAATTCGAATTTTATTTTGAATATAATAATCAAATGGGAAAATTGAAATCCGAGCGTAGAAAATAAAGGGCAATTTAATTGATTATTCCAAAAGTTGGAAATTTAAAGAAAAAATACAATATACCCGACCTCTGTTGAAGTTAATCCGAGTCAGAAATCGCAAAGACACTTTTCACAAGCCAATCCGTTCATTTTTGCGTAATAGTGACTGCGGACTTCGCTACCGTAACATTTAAAATTAATTTACGAAATGTTTTTTGGCGGAACAACAAAAGACGGAAATCCATTCAGCCTTGGTCTCAATTGGTCCTGGCAAGTTTTTCATAAGCATAACTGTTTTATTACTCTAACGATATTCCACTCATATTTATGTTTATTAATTTTTGATTTAGGACCACTAAATTCCCGAATTACCGCACATTTCTGGTGTGGATAAATGTTGAATTGCAATAGAGTAATCACTGGAACGACTTTGAGTATTTTTCATTTTTTTTTAAATTTTACTGTTTTGAAGGAAGTTATTAAAATCGCAAAAAAAAACTTTTTGAATTAAAATTTTTAAAATTAAGGCTGTTTTTTGTTCCAAATATCATTATTTTTATTTTCATGATTTTCAGTCCAATACGTTTCAACCCGTCCCGAATCGTCCGCCGTCTCAAAGGCGTGCTAGACTAATATTCATTTCTTCTTTTTCGAGACTGAAATTTCGCAAGAAAATGAGTGCTCTGCGCTGATTTACGGCGAGTTTGATTCGCAGGTTATCCGATACCCAAATTCCCACTGTTTAATTCCAAATTGAATTTCCGCATCGCAAAAGTGCGATGGTCCACAGTTTTTTTTCCGATGGCAATAGATTTTTTTTAATTCAATAATACATTACTGGTAAAAAGTGTCTTTGCGATTTCTGACTCGGAATAACTTCAACAGAGGTCGGGGATATTGAATTTTTTCTTTAAACTTCCAAATTTTGGAATAATCAATTAAATTATTCATTTTGCATTTTATTTTCTACGCTCGCTTTTCAATTTTCCCATTTGATTATTATATTCAAAATAAAATTCGAATTTCAATGAATTTCGAATAACGTGTGACGTGGCGTATGAAGTGCCACGTCTTGTAATGTCATTCGTTCCGAAATCGTTTATTCTTGCCGGTTTCTCATCCACCGATCGGTCGGATGGCAAGATGGTCCCTCTCAATCGACCAGGCTCATTCATATGGGTCCCATTTCGATGGCAGTCGGACAAGGTAAAGATTTTCTTCTAATATTTTCTTAATAATTGAATTTTTCAGCGATCTAAACCAATTCGGCCTCCAGTTGACTGCGCAATGCAATTTTTGTATCACTCTGTCCAGACAATTCGTCCTCAACCTGGAAAAAGAGAGCAAAGGATGCACTCGTGTTGCAGACAGTTCATTTCGTCTTCTGCATATTCTGAATTACGGGACATTGAAGGTACAAATCGCAAGAAATTTTCATTTTATTTTAATTTAAGCTCAGTGATGTGATGATGAATCGTGAGAATTGAGTTCGAGACAACATAGCGCGTTTATACATGGAAACAAGACTTCGTGTAACTTCGAATCTGACCATCAGCGAGCTCAGAAAACAAAAAAAATGCAAGGTCTAGAGATTTCGACGAGGCATTAAGCGATCTTTTCAACAGTCCCTTCAATTTTCGTCATCCCGTTCAATTAAAAGTATTAGACAAAAGAAAAATTAAGAAAAAATAGAAAATAATGAAAAAAAAAATAAAAAGAAAATGATAAAAGGAAGGAAAAACAGAAAAAAAAGAAAATCAGTGAAACATTGAAAAGAAAAAAAAAAGATTAAAAGGAAAAACAGGCAAAAGCCGACCAATGCGTATCCATAAAATATTTGATTAGTTGAATTTTTTGATGTATTTTATGAATGTCGTTTTTCAATTGTTTGTCAATTTTATGAGAACTATAACTTTTTAAAATTGTATTATTGATTGATGGCACAATTGACTTTTTAAATGTTTCGTAGTACATAATACCCGTCACTCGCCCCAATTTTCTCGAATTATTTAAGTATTTTAAGAATTATTGTTTTTCATGTTCTAGTTTAGAATTCCCCCATTTTATTGTCCGACCTTTTTTTGAGTCAACCTGTTCGAGAATTTGCAGGTTGTCTCGAAGAGTAGGCTAGATTAGGAAATTCTCGCTTTATTCTCAATAATCCCCTAAAGGGATATTCTCGATCAAAAGTCTTTCGGAATAAATCGACTCGCTCGCATGTTTTTAATCTGCGCTGAACATTTTCGCAATCAAGTTGCTCATTGGCTCATTGAGCACGAGGATCAGCAAAAGAAACCGCAAAAGGATTCACAAAAGTATTAGAGAAAAGAAAAAAAGCAAAAAAAAACAGAAAATATAAAGAATAATAATTAAAAAGAAAATGATAAAAGGAAGGAAAAACAGGCAAAAGCCGACCAATGCGTATCCTTCGATTCTCTCTTCCCCTTATATTTTTTGCCACTGTTAGAAAAAAAAGAAAATCAGTGAAACATTGAAAAGAAAAAATATTAAAAGGAAAAACAGGCAAAAGCCGACCAATGCGTATCCATAAAATAGTTGATTAGTTGAATTTTTTGATGTATTTTATCAATGTCGTTTTTCAATTTTGTCTATGATTTTATGATTTGTTTGTCAATTATTTGTGAGCCGATCAAAGTATATCCATTCAATGGTATATTATTATTATTATTATTATTTAATTTTGGTGTATAAGAATGTTTGTGTTCAATGTTCGAATTTTTTTAATTATTGTGTTTTTCATATGTATTTTATTGTTTTACTCAAGAAGAACCAAATGATCTTAATGCGAAATCATTTTTGCTTTTCAACTGGAAGTTCACCGATTCCTGCACAATTCAACATCCAAACAAAAGCCGATCATTTTGTATCCATTCAGTGGTGTTTCATTATTTTATTTTGGTGTATAAGAATGTTTGTGTACAATGTTCGAATTTTTTTAATTATTGTGTTTTTCATATGTATTTTATTGTTTTACTCAAGAAGAACCAAATGATCTTAATGCGAAATCATTTTTGCTTTTCAACTGGAAGTTCACCGATTCCTGCACAATTCAACATCACAGCAAAAACCGATCAATGTGTATCCATTCATTGGTATTTCATTATTTTATTTTGGTGTATAAGAATGTTGGTGTACAATTTTGGATTTTTTTAAATTGTGTTTTTCATATGTATTTTATTGTTTTACTATATTCCACCCAATGTTTATTTGTTTATTATTTCTTATTTAAAAAAATGAAAAGAACAAAAAGATAATAAGATAAATGGAAAAACAGGCAAAAGCCGACCAATGCGTATCCATAAGATGTTTGATTAGTTGAATTATTTTAAATTTATTTGTGTGTATTTTATCGTTTTTTAAAAGTTGAATCGTTGCTTTTTGTATTTTTTGTTGAATTTAAGTGTGAATAATTGTGTTATTGATGTATTGGTTTAAAATTTCGACCTATGCCACCCATTTTGTCGAATTCGATTTTTTTGTTTTTCATGTTCTACATGTTCTTGTAGTTTAGTAGTATTATTGATTGATGGCACAATTGACTTTTTAAATGTTTTGTAGTACATAATACCCGTCACTCGCCCCCATTTTCTCGAATTATTTAAGCATTTTAAGAATTATTGTTTTTCATGTTCTAGTTTAGAATTCCCCCATTTTATTGTCCGACCTTTCCTTTGTTGAGCCGACCTGTTCGAGAATTTGCAGGTTGTCTCGAAGAGTAGGCTAGATTAGGAAATTCTCGCTTTATTCTCAATAATCCCCTCAAGGGATATTCTCGATCAAAAGTCTTGGGATATTTTGGGGAAACTTCTGTTATCGAACTTTCATTTTTCATTTCATTGTATGCCACGAAAAAACCTTGAATAGAATAGAATGGAGGATAGTACAGCAGGAATATATGATCGATAACAATACAAAAACCGAAATTCAGCACCGAGCGACCCTTTTATAAATGCGGCCGTTCTTATGGGTCAAAGGGTGTAATTGGGAAAAAGAAACAACTGTGACGTTAGAACCTTTGCTGCTACGTGTTGATCCATGGCGTTCATGCACTTCCGGCGACAGCAAAAACTCCCTTGCCGTCAGTTCTTTCTTGTGCTGCGCCTTTAGACCACCTTTATGTACAATCATTAATTTTTCCAGCATGGTTAATTGATTTCATCTCTGTCAAATTAAATAGCATCACGTCGCGGTATCATCAATTCACAAGATTTATTATTTTTTAAATACCGTTGCTAATAGTAATAATTATGAGATGTGAAGAACTGGTCGATGCGCGTTCATCATAGCGTTTGGGGACCGATTTTGAAAATTCTCCCTGGGTTCCTGCACGTGTTGAGTTCTGCTCTTTAGACAATTATTCAAATATCTATTAATAGAAAAGTAACAGCAGGTATTCGTTGTGGAATGGGACTGTGTTGTTGAACGATTGCATTAAAAGTTGACACAAAACTTCTGAAGAACGTTCTATATGGTGTCAGCTTCTTGAGGGCGCTTTTGCGTATTAACTGTAACAATTGATTGTATATTTAAGACCCCATAGTTGAAATCTCACCTGATTGTCAGAAATCAATTCTTCCACAATTCGTTCTTCCAGTGCGCTGCAAGTAGTGTTCAAATTCCAGAAAAGGCAATTGTGAATATGTTCGGCGATTCCTTGAGAATCCATCTCTAAACAATTGCCTTTGAACGCTGTCCACAAGCAAATACAACTCTTCTCAATGACACGCGTTTCATCCAAACGCCTCAGATAGCGTCGGGAAAACAATGGAGGAGTCCTGAAATTGATTGTTGCCTTGAGACACTCTTTCGATTATACCTTGGCATTCTTGCTGTTGATCTCTCGTATACAATAGAGATTATTGTCATGAGCCAAAGACGCAAACATGAATCGCTGTGATTGCCTTCATTGATCATCTGAAGCCACTCGCCCGGATCAATGACCTTCAAGAAATTTGATTCGAAAATTCAATTGACCCTCGTACCGCATTAACAATATCCAATGCATTTGGAATCAGATTGATACCGATTGGTTGAAGCGCATATCCAGAAGGAATCATCAGAATCATCATGTTTATGATTATTTTTAAATTTTTGAACAATCCTTTCATGGCTGTCGGTCGTTTCATGAATAGGTATCGTCGGCAGAGTAGTGGAATTGTCTCGATAAACAGCCAAATGCATCATTCAAATACGTTTCCATCTAAATTAAAAACGAAACTTTCAATTATCATTAATGTTACTATGCACATTTCGAAAAAATAAAAAAAACCATAAAAATGCACGTTGCAGAAAAGAAGTTCAAAAACCTCAACCACGACCAAGTGTTTTTTTAAAGCCTACGCTACCACAGTTTTCATGAGATCGCTTCAAGAATCATTATATTTTATCGTATTCACTTTTAACGGTAACGAATTTATTTTTTAAATCCAAGTATTATCACAGCATTTCGTTACTATATTTTCTATTTTGATTAAAGTCGCATATAAAACATTTGTATGATTCTTTCGTCGATTTAATGAAAAAACTGTGGAACTCTAGAATCCGAAAAACCTAGACATGGGCTAAGTTTTTTTTCTGCAATCTGCAACGCACGTGCGGCCTAGAAAAATTGGACGACACTTTCAAAAAGCAAGAATGCAAGCGCGGCACACAAATTCTGGGAAAAACTACAAATGCGGCACACTACCACAGGCTAATTTCACACTACCACAAGCTAAATTTATTTAATATATTCAATATATACAATCCTAAATGTTCCACACCGGCCGTCATTGTCATTATTCTCACTTTTGATCCAATAAATGATGGAATGTAACGTCGGGGCACAAATACACGCGACACAAAGGAGACACGAAATTTCCACCCATCTGAGTGGGACAACATCATTCACTATATTTAATCAACCCTCCGACCGGAAGCAATAATCCAAGAGCCTTATAAATGCCACCAGCTCACCCCGTATTTAAGCGATGCTCGGGAACCGAACGAGGAGGTAGAAAGCCCGAAGACATTCTATAAGTCCACATTATTATGTTACTCATTCCATCGTTCATAAATAAACTCTTAGTTGTTTATTGTTTGTTTCTAACACGAAACCATGAACAAGGAATAGAGTCGGGAATACGGACCACACGGCCGAGATTCGCGCGCACCTCCATTCCCGCACTAAATGCAGATATTGTTGATAAATGACAAATGTATCCAGGTGTCGTAGGATCCTGCGTTTTGTACGCAATGCTAAGAGACAGTTACCGTAATCCTCGCAGCGATTTACGGAGTTTTTTTTTTAAATTTTCTTTCAATTTTTTTGCTGAATTTTCTTATTTTTTTTTTTAGAAATCTTATATTTAAAACCTGTAGAAACCGAGTTTAATTATTTATTTTTCAGAATATGCACTTTTCCATTTGTCCAGTTGATTTGGGAATTATTGTGAAGATTTTGACGCTCTAAAAATTATTTTGAAAATGAAGAATACAAAAACAAGATAATAGAAACGCATACAAAAAGCAAAACACGATTAATGACAAAAATGTTTTCTTTAAAATCTCTGCTGTTTTTGCCAAAAAAATATCGTTTAAAAGTGTTTATTCTGCTAAATAAATTATTAAACTCGGTTTCTGCAAAATATAAATAACAAAATTTCAAAGGGAAATACGGAAGTTGAGCGAAAAATAAAAAAATGAGTATGCGAAATTTAAAAAAAAAGTCCCCGTAAATCGCTGCGAGGATTACGGTAACTGTCTCTTAGCATTGCGTACAAAACGCAGGATCCTACGACACCTGAATACATTTGTCATTTTTCAACAATAACATCTCGAGGCTTCTCTCGTGGGACTTGCGTCTTTGAGAGGGGTTCGCTTCAAATTTTCCACTCCCCTTATTTGATAGCGGTTTTGTCCTCTACATTCTTTGGAGAAATAAAGTGCTTTCTTCTCTACTTTGTATTTTTACATTTACAGGAATGGAAAAAAACCCATAGGCAGGCGGCCTCTGCCACCGATCGACGGAGGTACCCAAGGGTCGCCTTTACTTTTGTAAAGGACGAGCCTTGCGGGCTCCTCTTCCTGAGTCCCATCTGCAGACCCTCTTTGACTTTCTTTTAAAGATGAAGTAATTTCCTCTCTTTGTTAGGAGATATAAACCGTTTTCACCCGTAATCGTTTTTATTGTCACACGAGTACGAAAGTGAGAGAAATAAATGGTGCCGTCCTTCTATTGTAAGTGAGTCAGAAGACAACATCAGGTTAAACAGCGTCCGCAAGGAGACATCTATATTTAATCAACCCTTCGACCGGAAGCAATAATCCAATAGCCTTATAAATGCCACCAGACACCGCACCAATTTTCTACGACTTCGAAAAAGAACTGGAAAAACGTATTTATAAAATGTGGCCTCTCAAGATTCGATAGTCGACCTGCGAAGATCGACTTCGACAAGAAGTGCGAAAAAACAGAAAAGTGAGGAAGCGGTAGCAGATTTGGAAGAAAAGTCCGTGAGAGCCGGAAAGATAGGTAGAATGTGATTCGTCGGTATTGGGCGTGATCGTGAGGAACCTTAAAATGGTAGAGCTGGGCCGAATCAGTAGGATGATAGACGAATCGAGAGAATCAAGTGATCTGAAAAGAATCAAAATGACAGTAAATGAGGGCAGGGACTACATTGCGGATAATCGGGCAAAAATCTGATCCGACAGGGCAAGTGCGGTCGACGGCGGTTGAACCTCAAACGAAATGAACAATTAATTTTAGGCTTTTTGGCGAAACCAAATGATTTATAGATGGAATAATATTATTCAATGCTCGTCTCATTATCTTTAAATAATTTTTAGCAAAATAGTCGGTAAAATTTTGAGAACCCCCTTTTCATTAAATGTAACTTTACTTTAACAAAAAAAAATGTAAAAGTTACATTAAATTTGCAACTTTTTTGCACAATCTTCCGTTGTAAAAATGTGAAAATGTTTTACATTTTTATTGCATAAATAGGTCTATAATAACAGCTATTCTTTATTTGAATATTTCGTTCTTCAATGAAGTCAATTCAATGATGATAACGAGCGTCAAATTGTTGCGCAGACAGTGAATCACCGACGAAGGTTGTCAAACGTGAAAGAGTTTCGCCACCCGACTTTCAATTCTACTTTCGTTCAAATTTGTGTGATATCAGAAATAATAGAATTCGCCTTGTCTTTTTATAACCAATTTATTTATATTTAATGTTTGATCATTATGTTAGACATTCTTGTCCGATTTTTTTTTTGCGTTTCCATAGAAACTATAATCAGTTATAAATCGAAACAGAACATTGTCGGAATATTCTGGGTGTTGGCAGCTGAAATTATGGTTCACCTAATTGTATGCACAATGTTTCCATGGAAATTGCTCATATACACTGATTATGTTCAATTCTTCTCATTTTTCATTTTAGAGTTGTGATCATTGTTTTAATTTCACCACAAACTTTATTTCTCTTAAATTGGCTGTCGTGAACTCGATATTGCTTTTTTCAGTGTTTCACCATGGACCAATCAATTCCTTGCGAGACGAAAACTGCTCCAAACCCAACAATTACTGTGCAGCACGAGGCAAATGGTGCACCGACCAGAGAGCCGCCAACGACGTCGCCACCACAAATGGTGCCTGTAATTGGTCAGACTGGAATTATGGCGCCACCTGGGATGATGGCCCCAATAACTTGCCAGCCTGGTGTGATGCCGCAAATGCAAGGAGGGGTTCAATATGTGACCCCTGGTGGTTGCGCACCACCGCATTACTACGATGGAAGCGAGCACTTTCAAATGCAGCCAGCGATCACTGTACAACCAGGCGTTCCACTGCCGCCAGGTCCTTTAGTGCAACCACAACCAGGTAACATTCAAATCGAGAGCGTTCAGAGTCGTTTTTATTCAGTTGCCGTCATGCCAACAATTCAAGAAATTCCCGGAGTGCCTTCAGGTTTAGAATATTTGAGCTACATCGAGGCAATTCTAATCCATCAGGTGAACCGTCGTCAAAATTTGCGATTTGACCGATTCCTCATATAGATCGCCGATATTCTCGAAATGGTTTCAAATTGGGAGATATCGAATCGATACGTGTTGAAGAATTCCAACGGCCAACAAGCATTCTACGCGTTCGAGGAATCGGAATTCTGTGAGCGGCAGTGTTGCGGACCAGTGAGAGGATTCACAATGCACATCGTCGATAACTTCAAGAGGGTTCGAACCAAAAAAAAACAAAATCGAGATCGTTTCCATGAGAAATTCCAGGAAGTCCTGACACTTCGTCGCGATTTCAAAACGGCAATCGCCTTCGGCTGCGGCGCTTGTGCATGCTCGAGAAGCTGCCAAAACGAGTGCACAATTTCGTCGCCATCGGCCGGATTGGTATGAAAATTCCTATTCAAGCCCTCATCGAAAAATTGTGTTCAGTTGGGAACGATTCGTCAGCGCTTCGAATGCTGTCAAGGCGATTTCGTTGTCATGGATTCGGACGGCGTTGAAATATTCCAGGCGCCACTATTCCATCAAAATCGTGTGTCACCAATTTGCTTAATTTCCAGATTATTGGTCCATGCTGCTGCCAGCTACTCTCATGTTCAGATAAAAAGTTTAACGTAATTCCACAGAATTGAATTTTGAAATAAAATTGGTTCAATTTTTTTTGCTGTAGATCAGAACAATGAACAATGGGAACATTGGGGCGATAACGAAGAAATGGGGAGGATTCGCTCGCGAACTTTTCACCGATGCCGACACATTTTCAGTCAATTGTAAGTTGAATTAATTATTTTTTTGAAATTCAAATTGAAATTGTTGAAGTTCCAAAAGATCTCGACGTGAAATTGAAGGCAGTTCTTCTTGGAGCCACTTTTTTGATTGTGAGCTGTTTCTATGAATTCCAATCAATACCTTCTCTTTTCAGGATTTCATGTACTTCGAAGAAGTCAAACAGCGATAGCTTTTTTTCCTATTTGATTTCGATTTGATCTCCTATGAAGATTACACTAGATATTAAAGGCGCATGCGAAAATTTGTTGATTTCGCTCTAAGATCAAAAATGGCTTTGATCATTCAAATTTGCCGAATTCGTCCAATAAATATTTTGTCTATATATTGAATAATAAATATTTTGCCATAAATCTGCGTGACCTATTCAAAAAAAAATTTTTTTTTAACCAAAATGCTGGAATTTTTAATTCGAATCGAAAATGTCGGGCGTAACGGAGCACGTGAATCGTCTTGCCAGCGCGTTCAATCGCGCCATGGCCGATATCGTATCATCGGAGCTGAATGCCGACATCATTGAGCATCTGAAGGTGATGTCGACGATCTTCACTGAAGTATGAGTCAAACACGAGAAGCGCATCTGGAAATGATTTGCAGGCTTGCTCACTCGCCGAAAGTTGTGCAGCTGAAACGGAGACGATGAGAAAAGAAAACGCGGCGCTCGGCGAGCAATGCCTTAAGCTGAAAACGAAAAGCAGCGCCGTCGATGATGTCATTCAGCAAATTCATTTGCTTCTAACCACAAAAGCCGCCCGCAACGCCGATCGGAATGCGATTATGATAATGGAAAAATTAGTAATTATTTTTTTTTCAATAGAGCAATTAGTGGGAAAATTGCTTATACGATTTGAAACGTTTTTTTTCGCTGCCGACATTTTCACGGTTTCGATTTCAGAAAGAAGACGTCGAATTGAATATGCGAAAAATTGAAAAATATCACAAATATAAAGAGATGTATGAAATGGAAAAATGTCGGGCGAATCGAATGCTCAATCATGTCAACGAGATGTCGAAGCTTGTCGTCATGCAGCGAATCGGCTCGCGTTTCTTCGCGCGGGTATTTTTATTTTTTTTTCCAGAGCCCATCGCCTAATCCGCTATCGTTTGTCAGGAAGTCGCCGCGTTGCGACAGATGATGGATCTCGTGCGAAACGCGCGTTCGATCGACGCGGCCGCAAAAGCGCACGTGTGGGACGAGATCGAGGCCGAGAATATGGTGTTGCGTGTGAACACACTGTGGCTGATTAACAGGTTCGACGAATTGGTGTCGTGCTGCTGGGAAAATCAACGCCTTCAGAATCAACGGAAGCGATCGCAAAGATGCCGCCTACGAGAACGACGAGGATGTGCACAGTCCGCCACGTGTTGTCATTCTGTTGAGATCCCATCCACATCAAGGTCTCGGATTAGAGATTACGGTAATTACTTTTTTTTGGGGTTTGATTAATTGGAAACGAACATTTCTTGACATTTGTTGGGAAACATTCGTCCCCCTGTTGTTGCAACTTCGGAATCCGACAAAAAAACCTCATTAAACCGAATTGATGGTTCCTTCGACACACATTAATTGCTCACATTGTACATTTTGCGACGCAAACACTCGCAACAAGCCAATGAAGTCGATTCTAGGGTGGAAGTGAACAATTTCGGCCGATTATTGTGACGGGAAAACTGAAAGGATCGATGGCGGATGATGATGAGGTCGAGAGGATTTGACGGAAAAGCCTACAATTTGAATATTTTAGCTTCATCTTGGTGATCGTTTGATATCAGTTGACGGCACTTTCATCACAAACACTACTACTCATTCGGAGGCAATGAAGCTGTTAGAAGAAGAGGTATGAAGTGCTCGCTGTTTGTTTGTTTTTTTCTTCATTTTGCGAGTCAAATTGGCCATCTGGTGACTTGCAAGTTTCCCACGAGTATATAATCCGCGGCGGTTTATTACAGTCGACGAAAGACTATCTGGCATTGGTGGTGTCGGCATTCAATCCGTGGCTGTCGCAACAAAGTCATCACGTAATTGATGAGCAAGAGAGCACACAAGGTGCTCACGAGTAGGGCACGCCCATTAATGACAATCGTCAGACGATGGCTGAAAACTATCATTTATTTGTGTCCGATTGTTTTGGTTAGAATGCATTGTTTTTAACGTGTGTATGTTTTTTTTTAATTTTTAGTGCTATGTTTCCATTTAGCAAATAAATAAAGTCGGCATTCTGTTGTGTAATAATGCGGCTGAGATTTATAGGCCTATAGGTGCGATATCAGCAGCGCATTCATTCGATCAAGTTGTAAATAAATAAATAAATAAGAAGAGAAAATGTGAGAATGCGAAGAATTTTTTGATGTAAAACGTTACTGTGATGTTGACGAAAGGCGCAGTCTCATTTTTATCTCTTCTCTTGACGCGATAGGTTACTGTATTTATTTTTTTTCCAATATTAATTTTAATTTCTTTTCTTTTTTTTCATTTCCCCCAATAGATTTTCCGATATGCACAATTTGAGTTGAGATAAATAATAGCGTGGGTTTCTGTTTGCTATTGATAACACTAATATGTGCATTCATCTATTCATTTTGTCACATTTGTTTAAATTTTAATCGATCACTCTAGCCTAAATTCGCCGAAAAAAGCAATTAATCAATTTTTGCAAGCAACTAGTTTATATCTTGTGACGTCAAAACTCCAAACACAATGTGTATTTTTATCGGTGAAGCGGTGCGTTTGATGTCCGTCGCGATAAGCGTCTAATTGATACTTTCGTACCTCCCCAGAATCGCCGCTCATCATCATTAATTAATGCCGATTATCTTCTGGTGTTCGGCGAGACCACGAAACTTTTGTTCGTCTCGTCGATATGACGCAGCTCCGACGAGAATATTAATGCGACACGGGTCGAGAGCCCAAAACGAGATGCGCGCAAAAACTCTAAAGCTTCCACTTCGTCATCGACGGAATGGTGTCGTCGTCGTCGACGTTGGCGGTCGTGAGCGGTTCGGATGGCGAACAAGCCAAGCGGGAATGAATAAGTGAAGAAGGAGAAGAAGAAGACGAAGGAGGAGGAGGAGGAGGAGAGGCGCCGCGAAATAAATGAGTGAGCGAGCGAGGACACGGACACGGGCGGCGCAGCGACTAGCGGTTATCGGAGTGGAGAGTGAGAGAGGACTAGGCAACAGCGATGGCGGCGGCAAGATCAAAGCAAAAATGAAAATCTGCCGCCATTGCCGCCGCCGTCGCCGCCACACCATCGCCGGGCCTTTTTTCCTAAGTGGCCCTTGGCTTTTTGCGGCCCCCTTTTCGCCCTTTTTTCTTAGCCCCCCCCCTTGTTCATCTTGTACGTCTCGTCGTTCGCCTCGTTCTATATCATTTTTTAATTTTTTTTTCACATCCAGCTTCTTCCTCCGTCCTTCACCTTTTTTTCGCTATCCTTTGTGCACCGACTTTTTGTCATCTTTCAAGGGGTTTTGCAGAACCCGGCGGCGTTTCTCGCATTTCCCCAAAAATGGAATTATAGACAAAGCAAAAAATTTGAAGAATTTCCCGTTTTCTTCGTGTTTTTTTTTTAAATCGCGTGTACTCGCCACAACGAGTGGTTTGCATATGAACTTTTATTGATTTTTGATGGTTAAAATGTTTCTTCATAAATGTCGAATAATTATATGAATATTTAGTAATGTTAAAGAAAATTTGAGGATTTTTTCCAAACATTGCTAGTGTTTCAATTTTTCTTTTTTTAATTGCATCCAAAATTTTCTCAACAGTTTTGCCTCATTATTCTTGGAAAAAAAACGAGATATATTTAAGTTTCAGCTGGAATTTGTTTCCTTCTATTTATGTAGTATTCCCTTCCAACTAATATATGCAGAAAGTAATAAAAATTCAAATTTTCGACATTGCCGCCAAAGCAGATAAATGTCGATGACCTTCGATGCCTCGCCCGACCCGCGCTCTCCTAATCCCACTCAATAGCGAAAATTTTTTTTGCGCGACCGTTTTTGGGTGTGATTTGATTTTTATCTGTCGGATGAGTTGAAACGAACCACTATCAACGCGCAAACATTTTCAAAATTTGATTATGATGAATCGCGTCGAGATATTCAAAAACTGGTTCCGATTTCGTTTGAACTTTTGCCGACAGATAGTAAATTTCTCTCTTCGCTCGCTCGCCTAATGCAAAATTTTGTCTTCATTTTTTGTTTTGATTTAAAAAAAACCGAAATTTTTCGCGATTTTCGCCGGGGCGCAGTCGACGATAACGATGCGTTTATATCTATAAAATGTTCGCAGATAGATTTTTTGAAACGAGTCGCCGACAATGATTTCATTCGCTTCTCTTCTGCCCCCCCCCCCCTTTGATCTCACGAGGCGTAAAAAATTTTTTTATGAAATGTCACTGATGAGGCTTCAGATGTTGCCGCCCCCCTTCACAAAATTTTTAGTTTTGTTGTTTTATTCTCGCCACTCGACTCCCCCCGCCCAATCTTGTCATTCGATTCTCAACATTCGTCGCCGTCGATTTCAAATAGTCCGAATCGGTTTTGCAGGTGGTGTGCGCTCCATTTCCATGGAAGGAACGTCGTCGCATTTGAGTTGGGCTCGCGACCTCGATTATGTGCTCAATGATCGGCCGGCTCTTGACGCGTTTCGAGAATGGCTCGTCGAATATTCATCATCAATTGTATGTCATTTATTCTCGATTCCAATAAATTCCAAATTTGTGCGTCGGGCTTTAAATTGTCCGCAGATCGATATCTATCCGAATTTTTATGTTCAATTGACTAAAAATTTTTCAAATCACAACTTTCGAATTACAGTACCTCGACTTGTATTTTGCGATGCGCGCCTACGACAAAATGGTAGCGAAACGGGATCCGAAGGTACTTTTTTTTAAATATCAATATAATGATTTTTTTTGAGAGCTTCGATCTCGCCAAAACCATTTATTCCAAGTTTATCTCATTGCGAACGGGTATATGCGATGCGATTCCTTCCAAACTCAGAGCACAGGTTTGATTTTGGAGAAAATCTAAATTTTTTTGAAACTATTCGTCGCTTCTATTTAGATTGGTGATAATGTGAGATCAATGTTTGCCAATGGCCACGATGCGGATCCAAGACTGTTTCAAGCATGCCAGTCACCTGTCGAAGATTATCTAAGAAGGCAGCATCAACAGTTTGTATGCTCTGATGAATTCATTGAGGCTTTTAATAAGGTATTTTTGTTTAAAATAAATGAGAATAGAATATGAGAAAAAAATACGAGACTGTTAACGTTTTTGATTTCTTTTTTGTATTGAAAATAGAATTGCAAATGATTCTCCAAAAATATTGTTGGTGTCTTGACTAAATTCCAAAAAAAATAATGGCAGTGGCGCAAAACTAAAAATGTAGATTTACGGGCATAACTATAAGAATAGGTTAAAAACGCATTTTTTTCAGTTTTTCGGAATTGCGCGACGTAGACAAGAGGCTTTAATGTTAATTTTCAGGTGGCCATCACTGAACTTCAAAGCAGTAGTAACATGAATACGTTGGATCGTCGGCGATCGAATGCAGCTCGACGGAATTCGGCTCAAATGGCGCCGCAGCTCACTGCCGAAGCGTTGCTCAAATCTCGCCACAATCGTCAAACGACGCTAGGGTAGGCCATTGTTTTTCAAAATTCCCAAAAGAAGTTTGAAGAACATTGTATAGGAAACTCGAAAAGATGTACCCGCCGACGCGTCAGCCATACGTTTGCAATGCAACGACGAGTCACAACGATTCGGCGGTGTCGTCGTCGTTTTCTGGCGATACGCCGGCGGCCCATCGATCATCAAGGTTTGCGAAGGTTTTTTTTCTTGATTAAAAAAAAAAAATAATATTTTTCAGGACTCGTCATATGCGCGATGAGCAACTTCGCGAGAATCCTCCAACATTCACATTACCTGTAAGAGTTTCAGTTGATTTACACGAAAAAAATGTTCTCTTTGATTTCAGCGTGTTGAACATTCGAAAAATGAGGGTCAACAATTTGACCATTCTTCTGAATCAGGTACCTTCCGTTTTTTCAAGTTTTTCTGTATATCATTCTCAATTTTTTCAAGGAAGAAAACAGTTTGTGATGGCTGTTACGAAGAAATTGTATCGAATAATCGACAAAATGTCGATGAACGATGAAACTGAGAAGAAAATCAACGATATTGAACAATGCAAATATACGGTGAGTTTTCAAAATTTTGGTGCTTTCTCATTAATTTTTTTACAATATTTTTCAGACGATGGATATGGTAATTGGCATAAATGCTGAAGAAAGTATGGGTAGAATAGACGAGGAAGAAGAGCTTGATGATTATTTGAAAAAGCTGAAAGATGATTCTCAACGAGCTTCTGCAACGAGGTCGCCTCACGTCAACTGTGGTATTCAGAATTTTTATTTTCGGCGTCGCGCGGATGCGGAAAATTAGCTAAATGCCAAAAAATTATGACAGCGGTCTTGCCACGAACTTTAAAGTGTAGGTTTAATAGCCTATAAGGATAGTTAAAGGAGCACACCGCGCATCGAGACCCCTTTTTAAATTTTCTGACATTTTGCCAATTTTCTGTAGTCGCGCGACGTCGACTATAAAAGATTTAAACGGCAATTTCACAGTTTAGATACATTTTCTCCAACGAGAGAAAGCAAGCAGCAAGCAGCGAATAATGATCGCCTGACGCGATCAATGATTTCCTATTCCTCATCATCGTCGTATAGTAGGAATATGGATTTTAACAATATTTCTTTGGATACTTTTGCGCCGCCGCCGATGAATCAGAGTTTTGGATACACAAAAGTCAAGTAAGATCATTGGAAATTAGAAAAATACCCTTACTTTTGAAGATAAATTATCAAATGACCTTTCGTTATGAAGAGAGACTTTGAAATTAAAGATACTACCTAAACTCGCAAAAATTCCAAAAAAAAATGAGAAAGGCGTTTGAATTGCCGCTGCCATCTCCGCAGCGGTGATTGCGGATTTATGCTATTTTTTGTCCTTTATGGCAAATATATTTTAATTGTTGACACATTTCGTTTTAATTTAATTACACTTGAGATTTTGGTGATCAGAAAAATATATGTATTGTGGGAATATACATGAAAACACTGTGACATAACAGAAAAATTAAAAAAAAAAACCCATCTCATTAGAGCTTTGTTTCCCTTGGATTTTTTCGCTTGAAGCTATTTAAGTCATTTGATATTACTGTCGAAGACAGACGATTTCGATGGGGGTGGCGCATAAAAATTTGAATAAGGCGATTTGGTCTCACAATAATTATACTCGTTGGCCATTTTTTGAATTTTTAATTCGAAATGTGCATAGTAGTATGACGAAAATTACAGTACACATTAAAAAAAAAATTTGTTATTTTTGCACCAAGAAATGAAAACCAAATTTGACCTAAATTATTGAAAATATCGATAGTTGCCTGTTTTCGATTTTTTTTGTATTGTCGGAGACAAAATTCAAAAACAATTATTGGCTATGCCTCTCTTCAGTGGTTGACGCCGACAATAGATTCAGATAAAAATTTTCAGAGACAGTGGAAGCCAACTGTATGATTCATCTGGATTCGGCTCAATGGCTCCGTCGGCATTCTCGGCGTCGACAGACTCGTCGCGAGACCGCATCCGTCATATTCAGTCGCACAAGTTCCCGAACGCGATTCGAAGTACACCGCGAAAGCAGAAAACTCGAAGCGACATGTCGAATTTGATCACAATTTCATATATCGGTAAGTCGGAAAAAATTTTACGAAAGCGATTATAAAATTTTAATGGTGTCTCTTTCCAGATATTGACGGTGTTCCCGTCGTCGCACATGTTCCGAATAACGGCGCGATGACTCTCGGCGAGTTTCGCCGCTATTTTTTGCTATCCGAAAGCCATCATACGCAGTATATTTTAGATATTAAATCGAAAACGAATCACCGAGTTTTAGGCTTTTCTTCCGAACGGATTGCGAAGACTCGAGTGCTCGATATCAGCTGCTTCTCATCAAGGATGAGGATGCGCTATTGCCAATATTTGAGGGTCGAATCACCGCCGAATTGCGATGATCACTTGGATTACAGGTCGACGACACCGCCATATTTCTCATTGTGTTGTTATTGTATATTCGTTCTCTCGTTTTCTTTTTTTCTAATGCCAATGCACTAATAATTCATATACATATAAAAAATTGCCAAAAAAAAAAAAACCAAAATATGTTTATGGAATGGATTGTGAAAATGGAATGTTTCAAGGAACGCTTCGGAAGAAGGCATTTTGCGCGAGCATGTGTATCACTCGAGTGTCCTTTTTCGGATTGCGACGCCCGTCGATGCACAAATACATTGACCATAAAAGAACCATTAGGATTGAGATGATCACGTAGGCGAAACTGCAATATCCATTCGTTTTGTGTCATAATTATTAATCTAATTGGTCAAATGAAACAAAAAATGTCTTCTTTAAAAATATTACGCCTGAAAATGCAAAAACCGCTCCTAACAAGAGTTCCATACGAGACCCCAAACGGCAATTCTTGAATATTTTCGTTTGTTTCTGGCAATGCGCCTTTAAAGTGATTTTTTACGGCTAACAAAAATATCTTTCAGTTTACAAAAGAAAGAGAAAGTAAGGGTAAATGTAAAGAAAATAAAAAGGAAAATAATAGAAGAAAAAAACAACAAAATTTCAATGCAGAGATAAAAGAAAAATGCCTATTTTTGTTATTTTTTACATTGAAAATTTGTCTATTTTTTCATTTTTATTTTCTCTGAATTATCCCCATTATTGTTAACCGCAGAAAATGGTATTGAATTTCCTTTTGAAGTTTCCCTGCATTGTGAGAGCCAATTCAAAGGAGCACACCCTCTAATCCAACTATTCAATCGAATTCTGCTGGATCCGACAACATTCTTCTCCGGAATCAATCTGATCTGGTGATTCAGTAGATAAGATTGCAAAATGGTCGAATCCCGAATGGTTTTGATCTATTAGGAACCAAAACATCGGCGCATATTTTCTTCACCATTCTATTTTCAAAAAAAAAATGGCGACGTCATTTCAATTTCTAGAATTTCGTGTCGACACCTCGGAATTGTCTCAAACTCTGATTTATGGCCGCGTGTGTTCGCCACTATAATAAATGTATCCGTCAAAAAAAAAGGAAACCAACAATTTGGGCGAACAACACCCACGACACCCATCGCCTATTTTTCTGCCTACTAAATAAAAGCCCGAGATCCCTTAATGAGTTTCGTACCTGACAAACGAGACGACTTGTTCACGAGTCCACGTGGCAAACCAGGCTGTGTTTTGCTCATCCATTCATCGTGTTGGTCCTGAAATGTGCATAAAAAAGTGAAATGCAAAAAAAAACGTTTTAAGACCGAAAAAAAAACGTGAAAAATGCAACGAGAATCGATTAGAAATCGGTCGAATGATTTTCGAACACGAACAATGGAATTATGATTGGTTTGGTGAGCATATACGACGACGAATTCGGTGGAGCGATGACGTCTTGACTTCAATGAAGGAGAAGAAGCTCGAGATTTGAGGCGAAGAATATTGAAGAGCGACAAGAAGGACGTTTCCGACACGATTCGATGTAGAAAAAAGAACCGATGTGAAAGAGCAATAAATCGGGCGCGGGTGTGCACGGTTGATTTACGTAGTACACGGATGGGAATGAATGGAGAGTTCGGCATCGGCTCATTTCAATTTGCGATTCGCATGAGAAGGCATTCATCGGAACGAAAAAAAAAGAAAACGCATTGAAAAGGTCCGCCAATTTCAGACGGAATTTTCGATGAAGGCAAGAGTTTTCAAAGTTGACGATTCAATGGTCCCCTGCCACTCTTTGAAAATATTGGGTTTCAATTACTGGTGTGGGGAAATCTCAATTCAAAATTGAGCCAATTTTCATTCTAATAAAAAATAAATTCGTAGTTTTCGACGATTTTTTTTTCAAAAAATTAAAGTGCTGATTAAATAAATTGCTACAAATATTTTTAAAATATTTTTTGGTTAATTTAAAATGGTTATATGTTTATCACCAATGAATTATAAATATGGTTATCACCAATGAATTGGGCTTTAGCATTGGTAACTCACTTCAAATCGAATTCGACAAATTTCGGCTCTGAAATTGACCATTGCTCTTTGTAATTCGATTCGAACACACTCGTACTCGTTTCGAAAATCGTCGTATTAGGCTCAGATGGGGTCATATTCAATTGTAAATCGAAAAATTGATATTTCAATATCGAATAACCACAGATTCGAAACAAATACGAGTGTGTTCGAATGGAATTACAGAGCGAAATCGAATACAACGCATTTCGAACATCGGGTCAATTTTAGAATCGAAATTAGCCCTATTCGAGACGAATTACCAGACAACTTGATGTTATTACTTATGAAGCTCTGCAATAAAAACATTCAATATGATTGAAAAATAATATTGTCGGCTTTTTCCGCAATCGTGCGACGCCAACAAGAAGAATCTCAGCAATGCGATTGAGACGAACAGAGAACACCCTTTGGTTTTAGATAACTGAAAGTGCATTTTGGTCAAAACAAGGAAAAAATTTAAATTGTCGAAATAAAAGTTGCCAACGGGTTAGCTCGATACGCTAAATTGAGGGCGATGTGTAACTGGAGTGTCGTACTGGTAATGTAAAAAAATTTTTGGACAAACCGCGGAAGTTTTTGGGAACTCCCGTTTAACCCGATTTTTTTAAACCAATTTCTAACTGCGGTTTGTTCTTTTCGAGTCTGAGTATCTCAATTAAGCGTGTCGTGCCAATCCGTGCACGTTTTTTGTTTCGACTAATTGAATTTTTCTTTAGTTTGTACCAAAATGTTCCGCCGGTTCTCAGGTAAATCGAATAAAATATTTTGAGATTCATTGAGAAACTAACGTGTCTCTATAATATTTTAAATTTGTCTCAATAAACTTTAGGAAATCTCATAAGATTTTAGAATTTATCGAGATAATTTAGAATTTGCTCAATAAATTTTAGAAAATCTTATAAGATTTTAAAAAATATTTTTAAGTTTAGCTATTCTCAATAAGTTTTAGAAAGTATCAATAAACTTTAGAATTTCTCAAAATATTTTAGAGTTTATCATTGAATATTTGATTCTCAAAATATTTTATTTGATTTGCCTGAGTTGCCTGAGTTATCCCGAACCAAAAGGTGTTCCCTGATCGTCTCGATCGAATCGCTGAGATGATTCAAGCGAATTACTGTGAACATGCTGGCATTAGAACTAATTTTTATAATCAATGCGAATCCTCTAAATATGAGAATAGAAACAGGAAACTGAATTTTGTGAAAGTTGAACAAATTTAACAAAAGGAGGGGGAAATAAAAGACCTTGAATCAGGGTTTTGCGTCAATTTCGTTTTGATCTATCGTTTGAAATAAAAATCAAAGGCATAAGTAAAATATGTTCGCGCTTTCAATGCATTTAAACGTGTAAATTTTTTAATAATTCGTTCGTCTTTGAGAATAAAAAATTGTTGAGTTTTTCTGAGATCATTGACGTCCTAATTTATTCCGAATTTCATTAGAATACTAAAATAACAAGACTTGTTGGACGAAAATTAATATTCATTCTATTCTCTTTTATTTTGGCGTTCGAATTTTCAGGGTAGGAGGAGCGAGCCCCTCTTTGCTCGTCATTAGTCACAAAAAATATCTTCTTTGATAGATAATGGTCTATCTCAAAAATAATTCGATGGAAGTCACGTAGCTGATTGAGAGATTCATTGGTCCCATTTTAAAAATCATGTGAAACCTAGGCTAAGCGCAATAATGTGCCGTACGAAAATACTTCATGTAAAACAATGATTTAATAAAATAACAATTAGAATAACAAAAAAACAACAACGGATAACAACATATCTATTAAGGGATGCAAATTGGTGTGGGGCTTCTCCTCAGTCAGCTAACAACGTCCCATTGTTGTTTGAGCCGGAACCACACGTCCTGGGAAGCACACTAACCAAAAAATGAAAAAAAAACGAGAAAAAGAGAAAAAAAAGAAAGGATTAATCTATATATCAAAATGCGCGCGGCACTCCGTCGCCTCGTCAATAATTCATAACCTATATAATCCAAAAAGAATTTGCCCAATTCGCACGAATGATTAACGAGTCTGAGGAGTGTCATGCAAAAATTAACGAGCGCACTCGGCATTACTAGTGGTTTCGTGTGTAGTGAGCTCAAAACTGAATAAGAAGAAGCCGGCGAAAACTGGAAGGAAGAATGAAAAGCAAGAGAAAAATATTTGGTCCGAAACCGGCGCTTCGACGAAGAACTAATGAAGAATGTGTTACGAATGGTCTCAATGTGTCGAACAGTTGTTGATTTGCCACATGGATGAGCGAAAATCCTCAAATAAAAAAAAAATAGATTAGAAGTGTCGGATTTTCGCGACGAAATACCTCATCGCGAACGTCCTGGTTTGATTGATGGCGTCTCGAAACGCGGTACTGAAATCATCAAAAGTGCATTGTTAAATTGATTTTTCATTTCTCGATTTTCTCTTCTCAATATTAGTAATAAAGTCGTAAAAAGCGCGAATCAAATCGAGATTTTCATCATTTCATTTTTATGGCAGAAAATCTTTTCGACTTGGAAAAAAATGATCAAAGTCCGTTGGGTTGGGCTTGTTTATGATTGAAGTCAAAAGAAGTAGAAAGTAACCAATATGTGCTACTAATTCGCTTTATAAATGATTTTTACTATAAAAACTTACATTGTTGATAATACTTTCTCGAATACTTGAACCATTGAAGTAATCTCTGAACAGTTTTGCCATTATTGGGAGCTGAATTTTACCCATATTCACGTCATTTCTAAAAAGTGATATTCAACAGAGATTTCGCTTTTTTTTTTCACAAACGCCATATATTTTCTGACTGGAATTCTATACGGCTGCACTTTGTCCATGATACAGGCTGAAGTACTACTAGTTGCTGGCGACGACTCGTTCGATAGGCAAATAACGACGCCTTCGATTTCGCTGGGAATCACATCGGGAACATAGCGAGTCGCTTTTGGTGAAATGTACATTAATTTCTCTAAAAAACGATACTTAATATTGAAAACAAAATCAGAATACCACTGGGCAATATTTGATTAACTCGTTTGGATGTTAGATTTGGGGCAAACGGATGAGGCTTGAATTTTCCTTTCAAGGAAGGTGGTCCAAAGCAAAATAATAGATTTCTGAATGACAAGTATTTAAAAGACAGATAAAATGACTCACTTTTGAGCTATTGTAGACAACTGCGAATCTGGCCTATAATTGGCAAAATGAATTTCCATTGGCAAATTTGAAATCCAATTTTCATCATGAAGGCTTTGCATTTGTCTTAAGTTTGCAGGAAAAAAATGTGTTTTCGTAATAGCGAAATTTACTTGACAAATCTTGCTTGAGTAATCACTGAATATTCACGCAAAAATCGACAATCCACAATAAATTTGGGAACCTTGTCTTGTTTTAGGAGGTTAGCTCCATATTGGGCATCGATTTTGTCTGTAAGTCAATGAGAAATGGATTATATTTTTATGAAATATACTCAGAATCACTTCTGAAATCGGATCCATAAATATCTAGCGGTGTATGAAAATGCCTAGCGTATACCATTTCTCCATTGTCAAACCTTCTTTGGTTTATTTTGGAAATCTAAAAATTTTTTGGAATTGAGAAAAAAGAACGAAAATTCAAAAATGATTACAGGTTCTTCTAGTTCGGGCGTTAAATCTTCTGCAGCAGCGGCTTTGCGTAATTCTAATAAATATTGATATCTATCTTCCCAATTAATCATATCGATAAGAATTTTCCACGTTTGATCGGTGAGATTTGGAGTTTCGCCATAAATTTCTGCATAAATCTTGAAAATCAATTACAGTTTTGCAGAAAATTAATAAGCAAACCTTCATTTCTGAAGCGATTTGTACAAATTTTTGTTTATCTGATGGTCTTTTCACGTATCTATGCATAAACTGCTTTGAGGGATAGTTTAATTCCAAGTTTAATTTCTTTGAGCACGCTGCTTCAGTGGAATAACATTTTTGAGCGTTCTTAGAAAATAATCGAAGCATTTTCCTGAAAAAGAAATAATAATTCATTATTTGGTGCAGAATTAAATTTAATAATGGTTTGAAACGTTAAAATACTATATTAAATAAAAAATTTATCCGTGTGGACTACAACACATACTTTCATGGCCGAGTTTTTGGCCGGCGGCAATTCAAATCATCCAAATTTTTTTTCTTGATTTTTTGTCAATATTTGTAGTTTTCTTCTTAAATACTTCCCTTCTTATCTTAACTTGTATCCAAGATAATATTTGTAAACGGCAACATTTTTTATGCGTTCAAGAAATTTTTACCGCACGTTATTCTTATCATCCAACACATTGTCTCAATTTTCCTGATAACACTTTTTTTGCTATTTGTGCATTGCAGGCACAATTTAAAAACAAATAATATGAATAGTTTTAGTAAATAATGGCACTCAAACTTAAAGAATATTTCAATGAACTAACAAAGGAGAACATTAAAGTTGCTGAGAGAGAAGTAAGGTTTTAACCCAACATTTGGTTTGACGATGATTTTTTTTTCAGAGAATAACATCTAGTATCACTGAATTATATAAATCTGCTCATTCTGATATTATTGCTGGCAAATACAAAGATATCTACAGCTTACAGGATTTGTCTGCAAATATTTTCCATGCGGCTTATAATGTAAACGAGTTTTTTTTAAATCGCAACAATGAAAAATTGATTTAGGAAGTTGTGAGAAACAATGAGAAGCTTTGCAAAGAAAAATCTGAAAACAGTCCGCCAACAAGGGCCTACAAAACGAAATGTTTTGAGTTAGCGATGGAGCATTTGAAAAATTGCAGATTAAAAAGTGTGTTCCTTTTTTTGCAATTGAAACCCCCAAAATAATAGTGAAATTTTTTAGAGCTGGACAATTCAATTTCATGGCTCAATTTCTGTCTGGCAATATTTGAAACATCGTGGGTAAAATCGACGGTTCAGTATGAAAACGAAATGTCGAATTGTATTTTGGGATGTGTGACGTGCGCAAATTTGGTCTGGATTGAGCATAACCTACTGCAAAGTAAGCAATAGTCGCTGTTTCTTTTGGCAATTTCAATATGATTTCTAGATTTATGGGAAAAGATATGGATGAGAATTTCGTCGAGTAATCTTGACCCAACAATATTTTGCAATTACGTGAAAATTTCCATCAAAATTCTGGATTCAGTCAATTCGCGCGTCATCGATGAGAATCCTTGGAGAATCGTCAAAACCGTTATAAGCAGTTTAACTCGAGCGGCGGAAAACGGAAATCAAAGAATATTGTAAAAAACGCAAAATATAAATCAGAAAATTCGATTTTTTTGTAGTTGGTCAAACTCCAGAAAGTACGCGTATGCTTTAATTCTGGCAAAAATAGTAAAGCAATGGGGAATTGAAGCACGAGATTTGTTTCTGAGCACTGTTCCCCAATTTTTGCGCCATTTAACGTCTCTAATAAATGTCAATCCAGAGACAGAAAATAAGGTAGGTCATCTTTTTTTTTTAATAATTAAATTAAAAAATCAATCTAACCTAAATTTTAGGAGCATTTAATGAGTCTGTGCGATGACTTATTCGAATTGGCTCTGATTAAAAGTGTGGGAGGACACATTCTGCTAAGCCCGAAAACACGGGCTGAAATGGCATCGCTGGCGAACCAATGCGTCGCTGAAGCTTTAAAGTTTGATTCGATGATTTTCAGTTGAAATTCAACATTTTTACAGATCAGCTAATTCGTTGTATTCCAATCGAACCAACTTTTCAATGCCACAAAAATATGCGCATTATATTGCCAGGTTTCGAATCGAATCGCATCAAAAACTGAAATTTCCTTTTCAGATGGCTTATAGCCCGAAAACTGTTGAACGGAAAAAGTAAACGGGAACTCAATAATACTTCAATGCTGTCTCGTTTCCATCAAATCATCTATGAGTACAACGTTCGTTTCTCGTTTTAGATTTGCTCACAAAATTTATTATTTTCTAGGATATTTTCACGCTAAAATTTGGCGAATCCATCGAACCGTCGCTTCAGAAATGTAATGCATGGAGCGGATGTCTTGAAATTTTTTGCGTAGCTCTCGATCGAATGCAAACTGATGAAATTTTGAATTTCGTTTCAATTTTGTGGGCGAAACGGAAGAGTTTTGCCGCGTAAGCTTTGATTTTCAATTTATTGGGAAAAAAATGACGACAAAATTATTTTCAGAGATTTTTTACGCTCGAAATTTTGCCAACTTTTATCAGCGATTATTGAGAAGCGCTTGATTTTTGACGCAAAAAATGTGAATATATCAAGTTTTAAACGAATTTTTGAAATTGAAATGAATTCAGGGAATTTCCATCGAGTCCTTAATGAAATATGCGCTTTCTCTTATGCCGAACCTCACATCTCTACCGAATTCCGCTCTTCTCGTCGAGACAATTCTGAAATTTCACGGCAATTCAATAGCACCCGATTTGGTCTCTGTGATATTTGGTACGGTGTCTCGTTTGAACTCTGCTTCGCCTCCAGTCATTCGCGTGACATCTGCGCTGCTCGCCTACACCGAATTCGACGAAAATATGCGATTTTGCGAGATTTCAAATGATGAAAATCGAACTTGGAGGTATTTTTTGTTATTTGTTGGCTAAATGACAAAAAAAGTCAAAAAAGAAGTTTTGGGTCCCATTGTGCGCCTTTAACCTATTTTATACAAATGCCCGTAAATCTACACTTTTAGTTTTGCGTCAAGAATACTGTCATTACAAAAATGATCATAAAATTGTTCAGAATGCGAAAAGATATAATTGATTGGCTGATTTCGAATCCTCATCCGATGTCGCATCAAGTTCTCTTCGAAATTTGCCATTTACATCCTCAATCTTGTCGTTTGACATCTTCCGACGATTATTCAAAAATTTTACCGCCGAAAATTGTAATCGAGGAAATCAAACAATATGTATTGAATTCGCTATTATCATTAATAAGTGAGTTCCAAAAAACCAAAAAGAATATGTATTTTTCATTCAGAAACCGATTTTTCTTTATGTATGTTCATTATCTTCAACGAATTCGCGTATCGTATGAATATTTCAACGGATCTCGAGGTATTTTTTTTACCTCAATTTGCCGTAAATTTTCATTATTAATGGTTTAGGTGAAACCCGAAGTTCTAACTGAAAAACTGAATTATATTGATGAGAAGAGTTTTTTTGAATTGATTGAAAATGTGACGATTTGGCCGGACTGCATAAAAATTCCGGCGGGATTTGATTCAGAGGAGATTCTTGCCAAATTTGCGCTCGCTCAAGCCAAAAACCCATCGTTCAATTTTGAATCGTTAGCGATTTTTCGTGTATGTCGAAAAAAATACGAGAGTTTAATTGAAAATTGCATTTTTTTTTTAGGACAAATTGATCCCATTTCTTGTCAAATTAGCATCGTCGGATTCAATAGCAAAAAATATTCTTCGAAATTCGCCGTCGTTTAACGCCTACGTCAAAAAATATGCGTTAAAAAATCATAGTGATATCTACGACATTGCTTATCGATTTGACCAAATCGCCGAATTATTATCGATTTCGGAATTATTTCGTCTGAGGAGCTTCATCATGTTAGTTACTGAATTTTCCAATGTTTCTTTTTTTCAAAATTAATAATGTCTCATTTTTTTTCAAGGAAGCGTGTAGAAGAGTGTCTGAATCAAGAGCAATCGATTGAAGAATGTGATGCTGATGTGATGAGCTCAATGACGATTTCAACTTGTATACGAAACACAACGCCGGCGAACAAATGCGACGCTTACAGCATCGATGCGTTTGAAGTTGCGCGAAACGTTGAAAATGCGGCATTCGATCAAAAATCGGCAATTCGGGTCTTGAGACAATTGAGAAAGAGCCCTTTTATGGCTAATAAGGTAGTTCAACATGTGCTCAATGAGCCCAATCTTTGGCATATTCATTCCTGCGTTTTGAACTATATTGTGCGGCATCGTGGACTAATCGAGGTGAGCATGATTGTGTATTTGTGTTTCTTTTTTGAAATTTCTTTTATAGACTTGTCTGGCCACAGTGCCGAATATGGCCAAATTTTTGCATATTTACCAAATCGAGATTAACGCGAAATGTGAAATTGCTGAATATCTGTGAGAATCGATTCATCGAAATATGATATTCATTTTTTTTCAGTCGTTTTGATTTGAAATCCATCGATCGTTGTAAGGCCTACATTAGAAAACCGCGATCAGAAGCGTGTCGAATATCGCCGGAAGACCTGATCACCCTATTTGGTTGTGGGATACGGTAGAGATTTTGTTCGACTTTCGACTAGCATGATTTTCAGCCGATGGGCAAGAATATGCTTTCGATTCTGGAAGATTTTCGAAATGTCGCCTCACGTTTTATGCGAGTGTTTAATGAATTTTGTGAGTGCGCTGAAATAAGCAAACGGTTGTCAGTTGTCAATTTACAGGCGACCGAATGCATCGAAATCGGACTAGTCGTCCGATTGGCTCATTTGCTCAAAGCCATTGCGAACTCGGAGTTTGGTGTGAAATTAATGGCAGAGAAAAAATATCGAATGGTCTTTAATTTGATCTACAAATCAATTTACAACAAAATGCTTGAAAAATACAAAAGGTTGGCATCGTCGACGTTCGGTGACTTCTGTTCGCTGATGGATTTACGGGGTGCGTCTTTAGCTATGGTCTCGCCACACGTGAAGGTTTATTTTGAATTTTTCTTGATGTATTAACGGAATAACCTCAAAAATGCAAAATAGTCGTTGCGAGACCATAGTGAAGGCGCATGCACGTAATTCATTATTTTTTTCCCTCCTAATTAGAATGGTAATTATTGTTTTCAGAAATCCGTATGTTTGTTCTCAACTATTGCAACTTTGTGTCAATCGATCGATTGTCGCGGATTTTGTTAAAAATTCAGGAGAACTAAAAAATTCTCAACAATGTTGGAAAAAGAAATGGTTTGAAATAATGTTAGAAGTTTCCCAATTTTCAGATTTTGATGAAATTGCGAAATTTGAAACACGAGTCGCTCAACAAGTTGAAATATTCTTCACGTCGGATGGATCGGAGGTTTCAGACATTTTCTCATTTTGGGCTTCAAGTTTTTTTTAGGAAGAAGAAAATAATCATTTTTATCCATTTCTTCTCTTATTTTCTACATTGCCTAATTTCAGCTTGATTACTGTCATCTTGGGTACATTGAATTCTATAATCAGATCAATGACAATTTAACGGCTGATGGGATTCAGGCGTCAGAATCGCGAGGTTGATTTTCTTTTCTTTCCTCTGTTGTTTTTTTTCTCTTAAAATCGACTCAAAGTTCAAATGTTCTTCTAGGAATCTTCATAATTGATGTTTTCGTCGGTATCTGGTATTTTTTGCCGAGAATGCGACCGCATATTTTAAAAATTGTGGCGAGATTTCGACACACGTCGCCACAATGGTCGCGTTTTCCGCAACCATCGCACGATACTATTGAAGACGTTGCTTTTGCGCAAAAGGTCCGATTGTTCTCACTGCTGAAAATCATGACGGCGTCGGAGTTTGAGAAGCGCGAGCTCGAATGCGTCGTGGCGTTATTCCTCTCATCTTATGAATGCTATTTGAACGAAGATGTTCGTTTTTTTTTTTCAATTTCCAACAATATCATTTCCTTTACGAATTTATCAATATTTTAGGAATTTTTGAAGCGAATTCAACTATCCCATCGAAATTCTAAAAAACTTGCGTTGACAGCGGCGGCGGAGAAATTGAAAATAACAAAGGACCTTGAAAATCTTGATGAGCGATTCTTAACTCTGTGCCTCAATATCTCCACAATTTTCGTATGTTTGTCTTATCAAGTGCACGAATTTTGATTTTTGAACATTTTCAGAAAGATGTGGCATTATTCGTCGCGCCATTCATATATTTTCTGCTTGCAGTTTCCGCGAAACCTGAAAATTCGCTTAAACTATTTTTTGAATGCGCGCGAAACTTGAATGGAGATGACAAACGCGAGGTGTTGTGCTTCGCTGAATGTTTCGATGCACTCGGATTGAGCACCTTCTCGATTCTTGAGCAATTTCCGATGGTCTTCCCGATTGGCGAAATGATGAATGTTGGCGAGATGTTTCTCAAACACGGCCTCACTTCTCACGCATTTGCAATTGCCAATTTGCTTTTTGACAGGTAGAAATTTGATCGCATAAATGATTTTTTCTTTAATTATTTGGTTCAGAGTCACTATTGAATCTCGGAATGTTATGATGATCCAACGAATTCAATTAGATGAGATCAAAGAAGCTGACAAGCTTATAGAGTTTCTTACCAAGATCTATGTGGCCGAAGGGAACTCTGTTGCTCTTTCGTCGCTTCCGCCAGGATTACAGGTTTCTTCGCTTTCAATCGTTTCCACACATTAATTGCTAACATTCTAGGATCGCCCGGAAATCCGTCAAGTAATGTATAAACATTCAAAGGAATGGATTCGGCTGATCAGTAATCAGCTTTCCGATGAGAAAAGCGATGTTTTCTATCGATGGATGAGGTATTTTCCTTCAAAAAACAAATTGAAAAAATCGCATATTTGAATGTTCAGTGGATTCCGCTGCGAATCGCCTAATTATTTACAGCAATACTTGGAAAACACGCTTCGAACTCAATTCACGGCATATCCTAAACAGTTAACTGTCCCATATCAAGCTAATTTCAATTAGAGAGCAATTTAGAATTGATGACTATGCGAGATTCGTTTACATGGTCCTTTATCATGCTGGGCGGCCAGTGGTAAATCAAAAAGCCGAAATATTTTTTGAGAAGCTTTTGTAATGAAGAAAAAGCCCCCATTTTGTACAAAAAGTTTGAATTAATTTTTAGACGGCGAATTCTTACTGAATCGAGCCATTCGACATTTGCAATCGACGAAATTCGACTGATAATGCTAGCCATCGGAAATTTCGATGTGCAGGTAATAATGTACAATCGATCAACGCTTTTGACTCTCATCATTTTCAGCCGCAAACTATCGAAGAGCACGTCATCTGTGCAATTCGACATCTTCGAAACGCTGTTCGACTTCGTACTTCGACAACGTTCACAACGACGGAAATCGAGACGAAATCATTGGAAATCATTAAAGTCGCCAACATGCTTGCTGAAAATCGAGCTTCTGAGGTATTAATTCGATCGAGGTCGGAACTAGGCCTAAACGTGATACTTCAAGGCGGCATTGGGACTGTTGAGGAGTTGGCGAGAAGAATGCGAAGAATGGCCGCGATCGTACGTAGATGTTGATCTCATTGAAATCGCCCAACATCAAATTATCTGCATGGTAAAATTGAGAACCTTTCCTATTGAAAGAGCCAATGAGAATTTCAGTGTGGCGACCATCGAGTTGCCGAAATAAATCTCAGGTCGATGTATAATAAAATTCCGAGCATGAGCGGAAACGCGATTGTTCAGCTCACTTTGGCGTTGAGTCGAATCACTTGTGAATATCGCAATGATCTTGACGAGGGCGTTCAACTTCTTGAACGTGTAAAAATGATTCGATGATGAAATTGATATCATTGGAAACTATTTAGGGATGCGATCAGCTATCGAATTCGGTATCCGTCGAAATGAAACTCGAACTACTCCTCAACTTTCATTCGTTGTGCATTGAGCAACTCGCGAGATTGGAGGAATATCGAGAATCGCGTAGCTATCGAATGAAACAGGAGGCGATCACCGCTCTCGAAGAGCAGATTGCGAGATTGCGAAGGTATCAATAATTTGCGTCGGCTAACTGCATGAGATGAAGAATTTACTAACGGTTCAGAAATGGGAGCACACCCGAACTGTTGCGTTGTTTCAGCTCGCGAAATCGGCAACCCGGTGACGCTGGTCGGACGATTGTTCGATTGCAGCGAGAATCGAACTGCGCGAAGGATGATGTGAGGAAGTTTGAAGATAGTGTCGCAAACGCGGCATTCCGTGCCGTTTCGTCAGCACTAGATGTGCTAGGTAGAATAATTGGCAGCGATTTGAACATAGGCTTGTGTTCAGATACGATTGCTGAATTGGAAGAGCCATCTGAGGCGGAATCGAGAGCGCTTCTCGTCATTTTTCCATTGATTGATGTGATCTACAAATACGAGAATATTCCGAAAATTGTCGATGTTGTACACAAGCATGTCTCAAATCGATTTGTCAGCCGATTGTGGATCAAAGCGACAGGTCATATTGCGTCGAAATGCTTCAATTCCGAGCGCACACCATTGGAAGCGGTGCTGAAAATGGTATGAGGGTTGAATAGGCGCCGTCAAAATGAAACATGTATTGAGATGCTGCAATTGCTTGTAATCGATTACCCGTTTATTGTGCTCCACACATTGTTTATGTATGAGTATAAGCCGAATGGGTCGGAAGTTCGGAATTTCATCGAACGGATTCACGAAAAAAAGACAACGCAGTATAATGTGAAGCGTTTGAGAGAAATTGTGATCGACATGCGGGCGGCGCACGAGGCGTATAAGCAATTCGCGGAAGTCGACGTCAAAAATGGCAATTTTACGAAAGTGACGGAAAACGGAAAATGTGTGAAATTGAAAAAAAAAAGACAAATTGAACTAAACTATCGAGTCTTCCATTTTTCAGCTGCTTACATGATCAAAAATGATCTGAAATTGTTCAAGTGCAATCTTCGAAATTTGCCGATTCCCATTATCACTCAAAAGGTTTCTCTTTTTTTTTGCGAAATTTTCAGTCATCATGTAGATTATCATGAGGATTTTCAGATTGGTCTTCCACGAGATTACAGCACCGAAGGAATTGTGACATGGAAAAAGTGTAGAGAGACATTTGTGATTGCTGATGGGCTCTCGGCGCCTAAGATTTGGGAGATTCAAGGAAGTAATGGAATATGGTATAAAATTGTATTTAAGGTTCGATATTTGTTAAACAAACATCCCATTCATTTTCTTTCGCCTAACATAAAAATTCCAATTTCTAGAAAGACGATGTTCGTCAGGATGTTCTCGTCGAGCAAATGTTTGATGTGATGAATAATGTGCTCGGCAAACCGATGCTCCGCACGTATAATGTGGTGCCGATCGACACGGAATGCGGTCTCATCGAGTTTTGCGGGGGCACCCATAGCATAAGTACATTTCGGATGGAAAATTGCCGAATTTTGCATTCAATTTTTTTCCCCTCAGAGGAGCTTCTTTGCGGAAACAATCGACAAGGCGGTTTGCATGCCGAGCGAAGGCCCACCGAAATGTCGGCGACAACGGTTTTCCTCAAAATGAAGGAGTGCCAAGAGGAGAGCGCCGAGAAGCGACGTGAGACATTCATTGGGCTATGCAAAAAATATTCGCCGGTATTTCGGCATTTCTTCTACAAAGAATTTCCGACGGTATTCCTGTGGCGGCAGAAGATTGACGCCTATCGAGAGAGTTTGGCAGCATGGAGTATTGGTAGGGCGCGATTTTCTCGAAATCGTTGGGTGGTTTCATTCGATTGCCCCGTTTTCAGTTTGCTATATTGTTGGACTAGGCGACAGACATGCGTCGAATATCCTTTTTGACACGTCTTCAGCGACATTTGTCCACATTGATCTGGGTAATGATTGAGAAAATTGTCTGGGGTGGGCAATCTGAAATTTATAGGTATGATCCTGGAGTATAGTAAACGGTCATTGCCTGTACCCGAGCAAGTTCCGTTTAGAATGAGTCGAGATTTATTGGATCCGATTCTCATTGAGGGTGTCGAGAATGGCCAATTGGCCGAGATTTGTACCAGCACGATGGAGAAGCTTAAGAAAAATGAGAAGGTGGCGTAATTGGCATTTGATTCCAATTTATTATCTCGATTCAGGTTATATTGGGAGTTGCTTCTGCTCTTCTTCGTGAGACGATGACGAACTTCCGTGAGACAGAATCGTCGTCGGGTCGACCTTCGTACATTTCCGAGATGGCGATTGGACGCCTTCGCGACAAACTCGGCGGCACTGATGATGGGGTTTCCGCGCAGCCGGCGAATCTTCAAGTTCGTCGCCTATTGCGTGAGGCGACGATGACCGAGAATTTGTCGAGAATGTTTTGCGGTTGGATGCCGTTCCTGTAAATGATTTTATAAGCTCCGCCCTCTCGCGGTTTTGTTTTTTTTTTTTGTTTTTTGTTCTTCTTTGTATTATCCTTGCGTGTAATATATGCAAACTCAGGTTGTTTCTCCCCCCGATGAGCTCGTTTTCTCTTGTGAATAGATGGGATTAGAGTTGTAACAATAAATATTAGGTTTTGCTTATGATTATTACGTGTCAAAGAAAAGCGCACGTTGCGCAACCGCGCGGCTCAAACAGCTCGGGTGTATTTATTGGCTTACATTTTCAAGCACTTTGTTTTTTTTTGCAGTTTCTAATCCAAATCTTTTCCGGAAAATAATTTGAATAATAAAAAAATGTTTTTGGTTTTCTATATCTCATTCGTCATGCCTCTAATAAATGTTTAGCGACTGTATGCGGCACACCACTCGTCGGCACCCTTTTCCGGCATGATTTACAAGAAGTGCCAAGAGCAAACTCATGCACGTGTTATCAAATAGTTGGTTTATTGTTATATAAAATTTGAATTATTTTATAATAATTATTATTATAAATGAAATAAGAAAAAGGAGACCCGTACAGTTTGAGTTTCTCGCGATTTAGCATTTTGGATTATATAAAGAGTTGTCAAAAAGACCTTATATGGGGTCATGGCCGAGAGGGTCCGAACCCTCTGCTAAAGCATAAATATTGTACAATTTTTAATTTCCATATTAGACACTAATTTTCAAAAATCAAATTTAAATATTAAATTGTGTTTCAAAACTTTTTAAATTTGAAACAAATTAAATGCAATCATAATGGAGATTTTGGAAAATGTCCCAAAAAATATTTTCCTCAAAATCTAGCGATCGGGTCCGGAAATGGTCGAGTTCACAGGTAGCCAAGGAAAAAAGGTAGTTGCAAGTACCCTTCGATTGTATTGATATATGTATAATAAAACATGTGTAGTATATAAGTACCGCACTGTGTCGGCACACTTTCCGGTGTGATTTATTGCGTTGCCAAAGGGAAACGTGAGCCGAAATAAGAAGTGAGCCGATTCGCTGATGTCCACGCCCCCCCCTCCTCCCCAAATCGGCTTGACCGGACATTTGTCACTGAACATGTGGTCGGATCGCAATTGTTTGCGTTTACCTTTCCATTCCTGATGGATCCCCCTCCACCGGATGTCGGGTCTTTGTTTCAATTTCATTAATTCTCCGCCGTCGCATCACAAGTTCAGTTAGTTCATCGCTTCCCAACGAAACAAATTTTCTTTCGTCCATATATTTTTTTTTTGAAAAATTTTACGACTCAAATTAAATCGGCGTTGAATTATGCCATAAAATTGAAACATAAAAATATTCGAATTTCGCTCGTCGTAAATTTTTTGGCGTCTAATTGTCGTGTGCTCCAACCTCGTTCTCGATGCGTATTACGGTAGCGGCTCCGTCAAGCCACGCCCATTCGATTGACTTCCGACGAGCTCGCAAAAAAACCCATTGCAGAACATGTTCGAAATTCCGCCGTATCCCATCATATCCAATCCGTTCCTTATACAGTATTCGACCAATCTCTTCGATATCATTCAGGTAGCCAGCCGATGTCGGTATACATATTTTAATATTGACGCGTTCTAGAAAAAATACAATAGTCGCGGCCGATTGATCGCGATTCCTGTGCCGGTGCTCATAAGCTCACCTTGCACTTCGCCGTCGACGTCTGCCACCAACACCACCTACAGTAGTCCGTCATCGCCGGAGAAAAAGGAGAAACAACGACCCGATTCGTCACCACAGGTACTATGGGTTTCTATTGATTTTCATTTTTTTTGCCAAAATTTGAAACAAATTTTTGGTTGAACATCATTCTTACTAGTTTTGGGCCATAAAAAAATGTAAAAATTAAAAAAAAATTGCTGACAACCCCTTGTTTGTCGCCTGCCCCAAAAAAAAATACCAGAGAAATATTGTCGGCGTCAAACAACTAAACGAAGGCGGGACCGTCATATTCGCGAAATTAGTGTGAGATTTAAATTAATTGTTGACTGAAAATTAAATGCGCGTACACTATAATGCAATGTACGCAAACACGCGTACGCTGCCTCAAGACGCATTGGCACATAGCCAACAATATTTTTTTTTATTTTGTCAAGTCGTTTGACTCTGACAATATCAATAATTGACAATTTTTGTCGACACCATAAAATGCGACAAAACTAAACCATCGCAAAAAAACAAGAGTGAACCAAGGCGGTAATTCAAATTTGAATTTAAATAGTTGGAATTTTTTATCGTACTACCGTTAACCTGCGAATCAAACGGTCTTTTTGCGAATTTAAATAAGAGCATCAAAATACTTTTATGAAATTCGTGATATTCCTCTTACCAAAAGCTCTTTTTAAATCCAGCTCAGCTTTTAAAATTTTGACATCATTTAAAATATAATATTTTTTTTTTTGTTCGGGGGAGATTCGGTGAGAAAATTAATCATTTGAGAAATTTTTTTTAAAAAAAGAGAACATTTTTTTCAGTTTTGCCACTGTCCGATTTGCGGAAAAAAGTTCAGCCGCCAATGGTTGCTCCAAGGCCACTTACGAACGCACAGTAAGTCGCACGAATTCGGAATTGATCACCAAATTGCCCAATTTGCAGCCGGCGAGAAGCCGTTCAAATGCGACATCTGCGAGAAACACTTTGCTGACAAGAGCAACCTTCGAGCGCACATCCAGACGCATTCCGGTAATTGTGTTTTTTTTTTTTTTATTTTCGCGCATCTCATCCCATTCAATAAATCAGTGCCGACAATTTGGAGCCGTTTTACGATTTCAGGAGAGAAACCACACGAATGCCAACGATGCGGTAAACGATTCGCCCTCAAATCATATTTGTCGAAGCACGAGGAATCGAAATGTTTGAGAAGGTTTAACTGGCCAACGTTGTAGTTTAGAACTTTTATTTATATATATATATATATATATATATATATATATATGTATGTAATATATATTGTCATTTTCTTATTTCTCTTTAAAACAATCGAAGTTAACAAAAATAAAAGGAAAAGTTGATGAGCAACGCGACAACAATGGACCCATATGAGCATTGAGAGTGTAAAATTTCGCAAAAAAAAAAAGAGAGAGACGGAGGCTAATTGAGTTTACTGTACATCTGTTATAAGGTCGACCAAAGAAGTTGGCACGCTGAAAATATTTGTCCAGGTTTGACAATAAATTGACCAACTTACAACATTTTGAGACCAGCGGAGCTCGGGTTCCGGCGCATAATATTCTTTTCATCGGAATGAAGATCCGGAAGGCTTTCGTCGGATAACCGAGTGGCTGATAGTCTGAAAAACCACACAATTATAGCAATATTGAATAATTAATATGAAACCTTTTAGTTAGAAGTGCTTGTGAGCTATCGGACGCGAGCAATACATGTCCTTTAACATCTGGGAGGCAATCAAAGACAATGCAACAAAGAAGGGTGACTTGTTCTGGAAACCGCGAACATTGAATTTTCAATCATTTGTGATTTCATACGATTCAGGTAAATCATCCAAAGTGGGAAATTCGATTTGTAAATGAAGACATAGTAAAGCCCAAAACCGGCGATGAGAATACCAATGGCAAGAGCGGTGACATTGAATTCGTTGAAAATTGGAATGATGACCAACGCGATGGTGGTTATTAAGAATAAGTAGATGCTGAAAATATTGCCATTATGCAATGTGACTATAGCAAATATTTAAGTACCAGATAAGGGGCATTCGAACAGCATCAGCATGGACCGGAATGTGTTTATGACGAATGATGAGAAGAGCAACCAAGCTGAAGATTCGTTGAGCCCAGAAACCGAACATCACGTAACCAATCAAGGTGTCCAAGTCGCCAACAAAGGTGATTATCATGGCAAGAAGACTCTTGAAATATTGAAAATTATGGAAAGAATATCATATAGAAAACCTGAGCAAAAACGGCGACTCTTGGAGAATCGGTTTCGGTGTTCACGCATGAAAAGCAGGCTGGAAGATGGGCTTGGCGGGCAGCTGCGTACATATAACGGCTGCCAGAGAACAAATTGCTGTTCAGCGAGCCGATGAGCAGAATTCCAATAAGGAATGGAATGATATTGGCGAACGGGCCGAGGGTTTCACTACTGAACACCTGCAAAACATATTTGCTGAAATTCCTTCTACATGCCTTTTTTGAGCTCACCGCTGCAACAGCATCTGAATGCTTAACAGTTTCCACGTCAAGAACCACAAAATAAGCGAGGTTAATTGCAACGTAGACACTGGAAACAACAATGATTCCCGAAAGAAGAGCGAGTGGCACGTTCCTGTGAAAATATAAAAATTGAATAAATTGGTTGCTACTTGTGGTTTTTACTTCTTTGGCTTCGAAATTTCACCGGTGCTATAATTCAAGACATCCCATCCTGAATATGCCCAAAGACCTCCATAAAATCCCATAATCAGATTTCCGAGACCATAGCTTGACCCTTGCATTGGTTTTTCCAAATACCCAGTCCATCCTGAAATCAATTATTTCAGAGAGAGATATAAACCGATGAAGAGTCGAACCTTTGACATAATAGTAGTAAAATCCCGTAGCAATAATAAGGAAGCATGATAGAAGTTTGGCGACAGTGGCGATAATTTGAAATCGAGCAGCAAATTTGCTCAGCGAAAAAAAGTTCATCCATGTTACGAGCCCTGAAAAAGGAGGGAAAATTTTTTTTTCAACAGAATAAAAAACTTTTGAATCTCATGGATTAATTTAGTTATATTCATAATAACAATTTGAGCAAATTGGTGGTTTGAATAAACTCGAAAGTTGTTATTTTATGTCGGAAAACAAAAAAAAAACACTCACAAAGAAGTGAAAACGAAAACAGCTTTTGGCATGTTGGAATCCAATCCTCATCAATTTTATAATACTGAAAATAAGATTAGTAGATTTTGAAGCGAATTTGGATTACCTGCTTGATACCCTCAAGCAAGTATTGTCCGAAGGTTTCCGCACAAATTGCAATTGTCGCTGGATATGTCATGAGGACTGAAACCCACATGAAGGCAAATGCAATTGAATACCTGAATGCGATTGAATTGAAACGAAATTGCGGATGAATCGAACCATTTAACGTAGCAAATGTAAGCGAAATCACAGCCAGCTTCTCGAATAGACGTTCCAAGCTCAATATAGCAAAGAGCACCTAAAATCGGAATTGTGAATTCGATAAATTGGCTATGAAGCTTACCCAAAATGGCAATGACCGCGCATAAAACCCAAATAATCAAACTCAACCCAATACTATCAACACTTCGAAGAATTGAGGCGGGTGTGATGAAAATACCGGACCCAATAATATTTCCGATGACGTATGAGGTCGCCCCCAAGTAGCCCATTTTGTGCGATTCGTCCATGGCTGCAAAAAAAAAACAAATATTGAAGCATTTCGATGGTTTGATGAATCGGCTGTCTGCCACCAAGAAGAAAAATAAGACAAAGAAAAAGCATGAAGGAAGCATGAAGCTGTCAAGTTTTTTTTTCCGAGTTTGGACGATGACGTGTCGGGGTCACGTTCACGCGCCGCCACAATTTTTCGCCCTGATTGAGCCAAACATTGTCTTGTCTTTTTTTTCTGCATGAATCTGGGTAAACACGTGACGTTGACCTAGCCTGGTTTCTGGAATTTTTTGTAAAGTAAGAAGCAGAGGTCATTTTTATTCTCGAAAACTTGAACTCCTGTGGAATTTTTGAATTAAACGCGAATTATTGAAGAGTAATAAAAATGAAAAATTTTATTTGTGAGGAAACGATCCAAACAACGTTTAATCTTTTACAAAATCTTAATTCGAACTCAAATCCGGATTTATTATTGAAAAATCCTAATACGGGTTGGATTACTATACAATACAAATTTTTGTGTCAATAAAATATTGAGATAATATGCGGATGTTGGGAAATAGTAGTCAGAAAAATTTTAATCACGAAGGACAGCGGAAATAAAAATAAAGAAAGGGAAAAAACCAACAAACAAAAAATTTAAACCTTAAATTTTCGAAAATTGGTTAAAAAAAAGTTATTTTATATAATTATTTTAAACGCATTTGGCATTCAACAATATTACAAAAACATTGAATTGACTCTACCATCGTATAAAAACAATTCTATAGCTAAAATGAAATTTTTTAGGATTAATCTGAAAATATTTTCAGAGAAGTTATAGAATGATACGGCAGAAATAAGTGTGACTGTGCGTGGTTGTGAACTGCAGACTTATCAAATTTGACGAGCAATGTGGATTTAATTTTTTTTCAAACTAATTTTCTTAGTTGTTTCTTATATGTATATAAATATAAGATAGCACACGCGAGTAAATTGAAACCTAAAAAACACAAGATAAATCTTCTTTGTAATTGCGGCTTCATTTTTAATTTTTGGTGTCCCTTTTTTTCAGGACCACCTTGAACTATTTAAAAACGTGTTTAAGTTGAGAAAATCGCGAACGAGAGATATTTTTATGAGCAAATTTTGATATCATGCGCCCGCCGCGCCGTGATTCAATTTCTTTAAAATTTTTTATGTTTTTCTGATAGGCCACATATTTTTTTTTCAAAAAAAAAAAGCGCAAATAAAGGTCAAAAAGAAAAAGAAGAAGAATCCTGAGCTGTTCTTCATATCCTCCTCATCATCATCATCATCATCATCTCAAAAAATTCGCAGTGAGCGTCGTCGCAAGCGTCATCGCCGATTGTTACAATGCGATTCAGTCAGGTTGATCACGGAAAATTCGAGAAACAAAAAAGAGGAAGAAAACGACGAGGAAAGATGAAGAAGAAAACAAGAATGTGAGGCGAGCGAGCAGTTTCTGCAATAATTGGGTTTTAATGAAAAATAATGGAGCTTGAACACCTGGAGAAGGCCGATTTCTGACGTGTGCATTCCTGCTGCTTCTCACTTTCTGACGTGAGGTGGGGCCTTCAAACTCGCAAAATTAGTGCGAGATTTCAATTGACTGAATATTAAATGCGCGTACATTATAATGCAATGTCCGCAATCTCTCGTGACGCATTGGCACATTGCCAATAATTTCTTTTTTAAATTTTGTCAAGTCGTTTGACTCCAACAATAATTCAATTTGACACCTGGCGTCAAGCAAATTTGTTTTTAGAATGTCCACAATTTTAAAGTCATGATTTAAGAGAATCGCTATACGTCAACGTTTTGAGAATCTTGCACAGCGATTCGTTTTAGAGATACGGAGAGAGAGAGAAGAGAGAATCATTGGCAAAGTGTGAGCTTCAGCGAAAATTTAAAGACGAACTAAACTTCCAAATTATCTAATTATCAATTCTCAGGTGCGGGGCAAAATAGGCCAAAAATAAAATCACCTAAAAACTGAAAAATGCAGAGCGAATCACCCAAAAATAACTGGAAATTTGATATCCTTATATGAATAATTGAGTGTCGCGCGGACAATAATGCGATTTGTGGCCGCCGACAAAATGAATTGAGCGAGCCAACAAAAAATGGAATCTGGAATTGAATAGAATTGTGAAGCTGAAAATAAAAAGCGTGGGAATGAAATGAAGAGCGAACGTCAATGTTTAAAGAATTCGTCACAATGATATTGACAAATTCTAGACAAGGAAATCAAAAAAAAAATTGAAAATGTGCAAATAGAGATTTGATGAGTTAATTGCTCAAATAAATTGCTCAAATAGCTTTCCAGCTCACTGTTTGCAAGACGAAATATTCGGCTCGAATCTCACGTCGACGCCCTCGAGCACACATGATCGAAGTAACAGAAAAGGGCGGAGATCGGCTCGGTAATCATCATATGACACCGATATCTAATCCTCTTCTTCGGTCGGTTGGAAATTGTGCCAAAATGCAAACAAAATTTCGCGCTTGCGGTGCAAAAAAAAACTACCCGATTTCTCTGTTTGATCAAACTGTAAAGTATCCGATTCGGCACGTATCATAAGAAAGATCAAAGTGCACACTTGGTGCTGCTCATTTCCAGATTTCACAAAATCAACTGGGTTTCTTGAAATGCGACACCGGCCACTTAGTTTTGCTTGTCATTATTTTTTTTTGCTCTGGTCCTTCTCACATTCTCGCCATTGTCAATGCTTGCTCTCAGAAAAAAATTAGGCAGAGCAAGACAAAATGAAGGCGTGCATGTGTGTTTTTTGGAAAGGTGGCGGCCGAAAAAGAAACGCGTCAAAAATAGAGTCGGGTGGTCTCTTTTCTTTCATTTTTTTTCGCCAGTCGGCAAATGCGCATCGATTTCTGCGCTCGTCTGCGTCTTGAGCCGGATTAGTTTATTGCTCGCATGTCTGAGCCGTGTGCTAGTGAGCTGCACCAGTGAGTGCAGTGAGCATGAGCTCATCAACAAGCTTCACAATGATATTCAGTTTTAAGCGCGAAATTTTCAAATGGGTTCCCAAAACTTGACATTTAAAGGCGTATCGCTCCAAGACCCATTTCAAATGTGCTACTTTAAAATATTGCGAAATGTCGTTTACAACCAATATTTAGAAGTTGCTCAAAAAATTGGAGTCTCGAAAATCTGAAAATACGTGTTCTCAACAAAAACGAAAAAAAAGGACGAGCATTTCAAAAACCCACGTTTTCGCGACGAAACTCAATCAAAATGAGAAATTGCCTCATTTTTTTTCGGCGAATTTTTCAAATGATGCCGTCATGGCCTTTTTTAGGGCCAAACAAAAAAATCGAATGTCGTAAAAATATCAGGTGCATTTGCTAGCTCATTTCCGATTGAATTTCGACACACACACACACGCAGGCAGGCATGTCTTGAACGAATTAAAATTAAAATTTCAGTCAGGGTCTATTTTATTCACAATTCGAATTTCAAAAATAAATATGCAAATGCGAATAAAAGCTCAATCGTCGACAATTTTTGAAAGGTCTCGAAAATTTGCGAAGGGAAAAACAAGGAATGTGCATTCATAATTGCCCTTAGTTATCTGGAGCAATTAAAGCGTAATTTTTTTTTGCAAATAGATTTTCAGCTGTCGTGACTTCCAGAGAAGAATATCTTCAAGGACAATATCATACCTTCTTGACCAGCTTCTCCGCTTCTGCCCTTCTTCTGTGTTCTTCATGGCTGGACATGCTTCTCCACACGATCTGAGGATGTCGTCATCTCTGTGCAGCATCTTCAGGCTAATCAGTAGACCGCCTCACGCAGGCTGAGGGTAGAGTCGAATACTCTTTCTCCGGGCGGCTCTTACAAGGGACAGCCGAGCACGGAGCCCTCGTTCTCCGTGCTCGATTGCAGTTTGTGGGAGTTGCACGAGCAGCTATCGCCAAGGACAGACAGTTTTGCCCACTGCGGTGGAAAAAAAATAGAAAATCAAGAAAAAAAAACAAAACTTTGAGAGTTGTTTGCGATTTCTACTTTTCCATTTTAAAATTTGTCAATTTTTAATCTCCCAAATTTGGTCTAAAATTGTTTTCGAAACGTAATTTGTCTCCTACGCCTAAATAAGTGTAACTCAAAAAAATGAAAGATCGAAATTTGAAGGTCCGATACTTTATATTTGAGCATGATTCGCAGGTTACAATTTCCTATCATTGGATTTATTTGTTCTCATTTTTTAAATTTTTTTTAGACGTTCTCTATTAACCTTCGAGCTCTATTAGGGAGAACCACCGGTTTTTTGGGATGAAAAAATAAATAAATTTATCTGCGTGACCAAATTAGGAATGCTCTAACTAACACGTGTTTATTTTGAAAACGCAAGTCGTCATTTTTCATTTCTTCAAGAATTTCAATTCATGGATTTCGAGGCTGTGTGTAAGTTCTTTTAACCACTTCTTTGATAAAATTGCAAACATTTTGGAATCCTGCCTTTTTTTTTTGGGTCTCACAACGATTTTCTCGGACCGCTGTGAGCGTGTCTCGAGAACATTCGTTGAGTCGGATCTGAGAGAGCCCGCACGGGTGCCGCGCTTCTCGTGCCACGAGACGCGGACCAACACCCCGCATCGGTGACCTATAGGGTCCGACCCAGGAGGGAAATGCCTGGGGAGTCTAGGCGCACACGGTGGAGTGGCTCCGAGAGCTGTCGTTGTTGGGACTCGTCCGAATTGGCAGACATCATTTCTAAATTTTTTTTAAAGTAGACCAATAAAAATTGTGTTCTAATCCATCCCTTTTTTCATGGTCCCTCGACAAGGATCGAGTTGTTCAGGAATAATCGAAATCGGCTGCTCGAGCGAAATGATGGCAACTTTTCATTGTTTTTTTCATTTCCAAATTTGTATTTCAGATCCACCAAAATTCATTGAAGAATGGGTGGCGAATCATTGGCAAAATTACTGATCATTGTGCGGATTTATCTAGAGTTCGATTTTAGCTTTTACTTCTTTTCCAATACTGAAATTTCAGTTCTACAGTAGTTCTTCGATCTCAAGATTCAATCAGCATTTCATGAATTTTTATATTGTTTGAATTGACTACGCATTCAGTTCAATTTTCTGAAATTTCAGAAACACCGAAAATTGGTTTCTGAAATCCACTTCGAGTCGGAATTTGTCGTTTTTCGTCATCTGAATAACTGCTTGGCAATTTCTTCGCCGTCTTCATGTTGCCAACTTCTTTCAATCTGAACTAGGTAAATTTTGCTTTAATTTGAATTGACTTCAAAAAATTGATTCAATACCAAAATGTTCAATACTAAAAGTGCTCCCATCGCGCCAAGACCCAATTTTGTCAATTTTGCCTACGAGCCGAATGCCATTGCTGTCCGCCTTTTTATTTAACGAGCCTTCCTCCATAATTTTTTTTGGTTCCTTAGCAGCCGTTCGAAACCGGAAATATTAAAAAAAAAAAGAATTCGAAAATGAAGTAATTTTTTGCAGGGAGAATCCTTTACGATGTTCCGGTCTCAATGTGCGGCCAACAGCACAAAAACTCAACAAACTTCACCCTTATTCGTTTTACTGTTTCTTTTTTATTTTTTCTTTTTCTTTTCACAATTTGTTTGACTATGCGACTCAGGTAGGTTAATTTTGTCTAATTAAAAAGACGAGCTTCGACCATCGAAGCTCGTTGAATGAAATTAATGGCCAGAGGACTTGGAGGCTTCCATTCGGACATAATAAATTTTTGAGCCTCCTTGTCTGATGGCTATTTCCATAAATCAGGTTTGTCCTTTCATATATATTTATTTTCTGGCCTTTTCGAAAAAAAATGGCGGAACGACAATTTCTTGGAAAATATTTCGCAATTTCTTAAAAATCTCGCAGAAGATTGACTCAAAAAAATTTCCATCATTTACCGGCAATTTCTTAGACTATTATAAGCCAATCTCTTAGCAAAAGTTTATGATAATACAAAAAAAATTGTGACATGCAGAATTTGTAAAAACAAAGAACCTAGCAAGAAAACTCAACCGCGGCAGTTTTTCGAAGCCTACAGTACCACAGTTTTTAGTATATCGCTGCAGGAACCGTAAATTTTTACCGTATGCACCTTTAACCGTAACGAATTTATTTTTTTTAACATGTTCTTTTTTTCTACAATTGCGATTTTCCGCTTTTTTTTTTGAGATTTTGCGAAATCTATAGAGTTCCACGAAAGTTTGCCTGCCAACCGAGTTATTATCTATGTGATTATGTATTGCTTTTTTGGCATTTTGTCAATTTTCGGCAGTCGCGCGACAATATTAATGTATTAAAAATGTCGATTTTTGGTGATTTTTTGATTCGCAGGTTATCTGTAGTACGGTGCACAACTGTTTAATTCAAATTTGAGTTATCCCCTCCAAAAAGTGCCATGATCCACAATTTGTCGAAACGCTCGTTTTTTTTTAAAGAGCGTTTGAAATTCTGTTTTTTCTGGTAGTCTGAGTTTTATCGCTGATTTATTCGTCATAAATATATACCCGAATATTTAATGCGTCTATGTGACTGCTGATAGCCAAAGCTGTGTATTGTCAAGGACGGAATCTTGCAAATTTAAATTGTACGTGCTATGAATTAATTGGTCCCGTAAAACAAAATCGCAAAAAAAAACGTGTACTTTGCATAAGCGCTTTCTATATTTGTTATCCCATTATTTTGTTACGATTAAAATATGAATTTATACTGGGGAATGAGTGTAACAGAAATACTTCAATTGTTAGAAGTTAATAATTTGTTGTTCTATTCGCTTCAAATTACATCAAGATACCTTTAAAAACTTCTTAGAATTTACTTTATACTGTTAACTCATTCTTTTTTTGGGACAACAATTGATGAATCAACTTATTCTTTCGTAATCTCGCGAATTAATACGGGAACAATCTTTGCGTCATCGAATATTCTTTTGATAATCTCAAAGTCCTTCAATTCTTCGAACCTTGATCTCAACGACAGGCAGATCAATAAAATCGTCGCCTTGCTGATGTTTCCCAATCATCACTTGATCAAACGCTTTTTTTCCATCAAATGAAAAACTGAAAGATGGAGCGCGGCACCATATGAATGCAAGTAAGCAGGGTTTCCCAAAACGAAAAAAATGAAGTAAAATAACGCATGATGTCAGATATGAGGAAGAAACGAAGACGATGAGAGACGTGGGTTGATTGGGAGGATCGAAAGAGGCGATTAAGATCCGCGGGAGATATGAAGGTTACGCCGCAGACGGTATTACAGTTCGGGAAAGAGAGAAAGAAGAGACGAGGCGGCCGCCCGACGACGACTGGCCCCCATCGGGAACGTCCGTCTCGTTTTATCGGTCGTCATACATCGAGTAATGTTGGTGTCGCCGACGGCTGCGCCTAGCGCCTCTGAATTACAAACGATTCAAGATCTCAGGTATGAAATCGATTTGCTGCTATTCAACTAATTAACGAATTGACTAGTTATTGTCAATGCCAACTTCATTACCTGTAATAGAATCGCGTCAAGACCAAGAATAATTCATTTTAGCTTCCACGTATTGCAAGAATCGATTGATTTTGAGTTGGGGCCTTGAAATCCGTTTGGCAGTCATAGAAAGGCATTTATAAATTATACGACCCTGACCTAGAAAGTTGGGATCGCTTGAGAAACTCTTACTTATATGCACAACAGTTAAATGATTCAAGGTTCTTCGAGCGATAACTATTGATCTAGATGGTGAATAAATTTTGTTTTACTATCCTTATTAGTTGAAAGAAACGATTAGAAGCATAGATGTTTCGAGAAGAATTGACCAAATTTTACAAAACTATCTTAAATTTTCAGTATTTTTTAAAGCAAAAATGCGAATATTGTCCCTTCGATGCTCTTTTTTTGCCGTCAATATTATCAACTTTCGAATGATTCATCCAATATTTGAGTAGTGTAATCCCTTTTTCAACATCGAATTCTTTATCTATCTCTCGCCGTTTTTCAATTTTAAGATAATCATCAAATATCATAGATCTGTTGCAGTTGCGAAATACCATTTTTGTGAATCCAGTTTTTTAAAATCAGCGTGCGAGTGAATGTGTGATCGCGAATCTTGTTCAAACTGTCTTTAAACTTCAATAGCAAAATGTTGCGCAATTTGAATCAATTTTGCCAATCGCCGTCCGATCAATCTCTCATTCGATATGTTTGATTTTCAAACAAGGACGTGATGTTTGGAATATTCCGTTTTTCGCGAATTTTCGCGAATCCGTATATGATGATCAATGTCTATCGTGGATTTCCTCCTATCTGAATGAGGAAAAAGAACGGGAAAAACGGCTAGATACCTTCCGTTAAATGTTTAAAGGGACAACATTTAATATATATTTGGTCTCGCCTGGAAACAACCATCACTACTATTTATTATTTAATTTTTTTTAGACAAATCAAATTTTTGCAGATCAATTTTACCGGAAATCTCGGAACTCAATGACGGTTACGTATTACGTTGGCTTCGAGCCAAACAAGGCAGATTTGATGAAACCGCCGAATGTCTGAAAAAGCACGTCGTGTTCCGAAATGCGTGGCATCTCGACACAATTGCCAAATGGACCCCGCCGGAGGTATTTTACAATTCAATAAAAATTCATATAAAAGAGAGAGAAATAGGGAAAAATGCGATTTTTATTTAGTGTCTGGAAAAATATTGCGGATATGGTCTTCTCGGAGACAACGAAGGCCGCCCAATTCTCATGTCGCTTTTGGGAAATGTTGATGTTGAGGGTCTTTTGAGGTCCGTCGCATCATTGGATTATATCAAATTCTCATTGGCGGCTATTGAAAAAGGATTACGATTGTGTGAGGAAAAAGCAAAAGAAGTAAGTGCTGTTTTTTTAAAGAATTCATTTTGTCAGTAAATCTTTAATGAATCAATTTGGCGAAAAAGCTGATCTCTAATCGAATGAATCTTTAAAGATTGTTGGGATATGAGTCATACAGGGCATCTGAGATTTTATCTCGAAATTTGTTTCTTTTTGAGACTTTCACTATATAAACCAGAATCTGTGAATAGGAACAACGTATGAAGTACAATAACTGGATGGTTTCAAAGAAATGAGTTTGGTACTTGTTTTGAGTATCAGAATCTAGATTAGATTTCGCCGATTATTTCACAGCAGAATTTTTTTCTTTTTCAGAGCGGTCGACCATTCGAACAAATGACATTGGTTTTCGATTTGGAGCACATTTCGTCGGCTCATTTCTCGTGCAAACAATTCGCCTCGTCGTTCACAACGCTTGTCAGTCTGTTTCAGGATCACTATCCACTCGTTCTCAGGAAAATATTAATAATCAGGTATTAAATCGGAGAACAAAAAATTATGGAGCAATATCGGTATCATATTGTAGAGCACCGGAAATGGCTCGAATCGCCTATGCCTCAATTACCGCAATTCTGCAAGACCCAATCACACGCTTGGTTGAAATGCCATCAGAAGTGAGTGGTTCATTGGGTTGGCTGAAAAAAACAGAAACGAAACGAAAATTTCCAGGCCGACTGGAAATGGTCCCTAGCGCAAATCGTGAATCTCGACGCGTGGCCAATGTATTGGGGCGGAAATCTCGTCGAAAACGGCGATCCCAAATGCCCATCGCGAATCCGATACGGTGCCGGTCCAATTCCTGAGACCTATTTCGTCGATCCCAAAAAGGCGATGGCGGATTACGATCAGCTGACGACCGTTTACGCCGGCGACAAGCACTTGATCTCGATTCGCGTCAAGAAACCAAGTCGGATCAGGTAACCCAGTCGATACTGTAGAAATTGGAAAAAAAGTAACAATTGGATGATTGCAGTTGGCAGTATATGACAGAGGAAGACGACATCGGATTCGAAATCCATTATGATCCAACCGCGCAGTGCGACAAACTCACGGATATGGAAACCGTCTATCCATATATTCGCTTGGAATGCACAAATGTGCCAATCAGTGGGCATTTGGACGTCACAAAACCCGGAAATTGTAACAAATTCGTCGCATCATACGCTATGCTCAAGTTTTCTCAAATTTCAGACGTCATCGAATTCGATAACTACTATTCGTGGTTCTCAGCCAAACAGCTTCGCTACAATATCGAAATCGAAGAACTGTAAATAACACAATTAAAAAAAAGTGTCGAATATATTCAGTATAATACATAAAAGAAAAAAATTCGTAATAATTATAATCACAGAACACACACACAATTTTTCGAGAAGAAAAAAAGAAAAAGAAACCAACAAAGAAAACAAGAGAAAATTTTGCAGAAAGAATTTGATAGAGTAAAATATGAAACAAAAAAACATAATCATTGGGAAGATTAAGGCATACAATAAATTGACGAATAGCGCAGAAAAACGTAAGACAAATCTTTGTGGGTGACCCGGAAACGAAAAAAAAAGTGTTAATCTACAGTAATCTGGACATAAGGATAAATGAAAGAAAAATGTGAATACGAGGTGATCTTGACATATGAAAACTAATTGGTATGAATGGATGGATGGATGATATTGAAAGAGGATATGGGCGAAGAAAGAAAGAAACAAAATGTGATATTGAATGAAAATCAGCTATATTATTAATCTAATAGAAATTTTTGTGTGTGCTTGTGCTATGTGAAAAAAAAGAAGAAACCCGGAACGAACAAATGGCAAGAACTCGAGAGACTGTCTTCAATGTTTTTTGGTATGTTTATCCTGAAAATCAAGACACTGAAAATACTGGCGCTTCGACACCAAAATAACAACAAAAATGATTTTTTTAAATTTTATCTATCTCTCGGGTAAATGAAAATCAATCGGATTCGAAAATAATTAATTTTTCAATCTAAATCGAATGTAAATTAATCTGTTTCGAATTATTCCAAAATTTCAATCGAATACGATTTCAAAATTAGAGAATGAGAAATAAAAAATCGATTTCGAACGTTATTGAATCGAAACCAAGATTTCAAATTGAATTTAAGCGTTTTCTTAATTGAATATGAATTATTTATTTAATTTTTCTTCGAATTCGATTGATTTTCATTTACCTGAGCGTTAGAAACCATAATTCAGTTATAAATTAGTTTTGGAGCATTTTTAAAAACCAAAATTACCTTATTTGACTTATGGTGATGCTCTTTACTATTCGATTCTTTATGATGGTGATGATGATGGTTATGATCCTTCTCCTTATGATGATGATGATGATGACCCTTGTGCTTCTGAAATCTCAAAATTCAATCCGATTCGCATTCTTCAAAATACCTCTGATGTCAAATTTCTATATCGCTCAAGAAGTTCGGCAGGCTCTCGAGCGACGAATTTGCACAAAAAGATCCACAAATAATTGTACCATTTTCTGATGTTCGTTTTCGGCTTCTTTTTAAGAATCACGCGGATATTCTCAGCGAATGCGTCGCCAAGTCGTATTATATACTTGGCTTCGTCATTGGAATTATTCGAGTCTTGTGCTTCTTTGAGTTTTTTCATATACCTATGAACCGGATGACAAATGCTGACACATTCTGAAAGACTCGGGATCAATTCGAAACTTCAAAAAATAATTCTAAATACCCATAAATGGTTTGGAATTCTTATCATCGAGCGCAGATCCATACAATGACTTGTCAATTGAAAGAACTGCAAGCTGATCCTTGAGACTTGCCAATTTATCATCAGATTTATCCTTCTCGCGATCCTTATCCTTCTTTTTCTTTTCATGCGAATCATTATTAAACTTCTTCTTCTGAAAAAAAAAACATAAATCGAAATGTTAAAAAATGATTTCAAACCTTTTCCGGCGAGGCTTTCTCTTCCTCATCCAGCTTCCGTTTTCTCTCAATCCCCTTCTTCGAAATCGGCGTCTTCGCCATCAACTTCAATAAATAGTCAACTCGCTGCTGCAAATGCTTTCCCTGCGGCTTCTTCGTCTTATTCTTTATGAAAATCTTCTCAGCAAGCCCAAGTTGCGGATCCATCTTGATCGCCTCCCAACTACCATATCCATATTTGTAGACTCCCCACAGAACAGCACCATCATCAATCCAAGTCCAATCAACATCCCAACCCTTCTGCTCCTTCGCGTTCCGCGGTGGTTTCCAGGTTGCCGCCTTGTCAGCATCGATGAGCGCATTGTGTAGAGGTTCAAGTTCCTGATGGCACTTCTCAATCTGCCGCAGATTGACGTCGCAGTTCACAAATTTGAATTTGCGCTCAGTGTCCTTTTTTCCATCAGTTCCATTCTTCTCAGCCTTATCAAACTCTTCACTAGCCTTCTTACAAGCCTCAAGGAACTGCTCTGTCAATTTCTTGATCTCATCACTACTATGTTCCTCAATCTCCGCATCCTGAGCGAGAGCTTCCAGTCTAAATTATCAAATTCAGCTCAAATAGAATCATATAAGCTTACCGTTCCAATGGATGAGAAAACTTCTTAACAGTCTTGATGAATCGTTTAATCTCTGTCGCAGTGAAACTTCCGATTCCCTTCTTTCGCTTCTTTTTAGCTGATTCTTCTTCATCGTCGTCATCATCATCACCATTATTTTCAGCCCCAATCTCAACAGGAGCTTTCGTTCTTTGCCTCGGTGCCAGATTAATTGCAGCAAGCTCTTTCATCCTCTCCTCCTCCAGAATCCTATTGCGATCACTTTCGGGAATAATCTTATCCCAATCATCCGTCGCCGCCGCAATATCCTTCTCCTCGTCAAATGTAAAGTTGGCATACTTGAAGGAACTCAGAAGCTCATTCTCTTTCAGCATGTCGTCTTCAGCCTCGCGAGTTTCAGCTCCCATGAGAATTCGATCGATATCGACTTCGGGCTCCTGCTCCTCGCCTTCTTTTTCCTTGAACAACTCGGCTGCACCAAATTTAAGAATCGCCGTTAGCTCTTGCTTATCAAATGGAACCGAACTACAATTCGTCGGTTTGGATAATATCTGAAAAATTGGTCAAATTTGTGAAATTTTTCAGTAGAATTTTTTAAAGTTACCGTCTTTCCAGTAGTGTCCATCCGTTGAATAACCAGATGATCAAGAACCAACTTCTGTTTGGCTCTTTCCACAATTTCCTCTTCAACGGATCCTTTCGTAACCAATCGATAAATATTTACCTAAAAGTAATATTGAAAAATGGAAAAGTTTCAATTTCGAAATTACCGTTTTCGTCTGTCCAATTCTGTGAGCTCTAGACATCGCTTGTAAGTCATTCTGCGGATTCCAATCCGAATCAAAAATGATAACCTAACAATTAATTTTTGATAATTCAAAAAATTGAATGAATCCAAAAAAAATTTACCGTGTCAGCTGTCGCCAAATTGATACCTAATCCACCAGCACGAGTTGAGAGCAAAAATGCGAAATCATTCGAGCCAGGAGCGTTATAATGATCAAGAGCTTGTTTTCGAATGTCAGCCCGCATCGAGCCATCAAGTCTCTACAATTCGCTAGTTTCCATCAAATAAGTTTTGGTGCAAATCGATACTTGTGACGGGAATCGCCGCAATTGCAAATATTCTTGCAAAATGTCAAGCATCATAACCATTTGCGAGAAAATGAGCACGCGATGGCCCTTGTCTTTCAAACGACACAACAGTTTATCGAGTAAAATTAATTTTCCAGACGATTTCAGCAATTGCTAAAATTGTAAGCAAGATAATTATTATGCGAACGAATGCGTTCAGTCTTACCTGCAGTCTTCCTTGAGTGTCTTCATTGATGTGATCGTATTGACGAACCAGCGAAGCATGATTGCAGCACTTCTTGAGCTCCATTATCAAATTCACAAATCCATTTATGGATCCTTTGACTCCTTTCGACAATTCTCGATAATTCTTCGTCAGAATCCATTTATAAAACTGCTTTTGATGAGCAGTCATATCAACTCGAAGGATTTGCTCAGTCTAAAAATTGTCGAGCTTGATTATCACAATTGTGAGTCGAGAACAAAAAGAAAACCTTTGGAGGTAAACTCTTCTCGACGTCCTTTTTGACTCTCCTCAACAAGAATGGCTCCAATTTCTTGTGGAGCGCCGAAATTCCTTTATGGTTCGTGTCGTTATGCGCTCGTTCGAAGTCGTCCCAATCATCAAACTTCTCCGGCATTATGAAATGCAGCAACGCCCAAAGTTCTTTGAGCGAGTTTTGAAGTGGCGTGCCAGTGATGAGAAGTTTGTGGTTAAACCGAAACTGGCTCAGACATTTGTACAGAAGGGATTCGTGATTCTTGAGTCGATGCGCTTCGTCGACAAGAAGAGCCGCCCAATCGACAGACGACAGGAATGCCTTGTCCTTCAGAAGAATCTCATACGTCGTCAATATCGCATTGACCTTCATCTTTTTCGTGCCACCAACGTACCATTCGTACTGTCGTATCTGGAATTCGAAAAAAATGGTCCGTAAAAATTAGTATAAAAACTGACCAAATCTCTTGAAACTACATCTCCCATATAAACAACGAGATTCACATCAGGAGCCCATTTGTCGAATTCTTTCTGCCAGGCGGCCATCGTTGAGAGCGGCACAACTACAAGGAATGGTCCAGCAAGATCATAAAGATGAAAAAGCGACGAGAGAAACGAAATCGATTGGATTGTCTTTCCAAGACCCATTTCATCGGCGAGAATTCTTGAAAAATTGTTACAGAATACAATTGATAACATTTGTGCCTTACGAGCTGTTGTTCTTGCACCAAGCATACAACATCCAATTCAATCCTTCTAATTGATAGTCACGCAGGTCTCCAGAAGTTGCCGTCTTGAGAAATTCGGGCATTGTTTCCAGCTTCTCAAATTTCGGCCGCTTTCGTAGAACCTAGAAAAAACAAGATTCAACGATTTCGATATATCTCGATTTTACCGTTGAATTTTTCGTGGGCGACCGAAGATTCGCGATGCGATGATGATAGGCCGCAATCATATCCGATGGCAACAATCTCGCCTCTTCCCATGTGCATTCTGAATACGGTAGGCCGCACCATTTGACAAAGTATTCCGTCGCTTCACTGCCATCCGCAGTCTTATCACGAGACGTCTGATGAGCCACAATGCGTTCAACCTTCTTGTATTCTTCGCACAGATCTTCAGCCATCACGATTTCGCATTGAATGAACTCGTAGTACTCCTTGTCGTTGATCGCGGCCCGTTTTTGCCTATAATTGAGAAAATAGTGAAATTCAGCGACGATGTCTGGCACCATTCTTCAATTTCTGATTGTCGTTTCATATAATTTTGCACACGTTTCAAGCCCTTCGCATTCATCGCAGCTAATGAAGCTTCTGATTCCCATGTGTTGTGCAAATGACTCCATCCAACCCATCTAAACATATTTCAATAATAATTGTAAAATTAATAATTGAAAAAATTACTTGATTAAATACTGTTGCTCGGTTTTCTCACCATTTGCTTCATTTGGATCACCTTTATCAGCGATATTGTAACACGTAGTACTGGATCCTGTTGCACCGGGAATCCCATATCTCCATTTGATAACCTGCACTTATTAATTAATTAATTTAATTAAGTTTCGATTAATTGATTACCCTTTCAACTGCTTCTGATTGGATTTGAGACGTTGATTCATCTGCTTTTGGGCCTTCATCCCATTCAAGAACATCGTCGTCGTCAATCTGAAACATTTATGTCAGAAATTCTCTTTCTAATAATGCCCACTAACGTCGTCATCAGAATTTTTCTCTTTATAACTAATATTATTTTTAGCGGTGGTTCTCCGAATCACATGCGCTTGCAACTTCTTGTTTTTCGCCGCCTGCCGCAGTGCTCTCCGTTTACTATCTCGCCAATCGCCGTCAGACGACGCCGAATCTTCCGATTCGTCGGACTCATCAGACTCATCCTTTTTCCGGGCACGCTTTGAGCGTCGTAGAAAGTTTTCATCCTCGAGAAGCTGAAATCCGAATGTTGTTGTTTAAATTTGTATTCAGGTTCGATTTCGATTCACTTTTTTCGTTTTCACATCCATCATTCCACGAGCACTCCGTTTCCTTGAATTCTGCGAAACATCGGCCGGCGAAGAGTTATCATCGTCATCTTCATCACTCTGCTTCGATCCTCCAGATTCCTCCGAGGAACTTGACATCGACAATTTCACTTAATCCATCATCCATGTTCAATTTTTTCCCCATTTAATCAACCAACCCTTCTCTTCATAATCACTATCTTCTTCCTTATTGCCGTCGTCACTACTCGATTCTGAAGTATCCGATTTTTTTGCTTTCACGCGCTTCTCCTCTTTTTCGTCTTCGCTTGCCGATGATGAGTCGGAATCATTCCACATCACTACAAAAATTCCAAAATTTCAATTTCAAATAAGTATGGCGGCAATCGGTGCGACGCAGCGCGCTTGCATCACAAATCAAATCAATACGATTTTATTCTGAGTAAAATGAATAATCATTATTTTTCCACGCTAAATACCTTAAAAAATAACGTAAAATTTTTATTTCGCAATGAAATCTTCATAAAATTAATACGAAATCAAAAAAGTGCAAAAAATCAAAAAAAATTTTTTTTTTGAAATCTTCGGTTTTCTATGTATTACTGGTTGCTATAAGTGATAAATAGATAAAATTCAAAGTATTTGAAGCTTTATTAAACCAAAAGAGAAAAAAGATAATAAAAATAATTGAGCAAACGCGGCGGTCGAAACTCGGACGAGTCAAAATTGCGTTGAGAACACCTCGACGATCCGCGACGCGAACCGCCACGCAAACAAAGTTGCTCGTTTGCATTCGCCGGCAATTCAAAAACCATTTCTGCCTTGTTACTGGCCTCTTTTCGACCTTCTTTTATCGATTGCATATAAAAAATGATAGCCCACAACGATTTATTAATGAAAACCAGAGGGAACGCCTATTATAAGGTACCTAAATGGCCCTTTTCATACAATAAAAGCTGGAGAAAGAAACCGTCAAGTAACCGTCATAAGCCTTGATAAAAAAATACCCTATCCAAGGCAAAAAAAAAACAATTTGGGAAAAGGAATAAATATAATAAATAAGAAATTCAACAATCAAGTATCATTAAAATTTGTATAATATCACTATATAAAATTCATCACAATTTACAATTCGCTCTTCTTCTTCTTTCCATCACGAGTGTATCCCTTAAGACCATCAGTAGAATGCTTAGCAATGAAGTTGATGAAGTCCTTGACTTCGCGTCCACCGTTGTATGGGATTGGGTTCGACTTGGCATTCTTTGGAATCCAGAAGAGAGTTGGGAATCTAAAAATAAATAATTAATTCTGAATTCAATGATATAAAGATAGGTTTGAAGATTGTATATTGAATTATGTACGTATAATAAAGATAAAATAAAAACTGAAAGCTTGAAGCGATGTCAAAAACTAATATTCTTGAGGTGTCAGTTCAGAAGAAGTTAATGTCACAACGAAGTTCGCAAAACTGTAAAAATTTTTTAAACTGAAATCTTAATTTCAAAAAGATATTGCTGACACTATTTTTTGAAATGATCTGAATTTCTTCAAGTTTAAAATTTCCTAAAAAATTCAATAGTCCGGCAACCGCAAATTTAAACGATTAACATACCCTCTAACTTCGAAGAGTGGTGGAACGTCGTTGGCGGTGGCGTCCATCTTGGCGATGACAACATCTTCCTTGGAAAGCTGAAAATGTTTTAAAATTGAAGTTGGAAAACAGGAATGTTTTAATACCTTAGTGGCCAACTCTTCGTATTTTGGAGCCAAGGCCTTGCAGTGTCCACACCATGGAGCGTAGAACTCAATGAGAACATCCTTGTCCGCGTCCAGAATCAATTCCTTGAAGTTCTTTGCGACGGCAACCTAGAGTGACAAAAATGAACATCTTGAAAAAATTTCCGGATCACATACCTTAAGGTCTCCCTGCTCATCTGGAATTGGCTCAGACTTCATGTATGGCTCGGCATTTCCGCTAAGGACCTCCTCAACGAATTGGGACAAGTTATCGATGCTGAATTCTTGATCCATTGGGAACTTTCCAACATTGGTGATCATTGCAACAATTGGCTTGTCGGAATCCTTGCGTTCTCCCAATCCGTTCTCCTCAATCTCTTGAGAGAATTCTTCCTTGTTCGAAACGGCGAATTGAACCTTGCGCTTGTAGTTCTGAGCAACCTTCAAAACTCTGTTTCTCCAGTAGTTCGAGCCTAAAAGTTCATTAATAAAATATGTTATAAATAAATAAAGGTGATAATAATAACCCTTTGGATCCTTGACGTAATCAACGTTGTAGTAAACAACAACAATTGGCTTGTTCTCAAATTGGTACAAGTTTCCACGAGTACGGATTCCAGCGAGTCCAACAGTCTCTTGAACCAAAAAGTTCTTGATCTTATCGGTGTCGTAATTTCCGTCATATTTGAACTCATTGGGGTCAAACTTATTGTGGAGCTTCTTTGGAACGAAAACAACAACGTCGCTGAAATAATGATATTAAAAAATGTATACATGCTTTATGAATTTTACTCGGTGTATCCAGCCTTCTTCAAAATATCGGCATTCGATGTATGAGCAAAAGCGAAACGATCCCTTTCGGTATCAGCAACCTTGAGGAAAGAATCCTTCAACTTACTCTCATTCTCGAAGAATCCTTTAAAAATGGTTATGGTCGGCTGCGCAATGGTTTTCTTACCAACAACAACGTTCTCATCTCCACCGATGAACTTTTCGAATTCGGCGACAGTCTTCAATTCCCGAGATGATGGTCCCGATTGTCCACGCATGTACTTGACGATTCCATCAGCCTCACGTGGTCCATCATAGTCTTGAGCGGCCTCACCGTTGCGGAAAATCTTCAAAGTTGGGAATCCCTTTACTCCGTACTTGTCGCAAACGGTCTTCTCGGTGGTGCAATCAACCTGCAATCAATCCAATTTAAGTTAAATCTTAAAATTAGCAGATGAAAAGTGTGTTGTAACTGGAGCTTTCTCAAATTGTATTCAACGTCTATAATTTTGAGAAGAATTACGGAAAACGCATAGGAAACGTATTAGTGATCTTGTAATAAATAAGTTCATATCCAATTAGTAAGTTTGTTAAAAAAATTATATCTATTGAATTAGAAAACATTTTTTTTATACTTGTCTTATGGGTGTATTCATACAATAAAAACAAACATTAAAAAAAAAACATTTTCTAATGCAGCGATGGAAAAAATGAGTACAGTAATTAAAAGATGAAGAAATCCGCGAAATCTATGAGACAATTTGTTTCCGTTTTCAAAGTTATGCTATTATTACATTTATAATAAATGATTTATTATAATTTTTAGCCGTTTTAATTTATTTAATGTAATTTTGTTTAATATTTCCTATAAAATTTTATTTATACACACGCATCGTATCTCTCAAGATTCTTACCGCATCGGCTATTTGCGTTTGGAATTTAGTTAAAAAAGATATACCGTAACTTCGAAAAAAAAAATACACACGGCAACTATTTGTCTCATGGGTTTCGCGGATTTCTACATCTTTTAATTACAGTACTCATTTCTTATTTTTTAAATTGCATGGTCCATTGAAAAACAAAAATCATTAAAATTTAAATTGTTTTTTTTACAAAAAACGCGAAATTAACCAATTTGATAATTTATCCGAAAGAAAAATTATTTCCACCCACTCGAAAATTTGGTCGAAATTTTATACAAAATTTTAAACATAAAATTTACTAATACAATTTGATTTTTAAACGTTTATTTTGGACATATATTCAAAAAGTTTAAAATCTATATTTCTTTTGTACAATTTTCCATTTCTATTCAAACGCATTAACATTACACACATAATCGGTATTGTTATGAATATTAATATCATGTCCTATTTCAATGGATAGCGCATAAATTTAAATGTACAAAAACGACAACGTTGCATTTGCACAGCTAGTGTTATTTACACAGCAGAGGTCGTTTTCGATAACGAACTATTTGTCACTCATAGAAGTATATCTACGGACTACTGTAAGAAAAAGTGATATCTATATAGGTCACTACATTGAAATGATAAAAATGGGAAAGCTATTCTACATGAACAAAAACTCAAGAAATGTGTTTTGTCGAAGATAGATGGCTTCCGGAGGACGAGTCGTAAAAATTTGAATCTCGCAATGATTTTCGATATTGCTACGGATCAACCAAATGCAAAACTGTAGTATACATCAAAAGAACATGCACAAATCAATCGTGATTTTCCGCTGTCAATATTGTTATCATTTCCTCAGGGGAACACTGGCGACGTCGCGCGACAGTGGAAAATTGGCTAAATTACAAAAAAGCAAGGACAGTGGTCTTGCTGCAAAACTAAGTAAAGGCTTAACACGCAAGCACAAGTTAAAGACGCCACTTCAACGATAAAAGTACCAGCTAAAAAATCATTCACTTATAAATTCCACCAGCTACACTTTTCTCTAAGCGTGTCGTGTAAAAAATTCGATCCCAAATTTCGCACGAGGAAATACTTTTCGTCTAACTCTATGTTCTATCCTGAAAGTGATCGTGTGTTGTTAAAAAGTATTCACCTTGATGAGAGCAACTGGTGGTTCGTTGGCGGCGAGTTTTGGAGCGGCTTTCTCGTATTCTGGAGCCATTCTTTTGCAATGTCCGCACCATGGCGCGTAGAACTTCACAAGAGCAATTTCATGCGTCTTGATGGCATCCTCAAAATTGGCGTCCGTATACTCCAATACATCACCAGCCGAATAAACGGCAACCAACAAAGTGGCGAAAATCACTGATTTGGCCCACACCATTACCTAAAAATATGGACGTTAAAATATTAATCTTTGAATAAACAATAAAACGACTAACGATTTTCACGATTTTAAGAGTATAGAAACGAAAAAGCTGCTCGCTTTTCGGAATAACATCAAGGCTCGAAAAAAATTCAAAAAAAATGATGCGTGCTGTTCGCGACACGTGTTCTCCCTTCGAGACCGAGTGCGTATTTCGACACCAGCTCCTTTGATCGTATTGATTTTTATTCGATTTTTTTGAATATTCAATTGTTGTTTTCCTAGTTTTGGCTTTCGCTTTTGCTTGATATTTTTTAATTCAATCCAAAAACAATACAATTTCTTTTTTATGATTTTCTCAAGTATAAAAAACTGGTTGTCAGTAGAAGTTTATGATGGAACATAAAATATTTTAAACCATAAATTTTAATGTTGACAACAGAGGATAACGCGCACACTAGGAGAGTAAGCTTAAACGTTCATTGGGGAAGTGAAGGAATAAACTACGATGACCTAGAAATTCCTCCGTATATATATGGAAACAAGGAATATTCTGGAAACGAGTGAAAGTTATTGAGTTTTGCGTTAAAACCGCGCCTTATATCCAGAACCGAGTTATAGAAAACTGATGAAAATTTGCATAGATTGCTTACGTGGTATCATAAGCTCGCGTGTTCTCGCAGGATTGGCAGCGACGAGCGAGCTCGCTATCTCGACAATGACATGCACGGCGAATGCAGCGTCGTCGTTGTCGTGTTGTTCGCCGATTGGTGGCCGGTTGCCAGCAAGCCCGCCCCGCGCTCTCGCCGCGAAATCGCTGAACACTACGCGCGGCGTACGGTAGCCGTAGTATTTACGAAACACATATTCACCATGGAGACCAATCAATAGGTGTTCTCGAAAGATTTTCATGCTTAAACATAGATTTCGCATCATAATCTTTTAAATCTTTATGATTCCTCAACATTTCTTCGTCATATTTCTTCCCACAACTACTACTATTTTATTATAGTGTTTTTCCATCGATTTCGTCATAATTTTCAATAGTGCGGTTCGATTTTTAAAGTTTTCAGATGAGCTCCGAGACTCCTCTCATCACAATCTCAGCGAAAACCCCAACGCAGACTTATTCAGTGGAAATTGACCAAAATGCGACTGTCAGCGATGTAAGGATTGCGAAATGATTAATTCAAATATGAAGAATGGGACAAAACCACTAAAAATCCCAAAAAATGACAAAGCGATTCCTTAAAAAAATTTTTTAAGGTCTCATTCATTCATATACATGTTGAAATTCCCCAATAAGACGAATCAGTATTTCTTCCAATGAAAAATAATTTCAAAAATTATCGTATTCCCAATTTTCAGCTCAAAGACAAACTTCTTATCCAGCTTACGAACGCTACCAAGAATCGACTGTGTGTTATCTACACCGGTAAAATCTTGAAGGACGAGGAGACGCTTTTGCAGCATAGTACGTCTAAACAAGCTTGAAAATGCAAATTTTTGTTTTATTTCAGAAATCGGCAATGGTCACACCGTTCATTTGGTAGTTCGAGCTGAGCAACGTGCACCGCCCGCGGCTCCACCATCTGTAGCTCCATCGGCTGCTACTACTACTACTACGCCAACAGCTCCAGGCGCTGGATTGACTTTCGGCGGTATGCCACAGCCAGGCGATATTATGAACAATCCGGACATGATGCGTCGTATGATGGACAGTCCGATAATGCAAAGCTTGCTCAGCAATCCGGAGCTCATGCGCACCATGCTTACATCGAATCCGCAATTCCAACAGCTTATTGAGGTGAGACAACATTACTAGAAGAAGCGAATCAAACATTTTTTTTTCAGAGAAACCCAGAAGTTGCTCATTTGCTCAACGATCCGAGTATCATGAGGCAAACGATGGAAATGATTAGAAACCCAAACATGTTCCAAGAAATGATGAGAAATCATGATATCGCCATCCGCAATCTTCAGGTAATTTTTTATTTTAAAATAATAACGGAGTATAATCGATTCCACAAAAGATCTGATCAAATTGTTATTATTTTATCGTCGACATCGCGCGACTGCGGAAATTGGGTAAATGCCAAAAAAAAAATGGCAGTGGTTTTGACACAAAGCTAAAAGTGCGCATTTACGTGCATGTGTAAAAAATAAGTTAAAGGCGCACAATGTGCACCAAGACGTCTTTTTAAATTTTTTTGGCATCCAGCCAATTTTTTTTGCAGTCGTGCGAAAAAATGTATATATAGAATGTTAATTCGGTGTATCCAAAAATCCGAAAATGCGCTTTCTAATGAGTTTCTCGAAATTCGATTAGGATTGATTTTTGTGTTTTTATTATTCATTTTATTCACACAACTACATGCAAAAGTGCATCTACTCTTTTTATTCGTTAATTTATTGAACTAAACGTTTTTAGAATATTGATCCGAAATTTCATTGGCATTTTAGTAAATTGTGACGCGTTTTTTTGCCTCGTTTGGTTTTTCATTACTAATCTTGATGAAATATCAACAAGAGACGCAAAAAAGTCAATCACATGAGAAAAGACATCGAGTTGAGGTCACGAGACCAAATTGCCAATCAATGCGTTATCGCAACTATCGTTTGAATTCAGGGAATACCTGGCGGTGAAGCGGCGCTTGAAAGACTCTACAATGATGTGCAAGAGCCATTGCTGAGCAGCACGACAAACTCGTTGAGTGGAAATCCATTCGCTTCGCTTCGTGATCAGCCAGCAAGTAAGAGACATACATACAATTTTGAAAGAAAAATATGCAAATTAGGGGACTATGTGAAAGTCAGAAATTAATTACTCGTTTATCAAATTATTGAAAGCAGCTTTTAAATAGTTTCGAATTTTTGCGAGATTGTTTTTCTTTAAAATTAATTTTAATAATACAAAAAATAATAATAATAGTTGTCGCAATAATAAATTTAACCTCTTTGTAGCCCCACGCAGCGATCGTCAAGGACAGGAAAACAGCGAAGCTTTACCGAATCCATGGGCCCCACGTCAGCCGTCTGCGAATACGGCTCCGGCGGCTACGAATAATCAAGCGGAATCTGCTAATCCATTCGGAGGTGATCATTTAGGATTTTTGCAAGCAGAATAATGCAACTTATCAGTTTAGGAATGCTCAACTCGCCAGGAATATCGTCGCTCATGCAGCAAATGATGTCGGATCCGAATGTTTCAGCTTCTCTCTTCAATCCTCAAATGATGCAGCAAATGAGGCAGAGTTTACAGTCGAATCCGCAGCTTCTCGATATGGTAATTTAATTTTCAACACTAAATTTCATTTTCGAATTGCAACATTTACAGATTGTTAGTGCTAGTCCAGCTGCTCAAGCGAACCCAGAATTGACAAGTGTTCTCCGCGAGCGTCTTCCCGATATGCTTGATTTGGTAAAATTGCCAACATTTATAATTGCTAAAATTAAGTTTATGTTTTAAAGATGACCAATCCTCAAGCACTCCAAGCCATGCAAAATCCACGGGTCGTTGAAGCCATGCAACAGATTCAACAGGGATTCACCACTTTGAGAGCAGAGGCGCCGGAATTGATTGGGTATGGGTTTTTTTGTGAAAAAAAAGAATTTCGGTCGTAATGAACAGTGCAAATGGTTTTGTTCACTTAGCGACAGACGAAATTTTGTAATTTTTATAATTAGGCGCTTGGTTATGTTTCGAATCTACAATTAATAATTTTTAATTATTGTCGAAGTCGCGCAACTACAGAACATTGGTTAAATGCCAAAAAGAATAATGGCTGTGGTCATGGCGCAAAACTAAAAGTGTAGATTTACGGCATTAGGTTTAAAGGCGCACAACCTATCCTTAAATTTTTTTGCCTTTAGTCAATTTTCCGCAAATGCGCGAATTTTTTTCGGGTAGAAATGATAAGCAATGATTCTCAATTTTATTCTGATTATGTTAATTCTATTTCACTCAAAAATGATTGCCTTTCTCTTTCAGAATGTTCCGCAACATGGGAGCTGGAGGTGCAAATGCTGGCGCGTCTGCAGGTTCTGCCACAGGTGCTCAGAACTCCAGGTGAGTTTACAAAATTTAAATTTTCAAAAATATAATTACAATTAAATTATATTTTCGACATAAATATTTAACGGTGTTAAATGCGCACACTGCGCGCTATGACCATTATCTAATTTTTCGTATTTTCCGCATTTTTGCGGGCGGTTTAAATTTGAATTTGAAACGCGGAAAATTAAAAAAAAATGTCCTTTTTACATTTTTGTAAAAAAAAAAACTACATTTCATGAATAGGCCCATCAGAATTTTCTCGCGCAAATTTAACGATAAAATAATTCAATTCACCATTTATTTAAATCTAGTGAAACTAATTGAAATTGTCTAAACACCCACGTTGAAAACGGTCATAAACATATATATTTTTTTAAACTTTCAAGTAATATATAAATGTTTAAATGCGTTCAGCTGAAATTTCAAATTCACGTACATTTTTGTTTAAATTGTTCTGTTTTGTGTTTATCAACATTTATCATAGTCGCGGACGGTTGAATTTGGGATGTCTTTCAGTTATCATTTGAATTGTCGCATTCGGTTTCACACGGAAAAATTTTTATTATCAATTTTTGTTAAATTCAACCATCTGAAAGAGTGTGAACGAGCATTATCTTTTTAATTGATTTTTGAGTATTTATTATTTAAAATGACAGAATTGAAGCACGTTTTGTGTTACGGGGACCAATTAATTGGCAGCCCGTGCTATCAAAGTATTTTGAAAATATTTAATAATTTTTTAGTACAAATCCAACCGGAATGGATTCACAGATGAACGCATTGTCGCAACTTCTATCGGGAATGCGAACTGGTGGAGCAGCGCCACAGGTATAGCGATCTCTTGAAGCCGTCGCTTCGCGAATTCACATTCTAAGCGGTTTCTTAAAGTGTTGATCCCTCGCCCGAAAAATATCATCTATTTTTGCCGTCATGCAGTGGCATGAAGTTTTTAGTGAAAACGCTGATGAGCTAGCCAAAAATTTTGTCGTCGCTGACGGCGGCGCAGGAAGTCGGCATCGAAGACATAAGTATTTTGAGAGAAGCGCGACGTCGGGTCCCCCCGATGTGTTCTGAATAATGTAACAAGATGATGTGCTGTAAGACATCCGCCACCGTTGTTTGACATGCTATGGATAAATGCTCGATAATGAGTATAAAGTGATGCGCAACGCATGTGTGTGTGTATGTGAGTCTCCCACCCTTTTCCTGCTCGCTGAGCCGTTTTTAAATACGAACCCACTTTTCCGGAAAACGCAATTATCATATCGGATTTCGTTGGGTGCAATAATGCAACAATGTTTATGGACAGACATTAACTCGACAGTTGGCCGTCCGTTCGTGGCTCTTTTTTTGTTGTATGCCGACAACGCAACTTTTTATTGGTGACAGGTGCGCGCTAGCGAGATTTGTTGGGGGAAGCCGACGTCGAGAGTTATGATTAATCGACAGAAATTGGCACAACAATTGTCATTGTGGGGAAAATTTCGAAACAAATTTTCACACAAAAGACACCGCGGATGATATATATATAGCGATCGGTTTAAAAGAGGAGTTTCCGAATTCCCTTTGAAGTTCCGAACTCCGTACAGAATATCGAAATTCTGGTTGTCGAATGAGTTGATCGAAGTTTCCGGCGTTCTGCGAGGTGGTTCTGATAGGTTTTCAGAAGTATTGCCGATGTAAACAATATTGTGGCGTTTCCGGAAGTTAAGAAAAATTTCAGCCATGCTCATTATTTTTATTGAAACGATTACGCTGGAACATTTGGTTTTCGATTTCTAACAGAGACGAAACTAAAATTATTTTTTAATTTTTAGTTTATAACTAAACATTTTGTTTATTGGAAAAAAATCTGCAGACAGTTTTTTTTCCCAAGATTCTGTATAATTTAGAAATCAAGAATTTCTGGAAATCTTTCTGAAGTGTCATCTTCACGTGTTATTCTCCCTTTCGATTTCAATTTCATATTATTTTTGCGACGTCGCCGCTTTGGCCGTAAAATCGGCCATAAACAATATGTATTTATCCATATAAATATCAGATTTTTCAATTTCGCCTAGCCTGACATTGCAATAGGCATTTCTCGGCTTCATGGCTCATCACATTTTCGATTAATTTTCACAAACACACACACACACATTCGCGCAGCAGCCCTAACATAAAACCTATGATAGCGCAAATAAAAATGTATTCTTGAAAACGGAATGAATGGTCCCCTCCCCTCTTCCGAATTTCAATATCCTCAAGAATATTGTTGTTGGCGATGATTTTTTGGCACGATTAAAGGCTCGAAGCACACATGTTTCGAGAGGCCAACACACACACACGAATATATTTAAGATGCGCTTCCATATTTGCACATTTGTGCGCGTTTGGATCAAATATCGCAATAATCTAATAGCCGAAGACATCGTCATCAAGTTACATGAGCGTGTCAGCGCTATTGTTTTGGGAGAATGTAACAACAAAACGCATGCAAATCGGTGTTCCGGAAATGCTGTCAAATCGGATATTTGATCAGAAAAATTGTGAAGACGGAGAAGAAGATGAAGAAATGTGATTTATTTTCGTTTTTCGTTTCGATCAACTTTCGAGACTCAACGAGCATCGTTTAGCTTTCATTATCGGTTAGTTTCAGAAGCTGGATGGTCCCTCTCCGATTTAGCCGAATTATTGGTTCCTAGTTGATGTCTCCCCTCTCCTCCCGCTCATATTGAAAATGTTTCCGTTGTTCTTGCAAATTGTACATTCATGTGCCGGAGCAATCAGAATGCCTCGCCACCACTTTTATCTCATTAGGCGATGTTTTGATGGATGCTCTGCGACATGTTGTGTGTGTGTGTGTGTATATATATGCGTATGGCCCACAATCTCCGGATCATAAGGCGTGCGAGCGAATGAATGAATGTCCCGGAAAAGGACACGACGTAAAAGGTTGTGTAATATTATACAGCGCTCATCAATTGATGGCACACGATAGATACGGCAACTGAAATAAATGAGAAAATTGCGCGGAGGCGCCGCCGTCGTCGTCGTCGTCGTCCTTCCTTCCTTGTGTGCCCCCTCATTCTCCATCTTCAACAATTGCTTACTGCTAATCTTTTTTGCGATTTTACCGCTCCGCGCAATTCATATAAGGCGGCGGCTGCGCCCAGCCAGCTGCACCTTCCGGACCGAGAGCATCATGATCCCCATTGCCTCATTGAGTAGAAGTGATTAGCGAGCATGATGCGCGTGCGCGCGCGCGAGATGTCGCGCCGACAAAAAAGGTCAAACACAGAGATGAGAAGAGAAAGAGGCCCCCACTTATTTGAATGAATAATCTCCAAATGTGTTTTATATGGTGAATGGGTGTCATGCGAGGCACCGGAAGTCGGTTTGGATCGCGTCGCGAAATTTCGAAATTTGTATGTGTGTGTGTGTGTGTTTTTTTCGATCGTGATGAGATGAGCAGAGCCCATCCATCCCTCACCACGATGGAAAAAAAGAAAGAAGTGTTCCATAAAACCATCGGCATATGTGATTGGAACAATTAGACCTATTGTTGTAACAACATAGTGGCTAATTAGTATGTTGCGGAAATGGAGAACATGTGTTGTTTTGTGTTGTATCACTTAATGGCGTTGTGTGTGCGGGGAAATGTTGTCGAACTCATCTAAGTATGGTGTAATGCATAAATCGAATGAGGCCTTGATTAGTGGTCCGTCGCCGACAAGCAGAAGATGAAGAAGAAGAAGAAGAAGCAGCGGCGGCGCACACGTGGACGGACCCATCTGACGCTGCAATTGTCGTCGTCTGTCTGTATTTGGGCCTCGGTGCATCACACACACACACACACACACACACACACGTAAATCTGCATTCAATTTGGCTCTTGCGCGCGACAATTAATTTTTGAGAAACAACAACACGATAAGAATCGTCGTCGTAATATGTAATGAGCAATTAAGCTGAGCAGCAGCAGAAGCATCAAGCTAGTAGTATGTTTTGAAATTCTCAAAGGAAATGTTAATTCGAGTACGCGAGCACGAACCGGCCAGTCTCGGCGCGGAGCAGCCAGCCATCTTAATTTTTTTTTCCATCATTTCAATCAAGCCCATTTCGATGATTGTCTTCGTGAAATGATGGGAGAGGAAAATGAAGTTTTTGGAATAGAAACGACGGACGACTAATCCGATTTTTTCGTTGCCGAAGTGCTCGGTTTGAGAAGACGTGGAGTATTTTTTTTTATTATGGCATACGGTGGAATCGGGCTCATTTTTCTTTTGATGGATTGAAATTGCGGCTTTCGTGAAATTAAATTTAGAGAATGAAGTATGGTGGTCGAAGTTTGAAACTTTCGTCTGATGATTCGACACAATTGACAGCCGATTGCAACAATTAATGTTGTGCCACCCGGTCGTCTCAACACAAGTGATTTGTTGAGTTTTGCTGACCGACCGAAATCGTAAATATGATGGCCCACACGCCGCTACTCTTCATCGTCGTTCGCAAAAAAGATATTCTAAGTGTGTGTGTGTGTGGAGCGTGCGCAACTGTTGTGTCGGCTTTTAACAATAAATGTTGTGAAGGGTGGACATCAAATGCGACATTCATCATAGAGTTGATCGCCGCGGTGTGAGAGCCGCTAGTCATTCATTCGTTCGTTCAATCATTCGATGATGATGATGACGATGACGGCAACAACCAAAATTTGTAACGTGAAATCGGTTCACCCCCCCCATAAGATTTTCGCCCAGTTGGTGGGAATCGTGGTGAATGTTTTTCGTGTCCTTTTTTAGGCGTTTTCGTGCGTTGGGACAAATTTGTGGAAGAAGCTTGAACAATGCGCGATGGTTGCGCCACCGCCGCGTGCGCTTTTGTACCGATTGAAAAATGTATTGTGTGTGTTTCAGGCGACGAACAATGTGAATCCGGAGCAACAATACGCGACGCAATTGGAACAGCTGCAGGGCATGGGATTCTCGAATCGCGCGGCCAATATTGCGGGTATGATGGTGACGCAATTAATCGTGAATAATTGCGGATTTGAAATTTATTGCGTGCACGAATAATGAAATTTGGTTGTTTTTTTTTTTTGCAGCGCTCACCGCTTCGTATGGAGACTTGAACGCCGCTGTCGAACGGCTCCTCAACTCGCCACAGTAAAATGAAAAAATAATCAATGTCCCAAATGCTTCTGTTTTTTTTCCTTTAAATATCTATTTCCCATGTTTTTTTTTTTAATACTGTCCCCCGTTTTTTTTTTGCCTCGTTTTTGCCGTCGAAATTCCAAACGAAATGATGATGTATTCTTCCAATTGAACAAGAAAATTTCGAAAATGTAAATTGTAATGTCTGTGATCTTTTTGTGTCCCGCCACCAACACCAACACCACCCAACACCCACCAACATCGGAACTCGAACAACAATCATCATCATCATCATCATCATCATGTTCATTTTAATTTTAATTCAATCACCATCGTCGTCCTCGGTCTGTTTTTCTTTTCTTTTCCATTCTCTTCGTCCTCTCTACCATTTTTCGGACTAGTTTTCGCATAAATTATTCATTCAATTGATTCGCAAAATGCAAAAAACCTTGGGGCCATGTTGCGATTTTTATTGCTTAAATAATTTGAATCGTTTGCATTTGTTATTGTTGCGTCTCGGACGGATTACAGTAGCGAAGAACACCTGCTGCGGTCACAAATTATATTCCGGAAACGAGCGCGTCGAGTTGCCGGTTAAATTCGTCGATCGTCAATTTCAATTTCGCGCGCGCGCGCGACAGAAGCGCAGCGACCACAAAAAAAAATAAGACATTGAATTAATGCTCGTCGTTGGGCGATAATCTGCGGCTCAATCCCATGCGACGTGCCAATTATACTACACATACGGGGCCATTTCAACTGGTGCCTTCTGACTGACTACCGTAGGATGGATTTGCACATGAAATGAGCTGTTCGAGTTTGATGCGTGTGTGTGTGTGTGTGTCTCGCACTTTTTGATTCACAGTGATTTGAGATGAAATTTGATTGAAGGAGCATTTCTTGAAGAAATTGCGCTCTATTGAACTGAAAATCTATATTTTATTGTTTTAAAGAAAAAGCTGAAACTCGGCACCTGAGAAATGTTTCAGAAGCACTTCCGGTCAAGTGCTGCTGCGATTTGAAAAACTCGACAGATTGGATGTGACGAGACGGTAGAATGAATAATTGACGAGCAACAACTGGTCGCATGATTGTATATTATCAATTATTCAATATTAGGTGTATAATTGTCAATCAAAACAGTGGACGGGAGCAGGCCCCTCGTTGGATGAGCCGAACGGACCTGCGACGTCTTGACCGCCGCACTCGCAGTTGGTCCGATCGTAAATATTGAGGGTGCGCAATAGTGTCAATGTGTTACAATTTGGTCGACGACGACGTCGGCGTGTTGAGTGAGAAGATTGAGTGAGAGAAAGAGTGAGAGCCTCCATCTCGCGTTCCTCTTTGTCGTCGTTAATGAATTATTGCTTTTGAGGTGAGATTGACATTCGCTGGAGATGAGTTGAGCACGAACAAATGCAAAAAATTTTCAAATCAACCAATAAATGAATTGACGTCAGTGACGATTCGGTTGGCGCGTTTCGCGTGCATCGCCAATCTTGTTGCGGTCGAGCGCGAATAATGAGCACATCAATCACTTTGAAACAATCATGAGGCTCTTCTGGCGCGATCATCATTTTTTCAGTGCTCATGCGTCTTCCTTATCCATTTTTGAAATCTTCTCGCTGCTCGCCCCTCTCGACATGCTCGCTGCCGGCTGCTCATTGTCTCCTTCGGCTCGGCTATTCGTCCCCTTCTTCCGTTTTTTTTTCAATTGAGCATGAATGAATGTATCAAAGAAGCACTCGACAATAATCACTGTTTTGGGCCGTCAATTTCCGGACAATCGAGAAGGGTTTAATTGAAAATTTCGAATGATAAACATCAAATTTCCGGAGCAATGGTCTCGAGACGAAACTCGTAAATCGACACCCATTAATTTATTCCGTAAATATTGGATTCCATTATTGCGATGGAAAGATGAGCATAGGCACTCGAAAGGCCTGAGCAAAAAATTGAATTATCCACACAAGACTAAACATTCGTAGTAGGCAAACAACACTAATTATTCAATGTCGGTATGAATGAAGCCTGTCGAGAAACGAGGCCGACGAGCGAGTTTTAATGAAACTCGTAAAATTTGCAACAATTTGTGACGCAATCCGGAACGAGCCATTCGCGTTTTGCTCGCCTCCGTCCTACGGTAGTTATGAGCCGACGACGACAGCGGCAAAACGCAGCTCCACCCTCCTCCTCCAATGCGCAATTATTATTGGCGCTGCAAAATGTGGGCGTGGCCGCCATTCTGCTTCTTCTTCTTCTTCTTCTTCGCCTTCATCTCATCCTCGTCGTCGTTGTCGCACACAGAGTCGATAATACATCGTCGTGGATAAGAAGAAGAAAAAAGGAAAAGCCGTGTATTTTTGCCCATTTTTGTTTGTCCTCTTCTTCTCCAAAATTCTTTCAATTCATATTTTTTTTTCGTGTTTAGTCATACTCGATTCTCATAATTACTCGAGATTATGCTTTAATTCGACCGGTTCGCCACCCCCAATTTCATGTCTTCATCTGAAAGACCAAAATCGATGAAGGCTCAAGTTGGTGCTCGATCTCCATGAGCCTTTCACATTGCCGCGTGTGTTCTCAACTAAAATGTTCAGACAATCGAATGGTTGTGATTTTGAAAAATTTGACGCCGCCTCAAGGCCATAATCAAAAGTTTTCGTTTTCCACCAATAAATCAAACCATTTTGCGACTCACGGTGTTCCGATTAGAATCTTGAAGAGACTTCCGCCGCTTTCGGCTCTCAACAACACACATAATTATTTATGAGAAAGGTCGATAGATTTTTTTTCTCCCCCCCCCGCTTTCCACCATTTGCAACATTTCGCGTCGAGACCAAATAATCCACTCGCTAATCCGCACATATTTCGTCGGGTTGTTCGACGACACACAGCGTCTTCGCGTCGCGCCATATCTATCCATATATGTACATTAATATGAAATGAGGGTGGCGCTCAAAAAACTACCGTAATCGATATAATTAGCGGTTTTCGAGCGGCTCTCAATTCCGCTTTCCATATTTCATTTTTCCCTCTCTATGAGGTTTGGGGGGGGGGGGCTCCAGAACCCCACTCCTATGAGGCTCCACATCACAATTAGCAAGGTGCACACATGAAGAGGGGGCTCCAATTTTCTCGTTGTATGCTTCTGAAATGGCAGCCATCCAATCGAATACAATTCAATTCATTTTCGAGCAACCCCCCGCTTTCTCGAAACCAACGTACGGGATGTCGGCCCGCCGAATTCCCCAGTCTCATCATCAATCGTCGAATAAAAGAGATGGAAAAAAATGTGGGCGCGGCTCGAAATCCTTCCCCCCACCCCCCCCCCAAAAAAAATGCATAAAGTTACCATAATCGTGAAGCCGAGGAGAGAGGATTGAAGGGAAGGGAGGAAACCGCATAGAAAATGGGCGGAGCGAGACGAAGACGGGGCGAGCTCGTCAGGGGAATTCGAGACGCAATTTCTATATTAAAACCTCGGTTCATCTTCTCCGATTTTTTTTAATTCGAAAAGGATTATTGTTGAAGCTCCCCAGAGAGGCACCTACAGTATTTCTCTCAAGAAGGAAGGGGGCGGGTGGAAGCTTGAATGTTTCCAATTTATTCCGAAATTCCAAGGCCGATAGGCCGCCCTATAATCCTCAACATAATTATGCCCCCCCCCCCCTCTTTCGCTCGTTTAGTTGTTGCTTCACAAATCTGTCTGTTGTTGGCCATTTTCGCAATCGTCACACACACACAAAAATGGAATTGAACCGAATTTGTTGCATTGGCGCGCGCGAATTTTTAATCGTTGTCAAAATGGACGACGACGACGACGGGGGCCGCGCGTCGTTGCACAAAAGACGCCTTCTAACAAATTACTGTCGGCGGCGAGAGAGTGTGCGGGAGCGCGACGCGCAGAGAGATATGATCGTCGTCGTCGTTGTCGCGGGTGGCGCCGGCGTCTTTGTCTCGCGCGCGCGCGCGAGCGTTTTTGGTGCACTGGCGGTGGGTGGGTGTTTTTGGGCGCAGCCGGCCGACCGGCCTCCCACGAATTGTTAATGATTTTTATTTGACATCCACGCACACAGAAAGAGACCCTCATTATTCGATTTGTCAAACCGAATTCGACGAAACAAATTGGCGGCTTTCGCCTTCTTCCATCTGGGCTCAATTATTGTTGTTGTTGTGGTTTTCAAATATCGTCAGGCTCGGTACGCCAACAAGTGCGCCCCATCGCGATGATGATTCGAACCATAAAATTAAGAAATGTGTGGTCCGCGAATGACATCACCTAGAAGCTCAGCTGATCCTTGAGCCATCAGGGAGAGAGGAAGGGGGGGGGGGAGGGGAACATTGTTTGTTTTGGGATTCACATCCCAACACCTCTCATTTCCGTTTCGTGAAAACTGTGCTGGTCACTCATCGAATCGCTAATTGAGCAACACAAGTTTTTCTCGCCGACATCGTCGTGCGCTTGTAATTTGGTTGTTCGATCGGCCCCGCAATTTGATATCCAATGTATTTCGATTGCACACACACACACACAAGGCGAGAGAGGAGAGCAAAAAGGAAGAAGCCGGTGGAGAAGAAGAAGAAGAAGAAGCAAAAAACGTCTCGTATCGCGGTGCTCTTTTGTCTGTTTCGACACACCGAAAAGTAAACGCCACCAGGTTCGATTCGACGAGGCGCCGAATTACAAATATTGTGGTGCTGATGATGAGGATGACCCGAGTCGGTGGGGGGGGGGAGACACAATTTCCTGATTATTTATATACATATAAATATAACCGGCGGTGCGCCGCAGGTCGTTTTTTTTTCCCGTCTCCCACCCCGCCTGCTGAGGCTGCTTCTCGACAGTGTTCCGACACGTCGTGCTCCTCGCGCCGCCGCGCATTGTTTCTCGATATTTGCTCACAAACTATATGTGCTTTTCCTTCCCATCATTGGTTACCTAACTAACTCTTTATAACAAAAAAAAATGCGATTTCTCTCTCTCTCTCGTTTCATTCGCAATTCGTTTGACAACATCATGTCCTGTCTTTTATTGCAATCTCATTTATTGACAAAGCCATTTTCGGTGTCAGGAGGTGCTTGTTGCCATTTTTATTACTATTCCACCCCCTTCTTCGTCTTCTCATCTCTTCGACGTCGACTTGTGTGAAATTTTTGTCGCAATCATAAGAATTCATTCTAGATCGTAATCGAATTAACAGAACCCCCCCCCCCTAATTGATCAAAACCATCCCCTCAAGACATTCATTATTGTTCCTCCATCCGACGACGGTTACACATTACAGTACTGCTCGACTCGAATTTATTGTTGAAAATAAAAAAAAAGAAGAAGAGACGAGGCCGAAAAAATTAGTGGGCGTGGCCGTTGCCGTCGGATTCCTCATAAATTTGCGTGCAATGTGGGCGGAGCCACGGACCCCGCCTCATGGTGCCCAAGAGAGAGAAGCAGAGAGCGAGAGGCGGCCGCACGTCGGTCCGAGCGGCGTTTTGAAACAAATCAGAAAGAAGTAGAAGAAGGCGGGTGAGTGTGTATGTTTTGAATATACATACTTATTGGGTGCCCACCCTCGGTCGGCAGACGCTCGGCGCTCTGATGCACTACGGTAGGGCAGGCCGTCTTCCGATTCATCATCATCATCAGGCCCCCGTTTTTTTTCCCCGATTTCTTTATCAAATCATTTTTTTTTCCATCTGGTACGTCTAGCGCGTCCGTTGTCGATTTTATTAATTCAATTAGTGTTGTGTCAATCACTCAACTATTCATGCAGCTAATCGATTTGAACCCCCCCCCCCTTCCACAAACTTCTCTCATTTCTGGAATTTTATTTTCTTTCGTCATCCACTTTTTCAATTTTTTTAGAGGGGTTCACTTCCTCGGTCTCTCGCTATCTCAAAACTGGTTGATTATGAATTTCGAGATATTTCATATTTCTCGCGCATCGCCCTCCTCCTCCTCCCCAACTGCAGTTGTCTTCCTCCCCCTTCCCCCCTCCCCCCAACCTCTTCCTATCAGTTCAATGATTGCATTGACGATGACTTGACTTGTTAATTTGAAAGGACATTTATCAGATTTTATTGTATTTTTTTGTCATCTTGATCGATGTATGAGAAAGCCGAGCGCGACATCTTCAACAACATTGCCCTTTTCCGTTCGAGACCCCGCCTCGAACAGAAAAAAAAAGCTCATCATTTTAATGTCGAAAAAGTGTCTCGCCGATTGGTGTTCCGAAACATTTTCCACCAAATCAAACGATCGTATCTCCGTTCGCGCTTCACTCGTCGACATTTTTTTTGTGTTGCGTCGAAATATTGGCGAACTTGCCCTTCGCTTTTTCAAGACGTCGCTCGCCGCTTTTACGACGACGTCGATTCCGATCCACACATATTACCTGGGATAAGCGTTCCTCATCACTTTCACCGCAAACATTGGTGAATTCAAAAAAGAGAAAAAAAAATATGTGAAAGCGTCCTCGTTGTAACATTTCAAGCCGAGTGATAAGCGGCCATCCATCATCGACAACGAACGCACGCAATCATCCAAATAGGACAAATAATATAGTTTTTGTGTTGAATTGTAGAAACTCGCCGATTTTGATCGGTTTTTCGTTTTGTTTCAAGTTCATCATCAATTGCGTTTCATTCATTCGAACTACACCGATCATTTTTTGAGATATCGAGACTCGGTGGAGGTTGTCGTCCTCCTCTCCTTGCCTCGGTGTCATTCGACAATCATTTTTCACAACCTCCCCTCCCCTCCCCCCTCCCTCAAATTCACCTCGTTGCATTTCATTTTTATATTTTATTTTTTTGGTGTTGTTCTCCTTATCTAAAAATCATATGTGTTCGCTTAGGCGGCAATCAGAAGAAGACGAAAGAAGAAGGAAGAGAAGAATGAACGATCTGCTCGCCGAGATGGCGGCGGTCTCGTCGCGACGCAAACAATCGAAACCTCGACGAATGTCCGGAGGTGCGTTATTATTATTATTATTATTATTATTATTCAGCTGGGGTGCGCACTATGCCAAAAATTGGGGGAGTAGAGAGAAGAAATAAATCATGAAAGCCCCCCCCCGAAATTTTTGAATTTTTCACCTCCGCTTGTCTCATTATGAGGACGGCTATTTTTGGAAATGACTTGCAAACGCGACACAAAAGAGAGATAGATGGAGATGGAGAGGGGCGAAACCCCGAACCATGTCCGCACATTCATGCGCAACATTTGTTTTTGCTCATGCCAATAAAATTTCCAACTGTTCGCAACAATTCTCGTCTCTTTTTTTTTTGGTTGTCTGAAGCGATGTTTGTTTATCCGTGAAGATTGGATAAAACTTGTGTGGTAGGAGATGAGCCGAAGGGAAAACTCATTTATAACCGCGGTGCTCATCATCATCATCATCATCGGGCCGGCGAGTGTGCAAATTCTCAATAAAAAGAATGAAACATTTATAATAATAGTCGTCTATTTCTCTCGCCTCTCTTCTCGCTTCACACTATTTCCATAATATTACCGTATTTTTGGCGCGCGAATGGCCAACGAAAACTCGGCGACCGCTTATTATTATTGCGTTCGGCTCCGCCCACTTTTGCGTCTCCGACCAATCATAAGCGAGCAGGCAATGTGCGCGGCGCGCTCGCATGATGAGCCGGCCGGCCCACCGAATATGGAGATTGAAATGCGCCCCTCAAAAAAAAAGGAGAATGGAGATTTATAGTTGAGAAAGACCCCCCTGTCAGCCAATGATAGCTCATGACTCCATACTGGTCCGCGGTTTTTTTTGTTGTTCAAGCCTCTTTTATCATACTTTTTTTCCTACTCGATGAAGCCGACAAAAAGCTGAACAGTTGTCCTTTATATGATCTATGGGCCACTTTTGCAATAATAGTCTCATGCTTTACGAATTGTTGTTTTTTGACTCACACCGATTTTCAAACGCATTTCGGACCAATTGCGATGGCGGCTCGTTGCATGTCCGCAGCTAGATTTTATCGAGTCACGCGGATTACCAAATACGGTTCGTGAAATCAGTTGAATGCTCGGGGGGAAAAAAAAATATATATTGGCAAATAGAGGAACCGCGAGGCGGCGCGGAGATCGAATTTCGTCCGGCTCATTCAATTTCCATTCAAAGAGCGAAAGTGGGCGTGGCCATCGTTGGAATCGCCCAGATTCGTGATAAACATCATCATCACGATGCTCATAACCTACAGTAATCCAATTGGCGACTCATCTTCGTCATTTTTCTCTCAAACTCATATCTGTTGTCTATGCCTATCCGATATATGTGTGTGTGTGCTCCGCCGAGCAGCCAGGGGCTCATCATAGAATATAAAACATATTCGACATAATGTTTCAATTTCGAGTTGACACCTGCGTCTCGCCGGCAAGACTTGATCATATCCGCGTCGCATCACATTCATTCCAATCAACTTTACACTAAAAACGGCCATAATAAATAAATGGTCTCGATGCGAAGGAAGGCGAAAGAAGAAAGAAGCGATTTTCGCAACACACACATACACACACACGCCAGCCAGCCACTCTCTAGAAGAATGTTGACGTGCGTTCGGGTTCGATCATAAATTCAATTTTATATTGCGCCCCGTTTTTCTCTTCGCCTCGGTCTTCGACTACCATCTCGTGTGAGAATGAGTCGCTTTGTGTGTGTGTTGCGATTTTTACTACCACTTTTCGATATAAAACTTATGTGCTTCGGCAGTCGTCGCAAAAAGACAATTTTTGAATTGAGACATGACAAAATGGGGGTCCAAACGTTTCATTAGACGAACACTGATGAGCAAATCGGGAGATGCTGGAGGGGGGAAATTGAATGCGGAATCTCAATGGAATTGTATTCCAAAAATGCAATTTCAACACTGGAAATTGAATGCTCTTGATTGGGTTATGAGCAAGATGATGACGAGGAAGGCAACTCCTACCTTCGCCTACTGTAGCAAATTCATTCAATGATCGGATGCTTCACAATTCTAGGCCGACGTGGCAATCAATTCAGAAGCCGTGTTAAGCTAATTAGGGCGAATAAATCAAATGTTCCAACTGATCTATGATATGATGGGAAATCAGGGTTCCAGTATCATATTTTAGCAATTTCGAGCTGCCGTCAAGAAGTCATTATAGCATAGTTAGCTAATTATTTATTATAGTTAAGGCAATGCAGAGAAAATTCAAAAAAAATTTGTTGGCCCTTTTATGAAAAAAAATCATTGAGGCTTTAAACTCTGAAATACCATATTTAGAAGCGACGAATATCAAATCAATCAACTCGAATGAGCTTAGAGCTCCATTAAATCGATATTTTGAAATAAGAAAAATTGGTGAAATTGTCGTTTACCCCATTAAAACGTGACAATTCAATTAATTGAATTCCTGATTTTCGACATAAATTCACCAAACACACAAATTCATTCAATTAATTCATTTTTTCATTTTTTTTTTGAGAGGCGCATAATTTAATTTGGCGCGCGGGGGGTTTCAGATCTTCAATCTCGTCAAGATCTCTCCAATCGGCGTATATCTATATATTTTTTTCTGTTGCAACCATTCCATCACCAAATTAGTCGAAAATCGTGTGTTCATTAAAGCGTACTTAATCTTAAAGTTCCATCAATTTTCTTCTTTACACACTCTGAGGGCCTTCTTTTTTTTTTTTGCCCTCGATCGACCTTTTTCGATTCGAAATGTTTAATTCGGGCTAATTATTTTTTTGCAATTCGCCTTCTTCTTCTTAATTCTTTCTTTCTTTCCTTCTTTCTTTCATCAATAACTAATTGCTATAATGGGGTTTTGTTGTTTAATGATGGGAATGATGGCCGACGGAAACATTGAAATGGCGACGCCAATAAAAAACCAAAAAAGGGGGTTTCAAATTCATGATGATGAGAAATAAGGCTCGATCAAGGTCTTGAATTCCACCGAATATGGTCAACAAATTTAGTTAAGACCCCCCCCACAAAAACAAAAAATTCGTCATTTTATTTGAATTTGTAGCGATTCTGAAATCGCTTTTCAGTTTTCAGAAGGCTTCAGAAGTCGTTTTCAATTTCAAGCAGGATGAAGTGGTTCGAAAAATGAATCTACTATTTTATGACATCTTGTGTGTGATTGAATTTTTTTTCAAACTTGAAACAACTGGCTGAAATTGGAATTGAGTTAAAGCTTAAGAGTCGAATTTTCTGGAAATTAATATTTTTTTGATTTTTTCAAATATTATATTTTTGTGGAATTTCCAGTGGCTTTAAAATTTTAAAAGGAAGCTTGCAAGGAATTTAAGAATTAAACCATTTCGATTTAAATTTCTATATGAGAAATCTCCAACGTGCGGCTCATTTCTAGAAAAAGGGTTAAGCTATCTTTAACAGAATGCAGTTATTTTTAAAATTTGGTTTCTGGCACAAGTTTTGCTCCAAAGAGCTTCCACTAGCTCGTCAAACCTTCAACTCAAGCTTAAGTTGAAATTCCCAGGTTAAATTCAATATTAAATCGTACTCGAAATGCACTTAACCATCATGTTCCTCATCTCATTCATTTCCCTATTCGCAACCTCAAATTCCTTTAGCGGGGAAACGGGGGGAGGGAGAGGAACAGACTACCATAGTCGCATATAATAATAAGCCCCGCCCAGCTGTCAGAATTTGATTGGTTGACATCGCCTACTGTAATATGCACTCGTCGCGCTGTGTCTCTTCAACATCGCCATCGGGGGGCGCAGGGGAAGGGAGGAGGAGATGGAGGGGAGGGGAGGCGCGGGGCCGTAAACGACCGACGACGCAACACTCGGAGACAAATTTTATGAGTTTTTTCTTTTTTTTTTAATGCGCCGTCTTGCGTTTTTCACCATTTCGGTGTCGTCTCTCCTCGATTCCCCCCCCCAATCATCTCTCATCATCTGCACTTCCTCGCCATCGACGATTCGTTTAATGTGTATTTTGGCGTCTGACAATCATATTTTGTTGCGAAAAGGCAGGTTCCGAACCCATAAAGCCGGCACATTAATGGCGTCGAATGAAGGTTGCGACGAAGAGGCGAAAAAAAGTTAACGAGCCGCGGCGAAATTGTTGCGATTTTTCGAGGGATCTTTGACGATGCTATCTATTCCTTTATGCCTTATCGTTCATTTTTTTTTCGTGGTGCAATTCATTCTCGATTTCCAGACGCCGAATCGATGATGTCGCCGATCGACTTGTCAACGAAGGCAGCGTGCTTCGACGATGAGAACATGTGCGATCGAATGGCACCGCTCGAAGACAAATCCAACTTGCTACTGGCCCATCTACCACCGCCATTCACCAATCCGCAACAGGTAGCGAGCCTTTCGCCTTCCACCCTATGGGAATCACGTTTCAAAGAAGAAGCTGATTTCATTAAATTTCATTTCGAAATTGAAAGGGATCGATTTCAGTTCCTTTCGCTGTGCGCTCAACTCGGCAGCTCGTCGAGGAACCTCTCATCATCGGCCTCGTCGGTCTCATCGTGTCCGATACAGTCTTGCTCGCAGGTATGTGGGTACCGTAACCCGCGAAGCGAAAATGTTGCGGGTCGACCGACAAAAAAACCGCCCATAAAAATGCAATTACTGTATGTATCATTTGATTGGATCGTTGGCTTTTGTCGTCCACGACCCCCATAATTTTGAACGACCTTTTTTTTATTGTACACCCAATTGCGCCCCACACCAAAAATTTGGCAACACACAAATGTCAATGATTTTCGCATCACATGTTTTTTCTCTCTCTAGAGTTTCGGCTCGACGGCGGCGCTGACGTGGCACATTCTTGATGCTCATGAGGACGAGCAGGAGATGTTCTCGTGCGATCAATGCGGCACCTCGTTCTCCAATGGTCAAGACGTATGGATGGCGGCCAATCGGCGGCGATTCAAACATTTCGACGTATTTCAGATTCGAGAGCACAAATGTAGTAGGAAAAGCTCGCGATGCGCCTCGGTGCCGCCGGCGACCCATCCCAATCAGGTGTGCTTCCTCTCGGCGCCGGCGACACCCAATCCGCACTTCTCGATCAACGACGTCGGCAGCTCGCGATCCGACGACGGCGAGACGCCGCAGATCAACACGAGTATGCTAGGAAAAATGATACAAAATGAGGTATTTTGTGCGATTCATTTTATTTTCTCCCCCGGCCAACCAATGATTTCAGTTCAATAAGAGCACACGGGTTCCGATGTTCCATGGTGCGACGATTCCCCAACTCTCCGGATTTCCGCCGAATCTCCAACCGCCATGTGAGTCGACACTTAAAAATTTCCATCTGCCGACATTTTCAACGAATCACGCGACGCCTAAAATAAGACCAAGTCAAGGTCATTTTTTGGGGGGGGGGCTTTTTTGATTGGCCATAAAATTTGAAAAGTTATCAACAAAACCCATCAAACTAATAATGGTAATTCGATCAACAATTTTTTTCCGACCAATTAAACTTGTTTCGCGTTTGTTTCACCTCTTCCCCTCCTCTTCCTCTCCTCTCCTCTCCTTCTTCATCGAATCCGCTTCTTGATGATTTAATGTTTTGTTACAGTTTTAATGCGACAGCAATTCGATTCAAGACAAGATGTTTTCGGTTCGAGACATGATAATGATGATGATTGGGAAGCCCTTATGGAGGTATTGAACCGCCACCGATTCGATCAATCATGGGAACCACATTTTCAGATTTCGACAAGCGATGAATCCGAGAAGATCCGAGCACTGGTTGGCGACAAGGCGATCCCGACGACCGATCCGAATCAGTGCATCTTGTGCCGACGGGTCCTTTCGTGCAAGTCGGCCCTCCAGATGCACTATCGAACTCATACCGGAGAGCGGCCATTCAAGTGCAAGATATGTCAGCGCGCGTTCACGACGAAGGGCAACTTGAAGACGCATATGGGCGTCCATCGGTCGAAGCACTCATTTCGCGGATTGCCGCTGGGCCTTCCGGCGCACTTCCAGACGCCGCGAATGCACATTCCGACGCCGCCGATCCAGGCCACTCAGCAATGTCCGATTTGTCCGAAGCGATTGTCGAACGCCGCCGAACTCGGCGCGCACATCGCCGAGCATCGCAACTCGCTGACGCAGCCGCCGAGGATGGCGGCGCCGACGGCGACGATGCCGCCGGTGTCGGTGGCGGTGTCGCGCGCGTTCCCGTTCGTCCCATTCTTCACGCCGCCGCCGTCGGACATGTCGACGCAATTCAATTTGGCGAGCATTTTGTCGTCAACGACGGCGGCCGCCGGAATCAAAAAGGAAACCGTCGAGACCGAGTAAAACATTTTCAAGCTTCTATCAATCTTTCATTGTTTTTTTTTTGTTTGCAGAGACAAATCGGATGATTCGCAACAGCAACAGCAGCAACCGCAACAGCATCACACGAAAATGGCGTCGCTGTCGCCGACGGACAGCAGCGAGAGCTCGTCGAGCATCCGCAACGACAGCGCCGAGCCGCTTGACGGCACATCATCGGCCGATGAGAAGCCGAAGAGCGACGATCAGCAGAAGGCCGAGAATCCGCTGCTCGCCATGCAGAAGATGTGGGCCGAGACGGAGCCGCCGCCGCCGCGTCAAATGCCGGTGCTGTCGAAACACCAATGCGGCGTCTGCTTCAAACATTTCAGCTCGAGTTCGGCCCTTCAGATTCACATGCGAACGCATACAGGTTGGCGATTATCGGCCATCGGCATGACGAATGCGAATTGCAGGAGACAAGCCGTTCAAATGCGACATGTGCGGCCGAGCGTTCACCACTCGCGGCAATCTCAAAGTGCACATGGGGACGCACGCGTGGCAGCAGAGTCCGTCGCGACGAGGTTCACCATCAATTTGCGCCATCGTCGTTTCAATTCGTCTCATTTAGATCTGCTTTCAGGACGCCGAATATTCGATGTGAACGGTTCGGAGAAGCCGCTTCTCACGCCGCCAATGTTGCCCGGCGGCGCCACGCCGCTGGCGATGCTCAGCCAAACGATTCCCAGCCTCGAGGTGATGATGATGCTGTGGCGAACGGTGTGCTCGGTATGCCAGCGTGTGTGCACATCGCCGGCCGAGCTTGAGCAACACCTCAAAGAGCATCTGACGAGCTCGAACGGCTCGAACAACGCGATTCCAACAACACCACCACCATCATAGTAGTCGTTTCACACATACTAACCCAAGTCAAAAAATTTTTCTTTTTGTCTCATTTCGGCTTCCACTCTAATACATTAAAATTACGGTAATCATTATCCACTTTTTAATTTAATATATTTCTTTTGCTTTTTTTTCTTTTCTTTTCCCCCTCTCTTAATTTTTATATGGTTGAATTGGGCTAGTCGCTTTAATTGTGCATCACATCCGGTTGCCAAACTTTCAAAATGGTCTCGTTCCTTATTCCCACACCGTTCGTTCCCTTCTCCCCCCCCCACCATCCCCTCTCGCATCCCACTGAAAAAGCCTAGAAATTCGTTCCAGTTCCTCCACTTACTTCCATTCATTTTTCTTCCGCAAATTGGTGCTATCAAACACAGATTTTCCATTTCTTCTGCCTCGACAAACTTCTGTTTTTCTTTTTCACCTTCGTATGCACACAGTCGCCCAAATCGCGCTTGTATTATCCATTTCTTGTTGTGATAATATTTATATTGAATGATTGAGATTCATTTTTTTTTTTTGTTTTTTTTTTTCTTCAATTTATATATATGTGAATAAATGAATTCGTTTTTTCTTTGGAAAAAATCAAAAGTTTTGTTTGCCAGAATTTTATGAATCATTTTTAAGAGGGTAAACTAATATTTACTTTTTGCAAAGTTTTTTTGAGGTCGAACTTATTGATGTTTTTTTTTCAAAAAATGGGGATAAATTTGTTTGGTTGAACGTAAAAGTTGGCTACAGTTTATAGGCACATTTCAATTCGTGAATTTGGTCTTGCAACGAAATACAGTAGTAACATTTATTTGAAATAATCTTTCAAATTCTCCTCAATTTTTCTTGATGCTTTTTGCATTTATAATTTAGGTGAGTTAATATGTTTGAAAAGTTTACTGTAACATTGATCTACGGAAATTGATCCAATTTTTTGGCGCCATGATTTCTGCTGTTTGATCGCTTATTGTCTATAAAAGGCTCCACACAAGCAATTGTCGGAATTTTTCATTTTCTTCCATTATTCGTTTCGTTGCTCTTCACAAACGTATTTATTTTAAGGTGATGAGATCCGTAACAGTGTTGTTGGCAGCCATCTTCATTAGCGCACACACGCAAGAAACGTGCGATGGTCGTCTTGACGGCCTTTACACACTCGGCGATTGTGAAACGCAATTCTTAACATGTTCGGGAGGAGTTGCGCGAATCATGGACTGCCCAGATGATTTGGTCTACAATCCAATTGGCGAGTTTTGTGATTGGCGACACAACGTTGCCAACTGTGAAGCTTCCGGCGAAGAGAGCTCTGGCGAGGGTTCCGGTGAAGCCTCGGGTGAGGGATCTGGGGAATCTTCTGGTGAAGGATCCGGAGAATCGTCTGGTGAAGGATCCGGAGAATCGTCTGGTGAAGGATCCGGAGAATCGTCTGGTGAAGGATCCGGAGAATCGTCTGGAGAAGGATCCGGAGAATCGTCTGGAGAAGGATCTGGAGAACCATTCGGTAGAACATCATTTTTTTCAAAATTTTATTTATTTTTACGTCCTATTCAGAATGTATTGAGGATGGAACCTTTGCCCTTGGACAATGCTCCTCATCTTTCACTATTTGCGAAGGCGGAATTGCCTACACTAGAAGCTGCCCAACCCCACAATTCTTCGACTCTGTTAACAATATTTGCAACTGGCGTCATTTGGTTGAGGAATGCGATTCCACTGTGCCAGAAACATCTGGAGAAGCGGAGAATAGCGGAGAAGGATCGTCGGGCGAAGGATCCGGCGAGAACTCGGGCGAAGGATCTGGTGAGGAAGCTTCTTGCGAAGGACTTGCCGACGGAATCCATCCGAATGGCATCTGCTCCTCGAACTTTTTGACCTGCTCTGGAGGAATCGCCCGCGTCATGGACTGCCCGGCCACTCTTCGTTTCAATCCACAACTTCTCGTCTGCGACTGGCCACGCGACATCGCTGAATGCTCCGGATTGCCAATCAACACTGGTTGCGAGGTTGCCATTTCATTTCTTGAGCAATTCATTTATTTCGTTTATAATTTTTAGGAAGACGGATATTTCTCTTTCGGCAAGTGCTCCGACAACTTCACCGCCTGCATCAACGGTCGCGCCCTTACCATGTTCTGCCCAGGAGGACTCGCCTTCTCCCAAAGCGGACAAATGTGCGACTATCCAAATGCTGTTCCAGAGTGTGGTGGAACGCCAACCACTACTGAAGGTGCGTCTTGCAAACTGCATTGTTTCGATCATTCAATATGTTCAGAGCCTTCTGGTGAAGAATCTGGTGAATCTTCTGGCGAGAGTTCCGGTGAATCGTCTGGAGAAGGATCGGGAGAAGCTTCCGGAGAATCATCTGGAACCGAGGATTCTCTTTGCCTCCACCTTGAGAACGGACTCTACTCGCTGGGTTGCAACTCCAAGGTTCTCTCCTGTCAGAATGGCCATCAGGATTTGTTCGAATGTCCGTCTTCTCTTGTCTTCAACGAAGCTACTTTGATCTGTGACTTCCCGCAGACGTCAACAAAATGTATCGACGACGGTATTGCGTGATAAATTAGACGAAATTGAAATCCACGATTTGCAGAAAACGAGCACACCGAACCAACGTTTGAAGCCGGAGCTTGCAACTATGATGGAGTTCTCGCGAAGTCTTTGTGCTCCAGAGTCTACCAGAAGTGCGTCAACGGTCAAATCGTCAACTTCACGTGCGATGCCGTCGATTCGGTGTTCTCCGTTCCCAATGCCGAATGCGTCTCGGCCTCTCTTGTCCCTCAATGCCACTAAACTCTATGAGTTAACTAACCAATATAATACCGGTCACTTTTAATTTCTTGCTATTGTGATATGTCAAATGATCTCCCATAACTGCCCACTACCACTTTGTACAATTTATAGCATAGCCATTGTCTTTCATGTCATCCAACACATAAAGGATTGAAAACGAATTCATAGAAAGCAATTGAATATTCCGCATTCGCGAACGATTGAGGCGATTTGCTGAACGGCGAGCACCGACGCGAAATCGGTCCAATCGTAGCTGTGGAGCAGCGCCATTTTTTGCGTTTTGCACACCTTGCAAAAATCGCAGGAAAGATAGCAGTCGACGTGCGATTTGAATGATTGCTCATGAATTTGATTGCAATTGTCGGCGGTCTGGAAATTTGAAAAGCTCAGCAATTGTGTTTGATTGAATTTGATGAAACACTACGTTATCATTCGGTATGAGCCAGTTTAAAAAAAAATATATATATTAATGATATTGCCTCGAGTTTATATACTAATTTTCAACATTTTCAAAAAATTTTCCCCAAATGAATTTATGCACAACTTCGTCATGAATAAAATTATCGAAATAAATTGGTTTGTCTTTTTTTTTGGCGCTCGATTGCGTGAGTTTGACCAAAAAAAGCCAATAGCTGCAGTTTTGGCACAAGACTGAAAGGTATTATGCAGATTTGGGAAAAAACCTCGAAAACCCAAAAAAAACCTATACGGATTGCGGAAAAAACGCAAAAAAAACCACGGCCGCGTTCAGGTTTTAACAAAAAAAAAATAATCAGTGGTACTGTAGACTTCGAAAACTCTGGACGCTGTCGTTAGTTTTAGCGTTTTTTTCTTAACAATCAGCATAGTACCAAAAAATCTTTATCTAAATTCTTTGGCATTTAACCAATTATTCGTAGTACACCGGCAATATATATAAAATATGGGTTAATTTGACAGCTTTTTTGAATTTTGAAAAATTATCAGCCGAGCGACAATAAAATCCAATTTCTAGCATAATAATAGAATTCTAAACTTGATGATATCGTTTTTTTTTTTAGAAAAATGTGCACAATTTACAAGCCTCTACACTTGAGCGTTCAATTTTTATCAGCGCGTTGGCAAAACACGTTTTGTTGTCCGAGTTTGAACGTAATATGATGTATGCGTGGCGATAAGCGAATAATGGCAATTTGCGTTGTTTTGATAATACCTTGGAAATGTTTCGAATCGCCGTTATCAAGCACTTTGAGCAGCACTCGACGAATGTGCGGCCTTCTTCCGAGAATAATTGACGGGTTTCTGAGGGGGTTTCAATTGGGACAACAAAAAACATTGAAGCGTACGATTTGAAGTGAAAATGAGGCAATTTTTATAGCCATAGTTTAATGGGTAACCATCTTCGCCGCAATTGAATTGTCTCTCGACTTCCAGGTAATTCTGGCATATGGATTCAAATGCGGACAATGGTGAGATCTGAAATATCTCGAGGCGAAATTGCAACAAAAAAAGAAACGAGGAAAAATCGAAAACTTACAACTGCGAAAATCACAACGAATCGTTGCATAGTGTCATTCATTTCTGCAAGAAATCGCGAGATAATACAAATCTATCAATGTATTCAACGACATTTATTTCATTTTTCGTGTTTTTTTTTTCGGCACGAGACGCGAACAGACACACAAATGGATTTAATTGCCGATTTCAGCCTTTAATTTGTTCAAAATCTCATCGAAATTGAGCCGTGTCGTCGAGATCAACACGATTTTCGAACGCGATTTTGCGCCCTGGAAGATAAACGAACAAAGATAAATGAAATAAGTGGGATTGCTTTGATTAGCGTGACAACCTTATCAAATTGAATTTCGTTCTTACGAACAGATAAAACGCTCATCAGGTACGAGATAAGCTCTTCATTGGCGGCACCTTCGCGGGGCGCCGCGCCAATCGCCACGTCGATGTCTTCATCGTTAATCGCTGAAAAAAAAACAGATTCTGACGAATTTTTTGTTGAGCGGGTTGTGTAGGCGTTATTCAAAACTGGTTTTTGGTTCCGAATCATTTATATCATATAATTTCCGAGAGACATCAAACATCGCATTAGGAAGTGAGATTTAATGAAATAGAAGGGAAACATTGAAGTTTAGTTGATTCTCAAGGGATATTTGGTTATCAATTTATGTCGAAGCGAAGTGAAAAATTGAAAGAAGAAGTTATTTGGATTATCTCTCATAATTCGTTGATCGGTAAATTCAAAAAATAAAAAATTTAATACCGAAATTGGAAAATAAATGAATATCGCTCAAAAAATGCCCAGTTTTTTTCCTCTTTTTATTATTTAAATATCTAAAATTATAAATTTTTCTACTTAAGGGAGTATGAAATACAACAAGTTTCTCAAAAAGTAATCATTTAAGATTCACCTACAACAGAGCTCTTCTTTGCTCCTGGCTTCGCATGAATCCTCAACCCGACGCGTCCTTCTTCATCTACAAACATTGTCGTTTCTTTACTAGTTACAGGTTTTGTGGGTTCTGCAGTTTTTGATTTCTTAAAAATAACACATTGCGAAAAAATGTTTCAAATTCAACAAAACAAAACCAACTTGTTTCTTGTCTTTCGCCATTTTTGCAAACGCCTCCCGCTGTATACTATAAACACTTGACCAATTTAATTGCAGACGTTTGAGCATAAATCCGGTTTTGGAATGTCTGAAGGATTTATTTTTTATTTTTAGTGGAAACCAGATAAAATTGTATTTTCCATGCGCACTGCAAATGCGTCGATGTTTTGTCGTCTACGTCTCTCAGCAGGTTACGAAAAATAAGCGGGAATTTCAAAAAAGATTCTTGCAAATATGAGACAGTGGGAAAATGAAAAAATGTTGAAAGAACTGATAGTAAAAAATTAAAATGGTTCTGAAACGAATACATCAAAATAAGAAGTGTGCCTATAAATGAGTTTACTGTAGTCATGATGTTTGTTTATCAGAAGGCGCGAATTGATTGTTTTCGTGAATCATAATGATTGTTTTCAATTTTTAATGAATTTTTTGCATGATTTACCGTTAAATTCGAATTTTTTATTGAATTTTGAATAAAAATTGAATGCAAACCGCTATTTTTTGAAAATTTACGTTAAAAATTCCCAAAATCATTAATTTGTTCATTTCAAATGTAAATTTGTAAAATTTCTCATAGATGATTCCCATGACTAAAAATTCCATTGTTCATACTAGCTTATAATAAATTGCGTCAGCTTTATATTATTATCACTTATGAAAGAAAGAATGTTATGAAAGAAAACAATACTTTGACCTATGACCTTTCGCAATAAAGCTACGTATCATTTCGGACGTAGCCTACAACGTAGTCAAATTTCTCCAAGTATTTTGAAATATCCAGCTGTTTAGGACCTCACCCCATCTTTTCCCGGGCGTCCAAAGTACACGGGAAGAGATACCTATATAACAAGCGGGTCGTCTCTGTTCTTTTCATTCCTCACTTTCTAGTTCTTTCTGTGATGTTTGCCAGTTATTTCTCTTGTAAACAACGCGTTCTTATCGCACCAGTTTTGTTCGGTTTGCAGAATTAAAATGGCTGACGTTGAACAAACATCTCCAGAAGATGTCAAAAATCAGACATATTATGAGAAATTGATGGAGAATCCGTATGTTAAGCAGGTATATTGTATTATCGAATTTAATTGTGTAAATATTTTTTTTATTTAGGCCATCAATGTCTACTCGAAAACAAAGGAAATTCATCCGTTGGTGAATTCGACCCTCACCGCTGCTGAACAGAAGGCCTTTGACAGTTATAATACTCTTTACGTGAAGCCAAAGGAAAACGCTTGCGAATATCTATCATATGGTATGAATTTAAAGAATATTCTAGAAAAGTTTTGCAATTCAAGGTCAGGAAAAGGCGAAGAATGCTGTTGAGACCAGTAAACAAGCCGCAATTCTCGGTGGAACCTATGGTATTGGCGCCGCCGTTGTTCTCACCCAATTTTCATTGGCTCTGAGCGCTGGAGGCGCATCTATGATTTTGGATCAGGTTGATAATGCGAAGCAGATTGGAGCCGGAACGTTGTCGTCGTTGAGACAAGCACAGCTTGCCATTGAGCACAGAATCATGTCGGCAGTTCACCAGGCACAACGCATGGCTATGGTAATCCATAAAAACTTCAATATTAGTTTAAGTAAAAACTTTTTTCAGGTGCCAATAGAAAAAATATCTGAAAATACGAACGCTCTTCTCGATATTCTCGATGCTGCCATTGAAAATGCCCTTCAAGTGAAAGTTACTAACGCCCCAGAAGCGACAATCACTCAACGAGTGTCAAATCTGGCATCCGTCATCGTACAAGGATTATCACAGAAGGCGCACAATCATGTCATTGATCCCGTCAATGACCAAGTCAATATCCTTCTTGAAAAATTGAGCAAAAGCTTTATTTTGGTAGAAAAATGTTGAACACGTACGGATATAGACGGAATTTTATTTCAGGTTGATGTGTTGAGGGCTCAGAAGCAATGGGTTGTTGATAAGGTTGGAGAAGTGTCGTCAACAGTATCAGAGTACAAGGTATGAAGGTAGAAATCAATAAAATTTTATCTTTTCTTGATTTAAGAAACAAATCGAAACGGAAGCTGCTCAATACAAAGTCGCCCCTGAAGAAATGTTGATGAAGAGCATTCGAAGCACCTCATTGCAGCTCAGTGAACGTCTTAAATCTCTTCGCGAAAAGGGGCAAAACGTGAGAGAACTTTTTTGGAAGCATTAATCCATCAAATTTTGAAGGTTTTTGGAGATAACAACCGCATTGACTCGGCAATCGATTATTTGGAGAAACTCGAGAAGAACTTCACAGACGCTGAAAATGTGTACAAAGTTCGAGATGAGGTGGGTTTGTTTCTATTTCAAATTTCTTTCCCATATTCTAACAAATGAATTTTTCAAGGAAAAATGAAACTGATGGTTTCAGATGTCAGAATTTTATCATAGCTGAAAAAAAAATTGTCTGTTGGTGAGAAATATTTTCCAAATTTCGAGGGTTTTATGAGAAAACTAACTCATAAAACATAATATTTGGAAAATTGATGAGAGAATTTATTGATAACCATAAATTGTGAAAAATGGAAATAAATAAATAATTTTGAAATTGGAATCGTTTCAGGTCCTCAACGAAGCCAGACAACGCCTGACCGAGTTCACAACTCTCGCCTCAAATCTCCTGGTCCGTCCACAAACAGAGTAAAAAGAAAAAAAAGAAGTTGATATTGTTTTGCGTACCTCATATTGTTGTGTATAGTCGATTGTCCCCCACCAGACGACATGTATTCTCATTGTAGAGCAGGTAAAAGTCGCTGAAAAATGAGACAAATGGTGCCTATCAATTGATCGATAAAGCCATGTGTGTTTTTTTATTCTTCAGTCTCATCATCTCCTTCATTTTTTCCCTCCCTACGCTGCTGATGATTGGAGGTGATGATAATCCATGGCGATTCCACGAGGATGATAATCATTTTGATGAGCTTCATTTTGAGCCGCCAAATATTAAAAAAATTAAAAAAATTAATTGGATATGTGCCAATGAGTCTCGAGGCAGTGAGAAGACTGCGTACATTGCATTATATCGTACGCGCATTTAATATTCAGTCAACGATTAATTTAAATCCACCCAGATTTCGCGAATATGAAAGGCCCGCATAATTTATGTCATTTGATGCCGCAAAAAACGAGCGTGGACCATCGCACTTTTTTGAGGCGGTAATTCAAATTTAAACAGTGGGAATTCGATTGGCGTACTGCAGATAACCTGCGAATTAGACTCACCGTAAATCGGTACAGGATACTACTGGTTTTTTTTGCGATTGTAATAAACTGCTATTCAAAAGATCACGTGAGATGCGGGTGCAGCGAACTTCGAATTGGTCATCATAAATCAATGGAACACAAAGGTTGCGACGCGGCAAAAAACTTTTATTACAGAGGTTTTATGTATGGGAACATTGTAAAAAAAAATCAATTTATGTGTTTTTGAAACGTTTAAACCGATTAAAATAACTTCTAAATTTGAAATTGGGGGGGGGGGCATTTAAATTGCAAAATTCAGTTTTCTATAGAAACTCACTCAAAAAAAGTGGAAATTCACTTGTCAACTAACAAGGGAGGTCATTTTGCTGTCCGTCATAAAATTTTTTTATATTTTGCATACAGATTCGTTAGAAAATTTCCAATCGAATGAACTAGGTCGCTACCTGCGCAAACTTCTAGTTATCGGGATATGGACCTTCAAAGTTTTAGCCCCTCCCCACGTGAATTTTGCACACAAATGTGCGGAAACTCGAAATGAAATAACGTGATGTCTTATCTCGCGCTTTTATCCTGATTCGGCAAGCAGTTGTGGTTCAGTGGTGTGTAGGTTATGTTGTGATGAATGGAGTTGCGGATTCGGTCCCGCTATCTGTAAATTTTTTGCGTATTTTTTTAATTGGTGATACAGTAATTATGACAGTGCAATTTTGCGTTTTTCTATTCAAATTTGCCATTTTCATCATATTGAAAGGCCATGTATAAGAAAAAAATAGTTTCAAAAAAATTTTAAAAAATTGAAAAATTTTTTATAAGTTATGTGGTTGTTGGTCATGAAATGCTTGGAGCAGTGGATGTCACAATAGAAGGCTTCAATAAAAGATTTTCACTAGCTGTCTAACTGTACTGGGGCAATTTTTGAATCTTTTTTTTGGGAGACATATTTGACCGTATTATGTCATGACAAAGGATTTGATGAGAAGGCTTCCCCAAGAAGTTGTGTTCCAGAGTTCTCGAAACAACATGTTGAAGACCGAAACAATTCCTGCCGGTTGCACCGGTTTCGTTCAACTTTGGACGACGAAGTTTTTGCGAACAGCAAATGCAGTCTTCTATTGTGACAACCCCTGCTCCAAGCATTTCATGATCAACAACCACATAACTTATAAAAAATTTTTCAATTTTTTAAAATTTTTTTGAAACTATTTTTTTCTTATACATGACCTTTCAATATGATGAAAATGGCAAATTTGAATAGAAAAACGCAAAATTGCACTGTCATAATTACTGTATCACCAATTAAAAAAATACGCAAAGAATTTACAGATAGCGGGACCGAATCCGCAACTCCATTCATGACAACATAACCTACACACCACTGAACCACAACTGCTTGCCGAAACAGGATAAAAGCGCGAGATAAGACATCACGTTATTTCATTTCGAGTTTCCGCACATTTGTGTGCAAAATTCACGTGGGGAGGGGCTAAAACTTTGAAGGTCCATATCCCGATAACTAGAAGTTTGCGCAGGTAGCGACCTAGTTCATTCGATTGGAAATTTTCTAAAGAATCTGTATGCAAAATATAAAAAAATTTTAAGACGGACAGCAAAATGACCTCCCTTGTAAATTTTGAAAAATTTCGGCGTACGATTAAATGCAAGTCCGTAGAGTGCATGCGGTGTGATTGCACAATATTTTGTTTTTGATTTGAAATTTCTTCATATCAAACTTTTGAAATTCCAATGGACTACATACTTCTGAGAAATAAAAAACAGCAAACAAAATTAGTCGTCGCAAGACCCAGCAGAGAAATTGAACCTGCGTACAATTTTACAAAAATTATAATTATTGTTGAGAAATGACAAATGTATCCAGTTGTCGTGGGATCCTGCGTTTTGTACGTAATGCTAAAAGGCAGTTACCGTAATCCTCGCAGCGATTTACGGGGGCTTTTTTTTTAATTTCGCATATTCATTTAATTTTATTTTTCGTTCAATTTTTTTAATTTTCTTTCGAAATTGTTTAGTTTAAATTTTTGAATTTTGCAGAAACCGAGTTTAATAATGTATTTAGCAGAATAAGCACTTTTAAACGATTTTTTTTTGGTAAAAACAGCAGACTTAAAAGAAAACATTTTTTGTCGTTAACAAAATTATTTAATCGTGTTTTGCTTTTGTGCGCGTTTCTATTATCTTTTTTTCGTATTATTCATTTTCAAAATAATTTTTAGAGCGTCAAAATCTTCACAATAACTCCCAACTCAACTGGAAAAATGGAAAAGAGCATATTCTGAAAATTAAATAATTAAACTCGGTTTCTACAGGTTTTAAATATAAGATTTCTAAAGAAAATAAGAAAATTCAGCAAAAAAAAATTGAAAGAAAATTTTAAAAAAATCTCCGTAAATCGCTGCGAGGATTACGGTAACTGTCTCTTAGCATTGCGTACAAAACGCAGGATCCTACGACACCTGGATACATTTGTCATTTCTCAACAATAAAAAAATCTTTTTTTTTTTGAAAGAATATATTATTTTGGTTTGAAATTCGATGCAACTTGTAAATATTTCCAATTGTGAGGTGTTCGAGTGTTTTCCTCATCCGATTTGTTATTGAAGCCGATGCCGGCGGATATTTATCGAATTGAAACGGAATACTTGAACCGTATATCCCATGACATTTGTACAAAGAGCATTCGAGTAGATTATTTGACGAGCCGCTTGCTCGTTCGTATGTACATTCGAGCCGGCTGCTTGCGCGCCCCTCATTTAATCATGTTTACTGTATTTAATCGCTCAAATTCAACTCGGCTCATTTCGATTTGTTCGGCTCCTCGTCGATTCTTTCGTGACGACACCCATTTTTCAAAATTACTTCCATTTGAAGCTGGCTTAAATCCGCAGATTGATATGAATTTCAATTTTCTATTCAACCCTCAAAACAAAAATAGGTTCCACTGGAATTTTTCAAAAAAAAAAAACTTCAAAGTAATTCTACCATTGCTCATTCTTCTCGAGACCCGCAATTGCTACAATCAAAAATTGGTGCGAAAATTCGAACGGCGATGACCGCGCAAACGAGCAAGAGTCCGAAAAATTGTTGTCAAACACAAAACCACAGAAGTAAGACCGGCGGATTGTTAAAGCTCACTCAAAACGCCGCGTTCGTTCGAGTACTGTTGTCGGCCAGCGTCGGCTTGGGGTGACGAGACGCGCGTGCGCACAAACGAGCCGTCGTGGGCCCCACGACCCGTGTGTCTCGCACCCTCCGCCATTTCGTGTGGTGTCTCGCCCTCAAAATTGGTGTGTTGTTATGTATGTGTATATGTGTGTGTGTGTGTGTGAGTGAGTGTTCCGTTCGACCTCCATCATCATCATATTATCAATGTCCTTGCGGTTTCGTGTTTTTTTTTCTCTCTTCCCCTCGCCTTCCTCACCATTCATTTGCCACCGGCTCAATGTTGGCCGGCATCCATCAAATCGCTGTGATTTATTTATTTCTCAACTCAAAAATTTTGGATTCCATTTGTTTATTTTTTTTGTTGTTGGTCGAGGCGACATTTTCATCTTTACTAGAAAATTGAAAAACGACAAAAAAAAAATTATTATTACTGGTCACACTCTTGAGCACACTTTGATATACATAGAAGGAGATTTTCTAGTGGTCCGTCGAAGTGGGTGTCGTGGGGAACAAGAGGGGAGAAGCTTGAGGAGACAACTTGCAATTAGTAAGGAAATGTTGGTGCGCGAACCCACCCCAGACCCCCCCCTCCTCCTCCTCCTTCTTCTATTCCTCCCCCTCCTCCTGTTTTTCGGGCCGTTTATCTCAAGGTCGCTCAATTTCCTCCACCGCCTCGGCTAATTTAATGTTGCATAATACATGGATTTATGCATATTTTGTTGTGTCGACGCTTCACATCTCCTCATCCGTCTTTACTTCGCTTTTTCGCCGTGGCATTATAGCCTTTTATAGCAAAACGAAAAATTGGAGACCGCCCGAAGCGCCAAATTAAATTTTGAGTGTCATGTAGTCCTCGTCTTCCGCCTATTTTCTCGTTTTCGATTTTAATGGGATTTCTTGATCCAAACGAGAGCAGTTTCGTTGTATTTTTGCCGCTTTTTTTTGAAATTCAAAACGAATATCTGAAATTTTGAAAATAATCGGTTTAAAATTAGGAAAAACTCACGAGAATTTGGCAAAACGACGAGAATGACAATTAATGTCCGCAAACAGTGTGACGCCGTTTTACGGCTTGCGCATGCACACCGTAACTCACAATTTTATTAAAATTGTTTTATTAGCCGTTTTATTTCTGGTGAAATCGTTTTTTTAAGTTCCAGTACATTCCACTTTTTCTAAAAAAAATAAAATGCATAGATTCGAGTTAATCCCATTCTTCGGTTCAAAAAAAAAGTTTCCAAATAAGTCATCTTCTCGTCAATTTTAATCTTGACCGATGCAAACATGCCCGCCTTTTCAAATATTTGTTTTCCCATTGTTGAAAGTGTTCATAATACTCTGTGATTGACGATTTGAGTTATCAATTCATATTTTTTGGGGAATTCCGTCGCCTGACGAATCGAAACGAATTAAAAACGGCGGCCGTCGAGGAAGTGCGATTTGCATCGATTTATTCAGTTTAAAATTGCGTCCAATTCTCTCGTTCGACACCCGTTCCGAATTCTCATTCTCATTCGGATCCATCCGTGACATCGGCGAGCGTTTTTCTAATAATTTCCATTTTGAACACATCAAAATGCCTATTAACTAGACGACGACCACCATTTTCGGTGATTTGCATTTTTTTTTCAACCTATGGGCGTCCACTTAATTGGGCTGCTAATTAATCCAATTAAGTTTTAATTGAAACAATTTTTTTGTAATTGGATTGAAGCAATCTCAAGGTTTCTTTTTTTTCTTTCGAATCAATTTGACGAATTCGAAAAGAAAAATTGGATGTTTGAATCTCGCCAAAAACAAAAAAAAATACACCGAAAATATATTTTAAAGGCGCATGCCAAATAAAAACTGACAAACCTACATTATTTGAAGCCATTTTTTATGCGCCAAATTTTTCTTGGTGTTTCGCCCGAAATTCTGAAATATGATGTCTTGCTGAATTCCCTCAACTTGTCCGCAGATAAAAAAATTACAATAAACGCCTCTTCTAAATTTAATGCTAGATTTTTTGTTAGTGTGAATCTCGATTTTAAAAATAAAAAATGTTTTAAATATTTGAATTCGAATGCTTTTAATGCCAATAAATATGCGAAATCCGTTTTCAAAAATCGCCGATTTCTATTGAAAATTGCGCAATTTGTTTCGCAATATCGCGTGATTAAATATTTAATTAATTTATTCAATCATTTCGAATAATTTTAATTGAAATCGATTTCGAAAATCGCTCAGCCTTCTCGAATTTGTCTTCCCAAACAATCAATTCATGAGCTCGACTCGACTATTTTTTTCGCCTCCTGTTCAATTATCAATCAATTTCTACTTTTTTTTGCTCTGAAAAAATGAAAATCGATTTATTTTTCGCATTCACATGCCGTTATTTTATTGTTAATAAAATGTGAAATGTTCGATTTCATTCTCGCCTCAAATTTGTTTAAAAATGAGCACATTTGAGACGATATGCCTAAAATAGAATCTCGCTTTCGTTTTTTATGGTCCGCGGTTGCCTGGCATCATAATTACACGTTTGTCCTGTTTTTGTATAGTTTAAAAACAAAAAACTCGTATTCCGTATTAATTAATTTATGACATCAATTGATATCAAAATTTTCATCTGCGGACATTTTCCAACTTCGCCGATTGTCCGTAGAAGTCATTATTCAAGGATGGTGAATGTTCAAATTGATAAAAAAATGAGAATGGGTCCCAAACGGAAATTCTAAACACTCAACATTCCAATGTGATTCTCGGAATATCGCAGCTGCTCATTTCTCATTTAAGCAGCTGAAATCGCCTCGATTTTTTCGTCTCATATATATTTTTTTTAATATTATAATTTTTAAAAAATGATTATTTATTTGTCGGCAGATGAGAATAGGATGCTAGTTGAATGCGATGATTGTGGCGAGCGTTTCGACGTTTCCAAATTTGGGGCCAAGAATAGCGAGTTCGCGTTCGACGTCTGGTGGTGTCGCGACTGCATTTCGACGGTTTGCAAGTGAGTTTCGATTTTATTTCTCAAATCAAAAAACAATTTTTGATGTGGGGGGGGGCTTCGTTTAAAGTGCGCGCAACCTAGATCATCGCATACACGTTGATATGTTGAATCGAATAAAAAAAAAATGAAGAGGGAGAGAGATGATATTTACAATAAGTGAATATTGATGGGGGGGCCTAGATGGGTGGAGGATCTTAGAGATCCTTGGCATAATCGGGATGAGCATGAGACGACATTGTGAGACACGAGGTCCAGTAGACGATGTTGAAGAGGATGAAGGCGAGCGGGACGGTGAATCGCGCGTAGAAGTCGATTTTCGCCGGCAGATAGTCGGGACGAATGAAATATTTGCGGAAGCGGTCTCGCAGCGATTCGCGTGTCTCGAACTGCAAACTATCGATTACACGGTTGTTCTCGATTGGCCCCACTCAACCGTATGGCATGTGCACGGCGGATGATAGATGTCGGCGTCGACCATTTCGAGCTTCTCGCGCCTCTTTTGAGCTCTGCAACGAATGCGCCTTTAAAACTCGATGCCCCCCCCCCGCTGCCTCTCACTTTCGGGTCGCTTTCTGCCGCGCCTCGACACTCTGTTGAGCGCTGTCGTGATAGCTGACGAACGCGTATTCTAAAAGGGCGCCGAACACGAATAATTGGCAGGCTGCAAATCGAATCGACGGCTGACTTTCAGTCTTTGGCTGAAATTCCACTCACCACCTAGCCAAACGTCGACGACTTTCACATAGCTGACGGGTGGCAGTTTTGCGTTGATCGCCGATTGCTGCAAATTATACGTTACGATGCGATTCGATCAATTCCCATCAAATGGGTCTCGCCGCGATTCGTATCGCTCAACCCTACCCGGGGGCAATCGGCATCGGCTTTTGTGACATTTGTCCAATTCAGAATTGTTGAAATTTTCGCGAGAACAATTAAAATATCATAATGTAAATTTAAAGGCGCATGCTTGTAAACCAGGGCTCGGAAGTTTCGACAAATTGCCGAAAATAAAAAATTTCGGCTATTCAATTTTTTTTCAACGATAATTCGAAATTGAAATAGCAAACTTTCATGGACAGTGATTTTTTGGTTCGTCGATTTTTTTTTCCGACATCAAATTTCGACAAGCCCCTGATTCCTACCATAGTTGTCATTGTTAGAAGGGTGGTGACCCCTAGCGCGACCCTTCCAGCCGTTGAATGAAGATCAATCCAGAATGAGACCCAGGAGACGATGACAATCATGCTAGTCGGAATGTAGAGCTGGACGAGATAGTAGCTGAATTGGCGCTTCAATATCAATTCCATTCGAAGGCATCCATAGGAGCCTAAAATGAGCCCATCATTCGGATTGTCTCGAATCAAATCGCCAACCGGTATTCGTATGACTTGTGCACGCGTCGTTCGTGCTCACATACTCAAGCACAAAATTGGGAAGGTCCGAACCGACGCCGGGCTTCAACTGCACGGGACTCTCTTTGTCCCACTCGTACATGATGTCATTCATTGTGTGAGCATAGCTGACCAGATCGAAATTGCACATCTGATAGTCGAGTGGGTATAATTGAAGGCGCATCGGACACGAGCTGGTGAGGCTGATTCGCGAGCTGTACAGAATCTGCAAAAAAATATGATCAATCCGATTGGATTGTCGCGAATCGAGACGAACCCGTCCATCCGGATAGATTCGCAGAAACATGTTCTCCGTGTCGATGAGATGTCGATGAGCCGCTTTCTCGGTCTGGAAATCGATTCGGAATCAGACCGAACGAACGGCTGGCGGGCGTCTGATTACCGGAAAAAACGTGTCGGGAATCCACAGGTTATTCTTGACGTGGGGCACTGTCAAAAATGCTGGCGGATTGTAGAATCGCAGTTTGCCGTAGGCTAGACGAGGATCGACCCATTGTTCTCGGAACGTCAATTGCATCGAATACTCCTTGAAAATCGATTTTGGATGTTGGCGCTCGGACCCCCCCCCCCCAGCCCTCTCCAGCCCTACCATGTTAACCACATCAATTTTGGATAGCATTCGAATCATAATATTTACTCGCACCTTCACCGCCTGATCTGAAATCCGACACCATCATTGTTAGGGGGGACGGCGAAAGCCGAACCTGAGGCGTTGTTGGAATCCGCCGGCGGCCGAACGCGCATATCATAATTTTTGAGGAGCGTGTTGAGAATCTCCTGCTCGCTTCGCATACTGTACTCGGTGGCGAGCGACGTCGTCGTGGCGAGCACCACGAGCACGAATTCGACGATCATTTTGGCATCGCTGAAAAACGAAAATAATGCGAAATGAGAGTGACGATTGATGGAAGAGGGGGGGGGGGGGCGAGTTGTCATGAGCACCGAGTGCCGTTAATGGGGAATTCGCGAAAATAACAATGAGGCGAAGTTTGATGATGGATAGAAGGCTTTACACTTGGGACAATTTGGCGGCTCTTACTTTTTTTTTGAAATTAATGAACCGCCTACTTGAAAGAACTATGCTGCGGACAATCGGAGGGATGAATCGAAAATCGAGGAAATATCGCGATAGCAAACAAAATTCAGCATATTGAAGCTGCGGACAATTTCGACGCCAAATTATGTCCGCAGCAGAGCAGGAATATGTGAGAAAGTTTCTGATTTTTCGACTAGGAACCAATACAACATAAAAGGAAGTCGGAGGGGGTGTACGCATGACTGATCAAGAACTACATTTCTTTCATTTTTTGTTTTGTTTCTTCTTTCAGTTTTGGTTAGTATTGACCGAAAAAAGACAGAGGGGGGGGTCGGATTGATAAGATAGAAGGTCGGATAGCAGACCGACGACTAGTCGAAGGAAACGAATAGAAGAAAAATAAGGGTTGAGGGGGGGGTCAGATTTCGATGGCAATTGGAATGAGAGAGGTGGGGGGTTGCACTCGGCCTCCCAAAACCCAAACTAATTAATATAACGCGAAACATTGCTCAAAAATTCATAAAGGCGATGGTGGGAGGATGGAGACGAGTTGGAGTTGAAATTGAGAGATGGATGGATGATATTGACATAACACTTGTTGGCAATGACACTCGAAATTGTTTCGCCTTGTTGTTTTTTTTTTGTGCTGAATGCTTGTATTTGGTTAGAAGAATGAGGAGCAACAAAATGCGGTTGTCGTCTATTCATGAGCAACTCAGCCGCGTTCATAATTAATTTCGATGCACTCGGCACGTGCAACTCGTCGCTCGCCCATTCTTTTTTTTTTGTTCGACGCTTCCACAATGCGCTTTGTGCTGCCCGCCGCCTGGATTTCGACGGATTAGGCGCCAACTCGCCGCTTATTCCACGTTTTCAGCTTGATTTTTAAGAGAGAGAGAGAGCGGCGAGAAAAAAAAATGCAAACGGGTACGGTGGTTGTTGTTGGTCTGCATTGCCGCAGACGCAAAATTGCACCAATTTTTTCTGATTTCAAAATTCTCATCCCTTCTATTATTTTGACGATTTCAATGTTTTAACAATCGCGTAAATTTTTAATGGTCCGCAAATTTTTCGGTGGGTCTCGACTCAAAAAAATTCTCGTTTTTTTCGACGACAGATTTCGTTGAAAACAAATTTGCATATTAGGCAAAAAACAAGGGACCATCTAAATTTTGGATCAACAATAGTGTCGTATTTGTGACATGAAGAGCGGCCACCATCAAGGCCGTTCTCAAAAATGGACAACAAAATGTGGGTGGAGGAAAGAGAATGAATTATGCGGGACCCCCCCCCCTCGAATGTGTGCTTGTCATTTCCGAATGGAACTGACACATCGACACACGGCGCTCGTCTCGCCAAACAATTAATAAATCAATTGATATCGTTTTGATTTTTGTTCTTTGTTGCAACACAAATAATAATTGTGGCGATTTCAAGCGGCGTGGTTTCCGCCGGCCCAAATAGCTGTGAGAAACACGGAATTAGGCGTGCGAAATTCGGGACCACATAACCGATTTTCCTCTCTTTTTTTCGCGACCTTGACGACTAATTTTTGTGGAGGAGGTGCACAAATTCGACAATTTTTTTTGCAAAAAAAAATCTCAGCGCCACGTTTTGAATTATATTGTAGAAATTTTTTCGCTCACATTTCCAGATATGGTAAGGATACAAATTCTTCCAACGAATATATAAAATGCCCACAAAAATACCAAATTGAAGATCAATGTTTTATAAATTAATAATTCCCTTTGGTTTGGATTGGATTGGATCAAATCTGAATTATTTCATCTAAAAATTTAAATATATTTCTCTTTCATATATTCAATGTGCTTTTAAAGCAAATCTAAACAAAAAAAAATCAGAAAATAATTTTAAAAATAATGGTGGACGTGAAATGTGCCATGGCCGAAAATTCGGCGGCCGCGGCCGTCCGAATAAAATTCTTACCATGCAAATGGTTGAATGCAGAAGTTCTCATGGATTTGGCTCTTGGCGTTGAAAATTGTCCGCAGATTGATATAAATGAATGGAATCGACAAAAATAAATTGTGGGCTCTAAAAATTTGTTGCGAAGAATGTTCAATTCTTGTCAGGACCCGAAAAAAAAGGGTGAAGTCTACCAGAAAAAAAAAGTTAAATCGGAAAACTCGACGAAGCAGCGAATTGAACGGACCGCGTGTGGTTTTGGGACCAACGAAACGGCTAGCTTGTTGAAAATATATGAATGAGATGAAGCATTTTAATGGAATGAGGCTTTTAAGAAGGCAAGCTTGGGAGTGAGAGAAAGAGCTCTCATAGATTATAACCACTACTACAAACGACGACGACGACGACAACTATTATTCCGACTTTTTTTTCTGGAGGGCGAGATTTGTGGAAAAATGCCGACGGGACGCATTATGCGCTCGTGTGCGTGTGTTTTTTTTTTTGCATGTCTTTTCGTCCCTCCATCGAATGTATAATTCATTTAGTCAAGGGACCCCCCCCCCTTCTTATGTGTAGTTAATCGTCTTAACGAACTACTTTTTTTTTGAGAAGGCGTGATTTCTTTTTTCAGACAATGCCATCTACTCAAAGGGCATAGTGAGCATCGGAGCAATGAATGGAAGGAGCAGGAAGTGCTCAAGTTTGTGAATTCGCCGAAAACCGCCAATAATTTGGGCGCCATTTTCAGGAGTTGTGTGCAGGCGCTCGAAGGACGATGCTCGCGACGAAGCGAGATCGCCCATCAGCAGAAGATGGCCGTCAAGCAGTTCGTCGCCAAGATTGAGGTCATGCTGTTGAACGAGCTCGCCGCGAATGTTGAGCGCCACAATGAGCCCGATAGGAGATTGATTTCCAAATTGAATAGGGTGATTTTTATTTTTATTTTTTTCTCAATGATTTGATTCAAACACGTTTTTGATTTTTCGCGAGGATGCCAGGCTCCTAGGGTTCCTATTGTGCCAATTGGTGGACCCTGTTTTTTTCTTTGAAAGAAATTATACAAGAGAAATTTCATTGTAAATATCTGCGGACATTTCCCTGTTTGTTTTTTGGCAATTTTAAGGCATAGTTGCAAATTGAGAGAGTGCAGACATACACAGTGAGCCTTTAAATCGGTGTCGATTTACGGAGCGATTTTTGAATCATTGAAAATGTTTCCGTCATTCCCGATATTTGAAATTAAAAAAAAAATATTTTTTACTAATTTAAAAATTTTAAAGAAATGTATTATTACAAATTTTTGACGTCGCGCGACATCGGAAAATTGGCAAAATGCCAAAAACCAATGACAGTGGTCTTGACGCAGAAACTAAGTGTAGATTTACGGGCGGGCCTCTATCGCAAGTGTAGGTTAAAGGCGCACGCACACCGCGCATTGAGACCTCTTTTTAAAATTGTTAGCATTTAGCCAATTTTGCGCCACGTGTGAACTCTCCCGGGAGGAAATTTTCCGGATTTCGCGGTGGTCCCGAAAATTTCGGGGGAATTTTCATCTCCACAAAATCGCCGTGTATTCGGCACAGATTCCCCAAAAAATTTTAATATATTTAATAAATTTGTGCTTCTAGGAATTGATTAACTTCGATGCCAAAGATGATCGCCCTTCAATTTATCACGTTCCATCGCCTTCGCGTCCCGCATGGAAGACGTGGACACTATCGGACGCTGATCCGAATAGGTGAAGCAGTCATAATTCGCAATCATTGTTTCTTTTTTTTTGTCGTTGGATTGCAGAATGCAAAAAGTTCTCGACATGACCGCTGATATAATGCGATTGCCGCGACAAATTCCGTACCATGAATCGCTGGAATTACGCCCGACCGCCGATTGGAACGCGAGAATCATCAGCAATTTCATTTGCGAGATCATCGGATTAGCGCCGACCTATGCGGAGTACTGGATTCTTGAAATCAGTTGAAAAAATCGAACATTTTCAGATCATCGGCGAGAAGCGAGATTTCGGAAGAGAGGCGTCGTGGATGTAGTGCAGATTCGTCGCTTTCCAGATTTGTGAATCAAATCACAAATGTCAATCTCAATTTGTCTCATTTAGGTTCGACAAGGCCCTTATGTGTGCTCATTCCGCGAAAGGAGTATTCCGGTCGACGAGGGTCGCGTCGCATCGATGTCATCGAGCAGTCTGAACGACACGAGAGCGGCATCGACGACGTTTTCTTCGCTTCCGCCCCTCACCGACTACACATCGCATCCGAGCTCGATATTGGCACGAATCGACACATTCTGAAAGTGATCCAACAAGATATTTGTAGAGCTCCCAACAAATCACGCCGACGCCGCGCGAAGAAGACGACGACTTCAAATCGTTCGGCAAAAGCTTTCTGACGCGCCCGATTTGCGTCGAGTGCTTCAGCACGTCAACTAGGAAAAATATTTTAGCGGTCTCGGATAGTTGTGGAGGTGAGAATGTCTGCAATTTTTACTTAAAAATAATCATAATTGAAGGTGTTTATATAACAAACTCGAAGGGCGAAATTGAGCAGCACATTCTGATCAAAAACTCGTCGGCGAGTTCAATTTGCATCGATGAGAAAAATGAGTTGCTGTAAGAGAATTGTTTGGATTAGTTGTTGTCGAATTGAATCGTAACAAGAGCAATTTCATTATGAACATCTGCGGACCTCTTTCGGGGTTGCGCTGTTCCCTTAACGCAAGGGGTCCCTTTTTTTTTGGACAACACTGGTGAAAATGATGTTAGCGAGAATTATTCTAGGTATGTGAGTGTGATGCAATCGAAAGGTCGCTCGATTCACGTGTTCGACGTTGCGCAAGATTGCCGAAAAGTTGAGGTGATCGCTTGTCCGCGTGAGCCAAAAATCGAGATGAGCCGAACGCGCTGGATTACGGTCGGACCTCGTGGGCATCTGTTCATGACAAGCGGCGACAATATCAAAAGCGCTCTGTGGACGTATGTGCGAAGTAAGAAGGCGTGGAAATTGTTGAAAGAATCGCGAAAGACGAGATATCAATATTTGAATGTTGCCGAAGATCAAGCGGAATACAAGTAAGAGGCACCTCATGATGTAGGCGTCTCGTTGAAATCGCCAATTTCAGAGCGGTGGTGCTATTGACGTGCGACGCCGCCAACAATCGAATGTTGCTGTTCGTCGTTGACCATTCGATGAGCCTCATCAATGAGTACGACCTGAGCAAGACCTATCGTCTGCACGAGAATATTCAATCTCCTGCTTCAGCCATTGTTGATAAGGTTTTCAGTTCGAATCGCTCGAATCGACAGCGTTCCGTTTTAGCAAGGAAATCTGCTGATTCTTGATTACGCGACCGGCCGAATATGGATTCTATTGTCGGGTGTGAAAGGAGTCCGTCGGCTCAAACAAATCAGCCTTCCCGATGTCGTCAAACCTCAAGAAGCTCTCGGAATGTGCACAAATGTGCTTCATTTTCCCCAGCCACTCCTGAATTTGCATAATGTGTTGATTTCAGAATGACATTCTCTATGTGGCCCTATTCAATCGTCGCGAGATCATTTCAATCAAATATCTGTCGAACGGCGTCTTCCGTCCGCCGATGGTCACGTCATCGCCGATTCAGCAGCAACGACGAAGTGCCAGCCTTCCGAGGGACTAACGGATATTAGGTGTTGATAATGGCCATCAAATGGCCCCCTTGATTGTCACGGGGAATCCGAATTCATTCTTATTTCTTCTTTTCCGATTCGCTCTTTTTTTTCTCTCCCTATCCTGCCATTTTCTTTTTCAACTTTCCCAAGTGCCTGCCTACCGTGTAATGAGGTGTTTGTCCGCAATTTGTTATGACGAAATATTGCGGACTTTTAGTAAATTATTGATGTTTTCCGATAAACAAGCGGCTTCCAAAATCGGCCGTTGCGAGACTCAGCGAAAAAAACTGCATTCGTATTTCATTGCCGAATTGAAAAAATGTAGAGTGGTAACTCAAAAATTCCTCGAATTTTTTTAAAAACCACAAATTTTTTCGTGTTTTTTTTTTCGGTTCCAATTATTTCAAATTTTTGATATTCAAATATCAAGCAATTTGCATGAAAATTGTGAGTACACTCAATTCAATCGCGAATTGAAATTAAATAAATGAAATAGTCTAATGAAGGCTCATAATGTGGAGAATCAGTTGGGTCTTGTGGCGATCGATTCCGGTAGCCGCTTTTTCCGCAAACAATCTTTATTTGTCAATTTTTATTGAATGTTTTTTTTATTATTTACGAGATAAATAGCCAATCAAATAATGCGTTCCTTTTATGGCAGATTTCTCAAAAGAAATACTCAAACAAGCCTAGAAATTACAGAAAGAAAATCCAAAAACCTCGGCCACGTCCAGGGATTTCAAAGTATACAAAACCACAGCTTTTTTTAAAGAATTTGTTTAAAAGTGAAATCGTTACAGATAGAGGTGCATACGACAAAAATACATAATTATTACATCGATTTAATAAAGATTGTGATGCTGTAGGCTACGAAAACCTGGACGTGGCCGAGGATTTTGAGTTTTGTTTTTCATAAAAATTTTTTAGGGGTTTTTTAATTTTTTTTTTTGCAAAATTTGCACAGTACAATTAATTTTTATTAAATGGTGTCTACAGGCTGATTTTTCATAGCTTTTTTTTTAGAAAAATTGGATTTTGATGAAAAATTTCAGAGGTTTGACTGAAAGAGAACTAAAAAATGAGTATGTTTTATTATTGCACAAAATAATATCAATTAATCATAGTTATCGTATTTCTCGAAGAGTTGATCGACATTCAAACAGAAACCGTCGTCGCAGATGCGATCATCCGGACAGTCGGACTCTTCGGTGCACGCGATGCTTCCGGTCTTGCGGACATTGTAGGTTGGCCTTCCCGAAATGGTCCGATGCGATTTGATGCGACGATAATCGGCGGCTTCTCCGATTGTTGCAATGAAGCACACGACGACGACGAGAAGGGACTAAAAATTGGAAGGAATACGAGCGGCCGACAAGGAAAAAACTTACCAGCAAATTCATGTCGAATTAATAATTTTCTGTGCATGTTTGTTGCCTTTTATACTCCCAAAAAGCAATACCATTAAAATTATAATTGGTTTTTTCTGCCTATAAAAGGCTCCCAATTTAATCACAAAATTTTCAAAATGCCAGCATCGAAAAAGCGAAAACCTCGTCTTCTCAGGCAAATCAAAAAAAAATATTTTGAGAATCAAATATTCAATAATAAACTCTAAAATATTTTGAGAACTTCGAAAGTTTATTGATACTTTCTAAAACTTTTTGAGAATCGCTAAACTTAAAAATATTTTTAAAAATCTTATGAGATTTTCTAAAATTCATTGAGCAAATTCGAAATTATCTCAATAAATTCTAAAATCTTTTAATAATTGCGAAAGTTGATTGAGAAAAATCGAAAATATCATAGAGACACGTTAGTTTCTCAAATGAATCTCAAAAGATTTTATTCGATTTACCTGAGTTATTGATGTCGAAGGCTGGGGGATTCCTATGGTTTCCTCACAGTCCCGCTTAGTAAAGCCATAGAATATTTTATTAGAATGAGATATGAGTATGATCCAGAGCTGCACGGAACTTAAATTTTCTAAAAACGGAAAGCGGACAACAAAAATTTTTTGACGGAACGCGAAACAGCAAAATGTTCCGTGCAACTCTGGTATGACCCGAGATGCAACCTACTCCATATGTGAAGGGAGGGGTAGAATGAATGTTGGTCCCATCTGCGGTTGCGCCGTCGATGGGCGGAGTCTATCGATCCGCATTCATAAAAATTTAAAGTTGAGTATTTATTAAAAACAGGTCTTCGAATATTTCGACACACAAAAATAAGACGATATTTGAAGGAGCCGATCAGAAGGCCTATTAGATCTCTACCAGTGTTGATTACGCTCAAGCATCTACGCCATTTTCAGGCTTACACTTACGAACAAGAAAATCTCGACGTATGCGCTACACTGATCCCTACTCTTTTTTTTCTTCTTTGACCGTTTCTTGAGAATACCGTTTTCGCGCCTGAATGAATGAAACTGTCATCTAGTTTGGTGTAGGTGAGTCACGTGTACGCTATCACATCCAACCGGTAGCACCAATTTTCGATTATTATCGTTTTTACACACCTAATGTAAGCGATGAGCTCAACGCAAGCGAATCGCGCTGCAACTGAGAAAGACGCAAGAAATTCCGATGGAACGGTGCGCATTCGGACGAGCAACGGGCAGGCCAAGGCCCTCGCCAAATTGTCTTCCTTTTTCACGAAATCGTTCAGTTCTGTGACCAATTTAGGAATGCTCTAACTAACACGTGGATATTTTGAAAACGCCAGTCGTCATTTTTCATTTCTTCAAGAATTTCAATTCATGGATTTTGAGGCTGTGTGTAAGTTCTTTTAACCACTTCTTTGATAAAATTGCAAAAATTTTGGAATCTTGCCTTTTTTGGGTCCCACGACGATTTTCTCGGACCGCTGTGAGCGTGTCTCGAGAACATTCGTTGAGTCGGATCTGAGAGAGCCCGCACGGGTGCCGCGCTTCTCGTGCCACGAGACGCGGACCAACACCCCGCATCGGTGACCTATAGGGTCCGACCCAGGAGGGAAATGCCTGGGGAGTCTAGGCGCACACGGTGGAGTGGCTCCGAGAGCTGTCGTTGTTGGGATTCGGCCGAATTCATTTCAAAACTAATTTTTTTTGAAGTAGACCAATAAAAATTGTGTTCTAATCCATCCCTTTTTTCATGGTCCCTCGACAAGGATCGAGTTGTTCAGGAATAATCGACATCGGCTGCTCGAGCGAAATGATGGCAACTTTTCATCTTTTTTCAATTCCAAATTTGTATTTCAGATCCGAAAGAATACATTGAAGAATGGGTGGCGAATCATTGGCAAAGTTACTGACAATTGGGCGGATTTCTCTAGAGTTCGAGTTCAGCTTTTACTTCTTCTCTAAAATTTTGCTTTACAGAACTTGTTCGCTCACAAGTTTCAATCAGCATTTCATGAATCTATCATGAAATACCGTCTCAATATGCGGCCAACAACACAAAAACCCAACAAACTTCACCCTTATTCGTTTTTCTGTTTATTTTTTTTTCTTTTTCTTTTCACAATTTTTTTGACTATGGGACTCAAGTAGGTCAATTTTGTTCAATTAAAAAGACGAGCTTCGAAGCTCGTTGAATGAATTTAATGGTCAGTGGACTTGGAGACATTCTTCGGAATTAATAAATTATCGATAATTAGCCTCCTTGTCTGATGGTTATTACCGTATTTCAGGTTTTTTTGCAAATTGTTGGAGCCGTGGCCTCGACACGTCACGTGACATACTACGTGGCACACGTTTCATAGGAGTGACATAAAAACCCTTTTTGCGCTCAATAATCAGTTATTCTTATTGTGTCTAAATAATTATATTCTCTACGTTGGCTCGTTCACAAGGACACAACACAAATTTATTTATTTTCTTGATTTATTTTCATTGAATACACACAAGGAGAGGAATGGACGTGCTATTAGTGCCAATTCACCACAACGATCATTGGCTTTTGGCGGCGTTGATGGTGTCATCTGGAAGATGCACGGTGTTTGATTCAGCTATGGGAAAGTGTGCACCAAAAACGAAGAAGATGATTTCGATGATGGTCAGGAAGATTCTGGCTTTGATTTGGTCCGAAAGCATGATGACAGTGCGCTGGGCGCCGAAGCGTCACCAAGACGAACAAGAAGACGGCTACAGCTGTGGCTTGTACCTTATTGTCAATGCCCGTCGATTCTTGGAGCGGAGCACAACCAACTTGGTGTCGAATAATAATGATGAAGGTGTCAAGCTTCTCGCCGACCGAGTCGTGTTGAGGGCTCTCGTCGCCGAATATACAACTGGGTAGACCAAAACGCTTGTTTGATAATCGAATAATCGCTTAATTTTCCAGAGAAGATCAGCGAGGAATCGGCACGATGTCCACCAGCACCAGATATTGGACGTGAAATGCTATTCTAGTGATGACAGTCTAATTTTATACCCCAACACTAAATTTCGTGATTTCAAGTGCCATCTTGTGATGCGTAATTGTCGTGATATCAAAAAAATTCGCTATTTTCTGATTCATCAATTCTTAACTCTGATTTGGAATTTTGAGCGATGGAAGAAATAAGAAATTCTAATGAAAATATTAAATAAAAACAAATTAAACGCAAAATTCAAATTAATAATATAAAAGTTGGTTCTTGTGGCGGCTGATTCTGATAGTTGCCAGACCCAAAAAGCTGATTGTCGTACATTGAGGTGTCTGCCTGCAGTTTGACCAGACGACAAATTACGGACTTCTTTAAAAATTAATTTGACGAATTGGCCAATAATTATTAACTAAATATTTTTTAACTAAATTCACTAAATATGATTTTTAACTAAATATAATTATTAACTAAATAAATAATTTTTAACTAAATTCGTATTTTTCAACTAAATAAAATATTTTTTAACTAAATATGATTTTTAACTAAATAAATCCAATTTTTAACTAAATATAATTATTTTTAACTAAATAAACCTAGTTGACAAGGGATGTATTTTTTGCTGTCCGTCTCAAAATTTAAGAAGTATATTGTCGGCGTCAAGCGACAAAAGGGAGGCGGGGCCTTAAAATTCGAGAAATCAGTGTAGATTTAAATTTTTCGTTGACTGAATATTAAATTCGCGTACACTATAATGCAATGTTCGCATTGTATCTGACCTATTGTATCAAAATTAAATGATAAAATTTCATGTTATACGTTTTAGGTGATTTTATATTAAATTAAAGGTCAGGATTGAATAAATTAGAGTTATTTTAGGATACTAGTAATACAGATGTAGCGTTACAGAATTTTAAGACCGCCCCTGAATTTGAGCGCCGCGCAATGATTTCGATTTTTTGAGACCAACCAGTGTTAAAATCGTGTTCAGCATGAAAAATAACCAATATGTACCAATTTTTTATGGTAGTATCTTAAGAAGTAGCCGCGTAGTGGTCAAAAATCGTTTTTTCAAGCGGAGCAGAATTATAAACCGACCCCCATGAAACGGACTATTTCGCTTTTTTTAATTTTCACGGGGCCAATGTGCACAAAAATCGTTGTGTGGCTTTAAGAACCTACAGTTCCCTATTTTTCTATTTTTGAATCATTTTGATGGAAGACGTTGGAGCAGCAATTCAAATCTAAGTCGACCTAATATGTTTAAAACCTTTTCAAATCTATGCCAGACCGTGTTTCTGACATTATTACCTCAAATGGAGGTTCCACCAAACATTGAACTGTCATTATTTTTGAGTTTATAATGTATTTCGTGGGGGTGGCCTTATAAATCTGCGACGCACTGTATAAAACCTTAGTAAAATTTTGAAGAATCGATAGGCTGCACATCATATTTTGCTATTATATAGATGGATAAACTACTATGCACACGCTGTTATACTCCGCTACAATAGCGCAGAAAAAGATACGAAATAATAATTTTCCGTCATGACTTTTGAACGAGTGGTCCAATCGAAATGAAATTTTTACTGGGAGTCAAAAACACAATTAAAAACTAACTGCGAAGTGAATTACACTAGTTCGAAAAAATACGTGCTAGAAAACTTTTTTTTAGAAATTTGCAAAACGGAAAAATCGATAAATTTTAGTTATCCTATTTTTTAAATATATTTTTTAGTTTTCGATTCTTTGTGATATATTCATTACTTTTAAGGATGGGTTGACCAAAAGGGTCTAAAAATTATCTAAAGCTGATCGCAAATGGTGTAGCGACTAAGTATTAGGTCTATTCATAATTGTAAAAAAAGTTATTTGGTGTTTGATGATCTAATTTTATTTCTATAGCAATTTGAATTTATACACTTATTTTTATGACTTTTTGCAATTTCGATTTTTTTGCGAAATATACTTGGAAAAAATTAATTTCCATAATATATAACTTTTAAACATTTAAGTTAATGAAAATAAGTGCTAAAAATTTCAGCTCGATTGAACCACTCGTTTAAAAGTTATGAAGAAAATTAATTATTTCGTATCATTTTACTGTAGGTTTATTTAGTTAAAAATAATTATATTTAGTTAAAAATCATATTTAGTTAAAAAATATTTTATTTAGTTGAAAAATATGAATTTAGTTAAAAATTATTTATTTAGTTAATAATTATATTTAGTTAAAAAATATTTTATTTAGTTGAAAAATATGAATTTAGTTAAAAATTATTTATTTAGTTAATAATTATATTTAGTTAAAAATCATATTTAGTGAATTTAGTTAAAAAAATATTTAGTTAATAATTATTGGCCGACGAATTCGTCGAGTTTTCTCATTTTCATTGAGTTTTGCAATCTTCCGGATAAATGGCTTCCCAAATTTTGTCAATTTTACAATTAAATATTCCAAATCTTAAATCGGTTTATCTCCAGGTAGATTAGACATTTTTTATTTGCCAAATTTCGATTTTTAGGTTGATATGAATTTTGATAATCGATCCGCGGCTCCTTTTGCAATAACCCATAAATTATGCAGGTTTCAAGGATTATTTTTGAGTTCTAATATCTTTTAGAGATATTTTGAAAATATTTGAAGACGCCAATGGATGTTTAATTGCACCCGACGATGATTTGTCCTCAATCCATCTCATAATAAATGAGCAAATGATGTGCGAAAAAGATTTTCAGGAATTTCTGAATGTTCAACGAATATTTGTACGTTGAAATGAATGAGATATTAAAAATTTGATTATTTTTATTAAAGGTAAAATTCACAACAAAGTGCGATTCCTTGGCCATAGACAAGTGTTTGCGCTACACATTTTTCTATTGGATGGAAGAACGCGGATGGTGCAAGGTTGGCGCAAAAAATCTCTCAAAAATAGCTGAAATTTCGAAAATTTCGGATGGGAAAATCGCTGGTACCCAATTGGTTTTTAAATTGGAGCTCAACACCAATTCCGAAAATTTGTTAGTTATCCGCCGCAAACTTTAATAATTGGGTTTAAGATGAATTTTTCAGCATTTGAGCCGCATTGCGTATCATCGGGTGAAGTGTTCATGAAATTCTCGGCGGAATTGGTAAAGGCGTATCCATTTGAAGAATGGTTGCTGGATCACATCGATCGATTTCGAGATGATCGCGAAGTCTCGAAGCGAATCTCTGCTAGATGGGTGACGTGTTTGCCAAAGTAAGTTTTTCGATATTCATATGGAGAAAAAATAAAATTGAATTTTAGCCTCGGAAAAGGAAGAATTGTGAAAATGTACAGGCAAATCCCCGAGAGCTCCCCCTTTCAAAATTATACACAAATGAAATCATATTGGAAGAATACGGCAATATTTAAATAATTTTTGATTAAGAGGCGATTTTTTTTGGTTTTCAGTATGGCTACATTTTACCAGCAAATCCGCCAGATACCTATTACGATGTGGTGTTTCAGGATAAAACAATGCTGTAAGTTTTTTGTTTTTTTTTTTAATTTTAAATTTATAATGATAATTTTAACTTTTTCTAATTAAAAAAATCATTTTTAATTTCTCAATATCTCCAATTTATTTCCAGATACCCGTTTTTTTGTGTTCTTCCAACCCCGCCACAACCAATTCCTTACAAAAAGGACACTGATCGATTGGCGAATGCTCTTCAAGAATTTTTGAAAGATTTTCGACAAATCACAAGAAGAACATTGGACGCTCAAATTTCGGGTAAAAGTTGAACGAGTTTATTTGACAACGAATTGAACAAAAATGGGCAATTGTATTAGGCGTAGGGTTTGAAGCCTCCATTGTTGGAGAATTTCGGGTTAATTTGAAATTTGTGCACACTTTTCGGTGGGGTCATGCGTTTGAAAATTCGATTGAAAATCGGCGTTTTTGCAAAACTGGATAATCGAAGAAAAAAAATTGAAATCAAAAATAAATAATTGAATACCTGAATGTTTCATTGGCGGTTCTAAAATAGAGAGTATCCTCCGGCTCATCGTCGGAAATCGAGAATGGCCCTATTATTGATTTGATCGGAGTCTTCACCAATTTCTTCCATGTCATCTGCAAAAAAATTTAAAAAGTACTTTAAATTTTTAAAAATTACTTTAAATGGCTTTATATTCTTCACATCCTTCTTAATTTTCCACGTGATTCTCGTATAATGAAATAGAATTCCAACAGGAAACCAGATGATCATAATTTTGAAGGCAAATTTGGTTGCCGTTAAGAGTAAAGATTGCGTCGTTTCGAAATGAGCATCTGAAATCAGATTGATGAGAATTTGTGAGATCATCAACCATAAAATCTTACATTTAAATTTTTCCTTGGTGGATTCATAAGTGGCTTGTAAAAGAATAAGGGAAAAGAGGAGAATTGAAGCGCATTGCATCAGGGTTAGTGGCCAAATAAGAAAATGAATCCGTTTTTGGGCTCCGATGAGACCGAGAATTATTGAGAGGGTGATAATGAGCATCACAGTGAACTCAACACCATACTTCTCAAGATCATCCTAAAAACAAAAGTGCGAGAAATTGATAAAATCGACACACTCACTGGTCCCGGCGCCATAATCCAAGCATCTATTCCAAAAATTAGAAGGATAATGATAAGCGAATAGGCAAAGAAGAATCGTTTGTGCCATGGTTTGGGCGCCACCTTCTTTTTGGGTTTGCGTACCACATTGGACTTGACGAGAATCATTTTGAATTGAATGAAATTCGAATATTTGATGAGAGAAAAAATGAGAATTGAAATATACATTTTTAGATCAAATTTTGTAGATCAAACGATGAATGTTTCAGGAATCGAAAATGAATCGTCGCGCGATGTCCGAAATCATCTTGATGTGATGACGATGACGCCGATGAACTCAAAGAAATTGAAGAGGATCACCCCAATTGGGACATTCAAGGTTTTTTCGATAAGATTCTAATTCTCTAAAGCATTTTTCAGCGTACTTCGCAAACGCAGGCCATTCGAAAAGTCTACCCAAAAATTGGATCCCAGGTTAACTTTTTTTGCCGGCTGAATCGCATTCATCATTTTATTTCAGAAAAAATCGAGACCATGTCGAAATATCGAATTCGATTAAAAATTTTTATTTTTACCTAATAATAAAAATGCTCTGAAAACCCGTCAATATGAATCAGAAACAAGTATTATTGTTCAATGAATGAGCTTGACAAATTGGCTGGCCGATATTGGGTGTCAATTGGTGTACGATCATCATATAGTGTTGGTGCCTGAACAAAATGCATTGAGAAACCGTTTGTTATGATAGATTGGTTGCCTGTAAAAGGATTATCACAGTTCCGACAAAGCAAGCGATTGAGAAAATGAGAAGAAAGAGACGATCGAGAACCATGGCAACGTACTTCCAGTCCTCGTCAATCTTAAAACATAAAGATATAGGATATGCAATTTATGCAAGGTTAGCTATACCTTATCATCTCGATCCTTTTTCTTTAATAATTCCGCGATGAAGCAAATGTTTTCAAAGGCTTTGACAACCTAAAAAAAAATGAAAAAAAAATATTTCCTTTTTTATTATAAGTCACACCTGTGGTGAATAATAAAGCTTTTGAATGGAGTCATCAATTGTTGAATGCTTCAGCTTATATCCGACATCCTTTGAAACGCGATGAGCGTGAACACTGAGCGCGATTTTGCCATCTTCAGTAAATAATTACTAATGGAAATCAATCAAATTTACTTTTCGACTTTTTCTTTTTCTCCTCGAAATTGTCTTCGTACTCATCAATCGGTCGACGCATGAACAAAAGTTTTGGAAGCCATTGAAGAAAGACTTTTTTGACCCAATTCGGCATCAAATGAGTTGTTGGCGTACGGAAATGAAGGTTCAATGCTGGAATGAGCAGAAATAAATATGATGAATGAATCAGAGCTGCACGGAACTTTAATTTTCTAAAAACGGAAGACGGAACCGGAAAAAATTTTTTTTGACGGAACACGGAAAACGGAACCCAGAACAAATTTTTTCTACGGAACACGGAAAAGGAAAATTTCACGGAAAACGGAAGATGGAATTTCGTGCAGCTCTGGTGTGAATGAGCAAACTGAAAGACACTTACATATTACGGTGACGACGACGGAAAGTGTGACCATGACCATTGTGAAAAGAAGGTATTTGCCGATTAATGGAAGGGTGATCGATGTCGCTGGAATTATTTCCGTCTGCAAATTTCAATTTCTCCACAATACTCATTTTTGTAGATGGGATCCTACCAGAAGAAGGAAGAAGATAGTAAGAGCGACGAGAATCGAAATACAAAGTGTGACCTGAATGAATGATGATCACATATTAATTGTTCGCGTGGCGAAACTCACCTTTTCTCCAGAATCTGATGGAAGGTAGAAGACCAAAATAGTGAGGAATGAGATTCCGACGCATGGGAACACAAGATTAACAGTGTAGAACAATGGTTTCCTTCGAAGAATTAAATAATACTAAATCGGATGAATCGATTTGTCTCTTTTTTTCGCGAAATTACCGTCACATCGATATAGGCGTTCTGCGGACAACAACTTGGATAATTTTTAGCTCTTCGTTTAGCAACTCGCGACATTATATCCCATTCGACAGATGGATAATAATCAGACAAATCTACAACATTAAAAAAATAATTAAAATTGAAATATTATCACACCAATTCCATCAACGGCGACCGTCACATTGTCAACAATTCCATTCTCATCAACTTCTTCCTCGTATTGAAGATTCGGCTCGTTGAGTTCGACCGAAATGAGATTCTCCGAAAATGTCCATGAGCCGAACTGAAATTGTTCAAGAAATTTAAAGATATCAACCAATCAAACTCGAGAATTTCGTTTAAATGGGAAATGCGTTTGAATTTCCGCCAGTGCTGCAGTGTTTTTTTGCGGACTAGAGATTTCTTTTTGGATTTTCTCGCAATTATATTCTCAGCAATTCGATTGGGGCGAACAAAAAACCTTTTGGCTTGGGATAACCGGCAGAAAATTTTGGACAAAATGAGGAAAAAAATCGAAAAAAAATAGAAATAAAAGTCGCCGACGGGTTATCCCGATACGCTAAATTGAGGGCAATGTGTAACTGGAGTGTCGTACTGGGTATGTAAAAAATTTTTTGGACAAACCGTGGAAGTTTTTGGGAACTCTCGTGGAACCCGATTTTTTAAAACCAAAATCTAACTGCGATTTGTTCTTTTTCGAATTGGTGAGTTTCTATGTTTGTGTCTTTGATCTTAATTTATAAAAATTTGAGGTTTAAAAGATTGGAAAAATATGAATAGCGTGCGAAATTGTGTGAAAACACCGAGACGCAAATATCACAGAAAAAAAACCCAAAAAAATCTCATTTGAAAATGTTTCCAACTGTTTTTTTTTTCAAGTTAAAGTTTTTAAAAACTTTTAAACTAGTCCATACTACTACATATTTCAACCATAATTAATAATCGGCGTCCGGCGACTGCTGGTAGATTTACGTGCTGCGCCTTAGGCTACGACTCTGGTAATTCATTTCGAATCGAATACGAATTGAACGCGTATTACAAACGTATACGGAAAATTTCGAATCGTATACGATTGACAGTAAAACCGAAACGAATACGATAGAATTACAATCGTATACGTTCGAAAAAACACTGGTAACTCGATTCGAATCGAATACGAATTGAACGCGTATTACAAACGTATACGCAAAATTTCGAATCGAATACGAATTGGCAGTAAAACCGAAACGAATACGAATTACAATCGAACGCAAATTAATTAACCGGATTCGGCGACATGTTTATCCTAAATTTTCTATTTAAAAAATATTTTGTCGGTTTCAAAAAGTTAACGATATCGTATGATATCCGAGCTGACGAGCTGAGTATATTTAATACTAATGAATGCCCAGTAGTGTTGCTTACTCCTTGTTGCCGCGAGACACCGAAATGCAGCTATTTACAAGATTTTTTCGCGTTCGGGCGCGTGCGGTTCGCGTGCGCGCACGTTTATATTTATCAATTTTCCACAGTATGATTCAATGTAAATATATTTTTTAATAGTTTCAACAAATTCGATGATATCAATTGCAACAGAAGTTGGCACCTGTTTCTCTATCATATATTTAGCAACATCATTTTCAGAAATCATTGTCGTCGGTTGGAAAATAACCCAAAAAGAATTTCGAAAAACAATAATCGAGATCGCACGCGAACCGCCATATGGCGACATAAAATAATTACCTGAGCCGCTTTTTTTTTCGGGAACATCCGATAGCCGATAATTTTTCTTTAAATTTTATTTAATCGTTTAAAATCGTATTCGCATCGTATTTCTTAATATTGTGCGCAATTTTAGATGAAGCGGATCAACACGAGAGACGTATTGAGCGATTTGCGGAAATCTTCGAAAAAATTCAAGGATGATGTTGAGCATGGTAATTGTCGATTTTGTCAAAATGATATTTTACTGTTAAAGAAGTGGAAGTGGACATGACAAGTGTTCAAGATCAAGAATATGAAAGTGATAATGATGAAGATGAACTTGAATCTCCCACCGCTGATGAAGTTTATAACGACGGTTTGTGTTTACATAGCTGACAATAGCGCTTGTGAGAAAAATTATCATTTTCAGAACCAATGAAAAATGATTTATCTTCATTATCCAATCAAGATCTGATGAGACTTGATTTCCTGAATATGTGCACAAACTCGAAAGCAGGTAAATATACTTTAAAAATTTTAATAGTGAAAACACACTGCAGCGGTTGAGCGGTATTTCGAATGCGATGTGTTACCGAAGGAAAATGAAATCAAACAATGCATAAGGAAATATCGAAAATTTTTAAAAGTCGAAATATGCATTAACTGTGCGGAAGAAGAAATCAAGTTTGAAAATAAAACAATTGCTAACATTTATCTACTTTTTACAGATGTTCATGTTCAAATTTCATTGCCGGCGAAATAGTATTCAACGATATATCTAGATTATTGAAGCAGTTTTGGTTGATTAACGGAGATGATGTGCGAATTGTCCAAAATAGAATAAAAAATTCTGAAAACAGTTCATCGCCAATGTCAAGTAGAAAATTAAAAGAATACCTATTTGAAGAGAAAAACAATGAAATTCTTTTCATTCATTTTTTATTATCATTTGACGGTGTGAAGCTACGTCCGAATGATAAGTATTACAATTTCAACGTTATATTAATAATTTTACTTCCGTTACAGCCTGAAAATTTGGCCATTTTGTTTACAACCACTTGATTTGGAGGATCCAGCTCGCGCGAAATCACAAAATTTGATCATAGGTGCGATTTATCTAGGAAGTCGTGACCCAAATGCGAAAATACACGACAGAATTGTGAAATGGGCAGAAATTGCGCTTAAGCAAAATATGGATGATGGGTACTGCGGAAAAATTGTTGCTGGTACGCACGATGATCCGGTAAAATGACCACAGTAATGATACATGAATAAATTATATTTACAGGCAAAACGATTGGTTTACAAACTTAAATCGCCGTCTTCCCGAGGCGCTTGTTTCTATTGTATCAATCAATCAACACTTGTAAAGATCAACGACAAGACAACAATTAGTAAATAAGTTCATATTATCTTTTTTTGCAAATCGCGCGACATGAAATATTAATTTTGTTGCAGGAAGAAAGGCTATCTGTGGCAACATACCAGCGAATCTTGACGATGGCTTGCGTGAAAAGGGAGTAAACTCTTACTATCATTGGCCAATGTTCATTGACTCATACTTTTTGACTTGACTCATGATTTTTGACTCATAAAAATTGTATCATGATTTTTTATTCTTTGACTCATGATTTTTGACTGGTGATTTTTGACTATTTTTTTTGACTAACAATTTTTGACTAATGATTTTCTGAATTTTTTTTAGTTGAGATTCCTGCAGTTTTTTTCAGTATTCAATTCTGTTTTTTTTTTTGGCCAATATTGATGGGTAAGAAGCTGAAGGGTGGGAGGAATTGGGAGAAATGTTATTACTGAATGAGGGAAAGATTATTACTGAAAGGAAAAATGTTCTTTTAACTTCTGTAAGCATAAAAAAAATTGTTTTTTTTTTTGGCATTTCACCGCTTATCGATTTCAATGAGAAGCTTAGGCCCAGCTAACCGAAAAAAGAACTCCACCGAAGGAATCGACAGTAACATTAAACGAATATCTGTAGTGGCCAAATGGTATTGATATTTTTAGTAATCTCCGGTTTAATGAAAACATTTTTGCAAATTATTTTAGTTTGTACCGTCAGGCCTGTTTTAAAATTTTCGATTTCTCATCAAAATTCAGGAAAAACGTTATATTCAAAAAAAAGGCATTGTTATACTTTGGGAAGTTTTTTGAAGGCTGTTTTGTTAGAAGTACCATTTTGATAAAGTTTTAACGGTATAATGATCTATCGAAAATTTCAATGATTGATTAATTTTAAAATTTTTTAATAAATATGTTATCGTATAAAAACTGTGTTTAGTTGTTTTCATTAAACTAACGGAGACTACTAAAAATATCAAATCATACATACCATTTGACCCACTACGGATATTCGTTTAATGTTACAGTCGATTCCTTCGGTGGATCCGCTTAGCTGGGCCTAAGCTTCTCATTGAAATCGATAAGGGGTGAAATGCCAAAAAAAAAAAAACAATTTTTTTATGCTTACAGAAGTTAAAAGAACATTTTTCCTTTCAGTAATAATCTTTCCCTCATTCAGTAATAACATTTCTCCCAATTCCTCCCACCTTTCAGCTTCTTACCCATCAATATTGGCCAAAAAAACAGAATTGAATACTGAAAAAAAACGCAGGAATCTCAACTAAAAAAATTCAGAAAATCATTAGTCAAAAAAAAATAGTCAAAAATCACTAGTCAAAAATCATGAGTCAAAGAATAAAAAACCATGATACAATTTTTATGAGTCAAAAATCATGAGTCAAGTCAAAAAGTATGAGTCAATGAACATTGGCCACTATCATTCAATTGTACCCATGTACGAAAGTCCGCTGGATATATTTCATTTATTTCATGAAGGAGTATTTTTAAAAATAATCAATAGTAGGTTTTCTACATATTTTTAAACGAAAACACACGTACCATCATGCCTACCGTTGTGATTTTTTTCGGGGAGAATATCTTTTAACACTATTCCCGTTTACATCAACTGTATATTTCAGTTGTGTTTGGATGTTCAACGAGCAAACTTTTTGATGGATATCAATGCAGAGATATCAAAGCGGGTGTAAAGCTGCCGTCAAAGTTTAAACAATTAAGTGGGAAAATTTCGAACATTACAGGAACGGAAAAAATGATAGTAAGTATGAAAAATAATAGATTCAAAAAGTTTTGCAGATTTATGAAACGTTGATTACTGCGACAGCCTTTTCAAGGGAATGCCCACCGTTAGCTTCGGCGGTCATATTATGTTTTCATGCTCTATTCCAGCTTCTTGTGTCTCCCCTGTCCATTACCGAGAAAAATCTCAATACCAAGGTTCGGATGTGCACTTTACAGTTTATTAAAAGTTAAACTCAGATTGAAGACATTGCATATTGTCTTCAAATTCTTATCGTGAAGTACGACGAGTCATTTCTAAAAGGATCAAAGGTTCATGTCAGTTATATCATATATTCCTGCTCGTTTACCTATATAATTCCAGCAAATTCTATATCATTTGGCTGATAATGTATATAGCTATGGAAGCATTATCGCACTCAGTACGCAAAGTAGCGAACATCTCTACCATTTGATGAAACGATCTGTCGCTTCGGAAATCACAAAAGGATTGGGATGCTCGCTCCTAAATAGGTAATTTCAGTATATCGATCAATTTATTTTACGCGGTGATCAATTTACTTTACGCCAAGTAGTAATCAATTTCCAATAGGTGGAGTTACAAAATTGTGGTGATGTATTTTTAGAACATCCATGGCGCAAATCGTATATTCCGAAGTTGTCAGAAGGCAAAGAAATGATGCTCAGAGTTTGATAAGTGATTATTATGGCATGAAACTTCTTCGTAAATTCAATCTCGATGTGGATTCTACTTGGCTTCCAAAGCCTCAACGTCAGTGCACAACTGCACGTGATAAGGTCATAAAGGATATTTGGCATAATGGCACAAGATATCGCATTAGCAATGAATCGACATATGATGATTCTAACATAATGTTCATTTATAAAAACACCGTTCAGTTCGGTCGCATTGCATCTATTTTTAATGACCAATCACTTGAAACTAAAATTTTAGTATCCCCTTATACACTTGTTAAAGCGACATTCGAAAATCTAGCTAACAAATTGATCAATGTAATTGATATTTTAACCATCAAGAAATTGATCACATCTTTAGCTTGTACTCAATTTGGCTCTCAAATTTCTGGAAAAGGCAATGACATTGTAATTTTACCTTGTGACATAATTGGACCCGCTGTTTTAGTTGAAAATGCAACTGGAAATGTTATTTTGCCATTAGCGCATCGCTCGTTGTTGTCGTAATAAATGTTTTCTCAATTTCCTCATGTTAATTAGAAGTATGCGTCGATTGGTCGCAGATTATCTCTATAAATTGATGATAGAATAACATTTTAGATCTTCAGAGCAATGAGTTTTATTGCAAATCTCCAAAAAAGATATGCAGAGCGAAAGGAGATTGATCATTCGCCCGTCAAGATAATGCGAAGACAAAGCGGTACTGAAAGCCTACTGAGATTGGATACTCGCGAGCCACAACAAGTTGTGCTTTATAAATTTAAATGAACAAATAAACTTTTTAGGCGGTGATTGATGGGGAGGTAATCGTTGAAGAAACCGGTCCTTACCAAATTCCTATCCAATCCGATTTTGATATTGTTACTGCCGCTCCGAAGCAAGCTGAAACTGTTATCCCGCGCATACCAGCCATCGTAAAGGTATTTCCAATTTTGTAGCTCAGGCAACTCAGATAAATCAAATAAAATATTTTGAGAATCAAATATTCAATAATAAATGCTAAAATATTTTGAGAAATTCTAAAGTTTATTGATACTTTCTAAAACTTGTTGAGAATCTCTAAACCTAAAAATATTTATTAAGATCTTATAACATTATCTAAAATTTATTGAGAAAATTCTAAATTATCTCAATAAATTCTAAAATCTTATAATAAGTTCTAAAGTTGATTGAGAAACATCTAAAATATTATAGAGACACGTTAGTTTCTCAATGAACCACAAAATATTTTATTTGATTTACCTCAGTAAAAATTTCGTTTAGAGATCGTTCACGAAATTAATATACGTATTTGACCGCGTTTGTAGAGAATACCATTTGCTTTAAATATATCGACGCAATCTAACTCGGGTACTTTTCAGCGTCCAATATGCCTGGTCAGTTTTGGAGCCATGTTGCTGAGCGAAAACAAAGAAGAAAAAGAAATTGCTGAAGTAAGCGTGTAGCAATAAAAAATATATGATCATTATTCAGAAAAAGTTCGATGACCACGCCCAAGGACTCATATCCTTCGATGATTCTCTTCTGAAGGCTATATACAAAAATGGAACGGATACAGAGAAAGCGGCATTATGCTGCATTAAATCTCTCGCATACTCGGTTAGTTAATCTATATTTTACAAATATCAATTAATCACTGCAATTCACTTCTGTAATTCTTCTCAGATCACTTAATTATGTGCAGTTTAAAACACACTCCTTCAATTTCTATCAATTCAATTTTTTAGGTGGAAAAGATTTGCAATAAACCAGCGAATAGGACGTCGTATAGCGGGAATTTGGTGATTTAATTGCGTCAAACAGATAAATTGCCTACTATTTTTAGGACAAGGTATTTGCAATGTTCGACCCGCTGAAGCTTGCTTCTTATGACGACACCCTTGTGCCGGCCATTGAAGGAAATGGTAAAAAGAAATTCGTTACAGTAAATAACTTTTTTTTAAAGATTTGGTTAACTTCTCACTTATCATTCAGTCGATGCGTCCCTGTAAGCGTCATCTGCGAACAATAGTGCACGAGGCAGTTATGATTTGGATGAACGAGGTAAAAAATAATTTTCGATGTTTTTACTATTTTCATAGTTACAGGTGATTCCTCAAAACATTCGATGCAAGTATACGCCACGCCGAAATGCTCAAAAAGGTCATATTGCAATTGAAGCGCACATAATCAATACGTTTATTGGTCAGTTTTCTAAAATTCTATAATATTTCAATAATTTAATTTTTACAGAATTACTTTTACATTGTATATCAATCCCGGACACCGAAGAGAAGATGATGCGAATTGCCGTTACAGTAATCACGGAAAATTATATCGAATACTTATGGTTAGTCAATATTTCATTTTTATAGTTTTTTTTTACTGGAAAATTTTTAGTAATCGCGCAAGGAGGCTGCGAATTGAGGAGGAGCTCTCGAACTCGCGCCATAGTTAATTTTCTGTATATCAGTTTATCAGGTTTGCGTTGGCTTGGAATATCCGTAGTTAAATGAAAATCAAAAAAACAAAATATAAATTAATCTGATTCGATAGAAAAAGAAATGAAATTCGATTGAGAAATTGTTTAGATTCGCTTTGAAAACTTGTTTCGATTCAAAAATCTTCGAAATCGATTGGTTCATTCTTCATTCTCAATTTTGAAATCGTATTCGATTTAAATTTTGAAATAATTCGAAACAGATTAATGTATTATCGATTTCGATTGAAAAGAAAATTATTTTCGAACTCGATCGATTTTCATTTACCAGAAAAGGAAATGTCGAAATTGAAGCAAGTTATAAATTTTTCGTCAAAAAATGGCGAAAACAAATAATCGAAATAGTATTTCCGAAGAAGTAAATTGAAAAAATCGCACATCCTGCTATACATATTTTTTGTTTCATTCCTGCTGTTGGTTGTTATTGTGTTTATTGCAATAAATAATTTTGTTTGTCTAATCGATTTTCTTTTTCTTCCATAATTGATTCAAATCGAATTCAATTCAAAACCGAATACGATTACATTTGAAAAATATACGACTACATTCAAAACGAATACGACTACATTCAAAACGAATACGGCTGCATTCAAAACGAATACGGCTGCATTCGAAACGTATTCCAAAGATAATCGAATACGATAATTTCACAACCTAATACGAGAAATTTCGAACCTAATTAGGTCACGTTCGGAGCCGAAATTTGTCGTATTCGGTTTCAAATGTGTCGTATTCGATTCGAAATGAATTACCAGAGGATTTGGCGCAAGCTAACTGGTTATTTTGTATTTTACGGTTCGGTTTGATAATTTTTAAATCAAATGACGTTGGAAATTCAAGGAAATGCCAAACTCATCAATCAAAAATCACGTGTGGCGAGACCATTTCGAAATTTTTTAGTGCTATTTTTTAAGCTTCTCAAATAATTTTTGATATTGTCAAACCTTTAAATGGCATGTCTGCTCGTCAAACGGAAACCAGCGCACGTCGATTTGGCACATGCTTTTGAAAATCGCCGGCGGTTCCCAAGATACCTAAATCATAATGATAGTTGCTATTGATTACTGATTTATTAAAATACTTCTCCAGTATAATGAAGGGTGGCTTTTGTTGAAATCGTGATGTTATAATTGCTATCGGCGCTGAAAATTCGCAACATTTCGAAAATGGATCGAGTCAACATGAATCGGACTTGTTATAAAGCACAATATCGGGCACCCAAATCATTTCATATGGTACGTAGAGCACATTGACACCGCCATAATTAACCGGGTCCCATGACAACTTTTTGTCGAACCAAATTTGTTTGAGCCACACTGAGCATGTCATGATTTGATCAATTTCGTGCTGAAATTTTCATTTTCAGCTTGGGCTAATTTTTGTGTTTTGAAATTCGTACCACATCGATTATTTGACTCAATCGCAGTCGCAATTTGATATTCAGTGGCTGATTCGGACCAGGAGCCGGTCTGCATAGAAAAAAATGATGAATTTTCCGATTCGCTTCAAGAAACATACCTTCGGTGCCGATTATAGTTGACCATTAAATCATCATACAATCGTTTCGCATCCTCGTTTGCCTCGATGAATATCATACAGAAGGTGAAGCCGAAAACGATAAGCGGCCGCATTTCGGACAAGAAATGTGTAAGAAGAATCGATGAGACGAAGGAGAAGCAGCGAGAGGGGAAAAAAATCGACGGACCACAAATGTTCGCTGCGAGAGATAGCGTGAGGCGATGAGGGCGCAGACATTGAAAATGAATAGAGAGAATCGGTGCACATTCTCGAGAAAATTTTTGGGTTTAACTATAAGCGAATGCGAATCGAAATAATAGGGTGTTGATTTGAGCAAAATGAAAATTGAAGTCAAAATTTTAAAAATGTTTTCAGATTCCATTGGTCCCAATCTCTCCAATTCAGCAATCTTGATTTCATCTCGTCAGAAGTTATATTTGAATTTTTTAATATTTATATCACCGAGATACTCTGTAAAATGAAAACCGATCGAATAAGAAACAAATAAAATCACGAGTTTCTCAAAAAATATTTTATAAGGGGGGTCTCAAAGCTTGAATTTTTTTAATTCAAAATCTCCGATTTTGGAAAAAAAATTCCAGGATTTGATACTATAAATTATATCATCAAGTTTTTTTGGGCAAAATTTCTTACAATGGTATAGTCGGCGACGGCTGTACGCGGGTAGATTTACGCGCATGCGCCTTGAAAAGGTCTCGCCACGCGTGAATGCTTATTTTGCTGTTTTCACGTGAATTGTTTTATTTTTCTTGATGAGTTTCGCATTTCCATGAATTTCTAACGTCATTGGATTAAAAAAAATTATCGAACATGTCCATAAAATTTGAAATAACCAGTTAGTCCTTGCGGGACCATTTCGAAAGACGCATCCCCGTAAATCTACCCGTGTAGAGCATTCGCCGGACGCCAACTATATTTCTTCAATTGTTCTTCTATATCACGAAAATCCATTAACATATATTTTTTGGTCAGACGCTTTCAATTTTCAAATTATTACATCATTTAAAAAAAAGAATACCTAGTGTTGATTTACTGTGAGTTTGATTCATTAGTCAGCAGTAATTTGGTCCCCAAATTCCCACAATTTAAATTGAAATTTGAATTACCGCCTCGAATAGTGCGATGGTCCACAATTAGTCAAAGTGCTCGGTATTTTTGTTTTAAATCATCACCCAAATAGTTCAATGTCTGCGTATTTTCCAGACCAAAATTGTCGACGACAGACAAACACCGGAAATTCGAAGAATTCGGGCCAACCATTTCAATTTCTTGACGACAAATTTTTGCATGCGCCTTTAATGTATACTGTAGTTCTGCATATGGATGATACGCAGCCAAAAATATTAAAAAAAAAACCAACATTGGTAATGTTGAGAAAACTACGCTAGGCCCACCAGAAAAAAAAAAACAATTTTTCAGAGATTTAAAATAATTCTTGAATATCATCGTTTTTATTTGATTGGATATTTTTCAGCTGGTCAGCTTATTGTGTCCTTTGAGTTAAAAATCTCCAATTTTTTGTTTTTCTATTCATGCAATAAAAAATGAAAAAAAAATGCATATTTTTCCAATGCAGGCTTATAAAAAATGCACATTTAATGTAATTTTGTTAAACATTTTTTTTTTGTAAAAAAAATTAAATTTCGGTCGATTAGTGAAAATTGCATTCAAAAATGGTCTGTGCTGCGTTCAATTCAATTTTTTGAAAATATCGAGAACCATTTTGTTGATTGCTGCATAAATCAACCATAAATTAAATTTTCAAAATTCAGTTATTTAGTTTTTTTTGTCGATGTTCCGTCCAAAAATCTGTGGCTCCAATGCGTTTTTCAGATTTCGATTCGCCCAATGTCTACTGTTCGACCAAAGATGGATTCCTATTTAACGATTCTGATTTTTTTTCTTTTATTCCGAATTCCTAAAATCCGTTTCGATATCAATTCGGAAATTTGATGCAAATTCAAATGAGTGTTTTAGGTTTTAACCAGAAATCATTTCATTTCTCGGAGATTGAGACGAGCAACCCAATAAATAAATAAATAATATTTATGACGGATAAAACGTTGGTTTGTTGTTGTGTCGCCGCGATTTCGACGAATCGAATCGTCAAGAAAATGATCGACAAGGGAAATCCGCGCCCCGCAGTCGTGTGTGCGTGTATGTTTTTTTTTCGTGTGCATGCTTGTGGTTGTGAGCCGAAAAAAAAATGAATACGAGGAACTGAGGGAATGAATAAAAAACGAGGAGAGGAAACCGACGGCGACGACGTCGAGCCGCGTGCTGTTGTTGCGTATCGATCGGGTGGGTGTGCGCGCGCGAGGCGACTAGCTTCTCCTCGGCGGAGACGAGCGACGCCTTCAAGATCGCCGCCGCCGCCTCATTCTAGCATGCAGTGGGCATCGCTTGCTGTTGTGCTTCTACCGCTCGCCGTTCTCGCATTCCCGTATGATTATTTCGAGGATGATCAGCAGCAACGATTCGCCGAGCTGGAAGATGGGCGGCTCAATGAGCCCGCTAACGCGCTAGATGATAAGGTGGGCAATTCCTTTGGTTGCTATGCAAATATTGGGAGGGGGCAATCGAAAATTTTTTCTCGAATCATTTTTTTCTCAATAGATTTTTTTTCCACTAATTTTTTTTTGAAAATTTCGCGTCTTTATTGAAGATGTCGCGTGACGTCATTAAAAGGCTTTTATGTGTAATTAGTCGAAAAAAAAATCGACGGAATTTTCCGAGAAAACTGCTCAAATTGGTTTTCCCCCTTAAAGGCACAGCGCCTGTTGTTGGTCCACATGTTAGGTCATACAACGAAAATTCCGTGTTCGCCTGTCATAGCCAAAAAAATCATAGCTCTTGCTTTCCAACATGACGAATTTAATAGGGTTTTCGAGCAAATAAGGGAAAAAATAAATAAAACACATGTGAGGAGAAAACATGAAATTACGCAGCGGAGCCAAATTTATGGATACATGCGCAAAAATCGGAAATTGCTAATTCTTTTTCTTCTCCAAAAAAAGGGAAATTGGAACGGAATTGTTGACGAATGGTCTTGTCACGAAACGCGGGGTGGTTTCGGAGAAAATATTGGAAAAAAACACGAATTGTCGATTTTAGATCGAAATTTTGGCGACTGACAAGCCATTGGGACAAGTGAGCGGACTCGCCGTCAATCCGAAAGGCGATCTCGTCGCGTTCCATCGCGCGAATCGAGTTTGGGACGAGAAGACGTTCAACGATGATGAGACACTGGCGAAAGGTCTCGCCGCGATCAAGAACAACACGATTGCGGTGATGAGTCAAGAGGGAAAGGTGCTCGATGAGTTCGGCGCCGATTTGTTCTACATGCCGCATGGATTGACGATTGATTCGAAGGGAAACCTTTGGGTTACCGACGTCGGTAGTCATCAGGTAGGATTTGGAAACGAAATTCGGAATGCTCGAATTTGTGGGGACAAAAATATGAGAATAAATTTGCGGGGAAAACGGAAATTGGAATTCGTCAAAGCTTTTCCAATAAGAACTGTCATAGGTGCACAAAATCGATGGAGCGACGAAGAAGATCGTGATGAGTCTCGGCGAGAAGATGGTGCCGGGAAACGACGCGAAGCACTTCTGCAAACCGACCGACGTCGCCGTCGCCTCCAACGGACACTTCTTCGTCGCCGATGGCTACTGTAATAGCCGTGTGCTGAAATTCGACGCCGCTGGAAACCTCATCGCGACGATTGATGCTGCCATTGGTGAGTTGAATCATTTGAATCGGATGAAATTTCTAGTAAACTCTGCAAAACGTTCTTCGTGGCGAGACTCGTTTACCGTAAATCGACACAAATTATCAAGAGCAAATCCTGAAAATATTCATTAATCCCGCGCGTCGAATCCTATTTCATAGATCAAATTTCCTTTGAGCATTTTTCCATGAGCAACGAGCCAATCAATTTGTTTGGTCTCAAACATATTGGCCGGAAAGTGGTCTCTTCAAAAATTGGGACCATTCGAGTGTTTTTTTGAGCCCACCAATCTCATTAATTGTGATATCCTTCTATGGAATACAATATAAGCATCCGTCATGCGAAAAAAAGAGAGAAAGAAAAACGTGAAAAGAAGACGTCAGAATTGGGGCCATAATTTAATGAGGCTCTCAAATTTCCGCTCGATATGCTTGTGGTAGGCAGGAAATTTATCTCCATTCATCTATTCCGACGAGACAAATTCGAATTGGTTTCAGAATCGGAACAACCTGACGAATTCGTCGTGCCGCACTCAATTTCGCTCATCGAAGACTTGAACATGATCTGCATTGCTGACAGGTGATTTTTTTTTCTTTTCCGGTTTCATCGTCACTATAGTTCAATTCAAAACGAATTCTATGGCAACCGCAATTGGGTCTTAACGAGAAATCACCTTGGTCCTGAAACGAATTAACAGCATGTGTCGATCGTTCTAATCGAAACGCTTTCTAGAGAGAATCAGCGTGTGCAATGCTTCTCCGCCGGACTCGCCGAAGGACATCGTTCAGTGCCGACTGGAATCCCAATCACCGCCGCCAACGACATCGGAAGGGTGTACGCGATTCGTGAGCGCGATCACTACTTGATTGGCGTCACTGGCGAAAGCGAAGACGTCGAACCGCAATTGTTCACAATCGATATGAATTCGGGAACCACTAACACATTTGCCAAGGTAATTTCACTTGGTTGCTAATCGACTTTCAATTCAATCATCGGAGTTCAGGGAATCGAGAACGCTCACGCACTCGCCATATCCGCTGAAGGAAACGTCTTCGTCTCTCAACTCGAGCCGAGCAGAATCCTCAAACTTTCACTCGTTTAAAACTCAAAACAAGAAATGAAATGCGCAGCGACATTATAAACATGTATTGAATTTTATAACTATTTAAGCATTTCGCATTGGCGAATGGTGCCGAAGACACCATTCGGGGAGATTGAAGTTTTGATAATGAAAAACAAAACAATTTAAAATAAAATGTGGTTGTTTAATAAAATATATCATAAGCTCGAAGCCGGCTGCGCCATCTTCTCCTCGTCGGAGTCTGGACACTTTTTGGTTTCGGATTACTGGCAGAACATTTTGAGCAAAACAGGAAAAAAATTCAATTAGTCGAAACAAAGGTCGATCAAGCAACTCACGTGCGCCCTAGAAAAAATATAAAAATTAGGTTCGGCCACGGCCACACTTGAAGGATTAATTAATTTAATGAAGTCCTAACAAGGGAGGTGTTTTTACATAGTGGTTTTGATTTTTTTTCTAATCTTTCACACAATTAGATTGAGAAATTCCCTATCGAGTGTGCTAGGTCAATTGAAACGAGGTATCTGTGCGTGGTGTTGAAATATGGCAAAAATAATGAAATAAAGTAAAAAACCATCGGTTAAAATTGGTAACCTGGATCCAAAGTTTTTGGACTTTTTGGGACTTTTGCAGAAAACGACATCGCGCACCCGATAGGGAATTTCTCAATATATTGTGTGCAAAATTAGAAAAAATTCCAAACCACTATGTAAAAACACCTCCCTTGTTAAATAGCTAATAAATTATTGTTTAAATGATGATTTTATTTTCAAGTTCAAAGACAAATCATAAAAACGGAAGCAGTAAAATCATATATAAACAAAGTAAAACTTTAAAAATACCTGTAAGTTCTTTGAGAATCTCCGGATTTTTATACATTATTAAACACACCTAACAAAATGTTGTGAAAAGTGGAAACAGCAACAATAAGAGCTCTTGATGTTTCAGACCCAAGATTAAAGGTTCGTTTAAAAATATGACACTTCGATTGTAGCACACCGAACAAATTGTCAATTCCGACTCACATGCCAGTTGAATCTTTGATTCTTCGCTGTGAGTACATGGGCTCGGTTTGGTTGCAATACGTGCTTCGAGATCGCAAAGCCGTTATTGCGATTAAAAACGAAGGCATGGGAATTGAAGAGTTCGGCAGTTCTTTGACACCTCCAAGTTGACCAATCGACTCCAGAAGTTCACCTAAAGGTGTTTGCTCCAAGCTCGGAAATTTGAACGCTTGTAAGCATCGGCAACGAACAAGAAATTAAACGAGTAAAATGTGTTGTAGTTGTAATTTAAGCTTCCAGATCTGAGTAGGTGTTCGCATCGCCAATGATTCCCATCATGTGTTCCGAAACACGGCAATGCTGTCGAGTTTCTGGTTGCTTGAAATAAGTGCTTGCCATAGTGACAGTATCCTTAATCGAATCTTTCACTATTCGGGAAATGGTTGACTGCGAACAACCAATTTCGCGAGAAAGAGCACCTTGGGTCTTTCCTAAACACTCACTTGACTGTCTATTTTCGAAAGTTCCCCGTACCAATGGTAACATATTGACATAGCAAACGCTTACAATGATTCTTTCTCCGCATTGTCGGCATATCCATTCTGCAGTTTCTGAATTTCCAGCACCTTTTCCATCGAGTGGCCTGTAAAGAAACCCCAATTAAAAAACTCGAAAAGATTTTTTTAAATTGTGCTAAGCATGATGAAAGTATCCACACGTCGTGGAATCCTGCGTTTAGTACGCAATGCACCACTCGACTTACAGTAATCTGCGGTCGAAAACAATGGGCGAGAATAGCGCAAATGTGACTCGAGAATTGGACGAATTTGCTTTTAACAAAAAAATCATGCATCTACATATAAAAATGCAATTTTCCCTCCGTTTTTTTTCTTTTTTGGCTCTTGCAATAAATAATCGCTATCCAAGATTGAATTTTACCAAGAGCCGAACCCTAGATTCATTGGACCCGTCTGTGCACATTTTAGATTAACAGAAGCTACATAACAACAGTTTCTGAATGGATTTCCCGCCGCTACGTCCAAACCAACACCGATTCACAGATATAAACATGTATTGAACGTTACAACTACTTAAACACAATGTATCGTCGGACGGATTTTTGTCTGAGTCACCCGACAAGTCACAACGCTTGCAGAATGATACAATACATAGGCATAGGCCAGGATCTTAAACAGAAAAAACAAAAAAGAATAAGATCAGAAAAAAACGGTGTGCGACGAACAACTAGGAATAAATATTTGGAAGATTGGAAGGTATTTTTTGGTGAATGAATGGATGTATGGGAAACTCGTTGTGATTAATAATAATAATTAATTACAGTAATACAATTACAAAATTAATACACTGTTCTTCTACAAAATCGTCTAGTCATGGATAACCAGCCTGGTATTTTATTAAATGATAAAATGATAAAGGAGGGGGAAGGTGGTAGTAATTTAGGCTTGAGTTAGTGGCTGCATGTCAGTCGGCAAGCGAGTGTATGGCGGCGGGTGGGAAAAGTCGACGGTGAACGCATTCGAGGTATTCTGAAGTTGTTGGCCAATCGACTCCGCGACCTGCAAAAAATAAAAATATAACATCGGTCGGTTTTCAATATCTCTAAGTAGTCATATGCACGATGAAATATTCTAATCTCGTTTTCCACTCACCGCCTTGTCACCGAAGAACGAGTAGCATCTGCAAACGACTTGCATGCACCAAACATGGACAAGAATGCCGATGAAGTGGACTATGATGTCGGCGGCGCTGTTTTCAGCAGATGCGTACGTGCGAGAATCGACGAAATTGAGAACATCGAGTGTGAGCTGGAAGACCGCCAAGAATAAGGCAATCGCAGCGCACGCGATGTACGGCAAAAGGAGCGAGCGACGTCCGGTGCGAAGGCCATGAAGCATCATGAGAACCTGAAAATCAGCCATTCCAATCTCAAAGCCGAAACCCATAAATCCCACCAATCCGAGTTGAAGAGTAAGTGCCGACAAGAGCGACGATATATAGCGTGCCGCATAGTAATTGACAACGACTTCTTTGGTACCGGTCGATGATTCCTCGAGTTTAATAGCCGATATGTACATGTAGAGGAACACCAACGAGAACGCGGTGATCACCACCAATTGAGTGTATCCAATGAACTTGGTCGCCTGCAATTACATATCATGTAAAATATTTAAAATTCCCATGGGATGTGCGTGCTTTTTCAAAATATAATGCGCGTACTATGACTCGTAATCCAATTTCAGGGTCTTCTTCTCCGACTAAACTGCATAAAAAAAACATCAAGATTTCAATCTGAATCGCCTTATGACGTAACACCAGAACGCTTCGAATATCGGCACAAGACCCAACCAACAACAATAATTTGACAACAACCCACCCTGGTGACATGAAGCTGACGGCAAGCGACACGATATTTTGGCGCATTACAGTCCCAAATCGCGTCGACTTGGAATTTCGCCGGCTCGAAAGCCTCAACATTCGAGTAGCTTTTTCCTTGAAAAGCTTTCATGAGTTTCTGAAAATTCACACATTTTAGTTAAATGGCAGACGAATTGGGAAAGCAATAAAGAACAAAATACGGGAGGACGATGGACAAATAACTATACATTTATTGATTAATGAATGCCGACAAGAATGGAAAAAAGGAGAGGAGAGAATGGCAGTCAGGTTTAGTTAAAGTGTAAAATTTAAAGAAAGATGGCGTTGATGTTGAAAAATTAACAAGATGGTCACAGGTTTTTTTTTCTTAATTTTTGAAGAAGCACTTGAAGTGTGCTGTCAATTCGAATTGCAATCATCGAACGTTATATTCCGATCTGATAACGCTATTTGTCCTGAACCGTAGCAACTCAAAAAGTGGGCGGGTGCGAAGAAAACATAGACGCAGAGGAAAACAAAAACTTATCTAACGTGACTATTAATTATTCATTTCATGAATGCGAAATTATCCAAAAATAACCAAGGCGCGAGCAGTCATTATGTCGGATTACGGTAATGTTTGAAAAAGGTTTCTAAGATGTTCGAGCAAAGCACAATGACATGAGCTAGTAATTTGGAAAACAATTGACTAGCGAGTCTTATCACTTATAGCCTTATCAGGAACTCGTCAAAATCATTCAAAGTCGATAAGGCGGAAGGCTCACTGAGAAAACGAATACAAATGAAATTTTCGCAAAAAAATAATTGTTGACATATGTTGGCTTATTCACTCAGAAAAAATTCAGTTGCGAAATTCCGGAAAATGACTCAAAAAAAGCCCGCAAAAGATTGCTGTGCACGTATATTTTTTTGAGACGAAAAAAAATAAACAACGTTCGTTCAAGGCTATCAAATCGCGTCGAAACCACAATACTATGGTTGATCGGATTTAAAGGGGGCTGCGCCTATAATCCAGCCCTCAACACGAAGCTCTATTGAATGGAATGCGAATCCCATAGTACAGTCGGAAACCTCTGTCATAAGACATATAAAAACTCTTTTGATTGTAGCGCTTCGCTGAACTATATGGTATTATCAATCGGAAATCAAAACCTTGTTGACACCCTCTCCATCGTTTTCTTTTTCTTCTTATCATAATCATTTCAACTCAACTAAAACCGAATTCGAATTGGACAAATTTAACTAGTAGTAGTAAAAAAAAGTGGAAATGACATGAATGGAGTGGACCAAAAGTTTTCAAAAAAAAAAACGAAAAATGAGGCAAACACAAAACACCATTTATCAAAGAGTTGCTACGTCGCCGCCGTTTCCGTTTTTCCGAATACTCGCGCCGCAAAAAGAATTGTTGAGTCACATCGGAAAAGAAACGAAACATGAATAGATGGGCGACAATTCTATAACATTCTATACAACATTTTCGTGTGAAGAATCTCCGAATTTCATAAGCAATGCACCTTTTAAACCAGTGGGAATTTCGAATTTCTCGAAATTTCAATTGAAAACATTTTGTAAAAAAGTTCATCAATTCAAAAAAAAAATTGGTAGATCATGATTGTGTCAATTTAATGACCGAAAAACTTTGATAGCGGGTCTGGTTGTAAAAAGTGAAATTTTATTTGAATAAATAACACAAATATTGCTCATATTTTGAGAACCTTTAACCCTCAAACATCAAGTTTTCGAGAAAAAAAAGAAGAACAAAATTCTTGGAAGTACAATGACTAATTACCAAAAACCAGTAGTATGTTTTACTATTGACTGTTTGCCACAACGCAACTTGTGGAATGCCGAAAATTGTTGTATCTCACATAAATTTCCGCCTGCCATCAAAAAATATGAGAGAATTCTCGTTTTTTTTTTCTTTGCGCAAAAAAAATATTGCAAACTCAATATTTCGAGGAAAACGTCTTCTTTAATTTAAAAAGAGGCGATCAAAAGAATCCATTCAAACAGTTTTGTTCTTCGGCGGTAAGTGGCCGTCCCGATGCAAACAAATATAAACGTCATTTATGAATGTCCTTCAATTTCAATTTCGCAAAAAAAAAGCTGAGAATTTCCACCCAAAAAACACTACTAAAATGATTGGCAAGGCTGACCTCGAGCGAATACAAAAAAAAACATGAAAAAAAAAGGTTATTCCTGCTAGAAATATGCACTTTAGATCTGAAAATAGCAGCCTTCGCATTACTATTTTCTAAAGTGCATTCTGCAAAGAAAAGAAAACGAGCAAGATATACGTTTGGGAAGATTCTCGGTGCATGTCAGCAAGAAATAAATGCCGATCGGGTCTCGTAAAGTAATTTTTCGAGAAAACTTTTGCCCATTATATCTATGAATAAGAACTTTGATGAAATGAAATTAATGCAGTATTTAAAAAAATGCCAAATTGTCAGAAACTGAGTGAATTTCGCATTAACGGACCAATATTAGAACTCATTGAGCAAAATTCGGATGTAGAATGCAATTTTTGGAATTATCCCGATGTCTGGACGCTGACGAAAATTTCAAATATCACAATTACAAAAGAAGAGCACTATGTGTCGATTTACGGTGGTGTGTTTAATTCGCAGGTTATCCGTAGTACGGTAGGCGAATTCCAACAGTTTAAATTTGGAACCGCCCCGAAAAAAAATAGGATGGTCCACAAATGGTCAAATTTCTCGTTTTCTTGCAATCGCGATATTTTAAAACGAAAATTTCAATTTTCTAAGAAAACCATCATCATTTTCTTCAGACTATGTAGACGCCGAAAAACGTATACGAAATGAGGCGAGGGATTGCGAAAACGAAATCAAATGAAAATAATGACAGGCAATGTGTGCAAAAGCAGATGTTCGTGACTCGGCCACCCAAAAAAAAAAGAAAAATCGATACGAAAAGAAAGGGCCACATAATATTTGCATAATATTAATAAAAAAAATAACACAACGAAACGCGGCTACCGCAATGAAAACTCAATTTGATGGGAGAGAGGGGGAATGAGAAAAAAAAGCGCTCACTCCTCCACCTCTCAGCTATTGTTTGGGGAAACGAGAGGCGCCTACGCAACACCGACTGAGCAGCAAACAAAAACGAAGCCCAAAATCATATGAGACGAATCTCCACCCCAACAGGAAGGGACAAACGAGAAACAAAAAATGCGTTTTGATAGACGGACAAGTGGAAGCAGCAGCAGGAGCAAAAAAAAATAAAGATCAAAGAAACTTCTAGAAAACGAAAAGAGCACCAAAGTTTTGCATTGAAAATGAAGACCGACAGACGGGCTCCAAGGTGCACTTCTGTTTGTATGATCGCCGCCATAAACGTCTCTCGTGAGCCGGTTCCTGCGAATAACAAGCGGAAACACGTTTCGTTATCTTTTGTGCGCAAAAATAACGCATCAATGGAGCATTAGAAATCGCGTTTCAGGTTTGCGAGCATCAATAAATATGATCTCACTTCGCCTCTTCTTTCTTTTTTGAATTCAATGGAAATTGGTAAAGAACAAACATTTTAAGGCATTCCGGCTCGCGTCTGTTACAGAATGACGTCAAGCTTGTAAAAAACGCCGATGCACACAAAAATTATAGACGGCGAAAGACGGCAGTTACAGTAGGTGTTTGTCACAATTTCTTTTCGAAGCTGGCAACCATGGCAACGAATATTATTATTTTTTCGAATGGCGATTGGAAATTTTAACATAAATGGTCTACAGTAATAGTAGATTTCGACTAAGAATGTCAGGAAAATAAGTGCATTGGGCTTTTCTACCGGAAAAAGTGACGGTCCTTTTGTAAACATCGGCTACAGTTCGAAAATCGCCTAAACTGGTGCGAGATTTTGAGGCGAAGCCTACGAAAATTGTATATCTTGAGATTTTTTTCTACGAATTGAAGAAATTCATTAATATTCGAAGTGATCTTGGGTATTTCGATGGTTACCCCGATTAGCGCAATAAGTTTAAGTTAAAATATGATGTCAAGTTTTATGGATTTTTTTTTCAAAGGAAAAATTATATAAAATTGAGATCCGTTATTAATTTCGATGAAATGATGGAATTCAAAACGCAAAAAATTGTTAAATAAAAACAGAAGCGTTTTTTTTTAATTTTTTTCTACAAGCCTTCTCACATGACTACAGTAATCCAAAAAATGTTTAGAAATTCAACGAGTCGTAGGTGAAGTGTTACAAAGAGGGTATTGTGTTACCTTCACATCAAAATTATTCGCCGCTGAAAATTGATACAGAAAACGTTTCTCTTCATACCAGCTTCGCGCATATTCAAGTTTGTTCTCGCAATTTCCAAGCAACGTTCAATTTCCGAAATGAAAACGATGACAATAAGACGAAGAATGAGAAGAAGACGAAGAATTGTGTAGAAAAAACAGATTTGCGCGGTTAATTTACGACCCCCATTGATTTTAAACCCCACTCATTCGCATTTTCGCTCGGTTCTGTTTGAAATACCGCCGCCATTTTTTTCCTTCAATACAAACTTTTGATATTCATCTTTTTGAGATTGCGCGTTCAGATATTGAAAATTTGCGTTGGATTTGCTAGCCTTCAACCCTATTATATTAGCTTGCTTTTAGTAAATAAATACAAAACGAAAAACGCCGACTTTTTCATGTTATGACAACTTCCAAGATTGCAAACAGAATCAAAAACACAAATATTTACGGTCTACAGTATTTTATTTCACATTTCTTTTTAAAAGAAGGAGAGAAATCGAACCCAACAGAGTTTGTTTAGTGGATTTTGAAAACTGTGAAGGAGTACGCACTTCTCATCGGTTTATGAACGTTTTTTAATAAATAAAGTAGGTGAGAAGGTCAACAAAACAATTTCGTTGAGGACGGATTTATATTCAAAATTTTCGAATCTCTTTAAGCCGGTTTCTATAGAAAATAAGCTTCTTAAATGGATATTGCATAGGAATTCATGGTTTTCGCTTTAAAAATGATTTTCTACTGTGCAGTATATTTCTAATAAAAAAATTACTGCTTGTTTTAGACGATCATTATTATTTTTCTTTCAAAAATGTATATTTCAATTAAATCAGCAGTCAAACCGATAAAAAAAATAAAAATTTACGGAATATTTGAATGGTAAGTCAAAAAAGGAAAATAAAAATAAAAGATTTCGCAAGAAACGTCGAAAAAATTATGAAATTTATTCGATATTGTTCAAAAATGAAGTGAAACGAGAGGCGTCAGACGCGCAGCGTGTCGCGTTGCGGTTTTTGAATGTTTGCCAACTTCTCAAGTTGAACCACAGAATTTCTCATTTTTCGTGAAATATTTAGAACATCCTCATTCAAACACTTTCCCAACATTTGTTCATTTTTTCCATAAAGGTTTAACATGTATTTTATGAATTTTCTTTTTAAAATAAGTGTCAGCTAGCCTAATTACTTTCTATCTTCCATACTTTGTGTGAGGTCGACGTTTGAGCACTGCAACTGCGCTAACAGACGAAAAATAGTTAAAAAATAGTTGAAAAATAGTGCAGACTTTGGATGAAAGAGGGATCTGTAACAGATCTATTTTCAAGTCTATTTTTCATCAGCGCTTCATCTATTTCTCAGCCATTCTCTATCTATTTAGCATCTTGGATTCATCTATTTTTCATCCATTTTATGTCTTGTCTCTGTCCCTCGTTCTTGCATTTTTCATCAGTTTTCTATCTATTTCTCATCCATGATTCATCCTTTTTTTAACCCATTTTTGTCTACTTCTTGTCTCTTATTCATCTATTTTGCGTCTATTTTTCTTCTGGATGGTTTTTATGAAAAAACAACAGTAAACGGAAAACAACAAAATAAAAAAAAATAAAAATACAATAAATTGTTTAACATTAGAAATATCAAATTTCAATTAAATAGAAAAATGCTGATTGAAATATTCAGCGGCATCGGGCTTCAGTTTTTTGAGTTGGTGCTCTTTTCCAATTTTGATAGCCAAACTATGCGCCATAACTTTGCTAGCGTGGTGAGATCCTTTCTGATCGTTATAATTTGAACGAAGGCGATCGCTAAAAGTACATGGTGTTATTTAGTGAAACATTCGCATAACTACATGAAAGTAATCGCAGACTCTTTGATTTGCACAGCAACTGAAGTAGCTTGATCCGTCGTTGGAGCAATATCTAATCCAATGAACAATGCTTCTTAATTTTTTTTTAACATTGTTCACATATGTATGTATTAAACTTGAATTGCAGATAGCAAACAAGAAAATTTGAAGTCTGAATAACTATAAGAAAAATCTAAAACATTATATCTGAAACATACATCTAGTTTTTGCCTTCCGTTAGTGAGCAATCGAGTCAAATCGGCTCCTTCAATTGGCAATTGTAGATGTTTGTCGAAGTTTTCGAGCATGGTTTCATCGCATTCGAACATTGCAGATTTTTTCTTTGAACATCTAAACTTTTTAGGCATGAGCTCTGGAATTTCTGCCGTTTTTTTGGTCACACTTAATTTTGATACCTTTTAGTATCAACATTACAATTCCATCTGAACAAGTGTGTCCAAGATTGTATTGTACGGCTTGACATATTGCACCATTTTCGCCGCAACAGGACCAAATCCATTAACAACGCGAATACTATCTTCTAGAGTCTTATCCCCAAATCTGTCCAATCGTCGATCTTAAATCAATATAAGCGATGAATAAGAGGGTTTAAAATTATTATTGATTATTACCGTTTCCAAGTAGTGGTTTGTGCAGAGTTCCGTGAGAGTCGCAATAAAAACAAGCTTGTGGACTTGAAAAACCGCTCATTCCAAGAATTTTTCTTTTTGCCTTAAACTGAAATCTATAGAAATTTTTATCACTTAATCCTTACTGGTTGGTCAGAAACGAGTGACACGAGGTATGGAGAAAATAAAATATTGTTTACAACAAATGTTGACCCTTCGCCTTCCAATCGATTCATTATAATTTCCGTGACGGTATTCAAAACAAGGGTTGTTGGATTATTAGCTTTTAATTGCAGCATTCCACAGACTACAAGATTAATTGAAAGTTGCGACTTCATTGTAGGCAAATCCACTAACTGTAAAGTAATTGGCCACAAACTTCCTCTAAATGGCACATCTTTAATAAACAAATAATAATAATACCTGAAATGTCCTCGGGGATTGACGCCGTCCAGACTTAGCACCATGCTCAGATCACAATGATTTTCATCCTCGTATTTCCATGAACTGGAAAAAGAACTTCCTTGAAGATTGTGTGTGAAGTTTGGTGCTTTTTCCTTCAATTTCTTTCGAATTTCCATTATATCGTCAAAGGACGACTCCACAATCCCGCGAATTTGTTCGGTGAGAGGCAGCATAAGAAAAGTCGCCAAATCGCCGCAACTGAAATTGATCATAATAATGTTTGAAATGTGGTATATGTGTTTACCATTCTTTCTCTCTTCGACATCCACACTTTTCGCATATTGAACGCTTCATAATATTCTTCTTGAAATCATACCACAATGAGCGGGCTCTTTCAATCGGGATGAAGTTTTTAATTGTTGCCAGTCGTCTCAAAAAGCCTGCAACCATTTTTTGTCTTTGGAAAAGTATTAGTTTTACCATTTTCTGTATCTTTTCCGAGTACCGAACTATACATGCACAATAATAGTTCATCGGCCAATTCCGATACACGATCATGTGCGGGGTAATTCGGTACGCATGACGGCCCGACTACTTCGGAGAATTCTTCAATTTCGCTTTCAGATCGTTCTCTCATGAGAAAGGATGTTGTTGATGCATCATTTTCATTATTTTCGTTGTTCGACGATTTGTTTCGAAGTGAAAGCCGGGCGTTTTTTCGAGCAAAGACCACACGTTTGGTCGGCATGCATCGCGAACCAGCAATTTGATCTTAAAATAATAAACAATCAGCAATATTAATATACGAAACAAACCTACCTTTCCTCAATTTGAGACCTTCTTTGGGTAATCGATGGCGAAGAGTTTTAGGCATTTCCAAAATTGATTTTTAAAAAAATTGTGATTAACATGGCGCCATCTGCATTCACATTACGATCAACTGCACAATTCCATCTATTTTTCACCCTTTCAGTGTCTATTTCTTATCATTATCTTCTATCTATTTTTTCCCAATTTTTCATCTATTTGTCATCCATTTATCGTATATTTTTCACCAATTTTTGAGATAATCTATTTTTCGCCCATTTTTCTCCTAGTTTTTATCTACTTTTCCGAGTAATCTATTTTTCATCCACCTTTTCACCATTTTTCGTCTGTAGCACAGTTGCAGTGGAGTAAATACCGACAGCTAAAATAAATATGGCAAAATTGGTTCGACTTTTTAGATTTTTTGGAGCGTTATCTCGTTTTCAAACATGTTTGTCATTCGTTTTTCGTTTCCTTCGCATTGCTATTTCGACTAAGATTAGTCATTTTTTCTTTGTCTTCCAATGGAATTTTTGCCGTTTTTTCGTTTTCTTAAAAAAATGTTTTTTTTTCCTATTTATATTTATATGGGCATTTCAGAATATGCCTAATATTCCTGGTCATCAACGCAATGTGTCGCAAGGACAACATGTGAGTTTTTATAGGTCTTTTAATCTCGTTATCATTTAAAAAAAACGGCGCCACTTTGACTCGTTATTCATCATCGAAACGACAAATTTTTGCTACTAAAAAGTGCATTGTAATATAAAATGCAAGAAAATTCGCTACAACAATTATTTATTTCAAAGCAACGAATTCGGATTTTGTTCCGTATTTCCAATTTTACTCCAATGCATTTGTATTGTTTTATTAATTTATTTCGAAGATTATGACATTAGTTTGAAAAATCTTTTCATATTTATTTCGAAAAAATTTAGAAAAATTTTAAAAAAAGATGACGTGCAAACGAAAGCGATAACGATAGTAAAAATGTAGCTATAATTTATAAAAAAAAGACGAAAATCTCTTTAAGACGCAAATTCTCATAATACCGCGTTTTTACGCCTCTTACGAAAGAAGAATGTTTTCCTTTCAAAAATTCCCATTTACAAACTTAAAATAGTAACATTATTGTTTGTGTCTTGTGAACAAAAAGACAAAAAAACGTCTTCTCTCATAGTAAATTAGTGTTACTTGCCGAAAAGAAACCGGTTCATTTTGATATTTTCTAAAACTATCTTCAATGATTTTTAGTCCTTTTCCGATCATTCTAATTTAATCTTAAACAATTATAGCTCATCGTCGATCGAACAGAGTCCGACGAAGAAGACGCTTCGAAATCGACAAAAATGCCGCAGGAAACGATTCAGATTGAGGATGACGCGCCATATGGAAACGGCGGAGTCTATCCGGGCTCGAGCCCGCCGTATACGCCAAGCCGACCGCAAGATAACAAGTCGACGTAAGAGATTTTCAGACAATTTTGATATAATGATGAACGATTCTTTAGAGGAATGTGCAGTCCAGCGATCAGAGCAAATATTCGAGTCATTCTAGGATCAATATTCCTTACAATTATTGGAAGCAGTAAGAATTGAAAAATAAGGATAATGATAATCATATAACTTTTTTTCAGTACTAATCGTTCTCGGGCTAACCGTTATGATAAAACAAGAAGAAGGTAAGCTAGGGAATGGAAGAAACCAAACTATCTAGATGGTAGAGAGTGATAATTAGAGAATTGAAAAAATCGAGAAGTTTCTATTTAAGGAAATATATTTGAAAAACGTGTTTGCCAACAATTATAATAATATTATTCTTGGCGTTCATATTTTGAAAGTTGACGAACGCATGTTGAAAAAGGAGAATCATAAATATTTTTTGTCGAAACCAGAATAGCGAAAAAATTTTGAAAATTGAGGTTGGACAGTAACTTACGGATATGTTTCTTTAAGGTCTCAAGACTTTTCTTATTGCTGTCACTATTGAAAAATAATAGTTGATGAGATGTTTTCTTATATGAAGCTAATTGCATTAAAATCAATCTATGGTTTGAGAGGACTTTAGGAAAACCATCAAATTATGAATTATAAGATAGAAACAAAAAAAAAATTACGTCATTACGTATTTTTTTTTTTGTTTTTGAATATTATAGATTAAATTTGGATTATCTTCAAAATCGCATCATTTTCAGGAATGCAGTTCTTCGTATTTTTGTTCGCTGGTGCCATATGCTTCATTCCGGGCTTCTACCATCTATATTTTGTGATTTGCACAATTTGCGGTCGACCAGGCTATTCATTCGACAAATTGCCAACTTTTAATCGATGATTGTTTAAAAAGCATAATTTACTTATTGTGGAGGACGGATGAATTTAGGAGGGCGTTGCTTATTATTCAAATTTTGGCTCCATGGCCTTTTTCGATTTTTTCTCCTATGAAATGCATTGAAAATTATAGTAGATATCAAAGGCGCACGCGAAAATTTGTTGATTTCGCGCTAAGATCTAAAATGGTTTTGATCATTCAAATTTGCCGAATTCGTCCGTCTTCGACAATACCATTACTCTAGTCGAAAGAGTACTGTATTTGTTTTCTTTTTTTTCTCTCCCATGCTTATTTCTGTGCTATTCATTTTGTTTCGCTGCGCCATGTGTTTTCACCAACTCGAGATTCGCATTTTAATATTGAATAGATTCAGGGTTCAACAATTTTTAGAGATTCAAATTTCCATTTCCGGTTTCACTTACTTACTTTACTAACATTCGAAACGCAAGCATAATTTATTTTGTGTATATGATTTTCTTTTTTTTTTTTTTGTTGTTTCTAACATTTCTTTTCTCCCCTTGTAAATAATTCGTACAATCGCATAAATATAATTAATGAGAGAGAAAAAGTACAATTAAATGAATACCAGCGGATCATCATGCCAGCTGCCAATGATAAGGGATTACACAGCGAATGCAAGCTTCATCTTTTCGCGGCAATCCCTTCCTTATACGATTTTATTCATTTTATTACTATGATCGGCGTGCGGTTGAGATCACTCATTTCGATATTATTTCTCTATTTTTTCAATTTTACCTATTCTGTAGAACTTGTCGCCGAGGAGTTCAAGGTATGATTTTGTCGGAATTTTTCTGTCAAGGGTCTGCAATTCTCAAAATTGAACCGATCTTTTGATGTCTAATTGTTGCTGCTAATTTTTATAGCAAATAACCTATTCAATATGACATTTGATTATTTAAAATTATATAGACAGCGTCCGGCGACTGATGTATGCTGGTCGATTTACGTTGTGCGCCTTTCCCCTGTAGTCTCGCACGGAATATTTTGTTATTTCGCATTTTAGGGGTTCGGTTCGATAGTTTTTAATGAGAATAATGTTGAAAATTCAAGGAAATGCAGAGAGAGAGAGAGAGAGAGAGAGAGTGGAGAAAAAATAAATTGTTCACGTAGCGTTGTGGCGAGACCATTTCGAAAGGCGCACCCCGTAAATTTACCCGGGCGCCGGCTATATTATGATATTCGAATTCTGGGCTGTTTAAATTTTACAGAGATATTCATGAAATGCATTTGTTGTTACAAAAAATTCAAATAAAATGCTAATTTTCGTAATTTTTATAACTTAAAAAAAAAAATATTACCTGTGAAAGATTTAAAGGCTTCTTTGAGTTTTATCTGAAATCAGCCAAAATCCATAAAACTTCGTACAGTTTGAGTGGAAGTTTGCTTGAAAGTCCGAGCAAAATTAGCGGTCGTAAGAATGCTATCGAAACGCCTAAAAACTCTGACTGAAATTGAGCGAAATTGGTTGTGGTCCGACTTTTCGCAAATTTTCAGCAATCTTTTCTCAAAAAAAAAGAAACGCTATTAAAAATTTTTGATCAATTTATTGAAATTCCATTGAAATTCGGAATATTTATTGGTAAGAAAGCGTCAACTTTTAAACTATAGTCCTTTTCAAAAAAAAAAGAAAATCCAATTAAACATCAATATTAAAATAAAAATTTACACCAATTTCCGATGGCGTAATCATTATCAAGATGAAGTGAAAGCGACACGTTTCCGCCATATTAAGTCCAACGTTCGTTTTTTTTTCGTTTAATCAGTCCGCATCAAAAAGTATCGTCTAGCGATTCGTGTCGACGAAGACATTTTGTCATCAATCAACGGCGACACATTTTCAGAATCATTTCAATGTCGAGGAGAAACAATTGGAAACCGTCGAGCAGCTTCTGCTCAAAATGAAAAAGCTGGCGCATTCTCGGTCGTTCGCTGGCCGCGAGTTCGGGCACGACGTGAGTTGAAAAGGCAATTTTTGAGAAAAACATTTTATTATTCTTTTTTTTTGAATAGGCGGTCGAGGATTCAAAAAAAGATGTTTCGATCAGCGCGCAACAAGGCAAAGTAGCGAAAACTGTTTCGCCATTTCTATTCGAAGGTTTGACTAAATAAGGGATTTGGTATCGGCTTAGTATCAGTTTGATGAAGATTTCTTCTTGTTAGGACCCAATAGATCTAGATGATTCCAGCTGTTGGAATATTGCTTTTAAAAAATTGTGGAAGGGTCCTAAAAAAAGCAAGAAAAATTTATGAAGCTGATATCCGGCGACTGCTTTACGCGGGTAGATTTACGGGAATGTGTCTTGAAAAGGTCTCGCCACGATTTTGATGTTTTCATGTAAACTATTTATTTTTTTTTTGATGAGTTTGGCGTATTTTTTATTTTTGAGGTCGGTTTCGATAATTTTTTAAATCGAACGACGTTAGAAATTCCAAGAAATGCCAAACTCATCAAGAAAAAATAAATAATTTACGTGAAAACATCAAAATCGTGGCGAGACCCTTTTCGCGTAAATCTGCCCGCGTACAGCAGTCGCCGGGATGTCGACAATGCCTTATAAGGAATTAGTAGAGTTTCCAAAATTAAGGAGACATTTTCCTTTCGAAACGCCAAGCGGTCGACATTCTCAAATCGCTATCGAAAACCAAGAAGCGTCATCGTCGTTCGTTCGTCTCGGATCGATCAGCAATGTGGCGAAGAATGCCAATCAAATACCGATTCCACGAGAGCATCGGTTCGTAATCCCACAAATTGTGCATTTTCGAGAATGATTTGGTCCGACCGATTTAGATTTCTATACAATCAGTCAAATCATCGCCGCCATTCGCTATTGGGAGGATTCGACGTGTATTTCGTTCGAGAACGTTTCCGACATTCCTGACGGCGATTACATCGAGTTTTTCAGCGGTCAAGGGTATGAGATGACGCGAGAATTCTCGTGAGACTCCAATTTTTTTTAGATGCTATTCGATGATTGGCCGAAATGGAGGAAGACAAGGTGTATCCATCGGCGAAAATTGTGTAAGGGTGTGTGCTGTTGGATTTTTTTTAAACGCAGAATCCGCGAATTTCAGATGGGAGTCATCGAGCATGAGATCGGTCATGCTCTTGGTCTTTGGCACGAGCAAAGTCGTCCTGACGCGCTTTCATATATTACGGTAATTCTAGAGTACATTTAATATGTGTTGACGGAGTCAAACTACTTGACAAAATTAAAAAAAAATTATTGGCTATGTGCCAATGCATTTCGAGACAGCGAGAAGTACGCGAGACTGCGTACATTGCATTACAGCGTACGCGCATTTAATATTCAGTCAACGAAAAATTTAAATCTGTACTGATTTCGCGAATTTGAAGGCCCCGCCGACAATATATTTCAAGCTTGTCGTTTCGGAGCCGAAACTGGCCATGCCAAAGCCGAGTATTTAAATTCGCGCGCTTAAGCAGTCGACAATCGGCCGCGTTGCGTATGCGTCGCGGTCGGCGTCAGTTTTTAATAAAATCGCGAAGAAACCAAAGACCGAAGGGCGGAATGAATAATTCGAAAACGCGGAAAGCGGAATTGAAAAAAATTTGCGGAATTCCGTCCAACTCTAGTAGAAACTAAAATAAATAAATTAAAATTGAATTTTTCAAAGACGATTTTTAGATTTTTTGTAATTTTTTGATAAAAAATGAATCAGAAATGGGTCCGATTCCAGTAAAAAAAAAACCAGGCTCGTCAAATCAGACGCCGAGTCGGTCGGCTTTTTTGAAATCTACTGGAAAAAAACTCTACGACTGAAACAAATAATTGCGGAAATTTGTCGATTTCATAATATATTAATAGCTTCTCAGCAAATTTTAAGACAATTTCACTGTTGATCAACGAAAATTGCCTTTCGGCACTTGATTCTGACGATGGAATCAACAATCTAAGTAGAAATAAAACGAGGGCGTTGACGACACTCCGTTGTTTACGCCAGCGAAGGCGCGAAAATTCAAAAATGCCGGCCGGTTTTCAGCTCAGCCGTGAAATTGACACGTCTAAAATAAAAAGGATAACCATAATTGAGCTTGTGCCGACTGAAAAGACAATCCTGAAAGGCATTATTCAGGTGGAGACCGACTTCATTCTGCCATCATACATCAGCGACTTTCTGCAGAGGGACGACGAGATCGATACATTGGGAATCCCTTATGATCTTGGATCGGTATGAGACGGCCGACTCATTACTCCATGCCGAGCATTCAAATTAAGGTGATGCACTACGGCAGCACCGCGTTCAGTCTCGACGAGAAGAGCAAAACGGTGGTGACACGAGACCCAGCATTTCAGCAAACGATCGGCCAACGCGAGAAGCTCTCGTTCTACGATGTGGCGACGATTAACGAGGCTTATTGTAAAGGTGCGGTCGAGAATACATTCCTAATTGCGATCATTATGTCGACGAGCGCCAACGAATTCAGATGCGTGTGTTGGCGAGACGACAAAGTGCGCCAATGGCGGTTACATGAAGCCGAGCAAATGCTCCGAATGCCTGTGTCCCGACGGACTCGGAGGAGCGAATTGCGAAGAGGTGGAGAAGGCAAAGAGTAAGACGACATCTAATTGATGCCCAAATATGTTTGACTATAATTAGACGCCGAATGCGGCGGAATAATTATTGTGGATGATGAATGGAAAGAGATCGAGTCGCCCGGATTCCCGTCTCCTGGCTATGATCCCGATCAAAAGTGTTCATGGCTCATCAAAGCCAACAATCCGGAAGATCGCGTCGAAATGGAATTCATCGATGACTTCTCGTTTCTGTGCACGTCGACGTGCGTCGATTTCGTCGAGTTGAAGATTTCCGACGACCTTCGCAACACCGGCTTCCGATTCTGCTGCTACGACAAACCGGCGGGCAGCTTCGTCTCGCAACTCGGCACCGCCATTGTGATTCTACGCACACAGCTGTCGAACGACATCGGATTCAAACTGCGAATCAGATCAAGTTTGGTTGAATTGAGGCCCACGCTAATCATATTGATGGTGTTCAGCGAATAAGCAGGCGCGCACGACGCCGGCCGTCGTCAAAACGACGACGACAATCGCGCCAGTGACCGTCAACGCGCCGAACGTGTGGGCCGACTGGGCCGAATGGTCGACGTGCTCGCGAACGTGCGGTGGCTGCGGGATTCGGAGCAGAGTGCGTGTTTGCCGAAGCAGGAAATGCGAGTGAGTGTCGACATTCGACGCAATCGCGATGAGACGCCAATTTCCAGAGGTCGTCGTCAGGAGTTCGGATCGTGCAATCTCGAAGCGTGTCCAGTCGACAAGCATTGCGCGAAACTGCTATCGGCGAATCGCCTCTGCCATGGCAAAGTGTGCACCAAGTAAGGAGAGCAATTGGTTTTTTTTTGAAGAAAAGAAAAACCAATCGTCAAATTGTCCGCAGATGGGATTCAATAACAATTTCCAGAAACGACATCTCGATCTCCGGCTGCGATGCTCCCCAGTGTTGTCCGCCGTTCATCAACGTCGGCGGAATGTGCCAATCGGACTCCGTCCAACACGATGATCTCCTTCTGTCACTTCGCTAACAACCTATTTATTCTATTTATTGATCGTTTTCGGGTAAAGTTTTCTCGTTGTTGAAGAGTTCTGATATACCTTCTTTTTTTTCGTTTTACCTTTATGGGGAATACAATATCATTCGCCACAAAACATTCAAATCAATAATAATAATAATAATAATAATGAGAAAAATGAATAATTATAATAAAATAAAATAATAATAAGGATAATAAAAGTAGATGAAAACCGAAAAAATTACATTTTCATCACTTCACAAAATCCACGAAAAAAATACATGGTTCTGCGAGAAGGAGCATGAATTGGGGGATGGAAGGAGACGGAGAAGACGATGTGAGTTGTGCTAGAAATCGAGGAATACAGTCTGTTCCATAAAATTTTACAAAAATTGGAAGAAATACATCAAAAAATAAAGCAAAAGAGCAGCGGTGATGAATGGGAGGAGAAAAATTTTCGAGACTAGCTAGAAAAATAAAAAAAGGAGAGAGAGAGGGAGAGGAGACCTTGAAACATGGAAATCTGGTGTGGGTGTGTTGGTGGTTGGTGAAGGATGAAGAGGAGTAGAAAAAGAAGAAAAAGAAGAAGACGTCGAAACTGAATTCACGTGAAGCTACACGACAGTTAAAACAAAAACTGCAACAAATTAATTCGACTTGAATTTTTCTCGCGCGAATATTTCAATTAATAATTAAAATAATAAATAAATATATTATGTTCTTTTCTTTTTTTTCAGCCGAACAACATTGTAAAGCATATTCGTGTTGTGTGTGTGTGTAGGTGAACGGCAAAAAAACCGAAACGAAATTTCCAAAAGAAAAAAAAAATAAAGACGGGAAAGAATCGACTTATAAGAAGACAATCAGCGGTGGTGTGGGATAAAAAAAGCCAAAAAAATTTTTTTTTAAACACACACACAAAAATTTGAAAAAGAAAAACGACGAAATTTGGTTTTTTTGTTTCCATTCATCCATTCTTTTCTCTTCGTTTTCTAATAAAGACCACAACCGCGCAGATTATTCGCAATAATCACATCGGTGACAGCGTCGAACACAAATTGGATGTTCGTTGTGTCCGTAGCGCACGTCATATGACAGTAGATCTCCTGAAAAAAATCAATCCGATAAGCATTATCAGCATTTTCCTTTAATTTTTTTGCTCGATAATCCTACAGTATCATATTGATAACAAAATGTGCAATGGAACGTGTATAATCAATCATTTCTTCCTATAATATATACAAGAAAATGGTTTTCAAATGCAAATTTTGGGTTATTGATTTGTTTTCAAAAAAAAAAAAGATTTTCAGAGCTAAATTTTTAGAAAGTGAATATTAGATACTGGAAATTGGATACTGATCTACTGGTTTCAAAATTTTTCAACAATTCACACGAACCTTATTCGCCGACTTGTTCTTGGCCTCGAATTGTGCTTGAATGTACGCCGACGCCTCGTGATAATCCTGTCGCCCCGAGTATTCAGGGAAGCAGATCGTGAGCGGGCTCTTCTTGATCTTCTCCTCGAACAGATCCTTCTTGTTCAAGAACAAAATGATCGAGGTGTCCGTGAACCATTTGTTGTTGCAAATCGAGTCGAACAATTTCAGCGACTCGTGCATTCGATTCTGAACATGCCCAAAATGACGATCGAAACCGCATAACCAATAAGAACTTACCGTTGTCTCGTCTTCGTGCAACACCTGATCATATTCGGACATGGCGACACAGAAAATGATGGCGGTGACATCTTCGAAGCAATGAATCCACTTCTTCCTCTCCGACCTTTGACCTCCGACGTCGAAGAGTCTACAAAATGTTCACAATCAAAATGGCAGTGAGAGGCAAAAATTGTCTCACTTGAAATTGAGGTTTTTGAACGTGAAATGGACTTCGACGATACCAGTGGTTTTGACACGAGTTCGGAGAATATCCTGCTCAGTTGGCTGATATGTCGCTTCACCTAACCGCTCCAAATCGTCAAGGAAACTGAAACAAAAACGATTATTAGGGGGCAAGTCAGAAGGGAAAATAAACGTGATTTTTTTGGGTGTCTAGGTGGGCCGTAGGCAGTTGTGTCGCGACTTATACCAAAATTAGTTCAATTTCCGGTGAGGTGTGAAACAAAAAAAGTGTGTTGCGTCCAATTTTCAGAATCCACAAAAGGAAATAGGTGACTAATCGGTCATCACGACGAAACAGAAAAAAAAAACAAGAAGAACACGTACTATTTGGCCGAATCATTGAGCTGATACTCGTTGCTTCGCGCAAAACAATCCTGAACACCGCTGTCGGACCACAATCGCTTCATGGAGCTGAGAAGCTCCTCGGAGAACGGCTCAGTGTCCTCCATCCGCGCGACGACGTCCATCACTAATTTTGCATCTACCTGCAAAACCCGATACAAATTATCTCTCCGTCTCAATTCACCCCCGTTTCACATTTTTCTTCTCGCCACCGAGCTTTGAGTATTCATTAAAAATGAATTTCGTTTCTCTGTTTTTTTTCTCTGGAGGAAAACCGGCGAAAAAATTCAAACGGTCGATGTGAGAAACACACACCAAAAACAATGGCAGCCGAGAGTTGGTTAGTTCGCGATGATGCGAAAAATCAACATTCTCAAATTTCGTTCTCCACCGACGACTTATGACACTCTTAAATTATCGTGTTGGAGGTGCAAAGTTCGTATTGATCATTTTCACGCAAAAAAAAACTTGAAAAATAATGCGTTTTTTGGCTCGAAACTCAATATCTATTTGCATCTTTTTTTGCACGAAAAAAAATCCCCCGCAAATGTTCCATTTTTTTCATAGTCGTTTGAACTTCACCCAGCAAAAACGCGAGAATAGAAGCGATCGGTGGATTTTTTGCTTCTTGTGAAGAAGCGACGACGAACTCCCCGGAGAATTACGAATCATCATTTATTCGCCATTCAGGAGGAGAGGAGGAAGAAAAAGTCGACGAAAAAAAAAAGAAAAACGAATGAACGAACCTCTCGCTCCGACGAACCGAATGATACTCCTAAATTGGTCATGGCGCGAAGTATCGCGACCAGCGACTGAACCGTGTTACTGTACACTACCGGCTTGTACTGTTTGTAGTCCTCTGCTGTGAATCCGGACTCGTGAATAATTCTGATAGAAAAAAATACAATTGGGAGGGCAATTCAGAGATTGTCGCTCACTTCATCTGTTTGACAATTGTCGATTTTCCGGATTCTCCGGCTCCTAAAAGTAGCAGCTTGATATCTTTGGCCGCCTGCATGCCGTCCTCTTTCAGATTCTTTTCAATCATTCTGAAATGAATTTTAAATTCATAAAAAGAAAATTTTATAGAAAAAATCGCTATTCCACCTGCTCAATTTTGATGTTCCGTACAAAACGAGATAATTTCTGAATTTTAAAATCGCGAATTCAACAATTTACTATTTATTCCATTAAAAATCAAATTCGTTCCAGCCCATCTGATTGCCCTTTTCAATCCAAAAAAAAAACGCGGCCTTTCAGCCAGCAAATTGCGTCCATTCAATAAAAACGTTTGAGTAATCTCGGCTGTGCAGGTGCTGCGAACGAAGCGCGCCATCTGTCATTCTCCGAGCTTTTAATAGTATAAATCGGACGCGGCGGCTTTTAATTATCGCCCATTTGAAAGGTTCGTCGGAAAGAAAAATTCCATTTTCCTTTGTACAAAAAAAAGTGCAGCGGCGCAAAAAACGAAAGAAAAAAGACGAAGAAAAAAAAAAGGCGGAGAAGATTGGAATTTGTTGCTGCTCGTCGCGCTCCAATGACTTTCAGGTCATCTTCTTCCCGAAATAGAAAAATAAAACGCATTGCAATATTGTTTTGACAGGCTTCTCCAACTTTGTTCGAATTAGTCATTGCATTATTTCAATTATTGTTTTTTTCATGTTTTTGTTTTGCGCATTTCAAATCGAAAATGAGACCTACCGTGATCTTTCAAGAGCGGCACGCTCCTCCTGTGACATGGTACAACCCATGGCGCTAGATATTGAAAGGGCCTATGCCAAAACGAAACACACGTTATCTTCTACCAGGCTGCACGGCGCTGCAAAATCGACAAAAATTGAATATTTTAACGTATGGGTGGTGGGCGGACGGACGGGCGAAACGCACGCCGCCGCCGGGTTCGGAAGGCGCGTCTGCGCGCACGCACGCGCAGTCGCACAACAACGCGATGAAGAAGAAGAAGAAGACGAAGACGATGAAGGCGAAAGGGGACAAAAACGCGAAGAAGAAGGCGAAGGCGACGCAAGAAACAACAAAAAACGAAGGAAAAGGGTGAAAAGATGGAAAAGGAGAGAGCGGTGTGGCACACATACACACACACACTCGACGCTAGGGCGCTCAGCTCGCATGAAAACTGGACAAGAATTTTTTTGCCTTCTTTTTTTTTTGAATATTCGTATAAAAATTAATTTTACAGTTTTTTGGTTTTTTTTTCGTAAACCTTTCGCAAAAAAAATTTTGTGAGCTAAATAAAAAACACACACACAGAGAAATCGCACGCATCGAAAAAACGTAATTTCAAGAATTAGAATGTGAAAAAAGGCGATAAATTTGGCACAAAACAATGGAACGCACTAACGCCATGACAGCGAGACGCGATATTCACACCAGGATTCGAAATTTGAATTGGTCGGGTTGCCGGGCAAACGCCAATGGAGCGCGTTTACCGCAACCAGTACGAAATGTTGAACACAGCAAAACCCAAACGACAAAATCGGTCAGCCGGACATTATTAAGGAAACATTGAACGGAGCCCCTCCCCGCCAATTTGCGCATTTATGAATAATAAAATGAAATAGGACACGGATTTTTCGGGCGGCGACGATCGACAACACCAGACGGCAAACATGAGAAAATGCCAGAATATGATTCGCGATGGTGGAGGGGGGAAAGGGACCATCGTAATTTTAAAATGATTAAAAGTGAAAGACGGCAAAAGGACCTCAAAAATAAGCAATTTCACAAAAAAAAAACGTGGGAACGAATCAATAAAACTAGTTTTTTTTTTTAAACAATCTGCAGAAAGAAAAACGACCAAAACGCTTTTTTTCGCGTATAAAATTGCACAACATTATTTTTGCCTTTTTTCGATGCGAAACAACACGTTTTCGTCGTTTATTTGTTTTGTTTTGATTCGAACACGTCGACGAGGCGATAGGCGGCGAGATTTCAAAAAAAGACAATTAAGACCACATCCAACGAACAACTATTAAAAAAAAGAATTGAGTATTTAACTGAATTAATTCGAAGCCAATCATGATAAAGGATTATTGAACAATCACACCTACGCGCAATGATATTAATTGAAGGACCACCTCGGAAAACTTTAACCGGAAAAAAAATGAAGAGAAGAAGATGGTTCATCAGCAGCACGAGGCGACGAAAAACAAGCGCATTTTAAATCAGGCCAAAAGTGGTCTTGCGAGACGGACAAAGTTTTTTTTTTTCGGGCGGAGGAGGGACGAACGAGGGCTCAACTTGATCCGTATGATATCATTGGATTACTCAAACAAAAAAAATATAATTCTAATCTAATTAAGGCTAATCAACTGAATTGTTGAACTAGACGGAGAAGTGAGTGAGCGAGAGAAATAAATGAAGATTCGCAAAAAATTGAAGCGTCGAATACAGTTGACGCTCATGGAGCGTCAGATTTTCCATCACAACCCCCATTAATCGTGACTGACGGCGTTGAGACAAGAGAAAAAAACACTGGAGGGAGAAAAGGAGTGGAACAAGACGAAGAAAGAGGACGAATGGATAATGGGCCAAACAGAAGCAAAAAAAAACGCATCTTGCCAACATATGGTGCAAATCGGGATCTAAACCCCGCCGGAGCAGGAGCAGCAGGCAGGCAAGCCAGCCAGCAAGCAGGCGACGGTCGGCGGGGAGACGAATGATGGCTGGGAGGCGAACGAGTGGTGGAGACACGGCGAGCAACAACGGCCGACGATGAGAGACGCAGCGGTGAGCAGCAGCAGCAGCAGCACAACAAAAAAAACATGACGACGACGACGACGACGGCGAGGACAAAATGACGACGACGACGAAAACGAGGGCCAACACAAAAAAAACTAGAAGAAGAAAGCGATGGCAATATCAAACGATGAGTTTCATGATGTCTTTTCGTCCTCGTATGTATATAATTGCCTACGTTTGGCGGCGCTCGCCCGGCTCCGAAATCGTGTATCGCACCGCCGTCTATTTACTATTGTACTACAATGTTCTCGCACAAAAAATTGTTGCACTATTGAGTTTCGAAAAGATCAAAAAAAAAGAAGAAACAAATTGAAAAGCGTTCGCTTAATCTAATGAGGTCGAGGTGTCGACGCGCATCCTGAATAATTAAGCAACATTCATATCCATAGACTATAACTCATTTCGAATGCATTCCCTCCTAGACAGCTGCTTTTCGATTAATTGAATTTCTTTCTTTTTTTCCGAGAGATGCACAACTACAGTAACACGTGAGGCTGGCGAATGACGCGACCGGAAATGTATATACATATCGGTGGTTGAGTTGACCATTCCAACGGCACGCACAAATCCGACGACCGGAAGTCGTCGCCGAAAACGACAGCCACCAAAGTCAATCGAATGAGAAAAGAAAAATGGTGCCTCCTTACATCAACATTGATATTGGTGCAACGAACACCCACCACCAATTAATATGTCGTCACAACAGCGAAACAAAAACGAAGACAATAGACAAAAAAGGTCCGGTCAGGTTCGGTCGGCGGCAGCGGAATCAATTTCAAATGGGTGTCGACGACGAGGGCCAAAAAATGCGAAGAGGACGAGCATGTTTTATATTTTATGGCCCACACACCCCCATTTCAACGCTTTTCGAGCCCCCACTTCTAATTTCGCTTTCTTCTTTTCCCGTTCAATTCTTTCGAGAAGAATTATTTTTTAAATACAAGGAAGAAACACTAAAGGTTCCTGCTGATCCGAAAGACGTGAAAACGTGAAAAAATCGAGGGGGGGGGCCGAGCAAAATGATATTGTTGCAGAAACTCAGCGAAAAAAAAAACAGACACGCACAGGCAAAAGAGAAAAAAAAATGAGAGAAAAAAGAGAAAAGGAAAGAAAGAGGGAACTCAACATGGGAAAGCCGCGATCGAATAGATTGAACGAAAACAAAACCAAATGGAATAAAACAAGATTTACGCGCTTGGGACCCGTGGCATCAGTGGCAAACTCAGGGGGGGGGGAGCCAAAAAAACGTGCCAAGGTCTTCGACTCCGAGTCGAGCTGCGTTGCCGCCGCTGCTTCTGATGGCTAGGCAAGATGTGCCTCGTCCTCCTCCTTCTCCTCCTCAATAGGCCATAGGGATGCAGAGGAAGAGAGAGAGAGAGGCCAAAGCGCGCGCCACCCCAACCACTCCTTGAATCGATCGGGCCGCCGTCCAAACAGCGCGTTTCGGCCTCTCGTCGCCTCTTCGCTGCTCCGCGCCGCCGGCTCTCTCAATTCTTCTGCGCTCTCGCAACCAACTCGCCCGCCTCACACAAATATAATGCCATAATTCTGGCGCGCGACGCGTGTTGGCGACGCGCGCGTGCCTCTCTCGCCGACGAGAGAGCCTTCCTGAGATGCTCATGCATGTATACACACACACACACATATACCGAATACAAAAAAAAATGAACGAGATGATCGATATGACGAATGGCGTTCGAATTCTTTAAAATGATATCAATGATCAGGGAACAATTTCAGCCCTCAAGAATATTTCGCATAATTGAATGATTTGCCTTTTCCAAATCCGAAATGGACGAGCTCTGACCACCTGAGAAGAGTGAAAATTGTATTAATTGGGTTCAATTCGCAACTATTCTCTCTCTTTTGCGAAAAGTGCTTCGATAGCATCCGTATGGCTGCCGGATGGAGGTTGACCCTCTTCGTTTCCTTCAAGCCCCAAAAAGAAGAAGAAGAAGGAACGTTCTACACATAGTCATCGATGGCTCATTTGCGTTTCGCATGCCGCTTCCCTCTCTCTCTCTCTGCTCTTCTGCCGAGCCGCAGCAGAAGAGCTCCGACAGCTTCTACACAGCAATTCACAGCATACGGAATTTGACACAAAAAATAAACAGATAATAGTTTGAATCGCGGTTAGGTTTAAAGAGTGCCGAACGGGAGGGGGCTCGCCGCACCTAATTGGGATCACTCGTTGCCGTTTGCGAGCAAACACCTTATGGCAAGAGATACACACTCACAAAACACTTTGTGGTCGACATTCAAACATACAACACATTCTCGGCATACACACACACAACTATTTTCGGCTCGCCGAACTCGACCCCAATAATTTGAGGAAATTCTGGCGAAAATGTGTTTGATTCCATATTTGTATATGTATATACGAACTTGGAATATATGAAGAAAAATATTGGAAAAAAATGCCCAAATTTCACTTTTGAAAAAAAAAAAGAATTTAATTGAGATGGTCGCGCGAAAATTTTGATCTGCCGAAGTTCTGTGCAATTAGTAGAGCAAAATCAATTTTTTGAATTTTAGTTCGCTGAGATTTAATTGAACATTAAAAAAACGCTTTAAAAAATTTAAATTTTCAGTAGAATCTGACATTGAAAAAACGAATGAATCAGGAACGCATCTCATTCATTTATGGGGGAATAAAATTAGAGCCCACCTTTCTCCCATTGTGTCAACACTGGATTACTGTATTTCAATCGCAGAAAAAATCGAGCACCTAGTGTTGATTTACGGTACGTTTGATTCACAAGTTGTCCACAGTATGGTCGATAACCACGTTTCAGATAGAAATTTGAATTACCGCCCTCCAAAACTTTACGATGGTCCACAAGTGCTCAAGGTTTTGCGGTGATAATATGTATAAGCAACAACCATTCCACAATCTACCGTACAACCTCTCTCTCTCTCTCTCTCTCTCTCTATTCCTTCCGTACCCATCACCAAAATCTCGTCGCGCATCCTCCTAATTGAAATCTCG